AATATTGGGGGTGGGGAGGAACCCCTGGGGACTGGCCCTATACGTCATTCAAATGTTCATTACATGACGAACAGGAATATATATGGTTTAGGGGTGGCGATCTCAACCATTTACAAGATATTAGAACATTGGGGGTGGGGGGAACCCCTGGGGACTGACCGTATACGTCATTCAAATGTTCGAGACATGACAAATAGGAATATATATGGTTTAGGGGTGGGGATCTCGACCATTTACAAGATATTAGAACTTTCTCAAATGACAGGGGGTCGGGATGACCCCTGGGGACTAACCCTGTCTATCATTCAAACCATCTTCGCATGACAAACCAGAATATATATGGTTTAGGGGTGGGGATCTTGACCACTTAGAAGATATTAGAACTTTCTTAAATGGCAGGGGGTGGGGGTGACCCCTGGAGACTAACCCTGTGTTTCATTTGATGTGCTTTATCATGACAAACCAGAATATATATGGTTTAGGGGTGGGGATCTCGACCATTTACAAGATATTAGAACTTTCTCAAATGGCAAGGGGTGGGGGTGACCGCTGGGGACTAACCCTGTATAACATTTGATGTGCTTTATCATGACAAACCAGAATATATATGGTTTAGGGGTGGGGATCTCGACCATTTACAAGATATTAGAACTTTCTCAAATGGCAGGGGGTCGGGATGACCCCTGGGGACTTACCCTGTATATCATTCAAACCATCTCAGCATGACAAACCAGAATATATATGGTTTAGGGGTGGGGATCTTGACCACTTAGAAGATATTAGAACTTTCTTAAATGGCAGGGGGTGGGGGTGACCCCTGGGGACTTACCCTGTATAACATTTGATGTGCTTTATCATGACAAACCAGAATATATATGGTTTAGGGGTGGGGATCTCGACCATTTACAAGATATTAGAACTTTCTTAAATGGCAAGGGGTGGGGGTGACCCCTGGAGACTACCCCTGTATTTCATTTGATGTCCTTTATCATGACAAACCAGAATATATATGGTTTAGGGGTGGGGATCTCGACCATTTACAAGATGTTAGAACTTTCTCAAATGGCAAGGGGTGGGGATGACCGCTGGGGACTAACCCTGTATAACATTTGATGTGCTTTATCATGACAAACCAGAATATATATGGTTTAGGGGTGGGGATCTCGACCATTTACAAGATATTAGAACTTTCTCAAATGGCAGGGGGTCGGGATGACCCCTTGGGACTTACCCTTTATATCATTCAAACCATCTCAGCATGACAAACCAGAATATATATGGTTTAGGGGTGGGGATCTTGACCACTTAGAAGATATTAGAACTTTCTTAAATGGCAGGGGGTGGGGGTGACCCCTGGGGACTTACCCTGTATAACATTTGATGTGCTTTATCATGACAAACCAGAATATATATGGGTAAGGGGTGGGGATCTTGACCATTTACAAGATATTAGAACTTTCTAAAATGGCAGGGGGTCGGGATGACCCCTGGGGACTAACCCTGTATAACATTCAAACCATCTTAGCATGACAAACCAGAATATATATGGTTTAGGGGTGGGGATCTTGACAACTTAGAAGATATTAGAACTTTCTTAAATGGCAGGGGGTGGGGGTGACCCCTGGGGACTAACCCTGTATTACATTTGATGTGCTTTATCATGACAAACCAGAATATATATGGTTTAGAGGTGGGGATCTCGACCATTTACAAGATATTAGAACTTTCTCAAATGACAGGGGGTGGGGATGACCCCTGGGGACTAACCCTGTATATCATTCAAACCATCTTAGCATGACAAACCAGAATATATATGGTTTAGGGGTGGGGATTTTGACCACTTACAAGGTATTAGAACTTTCTTAAATGGCAGGGGGTGGGGGTGACCCCTGGGGACTAACCCTGTATTTCATTTAATGGGCTTTATCATTTAGAACATTTTCAATTAAAAAGTTTGTGTCTATCACAAACGGTTTTCAATTTATAATCATTTGAAAATTTTAAAAAATAAAATCCCATAGGGTTCTATAGTAAAACCCTCTTTTCTTTTTGCCCCTCAAAGTACCCCTTTATAAACCCCATTGCAAAAACAAAACCCTGATTGCACCACTAGACATGTTAGTCTAACATATTGTGAAACCCTAAGTTAATCCGACAAGCGGTTTTGGAGAACGGGTGCGGACAAGTTCAAATTTAAAAGCGGCGGAAGAAGAAGAAGAAGAAGAAGAAGAAGAAGAAGAAGAAGAAGAAGAAGAAGAAGAAGAAGAAGAAGAAGAATAATAATAATAATAAGAACTGAGCAAAAACAATAAGTCTTCCCAAACTTCGTTTGGGAGACTTAATAAAAGAAGTGTCCCCTACCATGCAACTATTTTATCTGTCCAAGTGCAAGAACACCATTTTTTTTCTTGTCAAATTTATCATTAATATCCGACAAGAAATGTAGACTTGAGAGCTCTTACAATACAACTTTCCATATAATTTATTATCCAAAGGAAACAACTCCTTTACAGAGGTTGATTTAGAGGGTTTTCCAGGGGCCTGCCCCCCCCCCCCCCCCCCTTTTATGTGAAAAATTTGGTTGATTATATAGGGAATCACTGAAGCATGACTGGAGCGGGCCACCTCAGGCAGTCAGTGGGCCCCCACTTCTGAAAATTTCTGGATCTGGCATTGCTTTAAAAATAGTTGTTCTTCACTGATTTACCAACTAGTTAGAGACATAAATTTCATAAAAATCTGACAAGAATTATATGTGTGAGAGTGCTTAAAAGAACAGACAGAAGGACCTGTAGAAATTCAAAGAAGCATAACTTCTTAAAAAAAAGTCAGAGACAATTACTTATATTAAACCTTGTTATAAATTTCATAAAACCAAGCATGAATTGCACATGTGTTCGAGAGCTCTTTAATACAAGATGGGACAGACTGATGGATGTCTGGTATTTCTATGTTCCCTGCAATGTATTTTAGCAAAGGACAAACAATAAGTTTGTATACCCAAATGTTGCTAGCTAAATAAAACAGCAGCATAAACCCACCCAGGGATTTTGATGACTTTAATGTGACTAGTTTGTGATTGATCTCACGATTCCCCTTAATTGATTGATGGCATGGTGCTGAACATCCATTTGTAACATTTACATGCATATTCGGGATGTCACAAAATACATATATCTTACTGTTGCATAAGAATGACATACTTAGTCAGATATTTGATGTGCTAGATTACAAAGTATGTAAGAGTACACATAAATATATGTCAAATAACTCAGACAAAATATTCTGACTGTGATGCTTAAATGTCATGTGCTTGGCATAGATCCCCAAAACAAATATAAATTTTAAAATCTTTGGCTTTTCCTTGCAGGGATTGAAATCATGATTTCATCTGCTAGTGGTAACAATATTTTTTTTAATCCTCTTGCTCAGTCTGTAGTTTTATCTGTTTTGTTATGTTTATATTTGTTTCTCTTTTGGTTGATTTTCTTTTTTATTGCCATGGTATTGTCAGTGTCATCCACTAGTATCATCTGCCTTTCTTTCTCATACCACTGATAAATGTAACTGAAATATAGGACAAAGTTTAAGTCAAATGCTTGATATTTACAAAGGTGTTCCTCAGGGATCTATACTTGGCCCTGTATTATTTAATGTCTTTATTAATGACATCTTCCTTTTTTGTTCTTGTTTCAAAATTCCAATAGGAAACATGTATTACATTATTGTAGTAATTAAATCTTCCTTTTTGTAAAACACTGTGAATTATATAACTATGCCAATGATAAAACCTTCTCTAAATCTGGCACTTCTCTGGAATTAGTTATTAAACCCTAGCTTAGAGGAAGATAGTAACTCCCTAATATCATGGTTCTAATCTAACCAAATGCAGGCAAACCCAGAAAAATTCCAGGCAATCACAAAAGGCAAAAAATAAACATGCACAAAATACAGTCTTCAATCTAAACTGCATCAGTATTCAATGTGATGATGAAGTGAAACTTCTAGGTGTAACCATGGACTTTAAACTGGATTTCAATACACACATCTCAAATTTTGTAAAAAAGCAGCAAAACAACTAAACGTATTAAAAAGACTATCTAAACTTACCATTTATCTCTCTTTCATCCATTCAACTTCAGCTATTGTCCACTTACATGAAACTTTTGCAGTGAACAAAACACCCAAAAAATAAAAAAAATACAAGAACAATCACTCAGATTTATTTACGACGACTACAAAAGCTCTTATAACATTCTACAGGAAGAGTCTAAACTATGCTGCCTCCAGGTACAGGATAGCTGATGTGCCGCGACCGAAAACAACAAGGTATGGTAAGAAAAGCTTTGGTTACGAGACAACAAGACTGTGGAATGCCTTTCCTAATGAGGCAAGGAGTTTATCAACCTTTGGTCAGTTCAAAAATTCTATTTCCACTTGGGTTTTTTCAGAAAATTGTACCTGTAAATAATGACAACTTTTTTAGCCTGCTTGAGCTTTATTTATATCTATTTATCTTTTTAAACTTAATATATAATAGTTTGCTGTCTTTAGCTATAACTAATAAGCTGTGTTAGCTGTTTATTAGCCTGTTCTGGGTCAGAAACTTTGTCTTAGGTATTGGTATTTGATGGTGGATCTTGGAAAGTCTCTGTTAAATTTATTTGTAACTTTTGTAGATTCTAGGCATTTTATACACTTGTCTATCATTTGGTATGTTTGCAGTGGCGTAGGAGTAGACTGAAAAGTTGAAAGAGGGGACAAACTTTCTGAAAGTGACATCATTTGGTCTGTGGTGCAGGGTTGTCTCATTGGCAATCATACCACATCTTCTCATTCTTATAAGCAAAATTTTTAGTCTAGGAGTTTGTCAATGTCCTAATGTCCTCTTTCATTTTCATTATCAATAATTTTTGCCTCCCTAGCTCCTTTGCAAGTGTGTTGACCTCTTAATGTCATTTAGAGGGTGGTTGGTGTTCCGTTTCAATGACATACACTGATATTTTTTCATTATTTATTAAAAAAAATTCAATTAGCCAAAAATATAAATTTCATTTGTAAAAAATACAAAATTTGGTAGACTACAAAGCACTCTTAACAATATGGTATATCACTAACTATAGTAAATGTATTTGCACAGAAAATGCACACTAAGGCTATCCAATAAATATAATGCTTGTTTAACAGTCATAGGAGTTTGAAATTTTGAAACAGGATTTTCTTTTATCTAAAGTACATTTGCTATTGTTATAATTTTTGTGAAAAAAATATGAAATACTTATTTTTTAAGATTATATTTTAAGAACTTATTGTCTCTAAATAAATGAATAAATAAATTACGTGTCTAAAATCAATTAAAATCTGATTCTTCAAATTCTTTAACATCATACAAAGTTACAAAATGAAATAATTTAGTGAAATATTCTGACAGGGGAGAAAAGTCCTGCGATAAAAACCAAAGACAAACATTTTACTGAATAGCCTAAAAAACACAACCTATACATGCACTTTTTTATTTATAACAATCAAACAGCAGTTATAATGTCTCACAAAATATGGCCAAGTTAATATGATCTGGAAGACTGCTCAAGTTTAAAGTATTGTGACATACTATCTTTTTTACAAGTAGATTTGTTTTGTCTTCTGTCTTTAAAATAAAAATCATTGACCTTATATATAAAAATTTGGAATGTTTTGTAAAGATATGATAATGTAGATAAATAGCAAATCATATAAAATATAAAGACCATAACAATATCCTAAAGCAAAAGAATGTGTAGAATTTCGATAACAAGAAAAAATAAATCTGTAAAAATGTAAATAATCTCTATAAGGGAATATCAATATTGAAAATCTGTCATATTATGCTCTTGATAAAAAAAAAATATAAAAAAAAATTTAATAAGTATAGAAGTCCTATTTTGATTTATTTGCAAATTTTATATTTAAATTTGCATACATATCTTTGCATAGATGGTATAAAAAATTGTGACAGTAATATAGAACATGGTAAAGTAATAGAACTCGCTAGGGAGTATCATTCTTGGATTAAAATATTAAATTCTGCAGGAGTATCAAAAATGACATTTTAAGTGAGATAAATAATTGAAAACAGCCATTTAAAAATCTTAAGTCTTACTATTTCTTTTCTAATAACAAGACACAACGAAAGATAAAAATTTTGAAAATAGTTCGTAAAACCTTAACATTGATTTTCTTATCTTGAAAGGATAATTTTTGTTCGATTTGTTTGAGACAACATGCTTATAAAATCATGTGTACAATCCATGAAATTTATTAAATATTTTGATATTTTATTACATCCAATAAATTTAAGTGAACAATTTGTTCTGACGGCAAGATTATATAGTAAAAAGTCTTCGTTTTACAACATCGTTGTTCCCTCACTATATCCTGTTCTTTGATGTCCTTTGTCATCATCTCTGAAAATAAAAAAAATAAAAATTTTAATAATTATGCATATTATTTTACTGAAAAGACTGAATCATTGGTCTGTGATTGATACATTTTCCTTTTCAATAGATTGATTGTTGTTTGCTTTATGTCCAGTGGCAAATATTTCATTCATTTTTAGAGTGAAAATATTAAATATTTAAGATTTATCAAAAATTTATGGCACAAGACAGTTTTCCTGCTATTTGCTGGTACTAGTGAAAATTCATCAAGAATGATGTCTGGAGGTATTGGGACATTGTTCAATATTATAAATCAAAATTTAATAAATCATATATTTAAAATACATTTTATCATTAACTCAGTGTATTTTTAAAAAAAAATCTATGAGGCATGTTCTTGTCTTGATCTATATTCATAAATAGATAATCTGAATGAGACAAGAATTTAATTTCTGAATTACAAAAAAATCATGCATAGATATCATGTAGATGAATAATAATTCTGATTTAAAAAAAACTTAAATAAGATATAAATATATATTTGCTATATCTTATAATGAGCATAATTGAGAATGAAAATAATCAATATATGTTCATCCACTACTCTACTGTACTAACATACTAATTCTGAACCTAATTTAGTTATAGACATGCTCGGGACTTACACAGAGTACCAATACTCTGATTTCATCTCATACACCGAGCCCCTACGAACACCCATACTAGGAGCAGTAGCTCCCTCTACAATTTCAACTTCCTGTACGTTTCCGTCGTCTGCTGTTTCCCCAGACACATACTCTACTTTGTATTTGCTTCTGTTAGAAAATCATAGCAGAAATGAAAAACGGTCAACAAGTAATTTTTGTAAGGTGCTGTTGCTTTTGATATATATAAAAAAATGTTGGCTAAAAACATATGAAATTTTGGATAACCTTAGATACTCCGTAACAACCAGAATTTTTGCCTTTTTTGATGATTTTTGTCAATTTCATCAAACTTTTGCATACCTATGTCGTCATAATAGTAAAATTACTGATGTATGTCTTTGATTTTAAACTTTTAATATAGTTTGTAAGGCAATGAAAAACTAATTTGAGAACTATGATAAAATGAGGTAAAAAAGGGCTCTAAGCATCACATATCCTTTCATCAAATTTTTCTTTTTTCACTACTACTGACTGCATGCTTACACAAAAACAGAGAATACACTTTTCTTTAGTTCATTTTTCTTTTAGTCCATATTTCAATACTTTCAGCAACTATTTTCTTATAAATGTAGACACTTACTCTTGATAGAGTGGATTTACTGCTGAAGCTACCCCTTCTGTGGCCCCTGTATGATGTGCTTGTACAGTTTCTCCTTCAAATGTCATGTTGATCTCTCCTAATTCTTTGACTGGTTCATCTGGTGGCACATACATGTTTAAACTCTGAATAAAACAATCAAATATATTTAATAATAAAACTTCTTTTTAAAGACACAGAAAATTAGTTAAATAATAAGGTTTTGAGATGTTATTCATTTTGGCAAAAATTATGCTGCTAGGTCGCAGTGTCCTTGTTAATGACATCTTAACCTATCAATAGCCATAACAGTAGTATACCCACAATGCAGCAGTATTTCTGAACTGGTCCATTGGAACTGAATTTACCTGACAATTTTTCATCAATGACAAAAATCTATCAAAAGTATATTTGAAATATTTCATACCTGTGTTTCATATTCTCTAAGGAAATCTGGTGGTTCCATAAACTCCGGATGATCATATGTTTCATAAGGTTTGTAGTTGATCATATATTTAGTGTATCTGTAAAGGAAAAACACATTTGTTTAGAGAGTAAGTATCAATGTATTGGTATGAATGTTCAGGTTTGGAATTCTGAGGAAAGTAGCAGTCTCAAATTATAGAAATTTAGACCCTTCCTATATACCATTTCATGAAACATAAGTATTCATTCTAAATCCTGTAACTGACCATTAACTTTGACTAAAGTATAATTTTCATGTGGTTTACATTACAAATATGACACTATATTAATCTTCTTTATTTCTAAAACATAAATATTCTAAATCCTGTAACTGACCATTAACTTTGACTAAAGTATAATTTTCATGTGGTTTACATTACCAATATGACACTATATTAATCTTCCTTATTTCTAAAACATAATTGCTGCAGGAACTATTTCCCTACCATTAAGAAATCTTTCTCTTATTCTTGTCTCAATTGCTTGAACATTTGAGTACAGACTTCAATTCACAGTTTGAGAACCTAAAGGACTATGGGTAATTTCATTGTTTGTATAATAAATGAAAAAAATGTCATATCATTGGCTGAATTTCCATTGTTTAGGACATTGTTAGCCAATGATAAAGTTTAGGTGTAAGATTTTGAAAATATTACCCAGAAGGCTTTGGATTCTGAAAAGGTGAATTATCACTAGAAAAAAAAAAATTTCTAGCTATTTTCAATATGGTTACCTTGACGATGTGAAGATAATAACGATTATTCCCACAATGCAAAGCAGGATGGAAATTGCTACCAAGGCGATGAGTGCTGCCCAAGGATCATCCAACCACCAAACATAAGATTTTGTTATTCTTGTCCTGACTGCCTGTGCATCTAAATATGGCGGACGAATGTTTTCAACTGTGACATCATCATCTTTAAGGATGTTACCGATTTCATTGATTTTGGTGCCAGTAAACAGGGTACCGTCATCAGTATTCTTAATCAGCTTGAACTGAGTATTGGGTCTAACCATTACAAAAGTTATGTCAGTTCTGAAAAGAAATAAACAAGAGAAAATGATGCGTTGCTCGATTTGTATATATTCAAAGAAATGATTTAACGATTAAAATATTGATGATAAACTGTTGGTGAACATTCTGTCTGTACCTCCTTTTTGTCACAGGTAAAATGCCGTTTTGATTCTGATACTGATTTTCATTGTGCAGAAAAATATTGCAAAGAAATTTCTTTTAAAAGAATGCATGTAATATTCCCAGCATTGATTTTGTCAACAATGTTTATAATTTTAACATTGTTCACTATTATTGACATTGTGTTAATAAATTTTACTTTGTTCACTTATAACTTACATTGTGTTGATAACTTCAACATTGTTCAATAATAACTTACACTGTGTTCATTGTTCAGAAATTTAACATGGTATTAACTTATAACTAACACTGTTTATAACTTTTACAGTTCTATTTATAACTTACGCTGTATTTATAACATTCAGATCTTCGTCTCTCTTTTTCTCAATATTATCTATCAACACAATATTTCCTGTATTGGCCTGCAGTTGTCTGAAAAATAGATGATGTCACATGGTAATAAATTGATACCGGTAAATATAATTTTCTTTTCAGCTCATCTTCAAACATATTAGAATATAAAAAAAATATGTAATGGTAATACACCATGTCTAGCTAACACTATCACATTTCCATGTTTCTTGAACTGTAAATACAGGGCTTATTTTAATAAGCTGACATCATAATAAAGATGAATAGCTTAGCATAGAATATTGCATCATCAATAGACCACTTTTGAGTGTGTTGCATTTCCGTCAAAAACTTTTAGTAAACATCATTCGTGTGTTTAGGGGCATCGTCATATCCTTCCCATGTTGAGGGAGCGATTAAAAAATATGATGCTATATTGCACGAAATTATTCGGCAAATTAATTAGGAAATTGTGATTAAGTACCTACGGAACAAACATTATTTCTAGTTTATCTTGCATAATGACGATCACAAAGACGCTTGATGAACTTTAACAAGAAAGTGGTCTATTGACATTGATTGCCTGAGAAAAATGTATGTAAACATTAAAAGTGGGTTATTATTTGAAACAATAGATTGAATTAGTCTACTTTTCAAGTTGATGTGACCACAACTTTATTGTAAACTATCTAAAACCAACACTTTATACCAATATGAGAAGGTCGAACAGGCGACAGACTGACTTAAAGACATAATGCCCTTATCTATCAAAGACATGGCATAACCTAAAGCAGGTGTGTACGATTATGAATGCCAAAAGGTCCAATAAAACAAATCACAAAATAAGACCAAAAGACATAAGAGAAAATGATAGAGTAGAAGATTAAAATCATCAATTCATTATCCAATATCAATGAATTATTAAATATAAAAACAGCATTTTTTAATATAAGAATGAGATGCATCTTTTATGGTAATTTCATAAAGTAGTTACTAAATGCTTTAGTACCATTTAAAATATATCAATACATTCCAAACTCTAAGTTTTGAAATATATATCAACAAAAAACAGAATATCTTACTGTCTAATTGATTCTTGTTTTGCAGTAGCACCTTCCACAGATAAACTTGCTACCAATATAAATCTGTGTATATCGAAAACTGTGTTAATCTGTAAGAAAAAACAAACACAATTATCATATCAGTATGCATTTAAAGGTAGATGTATAATAATTTATAAAAAATAGTAATACCTTATTTTTTATCATAAAAATCATTAATAGTATAGCCTTTTGTATGATAACAAATACTGATATATAAATATTATGCAGAACTATTAATTCTGATAGTACATTCTGAGGCAAAATTACTGAATGTCAGCTATTATTTTTCAGTCAAAGAAATAACAATTTTTCCAGTATTTTTCATGATATCAGGCTAATAAGACATATATATATATAGCCACTGTTCAACTATGATTGATGATCTTTTTTACGTTTTTGTGTTAGTTCTCTTTAATAAAGTTTTACTAGTATCTTACGTATAGTTTAGCTGTATCTGAAAGCTGATCTTCATATCGAGGAGCTTGGTCTCTAACTTCCAAATCATACACCATTGGTAAAGCATTAAAGTCTGTTGCGTCTGCTGAAAAATCGCTTTTCGTGCTAATGACCCCATCTGTTGTATCTATTTTAAAATTGGCACTGCTGCTAATGGAATAACTCAATTGTCCAAAGATACCCGCTTCATTATCTACAGCCTGGCAGAAAAGGGAAAAAGTCAAATTCAAGTTTGTTTGTTTCTTTTCCATTTCTTTTAATATAAGTTACGAAGAATAGTTTATTTTAGTATCTCCCCTTTCTTTCACTATTAGGTACATAAGAACATCTTTTGATTCTCCCCTTTCTTTCACTATTAGGTACATAAGAACATCTTTTGATTCTCCCCTTTCTTTCACTATTAGGTACATAAGAACATCTTTTGATTCTCCCCTTTCTTTCACTATTAGGTACATAAGAACATCTTTTGATTCTCCCCTTTCTTTCACTATTAGGTACATAAGAACATCTTTTGATTCTCCCCTTTTCTTTCACTATTAGGTACATAAGAACATCTTTTTATTCTCCCCTTTTCTTTCAATATAGGTTGCAAAGGACAGTCTTTTTTTCTCTCCCCTTACTTTCAATATAATATACAAAGTAAAATTGAGAATGGAAATAGGGAATGTGTCAAAGAGACAACAACCCGACCATAGATCAGACAACAGCCGAAGGCCACCAATGGGTCTTCAATGCAGCGAGAAACTCCCGCACCCGGAGGCGTCCTTCAGCTGGTCCCTAAACAAATATGTATACTAGTTCAGTGATAATGGACGCCATACTAAACAATAAATTATACACAAGAAACTAAAATTAAAAATGATACAAGACTAACTAAGGCCAGAGGCTCCTGACTTGGGACAGGCGCAAAAATGTGGCGGGGTTAAACATGTTTTTTGAGATCTCAACCCTCCCCCTATACCTCTAGCCAATGTAGAAAAAACAAACGTACAACAGTACGCACAGTAAATCTCAGTTCAAGAGAAGTCCGAGTCCGATGTCAGAATAGGAAACAAAAGAAAATAAACAAAATGACAATAATACATAAATAACAACAGACTACTAGCAGTTACTGACATGCCAGCTCCAGACCTCAATTAAACTGATTGAAAGATTATGTCTTCATCATATGAATATCAGGCACAATCCCTCCTGTTAGGGGTTTAGTATTATACCGTCATATAATATATGAGAAAAACATAACCTGTGTCATGCCAACAACTGGTTTCAGAATAAATATGTTTAATTCCGATGCAAAGACCTTATAAGTGAATCAATATTAAAGCCAAAATATGCAATCTTTAATGACCTGACAACAGTATCATAACTATATCCCTTCTTAATAAGTCTGTTTAAAGGTTTTGTTAGCTTTTGAGGTGAATACTGACATTTTTGTGCTTTGTAAAGAATATTACCATAAAAGATTGGATGTGAAATACCCGAAGGTATAAGATGTCTGCATGTTGAGTTATATTTACGAATGATGTCGTTATACTGATGATAAAATTGAGTAAATGTTTTGACTAGTTTATGATATCGAAAACCCTGGTGTAATAATTTTTCAGTAATACATAAATTTCTTTCGCTAAAATCTAATACATTGTTACATACACGAGCGAATCGTACAAGTTGAGATATATAAACACCATAAGATGGTGACAAGGGAACGTCATCATCTAAAAATGGATAATTAATGATAGGAAATGAAAAATCATCTCTTTTATCATAAATTTTTGTATTAAGCTTCCCGTTAATGATATAGATATCAAGATCGAGGAAAGGACAGTGGTCATTGTTAGTATTAGCTTTATTTAAAGTAAGTTCAACAGGATAAATTTCTTTAGTATACATACTGAAGTCGTCATTATTGAGAGCCAATATATCATCCAAATATCTAAAAGTATTGTTAAATTTTTGTATAAGATGTTGTTTCGATGGGTCTTTGCTGTTTTTAGTCATAAATTGTAACTCATAACAATACAAAAACAGGTTCGCAATAAGTGGTGCACAGTTAGTCCCCATTGGAATTCCGACAAGTTGACGATATACGGATTTCTCCAAAGCGAACAAAAATGTTATCAAGTAAAAATTCAAGGGCAGATATAGTATCAAAGCATGTCCAATTGACATAGCTCTTTTGTTTGTTGCTACTGAAAAATGACCTAAAAGAGTTTGAACATATGTATTCTCATTCCGATTTTTTAAATGCCCATTTAATTAGGTGTGTGAATTTTTTCTTAATAAGAATATGAGGCAAAGTGGTACATAGGGTAGAAAAATCAAAACTTTGAACAGATTCAAAATCACCAATATATGCATGCAATTTATCAAGTACTTCCAACGAGTTTTTGACACTCCAAAAGTAGTTAATTCCACTATTTTCAAAGGCCTTATTTGAACAAAGGACTATTTTTTAATTTTCTCCCCTTTCTTTAATATAAGCTAAAAATGCCAGTTTTTATTTTCTCCCCTTTCTTTCGGGACAGTTTTTCATTATCTCCCCTTTCTTTTAATATAAGTTAAAAAAAACACAAAAATTATCTTATCCTTACAAACAAATTCTGAACATGTCATGAGGCTATCTACTTAGATTTATTCCATTGCAATGTAAACAAGAGGAAATCTAATGTTGACAAACTCCCCATTATTTGGAAATGACAAAGTCCATGCATGTATTGCAATTGGAAAATATGGATTACGTTTTCAAGAACATTCTTAATACTGTACTTACCCTTATGACATTTGTCACCAATGAATCTGCCTTTGTGTCAGAAGTGACGATGGCAAAATATTTATCAGCAACATCTGCGTTACTATGAGATGGATAGACTGGGAAAATAAACTGTGGTGAGATATCGTTGACATCTATAACGTTAATGTGTACTACAGTCCTTGGCCAAGTATTCCATACTGAAAAAATAAATTAGTCATAAATTTACAAATCAAGATATACAGTTCTGAAAGTCAAATGAAAATTAATATAAAAATGTAATCAAGTTTTCTATAAGGTTATTGGAGAATTGCAGTAAATCCTTTCTTTGGTTCAGTGTAGAGAATAAATTTTCTTCTCCCAAAGAAATTGCTTATTTATTACTGAATTTGTTTTTTTTTGCTCTTATCTGAACCTTTTTTTTCTCTTCAAAAATTCTTTCCTTGGTACGACATAAAAAAAACCTAATGTATAAATACATACTGTAGATTTGTCTCTTTCTCCTGTTATTAAAATTATTAGAAGCCACATCTATAGTTAATCGGTATCGGTTCTTCTTTTCATAATCCAGATTTGATTGTAGAGTCAGATTACAAAACTTTGAGTATGTAGAAGGCCTGATGCTGAATAATGATTGAGATCCAAGGTTTTCATTTCCATCTGTAATTGTACAAAGCACTGTATTGACTCCCTGGTTCTCCACTCCCAGTGACGTTACTGAAAATGGAACTTGTACATTTTCTAGAATGTCGATGCTGTAAAAGATCAAATAAGAGAATAACAGCAATATTTTTTAGTGTTACAGATTAGAGATCTATTTGTTATGTATTTGAGATACTATAAATTGAGAAATTAATGCATGCATTAAATATTGGGAATTCTTGACCCCTGGCAAAAATGTGAAATCTTGTTAATGCGATTTAAAAATTGTTATGAAGGAAAATCATTAATTAAATTATGAATTCAAGTTTTTATTTCTATGAACCTAATACTCTCACATTTTTTGGGAAATAAATATTCTGGCCTGGTAATAACTGTAAATGAAAAATCTTACTCAAGACTAGATGAAAAAGAACATTCTGCGATACAAAATGCAGCCAATCACATGAAATAATTGTGTACAGAATTGAAAATAAATTTTCATGCAAAAAAAGTTCACGAGACGAGCAAAAGGTGAAAATGAATAATCAGTCAGAAAAAATCCCCCCCCCGTGAATATCAAATGTTCGCCCTCTCACCATATTCTGGCTGAGTAAATCCGTATTGTTCTTATATGTTTAAACTTACACATATTCTGGCCGCGTAAATCCTAATTGTCCTTCCTGCACGGCAGTATATGACAAATTAGCTATCAGTGTAGCATCACTACATTTCTCCTTCCAGCTCTTGTCGCAAACTCTGACAGTGGTCTATAATATATAGAATTTTTACGTAAGTCCGTGCAATTGTAACAGCAAAGATAAATATACTGTACAATTTTAAACGCTTAAGGTTTCTACAGAAAAAGCTATCAAAAGGCTGTAAGTTGCCTTCTAGAACCTTGCAAGTTGAATGTAGAAAAGAGTATAACTAGTAATCAAATAGCAATATTGTGTGCACCTTGTATGTAAATCAGGCAGCTCATATATACATATTGGGGACCGACCGTGCAAGACCCTAATGGGTAGTTAAGGTCGTTAAAAACCCCCCTCGTCGTCGTCAACATATTGGTTGTTCTTACATGCATAAAATATCTAACATAATGTTTTAAAGAAATCTGAATCTAACAAAATCATCAATGTACATGTGTAAATTTGCTGATACATATATAATATAGGCCTAGATCCAAGTGGAAAGCATCTCAAATATATGCCAGATATTCACATTCATTCAGCTTTCAATGCGTCTTATTTAATGCATTTTTTTGTTTAAGTTAAACAAGAAAGATGACATTTAAGCAATAATTGGACTTCAAAATAAAAGTAGATGATTTTCAACTTCTACTAGCGGTACATTATTTTTTAAAACTCTTTATGTTATTTAAATACAATTTTTATTAACTAGATCAGGGAAGATAAAAAAAAAATATGTACAGATTGATAAAATGAATTGATGCAAATAAGTTGGATGCTTTAAATATCGTTGAGAAAATAGTCCTGTTCATTTGAATTTTATCTAGAAACTTTGTTCTTTATAAAGTTAATAAATAGTGATCTTTGACCCCTTTTATTATACCTGGACTGATGCAGGTTTAGGATCTTGAAGATTTAATGGCTGTGCTATAAATACATCTCCAAGAGCAGAAACTCCAAAGTAACGGGAATAATCGGTGTCTTCTACCACAGAGAACTCAAACTGAGCATTAGGAGTCTGAAAATAAATATTTCTATGTTATATAAAAACAAAACTAATCAACAGACACAACTATTGTCAACAAATGTCTTAAAAAAAGCATATATTACCAATTTAGTTCTCAAAATTACTGAATGATACTCAAGTACACATTGACACTGCTATTTCTTGATCTTAAAGGAGCTTCAAGTTTCATAACATTCCATGAAGGTTTGATAAAGTTATTGATGTTTTAAAAAAGTTTGTCCACAGCTGAACCTAAATGTGGAAGCTGCTGACAACAACAGACTATGTTTGCTATGTCTTGCATGCTCAGAGAAACCAACCAGTAAGTCTATGGAAAAAGAAAAAGTTACAACAAACATTGCAAGTTAACCTTAACAATACCGGTACTTACATTGGCACTAAGTGGGATATTTATATCAAGATCTGTTGCTGGAAGCCTCTCTAGAACTGTTCCAGATTTCTGTTTATCAGAAGCTGATACTTTATATTCAGTCTGGTTGAATGTTGGTGCAAACTGATTTCTGACAATCGTAATAACAACACTGGCTGTGGCAGCCTTTGGCTGAGCTGAAACATCCTTTGCCACAATTGTTAACTGAAAAATAAAACACGAACTTTCTGAAATCATTTAGTTGAAAAGATCTGTATCTTTCTATATGTTTGAAGAGTAGGATCCAGGGGAAGGGGACAAGGAAAAACTTTTTGAAATCTTTACAACAGCTATAACTTTTCTTTCAATATGTTATAAGGGGTGGATCCGGTGGTGGTAAGGAGGCCATGGCTACCTTATGGCCAAACATTTTTTTTAACCTGAATACACAACTGATAATTTAATTTTTCTCAATACTGATTCTTCCAATAAAAGTTTTAAATCCAGTCTTGTTTTAGTTTTACTGTGAAAATTACACTTTCTTATTAAAATTGACATCTGGAATGTGTAACAGAAAAGGTAGAAAAAATGTTTGGTAGTTATAAATTATAGGGACTTTTCACCAAATCATTGATTTCTAGGAAAAGAGTTCTTAAATTCATTGAAACCATTGACAAATAAAGTAGAATACTGATTTCCATGCAACAAAATATGTGCAGAAATATTTCTAAACAAGGATAAAAAATTTTTTTTTAACTTACAGTGTATTACTATACTAAAATAGAATTCAATGTGTAGATGAATTGTATTGAAAACTCACCACACTATTCTCTCTCTATTTCTCTCTCTCTCTCCGGTGTTCAGACTGCTTTACTCTTTATCTTATATTTGTATATTAGGAAAAAAAAAAAAATTGCTTCCTAATAAAAAGATGTATTTGATTAGATAATATCAATAGATTTATATATTATATATTGTTATTATTTGTGTATATTATGTTGTAAATTGGAAGTTATAAATAATAAAAATTAAAAAAAAAAAAAAAACTTACAGTGTATTGGTTTGCTGATTCGTCTGTTGTCAAAGATCTCGAAAGGTAGATTTGACCGGACGTTTGACTAATTGTGAAGAATGGGAATTGTGATACAGGGTTTGTGGCGTTAATCTGGTAACGTAAAATTCCACTTGAACTAGTTGCACTAGTTACACTGTCTAAATCTTTAGCGGTAACAGTCGTCACGATGTCAGCATTAGGATGGTATTCTGATATCTGTACGTTATATCTATTGTTGTCAAAGGTTGGTCCATAAATATTTCTCCTGATATTGATAATCACTTTAGCGGAATCTGTCTGTGGTGAATTGGTTAGATCTTTTACATTCACTGTCAACTGAAAATAAAAAATAATTTACATTAAAAAGATAACTGTTATTTTACCCGATATATTATTGAATCTCCAACAGTAATTAAGTTTAAATTTTCGCAAAAGTATGAATAGAAAAAACTGATTGAACAACATGGTAAAATAAAAAAATAATTTATTCCCAGATTTCAAAATTCATAGTTTGCTGAAGAAATTCTTAATTTGTGTTTGTGCTGTATATGTAGTTACAGGTCTTACATTACAAATCAATGAAAAATAGGAATTACATTTGGTACTGGTATCTATGCATTATTTTTCATATAATTTTAATTTTGACACTACTCTATTGCTTTTTAACTTTTCCCAATTCTCAATTTTAATTGGGTATTGCTGTTAAACGAATCGTTAGTTGAACCATAATCAAGTTGATTCAAAGATGCAAAACAAAATTAAAGACCAAATTCTGAGAATTCAAACTCACATAACTAATTTTACAAAGTTAGAAAACATATCCTGGTATCAAAAAGAACAGAACATTTCATCATGTATTTATTTTAAGAAGGAAAACAGACCACTTTTGGTTGTATCAATATACAAGTACTTACAGTGTATTTAGATGCTTCATCATTGTAAAGATTAGCATTAGTAGAAATAGTTCCCGATGTTGGATCTATCTTGAAGTAGAAAGAGGCTGGCGGATCTTCTACAATAGAATACTCCAATGGATCCTGAAGTAGAAAAATAAGTATATCAAATTTTATTGGATGCATTTTTTTTACGTAAGTCAAGAAAACATATATGAGGGGCCTGATGGGGGGGGGGGGGGGGTGGTCTCAACATGATTCACGAGTTGATTTTTTTGTCAATCACGATTCACAGAAAATAAATTTCCATAATCACGGATCACGAAAATATAAAAAAAAATAATTCGGTAGAAAAACGGATCACAATAGCGAAAATGCGCCGATCATGAAGAACGAAAATAACCCATCAGGCCCCTCATATATGGGGCCCAAGGAAGGCAACTTGAATTTGCCACAATGAGTTGGTGGGAAATATTACGTTGTACAAGTTTAAAATGCATCCAAAAAATGGCTTCTATCAGTTGTTACTCTATTTTCAAAGTGCATTTCCTTGGTACCATGTATATTTTAATGGAACAGCTCTAAGTCAAGTTGAAGTGTACTGTTTCATGGCATCCAATGAATGAAAGCCTGTTTCAAATTATCTATATTTACATTATTTCATTTCATGTATTCTTACGCTTCAGATTTAACAGATACATTCTGCGCATATTTAAAACCTAAAAGAAAAAGTACACCAAAAATATTACAACTTAAGTAGTATCCTTGTTTACTGTTATCTGTGGTAATATAACTATTTATACTGCTTTATTTCCTAATTATAGTAACACAGCTTTATTTTGTGCAATGTCGATTTCATCATGGAACACGTTTTCCACAATCAGGGGTTCATTAAGGGATGAAAATAAGTTTGAAATTTGTGCAACAATTTAAATAGCTATCAATGTTTTAATTCAAGTTGCAGTTTAAAAACAATATTATGTCAATGTCATAAAAATATAAACTTTTTTGTATTCGGCACAAAACTGGGGAAGGGCTTGGTAAAACCTCGCTCTTCCCCAGTTTCTCAGCCTCATACAAAAAAGTTTATATTTTCCTGACATTGACCATTGACCTAATATTGTATATCTATCTTATGCCAGTCTTTTGAGTATATCATTGTTGAGTTGTGTATTTATTTGGTAATATGTTCAGATTGCCACTATCCCTAGCAACAATATGGAGGATACTACTGTTTATTGTTATCCATGGTAAGTTATCTCCCGTTTTGTTTGTCCTTGGAGGATATCATTATCGAGTGGTGCAGTTATTAATGGTAAACCATTGTATAAATATTGTTTTTATTTGAAGCCTGTACTTGAATTATATCATTGGTGGGTTGATTACTGTTTTTATTAAAAAAAAAAAAAGGGGGGGGAAGTAGAACTTCTCAAAGTGACAAGAAAAAAAAAAAAAAAAAACACAAACTTTTTTAGGCTTAAGATTGGAAATTAGTCAGCATCCTCTTTCATTTACTTTTTCAATATTTTTTATTTATTCATTTAAAAATAAATTTTATTTTTGTCCCCCCCCTCCACCCTGCTCTAAGCCCTTTAATATAAACTTACATTGTCATTATCTCTAGCCTGTACTGTGAGGATATTAGTATTGATGGCTGTACTTTCATTGATTGTAATCTCATACTGACTCTGTATGAACTGTGGTGCTGATGGATTTCTCTCAATCATGATTGTAACAGGAATACTGCTCTGTTTCTTTGGAACACCTCCATCCTGTGCTATTACTACAAACTATTTAGAAAAAACAAAAACAAAGCTATTATCATAGCAATGCAGGAATAAAATGTCATGACTGTAAATTTGTTTAAAGAACTAATAATACCTTGTTCTAGGGGAGCCCTTTAGGATATATTGGTCAGCTTTACTATTTTTTAAGAAATCTGCACAATCTGAGCGATTTATATTACACTTATATTTATTATTATAGCTTTATAAACATACAATTTTTTGGAAGTTCAATGGAACAATGAATATTAAAACGTTTTTGGCCACCAAATTAAATGATTTAATTCTGATTCCAAACAAGACCCAAAATATGTATTTACCTGCAAAGAAATAAATTTTTTAAATAAATTTTACCTTGTACTGTTTGAGATTATCTCCCCTTAGATTGTTGATGGTCAGTATTTCACCATTTGATGGGTTAATGTAGAAATAGTCTGCTCCATATGGTGGTACTGTATCTTGTGTACTGAACTTGTATGTTAGTTTACCATTTTCTCCCTATAAAAAAAATATATGAACAGCATATTTTCTAAAACAATTTACAATACTGTGTGTCTACAAGTCAAAAGTAAATAAAAATTCTATGGTACCGTTTCTCTTCAAGTCATCTATCTTTTATAGCTTGAAACTCTCTCTGAAAATTTCCAAGTATTATTTTTCATTCTCTGCTCCTGATTTTTGATTTTTTAGTGGAAACTAATGACGTCAGCAAGTAATGCGAAAACAATACAGAAAGTTTCATTTAAAAAAAATCAAATGTCATAAAAAAACAGTTTAAGATAATTTGTAGTTTCAGAAATTAATAAACATTGATATCAATCACATCAGAAACAATATTGAAGACTTCAACAAGAAAATATTTCCATTTCAGCGTGTTTAAATCAAAAAACATATTAGGAAATGGCAAATACAGAAATACATACCTCATCATCATCAGTGGCATTGACCTTTCCTACCAGGGTCAGTGGATCTGCATCCTCGTTAATTGTAAAGACAGCTGCCCCATGAGTGAATCGTGGATCATTAGGGTTTCTGATAACTGTTATCCTGACAATGGCTTCAGCATATTGGGCTGGATCCTTCTGACGATAACCCACAATTCTTACCTAAATAATCATAAAAAGGTATTTTAGTTTTTATCCCTAATAATTCTAAAAGGTAAAATAATCAATGTATGTACTTTCTACATTTAAATTATAAATTACAATTAATATCTTTTGAGGTATTTTCTCTAAAATATAATTTGCCAAACACATTCTAAAATGAGCTGTGACATAAATGATGTTTTTTTTTTATTTTCTACATGTTCATTCTATTTTAATGTAAGCATAGATGTTTCTAACTTGAAAAAAAAAAAAAAAAACTCATACAACACAAATTTATAGTACTCTAAGGTACATATATGTTTAACTTACAACACAAGTGAGTGCTATAAACATGTACAACTTCCAAGTCAAGTTTTTTAAAAACATAACCTGTATAATTTGTAAAAAAGGTAACAGGATTTATCAAAAATATCATACAGTACAGACCATACAAACTTCTAACACCCAACTCCTCTGAGTGAAAAAAAAAAGTACAATCAAACACTAACAACATGTCCAGGGCTCTCGGTCATAAAACTTTACTTAGTACTCCGAGTACAAAATTTGTGCTCGAAACACCAAATCCATTATTTTGCTTGGTCGGATTCTGAGTCTGAATACAATAATTTTACTCAAAATGTTTATGACCGCAAGGCCAGATGTATGTCAAACTTACGACATAGGACGGTGATCTATTGTCATCCTCTATCAACAGTTTGTTGAGGGTAATAGTTGCAGCATTCCCTATCTTAGTAACATTGAAGAATGTCTTCGCCAAACCATCTCCTCTCATATCATATATAACAACACTCTGTAATAAACAATGATTAATTTTATACTTACTGTGTACATAGGTCCTATTATCAATAAAAATTTGAAAACTGTGGATTTATTATTATGCGTATCAATTTCGTGTGGATTGAAGGAAAAGTGTAATTTTGTAGATTCCTTATTTCATGGTTTGGTCCATAGATTATCTTCATACATGCTGTGCGCATATGTCTTATTGTCAATGAAAGATTCAATACTGTGGATTCAATTTTATTCATGTATATCAATTCTGTATGGATTGACAGAAAAAGTGTATATTCGTAGATACCTGATTTTGAAGTTTGGTCGAAGTCTGCACATAAGCCTTAAGCAGATTTGTACTTTAATGAAAATTTTGTGGTTCACCTTTAACCCTGAAAACCACAAAAATTGGTATCCCACGAATAAAAATGAATGCACACTTTTCCACAGGAGTTATCTAATGGTCACTTCAATTTTACTTTTGATGTGTATTAATGTAACAAGTAACATATGAAAAAAACAATTAACAGTTTGCATAAATTTTTATACATTAAGCAGATTTAAGAATGAAAATTGAGTCATAGAAATTTTTTCTTATATTTCTATTGAATAAAAGATTGATTGATGTATTGCTTGTCAGTGTTTACCACCACTTTCAGCACTATTGGCTATATTGATGAAGCCAGCTTTTATAGGTGGAGGAAGCTGGAGAGAACCACAACCTTCCGCGGCAAACTGGCAAAAACAAAAGATTTTGTATTCATATAGAAGCACAAACTGATATAGCATTATATAAGTACACTTACGCCAGCCAGTGGATCGTTAGCAGTAATGGCAAATACTGTATCACCAATATTAAAATCACTTTCTCTAACAGTGAGGTCATATTCTGACTTGTCAAAGCTAATATCACCGATTCTCTGAATGGTAATTCTGACAGTAGTGGTATCAGTTTTAGCTGGTATTCCTTTGTCTCTTACTCCAACAGTGAACTACAATGTGAAAAATAAAACAGAGTAGTAAAAGCAGAAACCACTGCATTAGAAATTATATAGAGTTATTTCATGGAACAATATATAATCAGTTTCCTTTATATGTACCTATCAGAAAGTTAAAAGAAACTATTGATATCATGCATTTAACTCACAGTGAAGTGTTGACTAGCTGTGTTTATTATGAATGGAAACTTCATGAGTTAAACAAAATGTGTGTTTCATATGACATAAAAGAATATATTTAAATATTAAAAGAATAACTTGCTTACCGTTTGAACTTCTTGTCCATCAGGAACTTCTGTCAGTGGGATACGGGCTGAAATAGATCCATTAACCGAATTGATCTGAAATATTCTGCTCTGAGCCTCTGGTCCAACAAAGTAATACTCAATCGCTCCATTTACAGGGTCCTGAAGTGCAATAAACAGCTTAATTATATAGCAACATAACATTTCCCACAGAACATAATGAAAAATTTGCAACTATTGCAAAATTCTATGATATTGTACTAGTGCAAAAATATCTTCAGACTATTGACTTAATCAGTGACAAAAATTTGTTTGAAGCAGATTTTCAAGCTTTGTTATACAATAAAATCGTTATTCCATGAGTATTGCTGAATATTATCCCTTATAAAATACATCTTTACCCACAATGCTTTAGTAGACAATTATACTTACAGGCCTATCATTATCAACAGCCTGTACTCTAATGATGTTCTCAAACAGTTGAACAGACTCTGTTGTAGAAACAGCGTAACCTCCTGTCGGCTCAACAAAAGATGGGGCTGTGTTTCTACTGACAGTCACTGTCACTACTGCTGTTGCACTCTTAGGACTGGCAGTTGTGTCTTTGGCAATTACGTTGAACTAAAAAAGGTATAATAGTATTTAGTATAAGAACTATATTTTGGAAATAAATTCAGATGCTTTTCAGCACAATAAAACATTTTTCATTAAATTGAATAATAATACTGTAAATTCAGAAATTATTGGGTGCATTTATTATTGCGATTTGGGAAAATCTGCATACAGATATATGCATCAGATATCAGAATGCGAGTTATCATTATTGCCATCCTCACCTAGTCGCATTATTCGCATCAATAAAAACCTTGCAATAATTTCTGAATTTACAGTAATACATAACTATTTTACAGAACCATATTTATGTCATGAATTAAGTTCTTATTATTTTTAAATTTCCAATTCATCAATTTACACAGAAAAAAAGAACTGTAAATTAAAAAAAAAAATCTCTCTATAAAAAAGGAAGATAAAAATGGAAGACATGCATAATATATAAGAATTTTTTATACTTTAACAAACTAGTTATTAACTTACAGAATAAGATGTTGGTTGAGGTGTGTTTGTATCCTCAGACATTCTCTTATTGATTGTGATGAGACCAGAGTATGGATCAAAAGTGAAGTAATCATTTGTTGGTATGTGTATATACTTACAGAATAAGATGTTGGTTGAGGTGTGTTTGTATCCTCAGACATTCTCTTATTGATTGTGATGAGACCAGAGTATGGATCAATGGTGAAGTAATCATTTGTTGGTTCAATGGAAAACACTTTGTCTTTTTCAGGAGACTGAAATGAACAACAAATATCAATTTAATATACAATTACGATATAAATATATAAACAAAAATCAATATCCTATTAGTCACACAGCTCTGAATAAACAACATCTTTCATGGTCTCCTGCTCACATTAAGTGTGAGAGGTTTTGGGTTTTGATCATCGACTGGGGCAAACCAAATACTACTTTTTTTTTACGTAAAATATTTTTAGCAACTATAATAAAATAAAAATTAATAAACAAAATATTAATAAACAAAATAATAAAAATCTCAATTCAATCCTACCACAATATGCTCATTTAACCTTTTGAGAGAGAAAAAAAAGAAGAACAAAAGTCTTCAAAAACCACTCATTTAGAGTAAAAAAATTTAAAACTCAAACTTACAGTTAAATCTCCGTCAGTAGCCTGGACAGTTACTACAGATGTTCCTATACCATCATAATCGTTTCTGAAGGCTGAATAAGATGTTGGTATGAATACTGGTCCATTCTGGTTCCTAATAACTGTGATCTGGACTGTAGCATAGGCTTTGTTATCAGGCTCTAAGGTGTCATAGGCTTCAACTAGCAGCTGTAATAGAGTTCAAATCCATAGAAAATACACATTTAGAGATTCAAGGTTGTTTAAGATAGCACACATCCCCTTCCCCAATCCTTTAATAACAGCGAGCACCAAGAAAAAACAGGAAATCTAAATCATTTAAAAATTTGACATATCTTAAAATTTTTGTGTTAAAAATACTTGATACATGAAGAAATTATTGTTACATTTTTCAAGGCACCATAAAATAGTTTCAAGACAGTCTAAATTTCTTGCATATGGTTAGCTTTTCAGCCTTTTATAAAGACATGTACACATGAACATTTATATTTTCTGACAATATACATACTGTGTATTCAATATCATTCGTGGAATACAAATTTTTGTGGATTTTGTTGGTATAGGTGAACCATGATTTTCGATAATCAATGAAGTATACATTTTCTATAGGCTTGTATGCAGATTTTGGCAAAACCATGAAATCAAATATCCTCAATAATAAAAATTTTCATCAATCCACGAAAATTGGTACCCATGAAAATATATGAATCAACGGTATATCTATCTACTTACAACATATATTGGGTTGGTATCTGGATTATCATATAGACTTTTCTTTAATGATATCTGCCCGCTAACTGTATTTAAACGGAAGTAGTCTGTACCAGGTTGGAAGCCTATCAAACCGTAACGTATCTGACCCTAAAATTAAATAAACAATAATTATTGTTAGATAGTTATTTACACTGTTTTGAAAGACACACTATATGGTTGGTAAGTGTAAATTTCATAAATTTCAATTTTTGTAGTATGGCTTTAACTGTGATACCCGAGAAATAAGCTTTCAAAGAGTAAATTTGAATATTATAGAATGTATTTATCTTTGTTCATCATCACATATAGACCTTATCGCTATTTGGAAATCTGTGCCGCTTGACCTGAGAATCTACGCCTCTTGAACTATTGACGTCATACAACAATCACTTTTCCATTGTGGCGTCAGATGTTTTCTTTTATGACGTCAAAATTTTACGGGAACCTTTGTGATGTCCAGTAATGGTGGACAAATAGCAATAAGGTGTATTGACTCATATCTACCAACATTTCAAAATCTCCATTGGGGGTTTAAGCGCAATATTGTCACAAGTGTTTTTAATCTACTTCTATATTGTTTGAATGAGTATGTATGTGCTTATATACCCTTTTAACTCATTTGAATGCGTTTTAAGGTGTTTAGTTTATATAATAAAGAATTTCAAAATTAAGGTCAACATCTCTTGTGGGGGATATCCCCCATATATCTGGATAGTTGGCAGGTCTGTTGACAGAAATTTCAAAATTAACAACGTGACTTGGACATATTTGTTATTGACATGTGCATGAATAGTTTTAAATAATATGAACCAAAGCAAAACAAATTTTTCAAATTAATAAAAACATCATATAAATGTCTGAATTTTTTTGTCTATTTCTTAGTTAACATAAGTAACCATATAAATTATTACACAAAAAAATACATACTACTACTAGAGGGATGTTTAACCACCTTGACTACCCATATGGGGTTTGTGCGGTCGGTTAAGCAAAATACATAGAATATAACTCAGGACCAGTCATAACGGAACAAATATTTATCCAATCACATCACAGAATTTATTTTCAAGTGATTTCTTACTTTTTAAATGTTAAAATCCAAGACTCACCACAATAATGAAATAAGTGAAATTATAATTTTTGCTCAAAATATTACATTTTAACATATATAAATCAAATAAACTGATCGCACACAAAAATTACCTGTATATCACTGTCAGTAGCTTGCACCGTTTCCACGGTTGCATTGACTGCATGGCTTATAAATATCTGTCTCTGGTAGTCAGACAAAGTAAAAGTAGGTGGTCCCTGTAGATGTGTAACGGTAATACGAACTGTAGCCTCAACAGTCTGTACAGGAAGTCTGTTGTCAGAGGCTTGTACTTTGAACTGAAATTGTAAATTGTTGATAATATTTCAAAGGGATTACCATAGTTACCAAACTTTTGAAGTAGTTTGTAGGGTCATGACCCAACATATTGGATTCAAATGTTCAGTCATAATTGACTGGTCCTTATATTGAGTACCTAATTATTCCAACAATCTGATAAGTTTTTTATTATTAAAAATTAATTCTTTTTTTCTGGTTTTTGTTATAGCAAACGAGACAAACATAAAAGAGGGTTTTGGATGGGGGGAGGGGTTCTTCATTTCTTAATTCTTCAACTTTTTAGACCATTTTTCTCTGTTCTTTGTATTTCAGCACCCTATTATCCTCTGTTCTTTATCTGTTTTGCCTATTTTTCTTTTTTTCTTGCCCTTCAAGTATTCTGCGCATTTTGCTAATAATTCTTTATTCTGTAAGAGCTTCATAAAATCAAAGTTTGTTTTGTATATGTTTTCCAGGTTTCATTCGTCCATGTTACTATAGAAATTAATTGATCAACATAATATTTACGTGTTATTAAGCAATTCTTGATTCAAATCTATTCATTAAAAGCTGTAGAAGATTTTGTTTCGACAAACCTTCACAATTTTAGAATTCATTTAGTCAATGTTTTGCTTAAAAGAAACCCCAACTGATAATACATCTGCACATGGTATGAAATAATTCTGTCAATTTGATCAAAATTCATGAAATATTTAGTCTCATTGATCTAAATTCGAGAAATATTTTGTCAAGTTGATCTAAATTCGTGAAATTTTCTGCAAAGTTGACCTAAACTCGTAGAAATATTTTGTCAAGTTGATCTTAATTCGTGAAATATTTTGTCACCTATCAAATTGATTTTAGTAGATCTTGCATTTAAAAGCCTTCCTATATGTAGAAAGTCCATACTTAATAGTAATTTCAAAATAAATTTACCTCAAATTGTGTTGGTGTTCCTGATATTTCTAATGATTTCACAAGGTATATTCCACCATTTGATTGGTGCACAAGGAAATATGATTTATCCTGCGCAGTTCCCATGCTTGTGAATGTCACTTTATCCTATGAATAAATTAAAAAAAAATTCTGTGATCACAGACTAGTCACCTTTAATACATGTGTGTTATATCTGAATTTTGGCACTTGAAATTAATTCAAGATGTGTTCTCAAAGAATATTAAGTTTTGTTAAAATCCAAGCATGATTTATTTTGTCGGCAATTTCATAAACGGTCAAAAAACCTATAAGTTTGGACACACAGAATCAATTTGGAATTAAGCGTTAAAAGATGTGTCTCAAAATTTGTGTTTTTGAACAAAAAGTAAGTTTATATCAAAAAATATTCTTTTTAGATTTACACACAATTCTGTGAATAGAAATGTAAACCTTTATGTCATATTCCATACAAATGACCTACCCCATCGGTATCAGGAGCTTGTAGTTGTATTACAGAGTCACCAACTTGATGATTTGCACGTAAAACTTTGGTGTACAAGGATGTGCTGAAGATTGGTCCTGATGGATTACGATCAACGTTAATAGTCAGGATACCAGTAGCTGGATTGTTAGGCCAGTCAGGATCTATAACTTCAACTTCAACCTTTAACATAGTTCAAAAAATTTCTTCAAATATTTGTTAAGAAGCATCAAAGATTACATAATTTTTCCTAGTAACAAGGTTTTAGAAAATATGATAAATTCGAGAATCAATTTCAAGAGAGTATTGAAGAAAGTCAATCACATTTTCATATTTCTTTACCATAGGTGATATGCACACAACAAAATTCAACAAAGCTTTCATTTTTTTGCACCACATAGAAGTGGTAACAGCTTTGAAATTTTCCAAATGAAATATTTACAAAATCAAAATGATAACTGAAACATTGCCATTTGGAATATCTGAAACTACAAATTTGAACCAACTGCACCTTGTACTGCATTCTCTGGAGGCCATCAGACAGAGGTCGGTTCCTGATCTGTATCTGGCCATTAGCTGAATTAATCTTGAAGAATGTCTGAGCTACAGGATCACCGATTATTCTATACTGCAATGGGTAGTTAGCCTAGAAAAACATAATATAAATTGATGTGTATTCATTATTTTTGAATTGCTTTATCAGAAGGTAATTTTGATTTCTACAAATTACATAGAGATTGTGTCAAGCTCTGATGTTTAAATATCTAAAAAGGAATTTTGATTATTTAATAATACATTTCTAATTATTTTTGTTTTCAATAATATGGATTATTAGTTATCCTTTGTCTGAAGGTACTGTTTCTGTACAAAATACATAGCTTTTGACAGTGTCAAGCTTTGATAAAATAAAAAAATATCTGTGCAAGGAAATACTGGTCATTATTTTATTTTATCATTTTTTATGTTTTGTTAACATAATTAAGACAAAAATGGATTTTATTTTGCATTTTTTCAAAAAGCAGTTAATGTAACTAAATACAAATACATTTGACAAAAAAAAAATCTTGTTATTGTGGATTTATTTATTTTCATGGGTATCAATTTTCCTGGATTGATGGAAATTTGTATTTTTTGTAAGTCTGCATAATTATGAGCCTATGAAAAGTTGATATATTTAAACATTTAAATTCATGGTTAAAGTTTACCCACAAAATCCACGAAAATTAATGAATCCACATTATAGGATTTTGATGAATCCACATTGTAGGATTTTGATGAATCCACATTATAGGATTTTGGTAAAGGATGTTGATCTCTGAGATGTCTTTTTGTGTTATTGAATTAACTTTAAAAAAAATCCTCAGTCTATTCATCTTAAAAAAAAAACCTTTACAATTTTAAATGCAATGGCGACAATACCATACTAACCGGTTTGTCCTGATCTCTCCCATTAACAGTAAAAATGGCTTGATCAACCTGGACACCTTCACTAATATTGACAGTAGCTGGTAGATTGGCAATTGTTGGTTTATTTATGTCTCTGGGTACATTAATGATGACCAGTTTGTTGTCTGTTCGTGGATTTGGTTTTCCATTATCTGTCACTTGTATTGTTACCTGTAATTGGTCAATTGTTCTATGAATTGTGTAGAAGATGAGTATCATTTTGTATTAGTATGCCCTGCTTTAAGAGCTTTGAGGTTACAATTTTTACTTAAATGTTATTGTTCATGGCAAAATAGTAGAAAACTTGTATTTCTTTTGCAAGCTAGCTCAAAGATTGCCAGTCAAGGTCGTTAAAAACTTCCATTTGTTGAAGATTGTAACCGAAAAGGCGAAAATTTCTAAATGTGGCATGAAAGCCAAGATCACAAATTATAATTGTATAACAGTCATTTCTGTTTTTCCTATGACTTTATTATGTTGTTCTCTGGTTACTGTCAATATTGTCACTATATATATATTATTTTATTCTGCTATAGCATTGTTTGCTTCAATAAATATTCACACATTCAGTCAATTCAAAATCAGATTTCTTTTTATAAAGACAAAAATTGTGTGATTTCAACAAATGATTGGATTTTCTTAATATTTGTAAACTGAATGTCTTAACTATTTAACAATCTGTTACATATAGTCACTGGGCATAGCTTTGTTTGTATCAATAACACCATGCTTCTGTAGAATCAAATACCATAGTAAATGAGTTAAATGTTATGCCCCTTTTCTATTAAATCAACATAAAACTCACCCTATATTCTGTAGTCTGATCTGGATCACCCTGTAGGCTTGTCTTCAGACTAAGTACACAGGTCTTAGGATCAACTTTAAAGTACTGCTGGGCTTTGGCATTTCCAAAAATTGAACATTCAAGATCAGTCTAAAAGATGAAAAGAAATTTTATCAAAGAATTATTATTTGACTAGTGTCACTGGTAGTGCCTGACCTACTAAAATGGATAGTAAATTCCTTTTTTAGCGTAACATGCACAATCTTGACTTACATAATTTGTGCCTGTTTGTTTAATTCAGGTCACTAATTTTATGAAAATAAGTAGTAAATGGGTCTTTTGGTGTTACACGGTTTATTTTTTTAATTTACAAGTTCACAATTTTAGAAGGGTTATTCATCTTTTTTGTTCAAATAAAAATGAAAAAGCAGACTTCTTTCCAAAATATTGAAAAGTTATATTTTTACACTTTACATAGAAAAAAAAATAAATGAAGTTAAAAAAAACAAACTTAAAATGTTTCACATCTTACTGTTACCCTAGATGTCTTAACGTTAATCCTAAGTGTGATAATGTTTCATTATCATAGTTAAAAGGTGAATGTTTACATGAAGACAAAATACATACACTATCTGGATCTGACACATTGTGTGTCATGGACCAGAAGTTTGGATCAGTGTCAGGTGGAAGAGTGATGGTCTCTTGGTCTGGTTGGAACTGTGGTCCATTTAAGTTTCTAGCTACACTAATGGCAACATTTGCTGTAGTCCTTAAGAGTGGTTTTTGGTTGTCATAGGCAACAACTTTCAGCTAAAAATATTTGTAAATATAAAACTTATATATTTCAGAAATTCAAAGTTATTTTCTTGTAATATCCATTAAACTTCAATACAATTTAATTAAGCAATAGGGACATGAAAGTCCTAACTTAGCCTAAATATTGTGCCAATACAAAAGTGAGTAACTGGATCCATTACTGTTATCATATACATGTAACTTCAAGTTAAGTGGGGTAAACAAAAAAAAAAAACAATTGACTTTTTTATAAATTCAATATGAGGATATCTTGGAAACAACTTCATATTTTGTGAAAATAGGTAATTTGATACTTTATATATCTACAAATAGTTTGTGTTTCTCAAATGTGTCAATTTTTCCTTAAAGCAAATATGCATAATATTTTCTCTCTTTTTTCAACATTTTTACGATTCTCAGTAATTTCTGCCTTTCTGTTTATATCAAAGATAGTTACCTCTTACTGTCATTGATTCTAACAACTATAAATATACCCAAAGATTCAGACTTAATGTCAGTTGAACGAACATGAGAAATTCCAACAAACAGTACTTACAATATAACTGAGAGATTTTGTAGCATCGTTACGTAGATCTTGGATGATCTTAACCTGCCCAGTGCTGCTGTTTACTCCAAAGAAGTATGGTGACAATAAATCTCCTGCAACTTCATATACAATGGAACCCTGTCAAAAAAAACAACATGTCTAGAAGAGTGCAGATGACAAATTTTAAATCTGTCTTAATTCCCATAGGGAATTTCAATAGAAATTAACTACAGTCAAACCAGCCTATAACAGTCACTTTCGGAAAAATATATGAGTTCAGTATCTAAGCCAAAATGAAAATCAGAACCTGTTTACATAGAGATCACTCAATAGGAAGTGAATTATTGATCATTATTGAATTCCTCGTGTTCCACTCCTTTCAGTTTCAATTAAAAACAGTATTATTTCTGCACAAATATTAACATATTTCGAATGATTTCTTCAAATTTACAACGGAGGAATTTTATTTTACAGCTCAAATAAAACGATAACTCTACCAATTCAATTAAACATACCAAAGTTGGAGTTCTAGATGCTTGGACTTGAACAACATCTTTTCCTACAGGATCGTCCTCTCTCAAGTTGGCTGTATATGATGGTATACTGAATCCTGGGTAATTCAACCGATTTACACCAATCTGGACAGTTGTTGTGGAAATTTTGGGATTAGGTTTTCCATTATCAGAGACACTTATCTGGCACTGAAATTCAGAAGAGGTGATAACATTGTAAAAAATATAGAAATGTTACAATACATACAAAAATTAAAAAAAAAAAAAAAAAAATGAACCAGATCAAAAACTAGAACACTGACATCAATCTCTAAAAGGATAATTTTCTACTATTTACATGTACCTGTTCTTTTTTTTTCAAAACTAAATTTCAAAAATGGCTTAAAAATATGAATTTACATATTAAAACTGAATACATAGATTTACTTGTTAACTACAAATGTAAGAGATAAAACATCACAAGTAAGAATATAATATGTTAATGAAAATGATATTGTTGAAAATAGAGTTATTGAAAATAACAAAGATCAGGTTAATTCAAACCTCTAAAAGTCTAAGCTAGGAAATGATTCATTTGGCTTTTACGTATAACATATATCTATTACTGCCTCTAGATTTCTGTTTGTCATTTGTGTCGTTGGGTTGCTGTAATGTTGACATGTACCCCACATCTCCTTTTAATCATAAAAAAGATGATCTTAAAAATTATTAAAAATTACTTACAGTAAAGCTAGTATCAGATGTAGTCCTAAGATCTTTACCCAGATATAGATCACCAGTACTTGGTATAATATAGAATACATCTTGACATCTATTGGTACCAGTTATCGTGAATACCAGGTTGTCCTGCAATATAAAGGTACCAGATATTCATTTACAATGGAAATGAAAGTTTATAAAGATAAGCTATTCATTATGTAACCTAAGCAATATAGCTAAAAGAATGTGAAATTACTCAAGTTAATTCTTTCCTTTCTATAACAGAAACAAACAAATACTGTGGATTCATTTATTTTCGTGGGTACCAATTTTCGTGGATTGAAGAAAACTTGCATTTTCGTGGATATTTAATTTCGTGGTTTCGGCAAAGTCTGCATATTTCATTTAGGAAATTTGTAATTCGTTGAACATTTAATTTCGTGGTTCACCTGTACCCACGAAATCCACGAAAATTGGTATCCAACGAATATTAATGAATCCACAGTATATCATTGATTGATTAATTGTTGCTGTTTAAAGCCAATTTGAGCACTCTTGGCTATATTGTGGTGGGCAGTTACTGGTGGAGGAAGCCGTAGTGCCCAAGACAAACCCCAACCATAATATAAAGAGAATCTAATGTTTCAAAGGACAAGGTAGATTTTAGGGCTTATTTGACCCTGTAAATTCACCAAAAATAAAGGATTGCCTGATGTCATTACTTCTCAAATTTTTAAAGCATCTGACTTAAAGCTTTTACCAAAATGTGACTACTGGCCAGGCTGTGATGACACAATTTGACTGTGACATCTTTATAGTGCCGTCATAAACAAGATTTAATACACTTACCCCGTCTTTATCTGTTGCATTCAGTTTGACAACCTTGTAACCAAGATTTTCATCGTCGTCTACAGAAACAGTTACAGTTGGTGGAGAAATTACAGGTGGGTTATCATTCCTGCTCACTGTGATTGGAATGTTTGTTTCACTGTAAATTTCTGGAGTGTATCTGTCGAAAGCTCTTACCGTAAGCTGTAGGAAAGAAATTGAAAAAATTTACACATATTTAAAGATTACAGTTTAATTTTATTTAGAAATGGTGCATAATACCGACAGTGCAGGGGTTCATACACCTCAATCAGAAAAACTGAGTCTTATTTGTTATCACAAGGGTTTCCTATGATTTGTCCCAAAAATAGTGCACCACACTGTAAAAAACTCTTTTTTAATTTGCATTTATTGTTCAAAAGAAATGCACTACAAATTGACCAGGCCATCTATTGAATTTTATTCATATTTCACTTACAGTATATGTTATGGAATTATCAGTTTACAGGTTATTTGTACAATGATCATGTGACTTACAGTATATGTTAAGGAATTATCAGTTGTCAGGTTATTTTGTACATTGATCATGTGACTTACAGTATATGTTAAGGAAATATCCAGTCAGGTTATTTTGTACAGTGATCATGTGACTTACAGTATATGTTAAGGAATTATCAGTTGTCAGGCTATTTTGTACATTGATCATGTGACTTACAGTATATGTTAAGGAATTATCAGTTGTCAGGTTATTTTGTACATTGATCATGTGACTTACAGTATATGTTAAGGAATCATCTGGTGTCATGTTATTTCATACAATGATCATGTGACTTACAGAATATATGCTAAGGAATCATCTGTTGTCAGGTTACTTTAAACAAGGATCATGTGACTTACAGTTTCGTTAAGGAATCATCAGTTGTCAAGTTATTTTGTACATTGATCATGTGACTTATATTTTATGTTAATGAATCATCCCTTGGCAGGTTATTTCATACAATGATCATGTGACTTACAGTATATGTTAAGGAATCATCCGTTGTCAAGTTATTTCGAACAGTGATCAGTCCTGTGTTTTCATCTATCTTAAAATAGTATGGTGCTGGTGGCTTTCCAACGATAACATAAGTAATATTGGCATTTGGTGCAGAAGATGGAGGATTAGCTGCAACTGTGACCTGTGGGGTTCCAATGGGAGTATCTTCTCTAAGACTGATGGAGTAAGGTCCTCCAAAGGTTGGTGGAGGCACACGTGTGATGGAGAAGGTTACAGTTGTGTCTGTATGTTTAGATGGATTACCAGAGTCAGTAGCTCTTACAGTCATCTGAAATATATTTATACAAATAGTGTACTATCAAATTTAGCAGACGTTAAGTTAATACATGAATCCTATCAAAAAATACCTTCCTGTAAAATCAAAGAATACCAATTAGAACTTGCACCATGAAAATGCTATATGTTCCATTAACACTTTGTATGAACTATAATGTAAACTTGTTTGTGAAGATGGCAGATTTACTCCATGGAATGTCCAACAAGGCATGCAGTTAGATTTCTCTTTTAAATTATTTCAAATTTTGTCATTTTAGTGTATTTTACAACTTACTAACAATATTTAAAAAAAAATAATTCAAGTTTAACATGTGACAAAATTGTGTTTGAAGTACCTACCGTAAATGACTGTTCTGTGCTATCTGTCAATGGTTTCTTTGGATAAATAACTCCTGTCTTTTCATCAATGTAGAAATAACCAAATGATGCTCCATTGTTGTTGTCAGAAATTATCTGGTATGTTACTGCATCCTAAAGAAATAATCAAAATCAAAGTTAAGCAAAAAAGTTGTCAATGTCTTAAGAATATGGGATAAATGAAAAAAAAAACACTTTGTCAATTTTTTGGGTCCCAAGCACTTTTCTGGATTAAAAATCCTCTAGAACCCTCAAACCTAACATTTGAAAGCCAGGGATGTATAAATATGTAGTAACATTTTGAGTAATATGACCAAAAGGACCTAAACAGTACAAGAAATTTTCAATTTAAATTAAGTATTTACAATAAACTGATGCACAATATTCCTTTTATAAAACACAAATTGAAATAAATCAGCAAATAATATGTATTTTCTTTTTATATCTTTTGTATGAGCAACAAGATTAGATTCATATTATCATGGATAATGATGTCCAGATATAGTAGTTTTATCACATTTGAAGTGAATCCTTTGAAATTTTCATCGGCTTTTTAATTTATTGTCATGTGGACTTAAAGACCAAACAGCCTATTCAGTTCTACCAGTGATTTTTCCTTAAAATTTTGTGTGAAGGTATTTCATGATTTGAGGAACAAAATATGATAAAAAAAATTGGGGGTCACCGACTTAGTTTTGTCACTATAGCAACCTCAGTTTCGTGTTTTCCCGAATATTAACATGATATTTGCTTGTTATTTAAACTCTAAAAAAATCCCATTATATCAAACCTACAAGCATAATTCTTGTTTCATGTTAAACAGTAGATTTGTGTCTATCAAATACAGGTTCAAGAGTTTAAGACTCTTATTGTTTTGATCTTAACAAATATGATTTATTTCATTCCCGCCAAAAATAAAACGCAAGAATGAAAAACGTTTCAAGTATTAAAAAATATCTTCCAGTGATTTTTTCATAAAAATTTCAAGAAGGAAAGTGCCATGTGTACTCTTCAAAATAAAGCAAAAAAATGTATATGTCACCGACCTTTCAAAAAAGTTATGATTAATTTTCATGTTTTTTTCTCGTTCGTTTTGAAGAAAAGAGTTGTCTTTCTTCAGAACATTGAATCTGACGTCATAGTACAAGTTTTCCTTGCTGGCGCACTATTTGAAAAAAAAATTGCAAATTGGACGTTTGAAACCCACATTTAAATTTTCAAGAATCAAAAATAACAACTATATTAACCTACTTTATTATCCGGTAATACAAGAGATCACGTGTATGTATCAGTATCAGATCTCATGATGTTGTTGCCGCACAAAATTAACCTTCAGAAACACCATCCGTTAGAATGAAAAATTGTTCGAAATAACCTTTTACGACGCTTTGGAAAGGAAAGTCTGTTTTTGTCCTCTCCCTCTCAATAGCAAAATCATTGAAAACAAAAAGAGAAATGAAAGTTGACACTGCTTAACTTACAAACTATTTGACTATATTAAACTAGATGTGTGGGGTTTTTTGTCGCGTCAATTTCAGAACTTTGCCCTAGCGCACTCTTTCGCTACTGTTGACAGACGGACACACATTAGCACGGACGGACTTTATACCATTATGTGTTCCGACTAAGACGAACGTATACAAATTATTCCATCTAGATTGTGGATTCATTATTTCTGAATATTTATAATATAAGAAGATCAAAATTATAGGTATAATATATGAATTAAAGTTTTTGATCCTAACACGTTTTACATACCGGTGTTTTACATCCATTTAACCTATCATAAAATACGATCCCCGTTATTACAACCTCACGTGTTTTGAATAGTTTTGACAGTAAATACAAAATACAAATAAGTTTTTAATGCAAAAATTGATTTAGAATCTAAGAAATAATTTTCCGTTGAAAACTATAAAGTATTTCTCAAAACAGGATGAAATATTATGAATCTAATTATAAATAGCTCATTTTGGAAATTAAAACAAAGACAAGGTATGTATAGATAGCCGGCATGGAAAATCGAAATTTGTATTCAATCTTTCCGGTCATTGTAGCTTTTTGAAAGTGAGAAATATTATGTTGGATCTTATTCTTGAAGCAATTGTTTTTGTCATAAGTTAAATTTACAACAAGTTTAGTTTTTAAAACCGTAAATTTTGATTTCAATTCACATTCACTGAGTATATTAATTTCTTATATTTTTTGCCTTAAGCTTCTGTGAGATCAGGCGAAATCTTTATCATTTCTCCTTGAGACAATTTGAAATGAAACAAATGACAAAAGACAATGAACCTGTATCATTTTTATTTTTACTATAAGATTTTGTCAATTAAGCAGTATAGATAAAATTTAACTTCATTGCAAGATCACCATTATTTTACGAGAATCTTAAAGAAATAAGTTAATCTCAACATGCATACGTTGCCAGTATATCGAAACTTTTAGAAAGTATTGTATATCGGCCTAACCTTCTGAAAACTCAATTTTGAAAATCACATATTAAGTTAAAATTCTAAGCGTAAGTCATATAAATTTACCAGTGTAAAGTTACACGGGCGTACGAGTTTTGCGCCGATTTAAAAAAAGTTTCGATCTTTAATTTGCTCCGATTTGATTCTTTCATTAGCGCCTATCTTATTTTTTTTATCACTAGCCCCGATACTATATTTGCTATACGAGTAAATACATGTACATGTAGTAAACCTAGATTGTATATTGCATGGTAATATATGGATATAAACCGTGTTCCCTTATGTTTAAGATCATTTTGGTCATATTGTTCGAGAACTTCGTTTTGACACGAGAAAGAAAAGATGGACTTCGTTGTTGGCAAGTACAACAAGCATAGAAAAGATGAAATAACAAGAAAGGAATATATCAGATGTGTGGCATGTAAATTCTCGACAAGATAATAATTCATTGTACTAGTATTACATTTTTATGGATTTTATTGTGGTGCTTTGAAATGTTGTAAATAGAATTTTACTCCGTGGTTTTAGTAGATGTAAACAGAGTCCACAAATATCTTTTAAATTGACTTATCCTGCTCGAAATTCTACTCCCACCTCCCCTTTGTGAGCAGGGGACAACAGTTATATACATGTTGTAAATGACAATTCATAACATATGTACAACTGGCTGACGGAAGAGGTTTATATGATAAATAAAACAATAACTTTCACCTATAATTTACCTGTACACAATCGGCGCAAATGAAAGACAAAATCGGCGCAAGTGAAAGAAAAAAAGTGAAATGCAGATCGGCGCAAATGCGAAAAGCCGAGTTCAAAATTTATATTTTTATTATTATTTTTATTAGAATGGAGGTTACAGATAGTGTAGTATCTTTTGTGTCCATTTGTGTTTAATTTCCACTAGGTATCAGCGCGACGCTTAATTCCACTTTTCTTGGAAGACGTAGTTAAAAGCGTACACCATGTTGGAATCCGTGAAAACGCGAAATAGGACGTTATAATTTGACGTTTTTTTCATGGCTAGAAACAACGTCATAGAGCTTTTATGTCACTACCAAGTTGCGTTAGTTGATGCGCATCAACAATAGGCTGTTTGGTCTTTAACCTGAGACCTTTAACATTCACAAAAAAAAGTTGTGGATTTCAAGTAAATTTTAACATACCCCATCACCATCTATGGCTGTGATGTTTATAACTTCTGTGCCCATTGGATGTAATTCTGACACTGCTTTGGAGTATGGTAGTCCAATAAATGCTGGCGAGTTAACATTACGTTGAACTGTGACCTCAACATTAGCTGTTCCCTTTATGTCTGGTGAAGAACTGTCGTAAGCTACGACTTTAAGCTAAAACAGACATAAGATTAAAGGTAATCTACCAATGTGTTTGAATATTCTAAAGTATAATCTGATTTGAAATTGGAATATTTTCTTGAAAAATTAAATGAAAATTTCAGTGATGAGAGAAACAAAGATAAGTAGGATGGTCTGGATCGGGGGTCCTTCATTTCTGTATTCTTTAATTTTGTAGGTTATTTTTTTCTATTCTTTATATTTGTTGTCCATCTGCACTTTTTGCCCATTATTTTCTATTCAGTAAACCCCATCAAGATCTTCAAGAAGGCATACTGATTTTAAAAGTAGCATTACTTTAATGTAGTGTAAATCATGTATTCTTTTCACATAAATTGACAATTTTGGGAAAAACCTTTTTGAAAAACTGGGAAACTAACACACAGGATAATTTCTTCCTTCCATTGTTCGTTTAGATTTGTCCTTGACCTTATTATTTGTTGTTAATACAAATTCTGATTATTTACAGAAGACAAACTGAGCTCCTGCAGTAAAGGTTAATGATTTTTATTTTCAAATTAAGATCTTAGCCTCTTGTAATATAGATGACTTAAAAAGAAAGAGATGAAATATGAACTTACAATGTATAAGGTCTGTGCTTTAGCATCATTTTTCAGATTTTGTACAACACTAATCTGTCCTGTTGTAGAATTAACTGAGAAGAAACTTGGTGCTGGGTAGATACCATCTACTTCATACATCATTTGACCCTGTAAAAATATGCTATGTGAGTAAACCTAATTACAATATGCAAACAAAATCTCAAAATTAAAGGATACTTTGAAAAGACATGGCACAGAAAATGAATGAATTTGCAAATATGTGTTCCCTCTAAAATTTGTTGACAAAATTGATTAAAACTGACATCTATTCAAAATATACATGAACAATATATATTTTAACTACTGTAAATTCATTATTTATTGTGTTTAATAAAATTGAAAATCTTCAGCAATTGTCATTATTCGTCAGTAATCAATGACATTGTACTTGTTGTAGCAAAATATTTCTTCCATATCTGTTATAGTAAAATATTACAAGCATAAATTATTAACACAGAGATGTTGTGAACATGCCTGTTTAACCTAATCACAAACTTTAACAATTGATGATTCTGCTGATTGCGATGAAGCCAGAAACAGCATGGATAAATATACCTTGTATTAGGCAAGACAAAACTTTAACAGAAGAGTTCAACTATTGTGATGTTCATCCTACCATAATTATTCATATAAATATCTAAGTTGACAGCAATAAATGAAATATTTCCTTACTCGAATATCGTTATCACTGGCTGTAACAGTAACAATGACGTTCCCAACTGGTTCTGTTTCCACAATGTTTGCTGTGTATTTCTGAGTAGGAAAGCTAGGTATATCTTCATCACGGTCAACAGTAACAGTCACAGTGGCTATGTCAGACTTCTCTGGATTTTTCTGATCCCTGGCTGATACTTGGAACTAATAAAAATACATATATTATTACATATTTTACATAAAGTACTTCCCGAAGGATTAAGTTAATTGATTTTCAATGCATACAGTTAAGAGAAATGTGACCTTGGAAGTGAGATGACCATTGAAATGAGGTTTAAAATGCATAGGTATTACTAAACAGGACAAGAAGAGGGTTGACCTGACAAGGCAGGTTTTTGAATATTATAGCAATGACCCTTAGGTGTAATACCACCAAATCATAGTACGTCACATTCGGTTGCATACGAAAAAGGGTAGAAAAAAAATATTCCCTTGAATTTGACAGTTGTAGGAAATTAATCCTACAATTCATTGCAGTAAAAAATTTCTGAGTCATAAACATATATCTTGGGTGTTTCAAAGCACCCTTATTTTTATTTGGTGTTTCTAATATTTTGGAAACTTGAGGTTACATGGTTACTAAAGCTTGTACACAGGAAAAAAAGGAGTGAAAATTTGATTGGTAAACTTCCAGTGATGGTTATTTTCTTATATACAATGAAATGTTATGTGAAATTTTGTCTATAGTAATGGACAGGATAAAATGGTGGTATTACACCTTTATAGCAATTTTGACTGTAGTTCTCAATTCGTTCTCATCTGAGGTCATTAAAACTCTATTCAAGATAAATTTGTGAAGTTGCTTGAAAATTCTGTTTAATTTCTTAAAAATATTCTCTGATCAATAAATGTAAAAATTCATATAAAATTGAAATTAGAAAAATTTAAAACTGATAACATTGAAGTAATGATATACTTGTGCACTTACTGAAAATGTTTTTTGGTTTGTGGTGGCCAGGTCTTTGATTAAAGTCAGCTGTCCTGTTACAGGATTCAAATAGAAAAAGTCAAGTGGTCCATTTACTATTTCATATACCAATGTATCCTGAAAAAGAAACAAAAAGTATAATGCTGATTAATATGGAAATTTATATCAAATCAAAATTATACCTCTTAAACCCTGAAAATTATTTTTAATACAAAAAATAATAATAATGACAAAAAATATCAATATATTTGATAAAAATTCAATTCAATACATAAAAAGTGAAATAGGGAATACAAAAAACATAAAAAGGAAAATAGCGAATACAAAAAATATAAAAAGGAAAATAGGGAATACAAAAAATATAAAAAGGAAAATAGGGAATACAAAAAACATAAAAAGGAAAATAGGGAATACAAAAAATATAAAAAGGAAAATAGGGAATACAAAAAACATAAAAAGGAAAATAGGGAATACAAAAAATATAAAAAGGAAAATAGGGAATACAAAAAATATAAAAAGGAAAATGGGGAATACAAAAAATATAAAAAGGAAATGGGGGAATACAAAAAACATAAAAAGGAAAATAGGGAATACAAAAAATATAAAAAGGAAAATAGGGAATACAAAAAACATAAAAAGGAAAAGAAAATGGGGAATACAAAAAATATAAAAAGGAAAATAGGGAACACAAAAAATATAAAAAGGAAAATAGGGAATACAAAAAATATAAAAAGGAAAATAGGGAATACAAAAAATATAAAAAGGAAAATAGGGAATACAAAAAACATAAAAAGGAAAATAGGGAATACAAAAAACATAAAAAGGAAAATAGGGAATACAAAAAATATAAAAAGGAAAATAAAAAGGAAAATAGGGAATACAAAAAACTTAAAAAGGAAAATAGGGAATACAAAAAATATAAAAAGGAAAATGGGGAATACAAAAAATATAAAAAGGAAAATAGGGAATACAAAAAATATAAAAAGGAAAATGGGGAATACAAAAAATATAAAAAGGAAAATAGGGAATACAAAAAATATAAAAAGGAAAATGGGGAATACAAAAAACTTAAAAAGGAAAATAGGGAATACAAAAAATATAAAAAGGAAAATAGGGAATACAAAAAATATAAAAAGGAAAATGGGGAATACAAAAAACTTAAAAAGGAAAATAGGAAATACAAAAAATATAAAAAGGAAAATGGGGAATACAAAAAATATAAAAAGGAAAATAGGGAATACAAAAAACATAAAAAGGAAAATAGGGAATACAAAAAATATTGAAGATAAAAATACAGACTGCCGCAAAAGGGCTCAAGAAAATTTTGTAACAGTGGTTTTTCTTGTTCATACGAAAAGCAATTTATCTGAAGAGTCAGGAGTTGGTGTGGTGTGTTGTACTAACATATTTCTTTTGAAATTTCTGCAATACCTACCCCATCACCATCAGTGGCTGTAACTGGCGTTCCAACATGTTGAGCCACCTTGTACTGGTCAGTGATCGGGAAATTGTAGACAGGTGGGATGAAGTCTGGAGCATTGAGATTACGTGTCATATTTATAGTCAGCACAGATTCAGTTGTCATCTGTGGGATTTCTGAGTCATATACTACTATCCTTAGCTGTAATGAAAAAGAAGGTTTAATTTATACCAAATGCATGTATATATATAAAAAAAAAACCTTACCATGATAGTATATACAGTCAAACCTGCATTAACAGTTACCTCGTTTCAGTGGTCACCTGCCTCTAACAGTCACATTCAGACCCTCCTTAACGCTTTCTCTATATAATTAAACTCTTTTCAAAACTGTCCAATGCAGTAATCGGTCACCTAAATTTTCGTACGAAATTGTCATTTCAACTTTAAACAACAGCCATGTTTATGTTTTTTTTTTTCGCAACTAAAATATAATCATGATGAAGAATACATGTGTTTAGTATTGATGTCAAAGTGCGTATCGGAACTCGTTTGCAACCGAGATAGCGCAATAGGAGGTGATTTTATGAATTTCTCGTGTTCCACTCTTTTCTGTTTCAATTAAAAACCGTATCACCGACTTATTTCTCCACAATATTAACTATTTCCAATGTTTTCTTCAAATTTAGAGCGCTGGAATCTGCCATTCAGTATCTGTATCTGTATAAGGAATTCCCTCCTTCAAAGGAGCACTTCTTTTCAGAATCTGTATTTTTAATTTGGCTGCCCAAACGAATGATAATTCTACCAAATGAAAACACCCCGCACAAATGATAATTCTACCAAATGAAAACACAACAATTAGCCCCAGTCCCGGCCATGTGGGATGTCAGAATTGGAATTTTTATCGGAACCTCAGTTTAAAGGTCACCTCTCTTGAGAGGTCATTTTTTATACTTCTCATGTATGACTGCTTAATACAGGTTTGACTGTATATATATATCTTTTTTTTTAATAGGATAAAGCACAAAATTACCTGTATAAATCAGTGAGCTTTTTAACGCACAAAGAAATCATTGGTTTATAACAATTTGTAAAAGGACTGACAGAGAAAGGCCTTTTGTTGAACCAAAATATCTGTCAATACGATTTCATTTCATCTTGCTCATTTATTTTTTTTTTATCTTTTATCAGTTAAGTCTTGCACAGATTTTTTTTATAATATTTGCTTGTTTGTTTGTGCTGTGGCGTCGTTTGACTATCCAATTAAAGTAAATCTATTCTACTATTGAATCTTAGCAGTTCTCACTGAATATTTGGGTTTATTAATTTCACTATGTTGTATAGGAATCTATCACTAGGTGAAATGTAATTCTTTGAAAATGTGAATTTAGAATTTCTAAATAAATTATAATAGGTTACTTTTCAGCCCCAAAAAAGGATGATAGCGTTGTAATAAAATCTCTTAGTAAAGTAGTCTTAAAAGGCCACATTGATAAAAAAAAAAAGGCCTAATTTTTGGCAGTTTTGACTAAAATTGGTCCTGAAAATGAAATACCCATTTTATGCCTCTCTCCACATGAGAACTCCTAAATTCTATGTATTTCTTCAACTGCTGTGTGTTATCAGAAAAAAATCAGTCTTTACCATCACAATTTCATGTTATATACCATGTAATTTTAGGGCAACCCCTTATTTATTAGTCTGAATTTTCATACATTTATTAAATTCTGCAATATACAGATGGAAATACACCAATCTAATTTCATACATAGACAAACATTAAAAAAAAGATAATAAATCAGTTAGCTATGAAAAATGAAACACTTTGGTATACTTTTAAACACAAAATGGTATCTGAACCACCTAGAAAAGATGGAACCCATATAAGTAGAGTAAAATGATTTCTAAAACATAAGAAAGGTTTGTTATCTTTAAGCTATACTAATATTAATCTAGAATATAAAGAAGACATACCTTGTACTGCAGCTCTGTGTCATCAGACGTTAAATTTACACGAGGGGTGATAACACCAGTGGTTGGGTCAATCTTAAAGAAGCTTGGAGCTGAACTGTCTCCTACAATTGCAAAGGTCAGCTGTCCACTGGTTACCTATAAATTATTTCAAAGGACATTCTTTAATCAAAGTTTGATAAATACTGCAAATTCAGAATTTAATGCTTGCATTTATTAATGCAAATCACTGATTACTGGTAAAAATGCGAAAATTGAATTTATGTGATTGCAAAAATTTTGCTGAAAATATGAAAGCCAATTTTTATTATTGCGAAACTGATACGGTTGCATTTTATAATTAATTAAAACATTGCAATAATTTCTGCGTTTTACCATTTTTTTATCAAATATTCCCATCCCTAATTCCTTACAGACCAATTTCGCTACATGAAATGTAATATTTACCCCTATATCAGTATCCTGAGCTGTAACCTGGTACACTAACTGTGTTACTGGTGTATCCTCTCGTAACTGTATGGTACCAGGGAGATTAGAGAATGTTGGCAGAGAATTCTTTACAATGTCTACTGTCAGGGTGGCATTGACAGTGTTAGGTGGACTTCTCTGGTCACTAGCTTCAACAGTCATCTAGATATATGCATAACCAATAATTGTTATAATTCAAGTGACTATGGCAAACTATAGAGGTCTCACAAAAAGTTTTAAAAAACTTCCTTCTTCCAAGCAAAGAAATAAATTCTGTTTTTCTAACAAATAAAAAATAGGATCACTGCTTCATGTAGACTACACAATAAAGAAAAGAAATTTGCAAAACATAATTTCTTTTTTTGAACAAATATAAATAAATGGAGAATGTGTCCATGGGACACAGATGACATACACCCATGCTTGCATATAACATTATAAAGGGACATAACTCAAGAACGGTAAAAGTGACACTAACCAAATTCAAACTTGTTTTGAGTTTTCTGAGCTATTAGGACAATTTTTTTTCGTAAAGTTAGGGTCAGCATCTGGGTTACAAACAGCTTCAGTACATCTTTTTGTATTATACTCATTTATTTATATATTTATGAAAAAATCATGGCCGACTTACCACATACTGAGAAACAGTTGGATTTTTACTTGGTGACTGTCTAAGGTACACATCCCCAGTGCCAGATTGAATGTAGAAATAGTTCTTATCTGCTGGTGGTCCCAGAATGGTGTATCGGATGGTATCCTAAAATGATAAAACATTGAATTGTATCCTTAAATGATAAAGTATCGAATAGTTTCCTTAAATGATAAAGTATCAAATAGTATCCTTAAATGATAAAGTATTAAATAGTATCCTTAAATGATAAAGAATCAAATAGTATCCTTAAACGATAAAGTATCAAATAGTATCCTTAAATGATAAAGTATCAAATAGTATCCTTAAATGATAAAGTATCAAATAGTATCCTTAAACGAAATAGTATCAAATAGTATCCTTAAATGATTAAGTATCAAATAGTATCCTTAAACGATAAAGTATCAAATAGTATCCTTAGATAATAAAGTGTCAAATACTATCCTAAAAAAAGAAAAATTTAATTCTGTAAACTCATATTTGAATCCTGAAGTTATCAAGTCTTTACTATACAAGAGTAATGCAAACCCTTTCAGAAGTTTCCCTATAAAGGGAAAATCTTTCCTGGTTTATTTTTTTTCCCAAAAAGAATATTATACCAATTAGATTAATTTTCAAAATGAATATAGAAATGAACTTCTAAAAATGGTCTTCCGCGAAAATACTAATGTTAAAGTACAATCTTGTCATACCAACATAAACTCTTTAAAAATAATAACCCAACTTTAAAAGCCATTGCTAAATTTTCAATGTTGTTAATTGAAATTTTAAAAATACAAATAATACCTGATCATTATCTGAAGCTCTTATAGAAGCAACAACTTGTCCGAATGGATGGTATTCATTAATCTGAACTCGGTAGTTGTTGTTGTTGTTTGGCGTGAAGATTGGAGAGTTTACATTACGTCTTACGGTGATGTTGACGTTACCAAATACTGCATTGTCTGGCCAGAAAGAATGGTAGGCTTTGACTTGTAACTGCAAACAAAAATGAACTTTCAAATGAACCTGTTTAAAGTGTATGCATTGACTATTCAAATTTCAGAAAAATAAACTTATTTCAACTTTCAATTCATTCCATGTTTAGTTCAGTATAATTTTAGGAAATTGATTGGTGGATTTATGTGAAATAAATCATGAAGGTGTTTCAGCATTTAACATATTCTCTCTTTTGACAGAACAGATTTCTGTAATAGAAGTGTAATGATACATTTACCTTCATAGAATTATAAACCAAATTATAATTATTTTTTCGTCATAAATGTTGTGCTCTCATTTTTGATGAATAAATAGTTTAATTTAAAGTTTAAATTATTACACCAGGGTTTTCGATATCACAAACTAGTCAAAACATTTACTAAATTTTATCATCGGTATAAGGACATCATTTGTAAATATAGCTCAACATGCAGACTTCTTATACGTTCAGGTATTTCACATCCAATTTTTTATGGAAATATTCTTTATAAAGCACAAAAATGTCAGTATTCACCTCTGAAGCTAACAAAACCTTTAAATAGACTTATTAAGAAGGGATATAGTTACGATACTGTTGTCAGGTCATTAAAGATTGCATATTTTGGCGTTAATATTGATTCACTTATAGGGTCTTTGCATCGGCACTAAACACATTTATTTAAAAACCAGTTGTTGGCATGACACAGGTTATGTTCTTCTCATATATGTTATGATGGTATGATACTAAACCCCTAACGGGAAGGATTGTGCCTGATATTCATATGATGAAGACATAATCTTTCAATCAGTTTAATTGAAGTCTGGAGCTGGCATGTCAGTTAACTGCTAGTAGTCTGTTGTTATTTATGTATTATTGTCATTTTGTTTATTTTCTTTGGTTACATCTTCTGACATCAGACTCGGACTTCTCTTGAACTGAATTTTAATGTGCGTATTGTTATGCGTTTACTTTTCTACATTGGCTAGAGGTATAGGGGGAGGGTTGAGATCTCATAAACATGTTTAACCCTGCTGCATTTTTGCGCCTGTCCCAAGTCAGGAGCCTCTAGCCTTTGTCAGTCTTGTATTATTTTTAATTTTAGTTTCTTGTGTACAATTTGGAGTTTAGTATGGCGTTCATTATCACTGAACTAGTATATATATTTGTTTAGGGGCCAGCTGAAGGACGACTCCGGGTGTGGGAATTTCTCGCTGCATTGAAGACCTGTTGGTGACCTTCTGCTGTTGTCTGTTCTATGGTCGGGTTGTTGTCTCTTTGACACATTCCCCATTTCCATTCTCAATTTTAAGAAAATTTTTCCTTGTAGCAGAATAGTGCCATACCAAGAAATTTGTCTCTGTTGTTGTCAAGAGAGATTTCTGAACGACAACATTGCCGTTATTCTGTACATCAAAATATGCTATAGCGAGTCCATCTCCAACAGCCTCATACTGAATAGAGCCCTGAAATAAATAAATAAAACTGTGTTAACAATGCATAATTTAAATTGAAGAAATTCTGAAATTACATTGAGCCATGTCTAATTAAATCAAATGTGAAACTCTAGCTTGATTTCTAACCTTCTCTATACCATTTTGTGTTCACTGAACTAACTAGAATTTATAAACTTATCGTTATTTTAATAAAACTCATTCTTCAATTGTCGTACAGTAAAGTTATTTTTGGGCCAGGTGAGCTAAAAAATGAATGGTACAACAGTAGGTAACTTACAGTAGGTTCATTGTCATTATCCGTAGCCCTAACAGACAAGATCAAACCAGTCCTCGTCTCCTCTATTGTGGCATAGTAATTTGACAGGTTAGGTGGATACACAAACTGTGGCGTGTTATCATCACGGTCAATGGTTATTGCCACTGACGCTTCTCCATAGTTTTCTGGTTTCCCTTGATCACGAGCTCTCACTCTGAACTGTAAATTATAAGTTTACAGTTACAAGTTAAGTTATAAGCACAAGTTGCTGAAATAGAAAGCTGATTTTACTTCTTACAAAAAAAACCTGATAAAAACCCAAACAAAAGGGTCAAATGCACTAAACAATACCAATTAACCATCTAAGAGCATTCTGGGTAATGATTTCAAAAGCATACACCAAAGCTTTGTGATTACTTACTAACATCCTTAACAATGTAAACAATTCAATGGCGTACCATTCTTTTATATTTTTAATCCGTTGACTCTAAAAAATGAGAATTATTTATACAGCTAGTTATTGTTGGGTTGTTGGTAAATTGACATTACCATATGTAATTTTTCCTGGTTAGCAGAAACTTTGTAGTGAAATTTGATTAAAGAAACTTCCAAATATAAAATCTTCAAACATTTGCAGTAAGTGTTTGTATTCTTTATTTAAAAAATAAAACAAATTCAGACTCTAAACACTTTTTCATACTTACATCTTTTTGTGTTGCTATCAACCAAAACAGGAAAATCATGTAGGTAATTTTAAAGCTTGAACACAAAAAAACCTGAACAATGAATATTCCTCTTGATATGGACTTATGGTTAAGATACTGTAAATTCAGAAATTATTGTGAGGTTCTTATTAATGCGAACAATGCGATCGGGTGAGTATAGCAATAATAATAAAATGCTCCGCTGGGCCCAGCTTGATACGACCGCAGAGGTCGAACCCTGAACAGTTGGGGCAAGTATGGACACAACATTCAAGCTTGATACAGAACTGAATTTGGATTGTGATTAAATATTTGACACAGCATAGTTTTCTGACACAGAATGAATGTGGTCTAAGCACTTAAAAATTTTTAATTTACCTATTCAAGCCATATCATTATTATTTGCTTTTATATACAAATCAGAAATAATCAATTTAAAATGGAAAATTTTTGAGAAAAAAAAAGGAAAAAAAAAATCACCCCCCCAAAAGTTTTTGAACCCCCTTATGATTCATCAGCCGCAAACTCAATCCCAGCCTTCCCTTTGTGGTATGGTACCTAGCAGTACAATTTCAGAGAGATCCATACACTTGAACACAAGTTATTGTCTGGAAACTAGAAAAATGCTTGTTTTTTGGCCCCAAATTGATAAACATTTAGGGCAATTACCCCCAAACTCAAACCCAGCTTTCCCTTTGTGATATGGAACCTTGTAGTACAATTTCATAAAGATCAATACACTTACACACAAGTTATTGTCCTGAAACTAGAAAAATGCTTGTTTTTTGCCCCTTTTTGGACCCTAATTCCTAAAATTTTGAGGCAATTACCCCCAAAATCAATCCCAGCCTTCCCTTTGTGGTATGGTACCTTGCAGTAAAATTTCAGAGAGATCCATACACTTGAACACAAGTTATTGTCTGGAAAATAGAAAAATGCTTATTTTTTGCCCCTTTTTGGCCCCTCATTCCTAAACTTTTTGGGCAATTACCCCCAAACTCAATTCAAGCTTTCCATTTGTGATATGGAACCTTGTAGTACAATTTCAGAAAGATCCATAGACATTACACACAAGTTATTGTCATACAACTAGAAAAATGCTTGTTTTTTTCCCCTTTTTGGCCCCTAATTCCTACAATTATGAGGCAATTACCTCCAAAATCAATCCAAGCTTTCCCTTTGTGATATGGAACCTTGCAGTACAATTTCAGAGAGATCCATACACTTGAACACAAGTTATTGTCTGGAAACTAGAAAAATGCTTATTTTTGGCCCCTTATTCCTTAACATTTTGGGCAATTACCCCCAAACTCAATTCAAGCTTTCCCTTTGTGATATGGAACCTTGTAGTACAATTTAAGAAAGATCCATAGACTTACACACAAGTTATTGTCATGAAACTAGAAAAATTCTTGTTTTTGGCCCCTAATTCCTAAAATTTTGAGGCAATTACCCCCAAAATCAATCCAAGCTTTCCCTTTGTGATATGGAACCTTGTGGTACAATGTCAGAGAGATCCATACACTAACACACAAGTTATGTCTGGAAGTTACAAAAATGCTTATTTTTGGCCCCTTTTTGGCCCTTAATTCCTTAACTGTTGGTACCATAACCCCCAAAATCAATCCCAACCTTACTTTTGTTGTATTGAACCTTATGGTAAAATTTCATAGAGATCCATTCACTTAAACTAAAGTTAGAGAGCGAAAACCAATGTGTCTTTGGACGACGACGCCAATGTCATACCAATATACGACCGCAAAAAGGTCGTATAAAAACTTGCATTTTGATATCTAATAAAATTGAGAATGGAAATGGGGAGTGTGTCAAAGAGACAACAACCCAACCACAGAGCAGACAACAGCTGAAGGCCACCAATGGGTACATATATCTGTATCCAGATTTTCTTGAAATCGCATTAATCAATCTCGCATTATTGTTTATTTTCTCAAAAATCACAATAATATATGCACGCAATAATTTCTGAATTTACAGTAATCAAATACTAACTGTTACCATTTTCCACACTAATGAAGAAAACTTACGCTGAAAGTCCCTGTGGGTGCAGACTTCTTCAGATTGTCAGACACAAAGATGATACCATTTTCTGCATTTATAAAGAAATACTTTTTGGCTGCTACACCATTTGTATCCTCAATAATACTGTACTTCACTACATCCTTAAAAGAAATGAAGAAAACATTATTCATTTTGTAAATTTTCAACAAGTTCAGCGGAAAGATAAAAGTCATAATTAATTTTACTTTTAAATTACTTATAATTATGTTACACTTTGTAAAGAATTTTCTTTTAGTATTCTAAATAAAATTGCAATTTGGTAAGTATTATTAACAAAGTATAGAGGTCAAATTAACACACACATAAAAACCCCACAAAAACTGTAAATTTTAAAATTATAGCATGTTTTTATATTTACTGCAAATCCTTCGTAACCATAAAATAAAATAAGTTAATGCCATTTACAAAAAAGTTGCTGCAGAACATAAATGTAAATGAATGCAATCTGGATTTTTTTTATCGATGATATCAATTCTTTCAAGAACAAATGAAATAAACTCATCATAGATCCCAGGATTGAAATTTTGTATTTGCGCCAGACGTGCGTTTCGTCTACAAAAGACTCATCAGTGACTCTTGAATCAAAAAAAAGATAAAAAGGCCAAATAAAGTACGAAGTTGAAGAGCATTGAGGACCAAAAATTCCTAAAAGTTTTGCCAAATACAGCTAAGGTAATCTAAAGGTTGGGAAGCAAAAAACTTTACATTTAAGTATAAATGTTAAGTTGATGGATAAAAACAATATTCGTACATTGAAGGAAAATATGAAAGTTATTTGCACTTGCTACAAAACAAGAGAAAAGTTCATACAAATGAATTTAATATTTTCCTACATTGTACAAATATTTTGTATGAAATATTCCAAAATCATAAGACTTCAACAGAATTGCCACTGACTCCGACCATCAACTGAGGGAATTGACACCAGACGTCATCCAAATAAACTCATCATAGATACCAGGATTGAAATTTTATATTTGTGCCAGACGAGCGTTTCGTCTACAAAAGACTCATCAGTGACCAAAGTGGCCTTACATATCATACTGCATTAGAATGTCCTGTCCTAAGTTTTCTTGAATTAGTTTTAATAAATTTCTGAACAAACAGTACTTGAGAACTTTTATTTAACAGTCATTAAATCTAACTCACCCCATCAGCATCTGTTGCATTGACAGTTATAACAGCTCCACCTATTGGATAATTCTCCTTGATTGAAATAGAATAAGATGATGCTAAAAACTCTGGGTTTCTTGGATTACGGTTCACCTTGACATTGTAACTCTGTTCTGCTCGAACATCAGGGAGAGCAGAATCATAGACCTGGACACGGAGCTAAAATACAAGATATCAAATTCATTAGATTTATACAATGTGAGTTTAAGTCAACAAGGTTCCAACATATATAGGAGATCTTATATTTCAACTTTTGAAATTGTTTGTAAGAAGTTCACTTTTTAACGCCATGCAAGATAGTTCAACCTACGCTAAATTGTACAATTGTAAAAGTCGAACCATACAGAAGGATTTGTTCAGCTGCAATTAAAACCTAAAACAACATCAATATCTGGCACCAAAAGGGAAATTTTTACATGGCAAAGCTTTATTTTAAATACTGTAAACCAACTAATTTTGGCGAGCGATTTATTTTCGCTAATTTCGCAGGCATAATTTTTTCGTGAAAATAAATATCCGCGAATATGCCTTTTATATATGTTTTATAATATGAATGATGAAATTCATTTGCTATCGCGAAAATAAGCAGTAGTGAACCTGTACATTACCCTTAAATCGCGAAATAAAGTAGCCACGAAGATAAGTTGGTTTACAGTATTTGGTTTCCCAAAATAATTCCCTACAAAAGTTACAGGTAATTCAATTCTAAAATTGAACATCTGGATATCTTCTGCTTACAAAAAAAAAATCTGTCACTCTACTCAATATAGACTTGTGTAAGAATCTTATAGTCTTCCATTGGAGTGAATATGCACAATATCTTACTTTATAATCTTATGTGTGAGTGGAGCTATTGTAAATAAAAGTAATATTATACTTACTGTATAGTCAAGTAAAGCGAGTGGATCTGCTGTTAATGCAGCCTTCAGTGACACGTCACCTGTTGCTGGGTTCACAACAAAGAAATTCTGTGCTGGGTACACTCCAATTAATTCATAAACAAGCTCTTTCTGCAAATATAAAAAAAATTATATCAATAAAATTTGTACAAATAAGAATGTCCTTTCAATTTTTTTTTAGGAAAAAGGGGGGTTGAACTAAATGACTGTTTTTTGCTTAACATCCAGTGGCTAATATTTCTACAATATTCAAAACAAACAAATTTAAATAATATAAGTTTAAATATGAAGGTTCTGCAAAATTAAGTCCACCAGAAATTTTCAATGACACTGAAAAATTGGGGGATATCTGGCATACTTTTAACTTCATATCGACTAACAAAGATTTGATTTTACTCTGCATAAATCAAGTTTCTACAAAACAGGTAAAAAAAAATTGAGAATGTGTCCATGGGACACAGATGATTCCACCGCTTGCATATATCATTATAAAGGGACATTTCTAGAGAACTGTAAAAGTGACGCCACCCAAATTCGATCTTGATCTGTGTTTTATGGTAATAAGCATTGTGTACAAGTTTCTTTACATTTGGTTGAGGCAAACTAAAGTTAGAGAACGGAAACCAAAGTTGGGACTTACGTACTGACAAACAAGGGTAACACTTACTGCTCCCTTCTCCCAGCGGCGAGGACATAAAACTAGAGGCTCTAAAGAGCCTGTGTCACTCACCTTGGTCTATGTGCATATTAAACAAAGGACACAGATGGATTCATGACAAAATTGTGTTTTGGTGATGGTGATGTGTTTGTAGATCTTACTTTACTGAACATTCTTGCTGCTTACAATTATCTCTATCTATAATGAACTTGGCCCAGTAGTTACAGTGGAAAATATTTTGTAAAAATTTACAAAAATTTACAAAATTTATGAAAATTGTAAAAAATTGACTATAAAGGGCAATAACTCCTTAAGGGGTCAATTGACAATTTTTGTCATGTTGACTTATTTGTAGATCTTACTTTGCTGTACATTATTGCTGTTTACAGTTTATCTCTATCTATAATAATATTCAAGATAATAACCAAAAGCTGCAAAATTTTCTTAAAATTACCAATTCAGGGGCAGCAACCCAACAACGTGTTGCCTGATTGGTCTGAAAATTTCAGGGCAGATCTTGACCTAATGAACAATTTTATACTCGTCAGATTTGCTCTAAATGCTTTGGTTTCAGAGATATGAGCCAAAAACTACATTTTACCCTATGTACTATTTTTTAGCCATGTTGGCCATCTTGGTTCACGGGCGGGGTCATCGGACACATTTTTTAAACTACATACCCTAATGATGATTGTGGACAAGTTTGGTTAAATTTGTCTTAGTAGTTTCAGAGGAGAAGATTTTTGTAAAAGATTACAAAAATTTACGAAAAATGGTTAAAAATTTACTATAAAGGGCAATAACTCCTTAAAGGGTCAACCGACCATTTTGGTCATGTTGACTTATTTGTAGATCTTACTTTGCTGAACATTATTGCTGTTTACAGTTTATCTCTATCTATAATAATATTCAAGATAATAACCAAAAACGGCAAAATTTCCTTAAAATTACCAATTCAGGGGCAGCAACCCAACAACGGGTTGTCTGATTCATCTGAAAATTTCAGGGCAGATAGATCTTGACCTGATAAACAAATTTACCCCATGTCAGATTTGCTCTAAATGCTTTGGTTTCAGAGATATAAGCCAAAATCTACATTTTACCCCTATGTTCTATTTTTAGCCATGGCGGCCATCTTGGTTGGTTGGCCGGGTCACCGGACACAAATTATAAACTATATACCCCAATAATGATTGTGGCCAAGTTTGGTAAAATTTGGTCAAATTTGGCCCAGTAGTTTCAGAGGAGAAGATTTTTGTAAAAGTTAACGACGACGACGGATGATGGACGCCAAGTGATGAGAAATGCTCACTTGGCCCTTTGGGCCAGGTGAGCTAAAAAAGAGATATTAAATAAGACAGCAACCCAATAACACAAACACTTTTCCTCATTCCATGAATATTGGTATCTATGAAAAATAAATGAATCCCCAGTAATACCTTCAGATCTGGGTCTGTAGCATTCACTCTGTAGAAATTAACATTCATTTGTTGGTCAAATCTGATTTCTGTGTTAAATGTTGAATCTGTAAACCTTGGTGGTATGTCTGCCACCTCACGGATGATCTGTATCTGGACAGTGGCATTAGCTGCTTGGCCACGACCATCCACAGCTTGAACAATCAACTAATCAAGGAAGATAATATAAATAAATCAATATAGAGATGATGGTCTGATGGGATGTCCTCCATTTCTGAATTCTTTTTAGGCTATTTTTCTCTATTCATTATTCATTTTGCCCATTATTCTCTTTTTTTTAGCACCAAACTATTTTCTATTCTTTACTTTTTTGGGGTCTATTTTTCTCTTTTCTTTATTTTTTTGGTCATTTATTCTGTATTTTTTGCCATTATTCTCTAATTCTGTAAACCTCATCAGGACCATCTTATATGGCTTTTTCAATGTCATAACCACATCAACTCGAGACACTAACATAATCCCAAGAGCTCTGGTCAAGGGATTATATTGGTTGAGGGTTGATATGGTGTATGATATTGAAAAAGCCATACTATATTATAAATTTTTTACATATACCAAAAAAAACAACATGTGACATCACATAGTACAGATTAGGGGTTAGATAAAGTCTTTCCAACCGTGACTGAAATCGATATCATCATTGATGGCTGATACAGAACAGTTAATTGACCCATTAATTGTATTACACTGAAAATTTACATGCATTTACTACTTAGTATATAATAAATATCTATAACATGATATTATAAAACCACTTTTCCTGCCCTTTATAAGGGAGCTGCCATTTGATTTTTTTTTTTTTGGGGGGGGCTAGGATAAACATTTTGTCCTGCATTTTTTTTTAGTTGTAATCTCTGTCCTGTCTTTTTATTTTTCACTCTATTTGGTCCTGCCTTTTTTTTTTTTAGTTCATCCTGACTTTTTTAAAATAAATTGTCATCCTGCCTTTTTTTTTGCAAAGTGTCTCATCCTGCCTTTTTTTTTAACTCAAAACTCCTGTCCTGCCTATTTTTTTCAAATTTCATCCTACCCCCCCATGAAAATCAAATGGTAGCTCCCTAATCCAAAACTATTGGAGTCTGAAAACAAGTAACATTCTCCAGACTTCATAAGACATGAGTCTGACAAATATCAGTTATAATATATTTGAATTTGCCTTTTATATTCCAATTATTCTAAGATTTTAAAATTTAAGGAAAAACTGCAAAACACCTCATTTTCTAAGATTTTTCTATCAATATTTAAACAGAAAGAACAGCCATAATAAAATAGGTATTATAAACTATCTAATTTATTTATTTATCTGACTTTGGCTTTTTACATTGTAAGTACCAAAAGGTGTGTTACCAGAAAGTAAGTGGTCATTTGATTTTGATACTTTTTATTGACCATTGACCATTGTAGCCAGAGGTCAGTGTTGATTTGGAGTGATACATACAAAATAAGTGTTTAAAGGGGTGTAGTTACAGTGAGTGTTGATACTTACATTATACGTATTGTCAGGTGTGGAGTCAGAGGTCAGCGGTTGTTTGTTAATGATCGCTCCTGTACTGGGATCTATGAAAAATATGTCCATACCATTGCTGGAAGCCTGTACTATCTCATAGGTCAATGTATCCTATATAAAGAAAAAGAATGACATGCAAATATTTCTTAATTTCATTAAGAATTGAATTCTTCTTTTTGTAACTTCATTGGGGTGTAAAAGCGTTGACCGAAGTACATTTTGTATGAAGCACGAAAGCCCTTCATTCTAAAAATGTGCGCACGTTCAACGCTTTTACAACCCTATGAAGTTACAAAAAGAAGCATTCAATACTTATAATTACATTTTTTGACTAGGATCATGAAAACACGATTTTTATCAAGTTTTTATTTAATTTACCTGTGCACTTTATTGTGGGACCTCGTGTCCTCATGAATGATAAATTTCATTGTGTAATGAAGTTGATTAAGGAATAACGCGAGATAGCAGTTAGCCAATCAGAATAACGTATTATAATGAAACATACATCTAATGTAATTATTTGGAAATGAAGCAATATCAGGAAGACAAAATTCAGACAACATTCAGACAACAAATTAATGTAAAAATTTGTCATCTGCTTTAAAATTAAATCCATGTTAATATGATGCTTTCTTTTGCAAATCTATTAAAACATTCTGTTGAATATTTAAGAGCTATCTCTTTTAATTATGTATCCCTTCAATGGTGATGATATTCATGGATAATTTAGGATGCTTAAAAAACAATTATTCAAATATCTGCTATTATTTAGATCTGGAGAGTGCAAAATTATCCCCAAAATATTTTAAAATTGTTTGATATATATAAAAAAACAAAACTTAAAAAAACTAAAAAATAATAAATCTGCATAGAAACCTGGGAGCCTGTTTTATAAAACAGAACCAAAATTTGTACGAAGTATATAAAGAATATAAAATTACTAATTAGAAAACCAAAGATTCATATCTTTAAAAACAACAATATTTAAAAATGCCATAGTTCAGCCAAAAATGTGTCTACAGTACTTCATTGTTCCAAAGAAAAATTTAATCTGTGTCTTGACTCTTGAAATCCTTTTTTGTATGGTATCTACTGGATAAGTAGACAAGATGGCTTAAGAGGGGCAGAATGGGGGGGGGGGGTCCTTCAATTCTGTATTCTTTAATTTTTAAAGCCTTTTTCTCTATTCTTTATAAATTTTCACCATTATTTTCTATTCTTTATATTTTAGCAACCCATTATTTGTAGTATTTGCCTATTATCCTCCATTCTGTAAACCCCATCCAGAAGCCCACTTATCAGAACAAATACTGTACCTTATCTTGATCTACGGCATCAATATCAACAATTTCTGAGCCAACAGTTGTATTCTCTAGTATCTGTTTGAAGTAGTTAGATGTTGGCTGGAATTGAGGACCATTAGGATTCCTATTGATAGTTATAGTAACATTAGCTGTAGCTCTAAGACTGGGGATCTGTGAGTCATATGCAACCACTTTCAGCTGTAAAAAAAGTGTTTTTTCAGACCTCATGATTACTATTTATCTACAATAATTGTACTCTATTAAAAATTCCATACATTCATACTTTAATTATCAAAAACTTTATAAAAAAGATTAAAATTTACTTAACCTGTACATTTATACATTCCTTAGTAATTCATAAATGTATTGATTGTCTTCTGCATTTGTTTTCCATGTAATTTAACTAACATGTAGGATCCCATATTGAGGAATTTATCCATTGTCTTTCTGTACTTGTTTTACATGTAAAACGTTACTCAACTTACATGTAGGATCCAAGTTGAGGAATTTATCCATTGTCTATGTGTATTTGATTTACATGTAGGTTGACTAAATATGTAGGATCTAAGATTGAGGAATTTATCCATTGTCAATGTTTTTGTTTTACATGTAGGTTGACTAAATATGTAGGATCTAAGATTGAGGAATTTATCCATTGTCTTTCTGTATTTGTTTTACATGTAACTTGACTAAATGTGTAAAATCCAAGATTGAGGAATTTATCCATTGTCTTTCTGTATTTGTTTAACATGTAACTTGACTAAATATGTAGGATTCAAGATTGAGGAATTTATCCATTGTCTTTCTGTATTTGTTAAACATGTTACTTGACTAAATGTGTAGGATCCAACATAAAGGAATTTATTCATTGTCTTTCTGTACTGTGGGTTCACTTTTTTTCGTGGGTACCAATTTTCGTGGAAGGAGAATATTTGTATTTTCGTGGATATTTGATTTTGTGGTATGGTAAAAGTTAGCATTTTAGCCTAAAGAAAATTTGTACTTTATTGAACATTTAAAGTTGTGGTCCACTTATACCAAAGAAAATTGGTATACCACGAATAATAATGAATTCAAAGTATTTGTTTTACAAGTAACTTAATAAATGTGTAAGATCCAAGATTGAGGAATTCATCCATTGTCAATCAGTATTTGTTTTACATGTAACTTGACTTACAGTGTAGGTTCCTAGATTGAGGGCATCAGTTCTCACATCTCTTTTTACTGTAACTGTACCATTAGTTGATTCTACAGCAAAGTAATCTGGAGCAGGATAATCACCAATGACTTCATAAACCATTGAGCCCTGAAAGTATTAATGTTAAAATTTCACCAATGGCTTCATAAACCATTGAGCCCTGAAAGTATTAATGTTGAAATTTCACCAATGGCTTCATTGACCATTGAGCCCTGAAAGTATTAATGTTAAAATTTCACCAATGGCTTCATAAACCATTGAGCCCTGAAAGTATTAATGTTAAAATTTCACCAATGGCTTCATTGACCATTGAGCCCTGAAAGTATTAATGTTAAAATTTCACCAATGGCTTCATAAACCATTGAGCCCTGAAAGTTATATAAAATTTTTTACAACAGTGATGTTATAATTTAATAACATGCTTCCTATTACTTTTGAAAAAATCGTCAAATTTTTTCAAAGTTTTGAAAAAAATATGAATCTTTATCAATTTTGTTTAGAGTGTAACTAATGTATAGATAAGCTTATATATGTATGAGCTATTAAGAAAAAAAAAAAAAATTTCAACACAAAATAATGTAATATCTTAAGATCTTCCTCATATGTTAACAAGAGCATAGTTGTGCCGATGTGAATGTATACATATGTTAAGATCACCCAATACTATCAAACTATACCTTGAGATCATCCAATACTATCAAACTATACCATGAGATCATCCAATACTATCAAACTATACCTAGAGATCACCCAATACTATCAACTATACCTAGAGATCATCCAATACTATCAACTATACCTTGAGATCACCCAATACTATCAAACTATACCTTGAGATCACTCAAAGCTATCAAACTATACCTAGAGATCATCCAATACTATCAAACTATACCTAAAGATTACACAATATTATCAAACTATGCTTTGAAATCAACCAATACTATCAAACTATACCATGAGATCATCCAATACTATCAAACTATACCTAGAGATCACCCAATACTATCAACTATACCTAGAGATCATCCAATACTATCAACTATACATTGAGATCACTCAATACTATCAAACTATACCTTGAGATCACCCAAAACTATCAAACTATACCTTGAGATCTTGATCTTCTGCATTAGTATTTACAACTAAAGCTCCGACAGGTCTTGATTCCTCCATTTGAATTGTATACGCTGATGGATTAAACTGTGGTTGAGAATCATAGTCCATCGTGATGGTAACTGTACTAGTTCCAGTCTTTTCATTTACACGCCTCTGATCCCGTGCATAGACTGTCAGTACAAATCTAACGGGAGGATTTGGTGAGGTCAAAAGTTTTCGTAGATACAAAACACCTGTATCTGTATCATAGCTAAAGTAAGACATAGTTGGCACTGAAGCCACAACAGAATATCTTGGAATGTCCTGCGAAAAAAAAAATTAAACCCTTTACAAAAGTTAGGTTATCATCACACAGTTATTATTTTAACAACTTTTTTACTTTATATTAACAGTATTTATCATTCTGGAGCACCTGAAATAACTGCTAGTTTTTTGGTGGGTTTATGTTGCTCAGTCTGTAGTGTTTTGTGGACTTCTTCGTCTTTACATCATGTTTTTTTTGTTTTTTTTTTGTCATGGATGTTTTTAGTTTTTCTTCAACTTATGAGTTTTTAATGTCCCTTGATATATTTCGACTTTGTTTCTCTGTTTGTCTTGATTCATCTCAATAAAATTTGAATATCTTTTTTCAATATAAAGTAAAAGTTTTCTTACCCCATCAGCATCAGTGGCAGTTGTGTTTACCACCATGAAATTGTATGGTGAGTTCTGATCCAGAGTTACACTGTAAGGTACCTCGGAGAATTGTGGTGGGCTTGGATTACGTGTAACAATTATTGTCACATCTGCGGTAGATCTATAAATACTTTCTCCACTATCATATGATACAACTTGGAACTGAAAAATAAAAAAAATATCATACAATTCAGTTGTGAAATTTAATAAGTGCAGATTAGGTTAACCTTTCCAGAAGTTTTTCCCCACCATAATAAGACGTTAAAAGTTGCTGCTAAAGACCTTACAGTTAAAAAAAATAGGAAGCATTTATTAGGAAATTTATATTGGAAATATTTTTATATATTTAATATCTTTGATCTTTATCAATACAGTTAGGTTATTCTGTTCATTTGGTTGAGCAAACTTCCATTGAACAGACTTCAAGGATGAAAGGAATTTTGCCTTTTCAGAATCTCATGCATTCTGGGTAATATTTTCAAAAGTGTACACCAAAACCTTGTGATTGCTACAACGTCCTTAACAAAGGAAATTCAACTTATAGTGTGACATTATTTTCATTTTGGGGTACAAACAATGAAATTACTCATAATCCATTTGATTCTGAAACGTCGAATTGAACAGACTTCAGGAATGAAAAGAATTAGAGCTAAATTACTAAAGCTTGTAGATTAAGACTTTGGTTGGATTGCTTGCTTTGTTTGTATAAATGTGTGCTCTAGCATTGTAATTTAGATTGACATCTGGAAACAACATAAATAGGCGGAGTTAAACCTGTATACATTATATTTAGATTTGATTGGACTTTATCATCAAATTTAAGTATAATGTATACAGGTTTAACTCCGCCTATTTATTTTTATTTTGTTTGCAGACGTCAATCTTAATTACAATGCTTGAGCAAACATTTACACAAACAAAGCAAGCAAGCCAACCAAAGTCTCAATCTACAAGCTTTAGGAAATTAGCTCTAATGGCCAGCATTGTACCAACTATATCACCTGAAACCATTATATTTGTTTCAAGAGCCTTTATCAATGAGGAGATCAAAACACTCAAAACAAAAATCTAAACTAATTGTTTCAACGTTTGTCATGTCTGGGCAACGACTATACCGTAAGAGTTTTGCTCATTGTTGAAGGCCATACTGTGACCTTCAGATGCTTAAATTCAAGCCATTTGGACTTTGGTGGATAGTTGTCTCATTGTCAATCATACCACATCTTCTCCATCATTCATTTAGTCATTTAGAGAGAACGACTTTAAGATGAGTATTATGTCATCAGCAACTAATTGATTAATAAAAGATTACCTTGTAATCAGTAGCTAAGTCATCTTTTACACTCTTGGCTAATGTAATATCACCTGAGGACGAATTCAGAGAGAAGTATTCACTGCCTGGAGGTACAACTGAATATACAACATTACCCTGAAAATAACAAAGATACGTTTTCTAAGTCTTTGAAAATATAAAAAAATCACATAAAAAACAAAAAAAACAAAACCAAAATATATGTTTTCAACAACACACAGAGAAATAATTTTCTTGAAGATATCAGAGACATATAATATATATAAGACCATAGATAGATCATAGAATAAGATAAAATGAAGAATTTTCTTGTAGAGATATAAAGATGACAAAAGAATTTTTCATTTACAGTTGAATCATGCAACATTTATGCATCAACTCTTTTTTTATAACAGCTGCATTGAGGTCTAAACTAATATCTAAAGCTATGATATACATTTGATATCACCAGGGCAACATGCTCTACTATCCTGTTTTCTAAGTGGATGCAAGAAAATGGAATTGGATGTTGTAACTCTTAAGCTATATTTTACAGACCATTCATTTAATACGAGTATACATGTATACCATTTTTTTTTAAATATCTGTACTATAAATTTATAGATCAATATATTTAATAGGAAGTCTTTAAAAAAATTTTTTATCCTGCAATAAAATATTTTGGATTCAAAATAAAGGTGTACAAATTAACTTGTGTTATATTAATATATGCATCCTGTAAGCAGTGAAAGCCAAGAAAAATTTAATTTTTCAAAAATAAATTGTAGTTAAATTGCAGGATAAAAACTATATATACATTATTGGAAAATATACAATTATATTGTACTACATAAGAAACAGAAGATAGAATTTCAGCAAGCTTGCTTTCTTTCCCCGTCTCTTTAGCTGGTACAATTAATTATAAATTTTCCAAGAATGTATATCATACTGTACATATATCAGATACTGCTGAAAAAAGGGTGATATTTCTGGTTACAAGATGTCAACTATTTTAAATATATACTATCATTAACTTACTTTTGGCTACAAAACAAAATAGCACATAAAATTAGACAGTAAAGAAATATTTTTCGTACATGGGTCTTTAAACACCTGCATGCATGTCGAAACATAAATAAGATCTCATATACACATCCATGGCATTTAACGTTTTGCAGTATTGTATATACCACTATGAAGCAGAAGACACTGTCCATTCAAGATGCAGTATTTTTTGCTTCATAGTGATAAATGACAAACATTAAACTTTGAATATCATCAACTGTTGGTAACTGTAAAAAATACTGAGTCTTTCTCAATAGTTACCTGCACTGTCAAAGACTGTATTTTTAAACACTGATTCAAACAACAGTCCTTGACAGTTCCTAAAATCAGACCACATGTTAAAAGTGTGTAAATTACAGTTACAGACAGTGTAGGTAAAAGTTACCAAAGACTGGTGATGTCACTTACAGCTGTAAATGTTAATTCTTAGACAGAAAATATCTTCCCTTGGAAGGACAGTCATTTTTGGTTTTATATTTTATGATTGTTCATAGTGTATAATGATTGTTCAGTGTATAATGATGGTTCATAATGTATACTGATTGTTGATTTTGTATAAAGATTGGTCATTGTGTATAATGATTGTTCAGTGTATAATGATGGTTCATAATGTATACTGATTGTTCATTTTGTATAACCATTGTTCATAGTGTATAATAATTGTTCATATTGTATAATGATTGTTCATTGTGTCTGATTGTTCATAGTGTATAATGATTGTTCAGTGTATAATGATTGTTCATTACATTATTTATACTGATTGTTCATTACATTATTTATACTGATTGTTCATTGTGTATAACCATTGTTCAAAGTGTATAATGATTGTTCATGGTGTATAATGATTGGTCATTGTGTATAATGATTGTCCATTGTGTATAATGATTGTTCATTGTGTATACTGCTTGTTCATTGTGTATACTGATTGTTCATTGTGTATAATGATTGTCAACAATGTATAATAATTGTTCAGAGTGTATAATTATCCAGTATCTTTGCAGCTAAAATTTTCTTATTCACCATGCTGTTGTTGAAACAGCTAAACAATGAATAAAATTGAGAATGGAAATGAGGAATATGTCAAAGAGACAACAACCCGACCAAAGAGCAGACAACAGCCGAAGGCCACCAATGGGTTTTCAATGCAGCGAGAAAATCCCACACCTGGAGGTGGTCCTCAGCTGGTCCCTAAATAAAATTGTGTACTAGTTCAGTGAAAATGGACGTCACACTAAACTCCAAAACATATAAATGAACTGAAATAAAAAACATACAAGACTAACAAAGGCTAGAGGCTCCTGACTTGGGACAGGTGCAAAAATGCGGCGGGGTTAAACATGTTTTTTGAGATCTCAACCCTCCCCCTATACCTCTAGCCAATGTAGAATAAAGAAACACATAGCAATAAGCACAGTAAAACTCAGTTTAAAAGAAGTCTGAGTCCGATGTCAGAATAGGTAACAAAAGAAACTAAGCAAAATGACAATGATACATAAATTAACAAAGGACTACTAGCAGTTACTGACATGCCAGCTCCAGACCTCAATTAAACTGAAAGTTTTTTAAGTGTACTCAAAGATGTAGAGAAGTGTATTTGTGTAATATCTTTTACTGTCAGACATATAAAAATTCTGAAAATATCATTAATTCGCACAATAACCATCAGACACAAATTGCACACAAAATGCAAAATTTGTAACTTAAAATATGGAGGACTATTTTTCGAATCATGTTCCAGAATCCTGTCAGCATATTCCTGTGGTCATGGATGATTGCACAAAGGTAATGGTAACCTTGGAACAAAATATCTTACAGAGTTTCACATACCAGGGCATCTGCTTTATATAACAATCACATACATAAATTACATGTAATATAATAAAAACAACTTCATACAACAACACTATCAAGAGTAAAACATTTTCTGGTTAAATTTAAAAAAAAACATTTGTAAGTCAACATGTTCAATAAAATACCCATAACCTAAAAAATTTACAATACTTCGATCAGAGGTTATTTACTTGACACATCATTCAAATTTCATGATGTATGAATACAAGTGGCGTTATACTTTGAAATTGTGGCTATTGATTTTTTTGTCGCATTTCTTTATTTGCTTCCATTTGTTTACAAATTGTTTAATTGATGTCTTAGCTTCCTTGTATGTCAGAATGTTCAGGAAATTACAATAAAAAGTTGTATGATAGCAATAAATGTTTTTTTTTCAAATTTTAAACTCCAATGTTCATTATGGAAGCTATGAAAACTAAAGCATAGGTAGTCCTAGATATTTATAATATTTTTTTTAAAGAATGTAAAATATGGTTAAAATAAATCAGCCTACAAAAAAATGGCAGAAATCCTTTACAAATTCTCATGAATATTTATCCAAATCAGTACTTAGTAATAAAAATTACATCATTACTTCAGTTAACAGGCAGAATAAAACAACCATTTTTCTAAACAGATAATCTCTGATCATAAAATTGTAAGCAATGTCAAAAACAAAACTATCAACAATGAACAAGGTCAAGGTGATCTTTCATCAAACCTATATCTGCTTACCGACTATAAATAAAATATAATAACTTTTTTAATAATGTTAATATGGAGAAGATTCTGCAAAGAAGACTTAATTGGTTGCACAATAAGTTCTGAATTTACTATAAAAATGCAATTAGGATAAATTTTTAAGGATTTAAACACATTTTGAAAGAGTAATCTGAATCAATATGGAGGGTGTTATACACTTATAGCACTATCCAATTCAAATATTCTGTATACACATTTCACTTGCAAGGGTCTGACACCTCTTTTCTGTTTTGAAGACATTTTAGGGAACCTCCCATTTTGTCATTATCATGTGCACTTTAGGCCCAAATTTCATTGGTTGACATAATAATTATAAGAACAGAAAGTAGAATGAAAAGTTGTCAGATCCTTGTAAGCAAAGTGTGGAAACAAGATCTGCATTTTAAGCAGATTGGTAACAGAAAAGAGATTCATAAATTTGTAACAGTCCACAGTAATCTTACGGCTAGAAGCTTTGCTGCCATAAAAGCAGCTTAAACCAACAGCGCCTTATATCACAGCTGTTTTTATGTACAATTCAAGAAGACAAAAGAATGCTAGTTTTGTATATCATTAAGAACAGAAAAAAAAATTGTGTTACTTGAATTTGTGTCACAATAAATTAATAACTCAATTAAAGATGTCTGATTTCAAACTCTGTAATCCCTTCCAAATTATTTCTACTTTAACATTAAGTTTACAATAATACTGTTTATGTTTGAAAGTATGACCTTCATCAAATTTCCTTCAGGGTCATAACTGTTCTTACGGTAAGTAAACAAGGAAATTTGTTGTTCTGAAATAGTGAAATTGCATAAATTGGTAAAATAAAGTCATGTAATTTTTACATTTCTTATATAAATTATAAAAATGGTGGACCTTTTTTAACAGACATAGCACATAACTTCTTTTTTATTAACCTACCAATCTATTGGCATCATTGGCAGTAACAACTAATACAGAATCACCAACTGCCTTGTTCTCCTCTATGATCTGTGTGTACTGGTTCCTAGTGAATATTGGTGGCTGTCCAGTACGATCAACTGTCAGAGTAGCAGTGGTATTGATACACCTCATAGGACTGCCATCATCACAAGCTTGCACGGTTACCTGGTTATAATAAACACAATATGATTTTTTTCAGATACTTATCTAACATGCACTCATTTATGGTACAAATATCTTCATCTATGTGGATTATGATTAGTCCATGTTAAAAGCTTAAGTTGTACATGTGTGTTTCTTCCCTAAGAGACACTAAATATAGCCTTTTGACTTTGGTAATGTTTTAAACATAAACTCATTAATTGATGTTATTACTTTTCAGACCTTTCCTTATATGTTCTTTTCTGTGAGAATTACTAGAGAACACAACTGCCTAGAAAAGTTTCAAATTCTCTATTTAGTGAATTATTATTTTTGTACAAATACATAAATGTTCAGAGACATCTTTGAACATAGATTGACTTTTAAGCTTCACCATATGGCCAGTTCAGTTTGACTCTGATTGATTTGATATGTGATTTTGCAAATCCTGCTCGACTCTGATTGATTTACTATGCAATTTCTCCATTGGAGCACAATTCACATATCAAAGTACACTTCTGACAGATCATTGCACATAGATTGGTGATTTTTTTCCAGAGCACCTCAAAAAACTAAAGTTAATTACTAATGTGGATTCATAATTATTTGTGGGATATCGATATTCATTGATTTCTTGGATAAAATAACCACTAATTCACATGTTCAACAAAGTACAAAAGTATGCAGAATTTGGCAAAACTTCGAAATCAAATGGCCCGAGAACACAGTTCATAGTGCATTTCTTTTAGACAATAAATTCAAATTAAAAAAATAGCACCTGCTCTATCTCAAAAAGATTTTTACGGTGTAATGTACTACTATTGATACAAATAATATCAAAATTATAGAAACTTCTACCAGCTCTAACTCAAAATATTGACAATTCTGTGTTAAGGGGGCTAAAATTCAGTTTGACAGCTTCAGACATTCTAATTTTTGACCTTTTTTAACTGGACCAAATCACTACTTAACATAAAGATTCAGCACCCAAATATTTTTAACATGTAATTTCATCCCCTTACTTAATATTTCATGCATAAAATATCAAGAAATGAATTGGGAAAGTGTATAAAAAAAAATGCAAGTTATACACTGTTCACACTAGGGACTATATTCGTAGACAACGAAAACCAAAGGACGATAACTGTGTCCTTGGACCAAATATCCATGAAAATGTAATAGTTCCTCAATCCATGAAAATAAATGAATCAACAGTATGAGATCATTGCACATAGAATTAATTATTTGCTTACATGACTTACCCAATCATATCTCATCCTTTGCTAAAAATATTCTAATACTTACATAGAATCTCTGAATATCAGTATTCAGTAACGACTTAGCCAGTTTCATCTGACCAGTTACATCGTCAATGAAGAAATAATCTGAGGGTCCAGAAGTAAGTGCTCTTTCAAGTCTCTCATTAACAATACCATAGCTTAAAGTGTCCTAAAATAAATGCCAAAAAATATAGTTCTGTTGAAAAACAAACTAGCAATTCTATAAGTAAAGACATCACTTGTAACAAAAATCAAGACAATCAACAACAATAAATTTTAAATTTCTATTATATGATTTGTCCAAACTTGTTGGTAAAAAAAGGAGGTTCACTATCTTAAATGTAGTGCGATTTTACAGAAGAGTTGGGTTTCCGTAAGTAATAGGTCAGGGTTAAGCTAAATTTAACACAAATAATTATACTAATTTGAGAAAAAGAAATTACAAACATAATCTAAGTTGAGATTTTTTAAAGAAGATACAGATTTCTGTGTTGCTACTAATTGTTTGGTTTTGGTAATGAAGATTGTAAAATTCTGGTTTAGGGCTCAAATCATATTGTCTATTTATAGGTACTGTAACCTATTATTTTGGATAAAATGATGGCACATATATGAGAAAAATAAAATAAAAATTATGGAAACACAAAAAAGAAGAAACTAGATATCATTGAGATGGGAGCCATCTCTGTGGGCCCCGCTGTGAATAATGTGTGGTAAAAAATTTGTATCTTTATCATTGGACATGGGGTTGTCAAATGAAACCAAAGTTTTTGACCTTGACCTTTGACCTAGGAAGTTGTACATAAATTATGACACGACCTCTGGTATTGGTTTATATACATATCAAGTATAAACTTTGAAATCATAACGGTTCTCAAGATATTGAGCGGACACGATCTTTACCATAGGACATGGGATTGTCAACTAAAACCAAAGTTTTTGACCTTGACCTTTGACCTAGGAAGTTGTACATACATTATGACACATCCTCTGGTGTTGGTTAATATACATATCAATTATAAAATTTGAAATCATAACGGTTCTCAAGATATAGAGCAGACACGATCTTTACCATAGGAAATGGGGTTGTCATCTAAAACCAAAGTTTTTGACCTTGACCTTTGACCTAGGAAGTTGTACATACATTATGACACACCCTCTGGTGTTGGTTAATATACATGTCAAGTATAAACTTTGAAATCATAACGGTTCTCTAGATATAGAGTGGACACGATTTGTTACGGACGGACGGACAGACGGACGGATGGACAGACGGATGGACAGACAGACGGACGGACAGACTGATCACTATAGGGCATCCGCCATTTGGCAGGGCCCTAATTAAAGACTTGATATAAAACCCCAGTTAATCCCTATGCTAGCAGTGTCCATTATTGTAAAACAAGCTTTTTAAAGAAGCCATACTTACATCAGGATCTTTGTCAGAAGCCTGGACTTTGATGACATCTGAAAACACTGGTGCATCTTCACGGACATCTGAATCATAACTTGGTAAGCCCCATTCTGGAAGATTAGGATTGCGTAACACTGTAATCTGCACAAGGGCTTTCCCACTTGTTGTTGGTCTTAATGTGTCATAGGCTTCAACAGTGAGCTGTAAAGAAATTTAAATAGATATGATATATTTGAAGCTTCCAGTTACTGCGAATTCATTATTTTTTCTTGGAATACCAATTTTTGTGGATTTTATAAACCACATGAAAAATTCCTATACCGGTAAGCTTGTTTTATTCAACATTTGTTAAATCAAATATCGATGAAAATACAATTTTTCTTCAATCCACTAAAATTGGAAACCACGAAAATAAATTAATCCATAGATGGTAATTATTTGTACATAGTGTGAATAGTGTCTTAGCCATTATATAGTTTATTCAGTATGGATTTGATGAAGCAACAGGAAAAAGTTCTCAAAATTTCATGGCAAAAAATATAATTTATTTATCTATAAGAGATGCATTACATCCTCTAGTGCTTCAAATCCCCCATAGAGATTTGAGAAGTTAGTAGGCATGGACCACATTGTTTCTATATTTACAATAGCTTATGGAGAATTCATGATTTATTTAACAAACAATCAAACTTAAATTGCATGCATGAAGTATTCACTCAAATAATTCAGCTATAACAGGTTTCTGTTGTTAGAAATACCTACATTATATACATCTGCTGACGTATCTCCCCTAACACTTCTGATTATTGACACTTGACCACCGACAGGATCGACTCCAAACAAACTTGGAGCTGGATATTCTCCAACAACTATGTATCTGATTGCACCCTGTAATGAACATGTAAATATAAATAGTTATATATTTATAGTAAAGGCGTCATGAGCTTGAATCACTCACCAGTCAAAAATTTGCACTATCAAAACTTTTAACAAAATTTGCATCCATCTTTAACACACTAAGTATGCTTATTACCAAGTTTGATCCATGTCCACTAAGAGAAACATTTAAAAAAATATGAAAAAGCCCTTTAAGGACAATAACCCCTTTAAGGTAACTTAATTCTATTGTATTAAATTGTTCACTCTTGTTCATAATTTTAGTTTTATTTAAATATAATTAAAGTAAATTATCTTTATTTAAAAACAATTCTGAAGAATCTATATTTCTACACAGGCAGCAACCTTTTTGTTCATCAGTATTATACATGCAAACACAAAAGGAATTTAAGGTATGTATATTATGTCTGCTGAATTTATCAAAGTCCTGTAACAAATTTTTAATTTTACAATCAATAAATCTTTATTTTTTGCAATAACATAATCAGTTTTTCAACAAAATTCTCTCTTTATGTTTGAAAAGCATTGAAACAAGCCATGTTTGCTTACTCATAAAAGAATATGCAAGACAGGAATAAAATCTATCCATATGTACCATGTGAAAATTAAATGAGGACATAGTGAAGGAGATAACTCCTAACCAATATGGTTACCTGTCCTAAATTAGCAATTTAGAAAATAGAAACAAGGATACAGTAACTTACCTGTCTGTCATTATCCGAAGCCTGTACTGTTACTATAATGTCATTCAAAGGTCTGTTCTCATTGATTGTTACAGGATAAACAAGTTGTGTGAATGTTGGTACACTAAGGTCCCTTATGACATTGATGACAACATTTACAGTGGCAAGGTTCTTGCCATCTGAGGCTTGGGCAACCATCTGAAAAAATGATCAAGAAGAAATGTAAATAGAAAATTTGATGGCTTATTTAATATCACACTGGTTTTAACTAGAGACACCAATATAATCCCAAGAGCTCTGATGTTTGTGATATTGAAAAGGACATAACATATACACTTGTTGCAGGATTTTCTCGTTGTGTTGAAGACCCTTTGGTGGCCTTGGGCTGTTTTCTGTTCTTTGGTCGGGTTGTTGTCTCTTTGACACATTCCCCATTTCCAACAGAATTTTTTTCCGTCAGGTTTGATAAAGCTTGTGCATGAGTGATTTCAATATGTTAGCCATTGAGAATATACTCATAGAATTTACTTGTATTTACTACTAAGTATATAATAAAATAGTTTAACATCCCTCTCTTAAAAAGAAGGACCGTAATAAACATGTTTTGCAAGGTTTAAATACTGCAATAAACAAATCACATTTACTTAAGATTCAAAACCTGTTACAGAATTTGTATCTAGGGTACAAAATTAATCTTTCTTTTTAACTTACTGCTAAACTGAAAACTTACAGTGTAACTTGTGACAGTATCTGTCGTCAAAACATTCTGAACAAAGACAATGCCTGTATCTGGATCCAAGGTAAAGAAATCATTGGCTGTTGTCGTTGAGATTACAGTATAACGTAGTTTATCCTGCAAATGAATAGTATACATTTTTGAAATTGTTGCAGTTTACTTAAGGGCTGTTCTCAATTTAGCGGTATTTATAATCATTTTTATTTGAAAACCCTGCATACCAATGGTATTCAATTACCAAAACGTAATTTAGGACGCATTGGTTCGGCAGTTCTTCATTTTGAAATTTATAATATAGAAATCATAATTATAAAAAAAAGTTCTATAAGAGAAATTTAAAAGGTAGGAATGGCCTGTATTGTCAAGCAATAAATGCCCCTTTATTCAACAGTTGACTCAAATGAGCTTATCGACTTTATCCTCAATAGTCATATCATATTTATTTAGTTAGTTAAAGTTATTATATACAAAAAAATAATAAGAATTACTGTTTTAAATTTCAACCCACATCTACCTTAAACAAAAGTTTTACTGTTAATCTTCATATGAGGTACCCCTTCCCCATCCTCAAATAAATAAAATTGAGAATGGAAACAACACTTACGCCATCAATGTCAGTTGCATTCACTCTGATGACTGCCACGCCAACTTGTGCTGTTTCGTTTATCGTTGTTTCAAATTGCAGGCGTGTAAAGATAGGTTGGTTTTCGTTTCTAGTCACAGTGATGTTTACAATATCTTCTGCAAAGTCTTTAGGATATATTGAATCCCAGGCTCTAACTCTTAACTACAATGAAAGCAAAAGTTCTTAATGTAATTCACATTTTTATTAGAAGGTGTCACCAATATCATATTATACATAATTGGGATCTTTATAGTGGATATGGGCTCGTATTCCCTCTCAATGTTTCATATGATCTGAGCTCTCAGGCAAAGGGAATATAGGGCAATGACAAGGAATATGAGCCCATATACCTTGTGAAGCCCAAATAACAATTATACCATACAGGAGTGTCCTAATTTTTTCAATAATTACCATTCTGATTTTCGCTTTTTTGTGCTCATATACCCTGTCAAGGTAACCAATCAAATTGCAGGATAAGACGGGATATTGCACTCCAGTATAATATATATATGCTTGTCAAATGCATTTTGTTAAAATATACTTTTTCACTTTTTTGGTCTTTCGGAAAATGTTGTTTGTGCTGTATTTAGACCTCTCTAACAAGAAATTTGTTTTGCATGCACATGTATAAAAATTGTGGTTTTTATCCAACACATTCATAGGTTTGAACGTTGTTTTCAATTTAGACTTGTTTATATTTTTTTCGTTTGGGCTTGTATTATATTTGCCTTTGGATTTATATGATCCGTTCATCCTATTTCGACTCTTCAAAATTCAAGAGTCTATCCTAAATTGAGGTAAATTATATGGCCTTCCAAATACCATTTCGATTCCTAACATCACTGAAGAGAAATCAATTGTCGAAATCCGGATATGGTGTACCAATTTTTGCACCTTTTGTTTGCGGTACACCATCTTTTCCGCAAGTTTATTGTTTTCTGTTTGGTATTTTAAAAATCAATAAATAAAATCCATTTTGTTAAATCTGGTGATCCATTTATTTGGCAATCGCCAATGGCAGTCAGCAGGGTTTAAGAACATCAGTTGTTGGACCTGCTTGTCAAATGCGTTTTGTTAAAATATACTTTTTCACTTTTTTGGTCTTTTGGAGAATGTTATTTGTGCTGTATTTAGACCCCTCTAACAAGAAATTTGTTTTGCATGCACACGTATAAAAATTGCGGTTTTTATCCAACCCAATCATAGGTTTGAACTTTGTTATCAATTTAGACTTGTACATATATTTCTTTGATATACTGACAGTTGACTGAAAGACATGACATCAACAGTGATAAATTTTAGACATTGGATCCTTTACACAATATATACTTTCCAATACATACTGTAGGCAACTCAGGAATATTGCTTAATGTAAGTTTAAGGTCCAGCAGCAAATATTATAGGCATATTTAGGATGAGTTTTTTTTTACAGAAAGACAAACCAAGTCAAAATTTAAATGTGCTAGTTCAAAAGACAACAATTTACAGAAAGAAATATCCCCATTCAGACAAACTATGACCCTTCAAGTCTTTGCTGTTACTACTGAATGCTACATGCTTAGGGAAGAAGCAGCACATAACTTATATTAATGTATATGGTTTGACTTGGCAAGTGAATGAACAAAAGACACCCAACATAAGATGTGAGTATGCTATCGTGATATCAACTTCATACCATTAGCACCAAATTAATTCTTAAGCTAAAATCTTAATTAAAGGCTAATAATTGCCCTCAACTTTACGATTGGCTGAGCATATCTTGAGACAGCCATGTACACAAATAAATATGTTATATATGGTGTATTATATCTTCTTACTCAACTATTTTAATAAAAGAATTGAACAATGAACACAAACTACGGAAAATATATCTTTTAAAAGTAATGCATTAATATCACATTGTAACGTTTCTTGTATATCTAGAGTGAAATTATAATTCATTTTGTTCAAGCAAAGAGATATCACACTTAACATTTTGAATGGGAGGACCAACATTTTTAGGTAACGTATCTTTTCTTTCTTTTCTAAAATGGAAGCTGAAGAGAAAAAGAAGTAAACAGAAAAGCTTTGATCATTCTGTACTGAAACATTGGAACTTTGAATGTTTTACGGAAACTTGAATATTTTTATAACACTTACAATGTAATTTGTGGCATCTTCATTCTTCAAATCATTCTGCATAACAATTCTTCCTGCAGGAACACCAAGAGAGTTTGCCAGTTTAAAAAAGTATGGGGCGGAAAGATCTCCAAAAATGCCATACGTCATTGTACCCTGCAATTAGAATAATAAAATGGTGCAGAGGACAGTTGTTAGTACTAATTACAACAAATTTTCACTGGACATTCAGACTAGTAAAAAACTAGTCACTGGTACAATATGCATTTTGACTGTCAAACCAGCATCCTTTTTCATTCAAATTTTTTTTAACCTTTACTGACCTTCAACATGTCATTTAAAAAGTCATTCTTTTGCTTACACCAATTATTATCACTCTTTACATAAATGCATATGTGTATCAAAACCAATATTATATAAACAGAACAAAAAGAGCTGTCTGAAGTTACCATTTCAATAGACATATTTACATTTTTGTGTATAAGCTGAATTTACTCTGACTGACCCTAGATCTGTCTCAGAATAACCTTCTGGTGTCATGCAACAATCATTTTTTAATTATAAGGTTTATTGTTTTAAATTGTGACGCAAGATTTTTAGGGAAACTTTAAGTAATGACGGACAAATTTGCAAACAAGTGTTAATACGTCTATACTGGCAAAATTATTGAAACCAAGCTGCTGAAATTAATTGAATCATAAAAATGATACTAGAGTAAAGGATAAATTCTTTAAAAATATATTTTACCCTCAGGTCATTATCAATCGCTGACAGTGTGAACACTGAGGTTGACAGGAGAGAGTTCTCTGACAATGTCCTGGTATATGGTAGACCTTGGAACTGAGGTGATTGCTCGTTACGATTAACATTAATAGTCACATCACCTGTGGCATCCTTTTCAAATGTTAATTTTTGGTCCCGAACTCTGACTTTCATCTACAAAAAAAGGAGAAAAAAATCTTCAAGATAAATTTCTATAAATCATGGGAAATTGTAATTGTAGACCAGTTACAAGGTAATGGGGCAGGTTAAGATTTTTCAGGAGAATGAATCAAAATACAATAATTTAACAATTAATTTTATTTGGCTTATTTAATACCCTTAACTCAAAATACATCTTCCAACTTCGAAAAAAATTAGTAAGTTTTGAGCCTTTCCATTCTAAATATCTTTCTTACTGGGAAAGAAGTTTTTAAACAGGAAGCAAAAAAAAACCAGCTGACTTTTTTTGCTAAATATTAAAGATAATTAAATCCATGAACAAAATTACCATTTGCTATTTTTAATAATGAAAAAAGCTTATTTTCAAAAATAAGATCCTACATTGTAAACTTTGGCTTTTGTGGTATCTGTCTGAAGATCTTTTGAAACAGTGATGAGTCCGTTATCTGGATTGATACTGAAGTACTGAAGTGCCCTCGCTGAAGCCATTGTTCCATCACTGAATAATACATATCGTAAAGTATCCTGAAATACATACATCGGTATTACAATTCATCATATTACAATCCTGAAATATATACATCGGTATTTCAATCCTGAAATACATACATCGTATTACAATCCTGAAATACATACATCGATTACAATTTGGCTGTTGTGTGTTGAATTCACTTTGGAAACAAATGTTAAAGCAGAGGCCACTTATCTGCAATTTTTTTCTTTTTTTTTTACTAAAGATCATTTTCTTTATTCTTGAAACAATCAATTTCTTCAGTCAATCAGTACTTATTTGAATCAACAAAACAAGAGTTGAGCTGTCAAATTGACAGCTGCTGCTTTTTTTGTTTGTTTTACTAAAGGTCATTTTTTTTAATTCTTGAAATAATCAATTTCTTCAGTCAATACTAATCTAAATCAACAAAACAAGAAATGAGCTGTCAAATTGAAAGCAAACCAGGTTTTCATGTATTTTGAAGGCGCTTTCAGGCTTGTTTGACTTGCCACGTTCTGTGAAAATTTTTCAATCTATCAAGGACCATAACTCCTGAACAGTAAAAATGAAAATTGTCAAATATTGAACTTGACCTCTCTTTTTATTAGTAAAAACATTAAAACTTGAAAAGCATTCGGGGAACAGTTAATAAATAATTGTATACAAACTGCTGTACCTGATCACCATCTGTGGCTGTGATATTCAGAATGTTAGAGCTGATTGGTTGGTACTCCCAAATGGTTGTCGAGAATGATACAGGGGTCAGTTTTGGAGGGTTAGGATTATGTACAACATCAATCGTTACCGTTCCAGTGGCAGTTTTACCCAGGGATCCTGGATCGTAGGCTGTAACTATCAACTAAAAACAAAAAGAAATCTAAATTAAAATGCCACTTTCAAAGATAAAAGTATGAGAAACAAGATAATAATGAGAAATAACAATATAATATAATATAAGTGAGTAAATTTCATTTAATAACAGTTTGCATATATATTGTGTTAATTTGTAGTTTAAAAATGTATTCCATGGTTTCAACTGTAACTTTTTGACATAACTCATTTTTATCTCGTTTAGCTAGTAGCTTTTAAAAATGATTGAAGAGGGATTTTATCTTCAACATTCATTACATTTTATTAATTATTGTTGTTTGTTTGTTGGTACTGTAATTTCAAAATATTTGCAAGGAATTATCAATGCGAAAATTGTGACAAAATAGGAATCTTTTTTTATTGGTGGAGGAAGCAGGAGTGCCCACACCTTCAGCAGGAAAGTATTGTAGTTGATCCCTAGTGAGATTAATACAGCAGTTTGTTTTCTTTAATTAAACCTACAATGTATCTTGTTTCAACATCTTCCTTCAAGTTGTTCCTTACGTACACACCACCAGTAGAATTATTGACAGTGAAGTAATATGGAGCTTGGAGATCCCCTTGTATACCATATACAAGAGGTTGCTGAAAAGTAATAAAAATAAATAATATAATATAAAGAGAACTACCGAATTCAGGCTTGTATAGTCTGCGAGAAGGGGGTGCGGACTTTGTACCAGTGCGAACTATACACGGCCAATTACGGTACATATCTTTCCTGATGAATAAAAAAAATACACTATCTAATAACAGATGAAACAAAGTATTTTCTGACTCATTAAACATTAATGAAAACTTCCATGCTGTGAGCAGTTATAGAGGTGAATTATAACAGAACAAATAAAGACAACTTCTCATTTATGTCATAGACACTGACTTTTTTCAAATAAGAATTGGTATGAGATGTTCCATGACAAACTCTTGATTTAATAATTTCTAATTAAGAGACTGGTGGTATGCATTAAAGCTCAAATGGTCACTGAAAGCTCTAGAATATCAAACCAATTGCACATAATGATTATATATCATTGCTAATATTGGCAAAATTTATTTTGTCTTTTTTCTTTATGTCACACAGCTTGGTTTTAAGATGTCTGCTACCAAGAGCAATTTTGGTTTCTGATGCAAACTTTGTAATAATTATGCATAACAAAATGTTTTTAAACACACTACAAATTTCAAAGCAGAAAGATATCTTCTGTCTTGAATTTTGGGATTACTTTTGTAGAATCTTTAGACTATTTTTTTTGACGAATCTCAAGACAATTTTTACAAGATTTTGAAAGGAGTAGGTCCGGTAAGACCCCTTTTTGGCCCCAAAATATAGCATTTTCACAAATTTGTTGAAATGTAAACTTTTAGCTATTCATTGGAAAGAAGAATACTTCTGTTCCATAAATATTGGCTGACAATACACATGCACATGCATCAGATACTAGCATCATAAATTCATGCAATATTACTGAAATCTTCACAATTTTAGCATTTGTGCAAATTTTAAGAGGTTTTTGTCTAAAATGGAAGTGGCCGCATTTGTGTTCAGTCTTAATATTCAAATATATGTTGTATTTGATGATATTACATAACATATATAAAGGTTGAGACTGAACAAGAATGCGGGCACTTCCATTTCAGACAAAAACCATCTGAAAAGTGACGTTTTATGGCATATTTGATAGATTTTTGATACTCAAGCTTGAATTTGAGCGTCTTTCATGACCAAATCGGTTCAAATCTTTTACATAAACTATTTGAATTGACTTAAGTAGACACTTAAGTGTTAAAAAATGTAAAAACTCCTTCATCAGATGTACTTCGAATTTTAGGCCAAAACTAGCCCTTACCAGACCTTCTCCTTTGTTCTGTAATATAGTTGTGTCAGTCTCAAATGAAAAAGAAAAATAGTGACATTATATTTCCAAACCATTCAGTTTCTGTACAAAGTACTGGATTTTTACAAAATAAAGCAAAGTTAACCCCAAATTTTGATTTTGAACATAAACAACTAATAGGATTTTTTTTAATATTTCAAACCTTTCTATCAGCATCAGTAGCTGTCACTACAACAAGGGGGTTTTGTCCGTTGACTGGTTCCGTCTCATCAATCTGTTTGTAGTATGCTGTTGGAATGAATGTCGGGGCAGCATCACGTACAACATTGATGTTGACACCACATGACGTAGTACTTCCTCCGGTATCTGTTGCGATTACATTAAACTGAAATATATCATAAAACCTTCATTACACTGTATCAATGCAAAAGAAAGTTCTACTAAGATGGGTTGAAACTCTTCTTTCAAGGGGAAGGCTATTTGGCAAAAAAAAAAATTATTAACAGAGGTAGTTCTCATCTTTTCATGCTGCAAAATCAGAATCAACAAGTGAAACTGCAAGCTACTGCTCACTGATGATACCCCCAGCCCAAATACTTGACCGTAAACAGGAAGTTGTTGAGTGATCAATCTGAAAACGCATCACACGGTATAGCTGAATTATATAAACACTGAAATCAAAATTCAGAAATCCTTGTAATTTAGTTCCTGAGACAATGTGACGCAAATTTTCAACTTGGATGTGTTGTGTAAAATGATGCAAGTGTTCGGTAAACAGGAAGTTGTTGAGTGATCAATCTGAAAACGCATCACACGGTATAGCTGACTTATATAAACCCTGAAACCAAATTTCAGAAATCCTTGTACTGTAGTTCCTGAGAATGATGGGACGAAAAATTTTCATGGGACAGATGGACGGACTGACAGACTGACAGACTGACGGATGGATGGATGGATGGACAGACAGAGGTAAAACAGTATACCCCCACTTTTTTAAAGCGGGGGTATAATAATAAATCTGCCATATATAGTCAAGCATTTGAGTTTGTCAGGTTTAATGGAGTCTACCCTTTTTTTTTAATTTACCTTGGAGTTCAGTATTTTTGTCAATACTTTATTACTACAAGTATATTGGAATGAATATCTGTTTTTAAAAACTTCTACAACTTGAGGTTCATATTATCTTACCACAAAGCTATTTTGAGCTGTAGTTGTAAACAATCTTTTCAGAGTGATGACACCATTTTCTGGGTTGATATATAAGAAATTCCTTTCTGTAGCATCAGTGGTAGCAGCATCAAAACTATATGTCAGTTTATCCTGCAAGGAAAAAAAAAAGTTCTGAAATCATTCATGCACACATATCAAAATGGTTGATTTATGATTGATTGTTGGTGCTTAACTGCACTTTCGGCACCCTTTGCTATAGGGTGACGACCAGTTTTTATTGGTTGTGGAAGTAGGAGTGCCCATAGAGAACCACAACCTTTCAACCAGAAGACTGGCAATCCCAGTCAAGTAAGATTGTATTCAAACACACGTGCCACAAGCAAAATTCAAAATCATAACCTTAATATTGACAGGCTAGGGATTGCTGTAGATGAACTACATGTACTTTGAACCCTCAGCTACCCAGGCCCCATATTAAAAACATAGGTAACTTGAAAAAATTTACTAAGGAATATTTCAGAGAGGGCCATTTCTTACAAAATGTTTGCAAATTCTTGTTATTTCTGCTTCAACTTTTACACAGTAAAATGCATTTCTTTCCAAACATTTTTGTATGAAAAATGCAGAGGACCCTTTTTCCCACCAAAAGTTGACTTTTTAAAATGAATGTTTCTTAAAAACAAGCAACATGCCTAGTTTTTTTACCACATTATATTGATGTATTGTATATTCTCCATTGAAAAAGACTTCATTTTCAAGAAAAAAATGTTCTTATTTAAACATTGATCATCCATAAGACTAAAGTTTCAGGTTTAACTTACTCCATCATTATCAGTCGCATTTACATCAACTACAAGCTCTCCTAGTGCTGTGTTTTCTGGTGGAGTAGACTGGAATGTCCCAAGACTACAAGAAGGCGTACTTGGATTACGATTGACGGTAAAAGTGACTATACCAGTGGCTCTGTCGTTTGGATACATACTATCATAAACAACTAGTTCAAGCTGTCAAAAAATAAAACATAATATAGTTACATGCTGATGTTTATCCATTTAATTTTGTAATATAAAAGCATCTTTAATACAGATACTGGTATTCATGGCATCTTGTTCTTGAGGTTCAGATACTTTTCTGTTATGATACATTTCTGGTAAGTAATTAATGAAAGAAATATTACGTTTCCAACTGGTGAATATTGTCGTTATCAACTGAGTGTAAATTCTCCCTTTTTTCAAATTAGAACTGTAGCTTTAATTGTGTGTGTCTTTTTTTTCTGTCATTGTATGGATTAGTTTATTACTGCTTCGCATGTACTTTATCACTTTAAGACTATTCTTAAAAGATTAAGGTGGTACCAAACACCTGGACTAAAATTAATTTGGCTTGTTTCATTTTCATAAAATTTTGACAAAATATTTACTTTGACCCTTTGACAAAAATATAAAAATTTCAAGAAACTTGAACCACACTTTATCGGAAAAATTTCATTGGATATATAGCAATTTGACAAACACTAATTTTGATCATTGTGAAGCTTAATATTTCCTAAACAATAGAATGTGATTAAAACATTTATCTGATTTTTACAGAGTTATCTCCCTGTAGTGTTATGTACCATCTTAAAGAATGGGATGAAGCTACAACTGCTGTGCATGTTATACATATACCAAATTCATACTCTATCACAAGTTAAATGTTCAGAAGCTAACATCAACTCTCAACTTCCATGTTCCACTTTATAGATTTGAAGATAACTTCAGTACTGTAAATATATCTATTTTCCTGGGTAAAATATTTTGTGGATTGAAGAATAATTGTATTTGAGGATATTTGATTTCGTGGTTTTGCCAAAATCTGCATACAAGCCTATAGAAAAGTTATACTTCGATAAACATTTAGATTCAGGGTTCACCTTGACCCATAAAATCCATGACAATTGGTATCCCATGAATAATAATGGATCCAGAGTACATAGTATTACTTACCTTGTATGGATTAGTCTGCAAAGCGTCCTCTGTCAAAAGCCTTGATGCTGTTACTATTCCGGTTGTCATATTTACATCAAAGAAGGATGGAGCAGGGTACATGCCATTTTTTTCAAATTGCAATATTCCCTAAAACAAATTATTTTATTTGAAGTGGAAAAATAGTCTACTTTGCCTTTTTAACACACATGCAAATTACAACTTAACTTAATTTTTAAAACACCCTATGAATCAATTGTTTCATGGTAAAAAAAAAACCAGATTAACAATCTTTTAACACAATGCCTTTCCAATGATTTTTCCCCTTGATCCTCACTGTTTAATTAAGAATAAGACACATTTTTTTTTTCATTTCTCAAATGATTAAACTTCAATTAATGTATTTTTTTTATTTGAAAGAAAAAAAAATCTTGTATATTCACCCATAAAAATAACTGAATTGTAAAAATTACAAGGCTGTGAGCAATAGCATTTTCAAATGGAACTGAAACTATTTTTGTGGGGAAATATCATATCGACACAATGAAATAATATATATCTATAAATAATTTTTAAATCTGATAGAAATGTTCTTTTTAATTTTGTTAAAAAGAATAGTCCAAATTTTTCAATCAACAATCAACAAAAGTTAATTTATTTATAAAGCAATGAAGACAATCATGTCTAAAACGTAGTTGGAAAAATTGTTAAAGATCAAATGATTTAGTTCAATTGAATTTCAACTACAGTAACTACAAAGAATGTTGTTAATGTTATATCTTTATTAGCTTACCGGTGCTCTAAGGTCACCATCTCTAGCAGACGCTGTGAAAGCAAGACTCCCGACATCAAGACCTTGTTCTAGATTTACTCCAGCAGGAAGGTTTGTAAACGTCGGCGACTGTTGGTTCCTAACAACTGTAATGGTTGCAACAATACTGATACATTGTATTGGTGTTCTGGTATCACAAGCTCTAATTGTAATCTGAAAGATATCAAACAGGAAGGTTATAAGCATTCAATAAATTGTTGACAGTATTTCCAGCAACACAATTATCCAAAACTAATTGCCATTTACGTTGTTTCTATTACTTCAGTATTAATTTGGTTGAAAATATTTGAATTTAACCATTATAACATGTATAATTCTATATAGGTAAGGCTCTAAGGCTAAGCCTTTGCTATTCTAAATTTAAATAAATTTAAATATAAATACACAATATCTATACATTGTCTCAAAATATATAATTTATATGTACAAGGCTTAGAATCAGATAGGATGAAAGTTAGAGCATTTATACCCTGTTCTGAGCCGCATAAAAAATGTTTTTTTTAAAATTAATTTATGGTTGTTCTCTTCAAACTGCAACTCTTAAAAATCAGTTCTAAAGGCAATACTTTGGATCAACAATTTCAAATTTGAAGCAGACGATATAAAATTTCTGTAAACCTGCATATTTCATGATGTCATAGATAAAACTCAACTGAACCACATTATCAAAGTCAAAACAAGGAGTATATGGTCAGTGACTTTAAAAAGCAGACGTCTATATGGTCAATGCATATTAACAGCACAAAAACACAGCTGCAGTATAAAACAAGATATTTTCTATATTTATAGATTATTGATGGTTTATCAAATGAGAGGGTGTTTCTCAGCTACAATTTCATCGAAATGAGATGAGAAGCGACAGAAAAACATCCTGGAGTTTGAAAGACCACTGATAATCTGTATATCGCTTTTTTCCCTATGACGTTGTTGATGTTTACATTGACAATGGCATGTGCACCTTTAGTTTTAAGTGATAATTTTATTTCTCAAGCAAGAAGCGTGATATGAAAAATTATCACACAAAAAAATCAAAGGAAAAATACACAAAATAGCGATAAAAAAAATTCTTAATCTCCTTGAGCATTATCTGTTTGTAAAAAGTAGCATACTGCAACAGATTTAAATAGTTTCATCACATCGATACACATGTACAATTTCAAAGGTTTAACAAAGTTTCAGTTATGTATGTATTTGGTTTTGCTCTTTTATAATTTGCCCCTATTGAGGTGCATTGTTTTATTTTAAGTAAATTTACCCTATCTTCCAACTGTGTGCCTTCTGACAGAAGTTTCTTCAATGTAATTCTCCCAGTTGTTGGTTCTATGTAATAATATTCTAGGGCTTGGGCAGTTCCCATTATTTCATAAGTAACTGGATCCTGGAATGAAAAAGAAAGACATTTATGAAATATAAAAATTTAATATTAGATGAAGAAAATGACAAAAAGTAGAGTAAAGTGATCTGTTTATGATCTTTGTTTGTATTTTTGTATCATCTCCTGTACATTTATTTATCCTGCAACCCTTTTGTTCCATAGTGAATACTTAAAAAAAAGAAAATACGAACAGCAATTCCTATAATGAAAAATAAAAATTTGAGATAATCTCATATTCTAAATTCGGAACATTTAATTTCATAGTAATGGTAAAGTAGGTGGATATGGTATATTAATTCCTGACACAAAAACTCTACATGCAATTGACAAAATCAAAAGGCAAAGAAATAACATTTTAACCGCTAGGGCCGCATCCCCCTAACACCCAGTCCCTTTTTTACACCTCACTAACTTATCAATTATTACCAAATAAAACTGAAACCAGTCAAAACACCTGGTTTCTACTCCTAAATGTTTAATAAATTCTCAAAGGTCCTTACAAATCACTTACATTTCTTTTTCTATGTATGATGGGTTCTGTAAATTTAAAAAAACAAAATTTTGCAAGGGTTATTTGGGCTTTATCAGGACAACTAAAATGTGCAAATACTTTTTTACAAACCAATAATATTGATTCTAAAGGTGCATTTTGCCAAATCCTGCGTGAAAAAATTCATGCATTAAAACCACTAATCTATCAACTTTTACAGCAGTTGTTAATTCAATTTTTATTATTACTTACATTATCTGTAGTATCATTGGCATTCACTTGGAGAACAAACTGTCCTAGAGTATACAAGTCATTAATTGTGGCCGAGTATGGTCCTCCCACAAATGCTGGCCGACCCAAGTTTCTCTGCATTGTGATTCTTACAGTAGAATTTGCACGGTTGTTGGGGTACACAGAATCATAGGCTATCACTTCCAACTAAAAAATTCAAGAAGGTAAAAATATTAATATAAGACTGAAATTCAGGAAGACATGTAACAGCAATGAGATAAGATTAAATGTATAGTTTGCAATGTACTTTCATTATCTTGAAGTGAACTTACTGAAATAATCCATAAAGTTCAAAAGTTTGAAATAAATAAAAAAACATCAGCTCTGAAGAGTTGTGTGGAAATCTGGTCTATTCTGATTTATCAGGCCTTATAGGAAACTTATAAACTTGACCAAACCTCTGACCAAAATATACAAATAGTTAACCGTGGTATCATAGTTTTTGTTGCCATAGCATATTTTACAGGTCAAATGCAAGGACTACTAATAAATACAACAAAAAATTGCAAAATTTAACAGCTGTCATGACATACATACTGGAAACCTGAGGTGTTTTGACCTTCAATTAACAGCTACTGGAAACCTGAAGTGTCTTGACCTTCAATTAACAGCTACTGGAAACCTGAAGTGTCTTGACCTTCAATTAACAGCTACTGGAAACCTGAAGTGTCTTGACCTTCAATTAACAGCTACTGGAAACCTGAAGTGTCTTGACCTTCAATTAACAGCTACTGGAAACCTGAAGTGTCTTTACTTTCAATTAACAGCTGTCATGATATACATACTGGAAACCTGAAGTGTCTTGAACTTCAATTAACAGCTACTGGAAACCTGAAGTATCTTTACCTTTAATCAACAGCTGTCATGATATACATACTGGAAACCTGAAATGTCTTGACCTTCAAGGACTGTGCTCCAAATTTCAAAAGACAGACCATTCTTTTAACATACCGGGTAGTCTGATCACATAAAGTACATAAATAATACTTAAGAAGAGAGTATTAAGAATGTAAAAACATTAATAATAATTCACAAGCAAAACAAAAATACCTCATATACTGGAGTATTGTCAGCTTTCATCAATGCCTGGTTGATCACAGAGACAGTTCCTTGTGTAGGATCAACATCAAAGAAGGCCGGTGCTGATCCTTTACCTATTACATCATACACAATGTCACCCTGTAAGACATAAATGAAACTTTCTCTACATTATAAACAATGGCACATTGCATGGCATAAATTGGAACTTTCTCTATATTATAAACAATGGCACATTGCATGGCATAAAACCAAACTTGCAACAGAACCTTTTAAAATAGATGAATTTGGTTTTTAAAAGTAAGTCATACATTCTTGTATTTGATAAATTGAAGTAACTTTGTACAGTTCATTAAAAAAAATAATTAAGATACATTTTAGAGATGAAATTTACGGAATTTTGTAATTTGTATAAACAAGGCAATAATTCAAAGAAAGTTAAGGCATGTAATTTCAAAGATATTAGTTCTAAACATTTAGTATTTTGTTTGAGTTCAGTAAGCAATAACCAAAATCACTTCTTTTTTTTGTTTCAATTTAAGAATACCTATGTTATATCAACTTACACGTAAATCTTGGTCTGTGGCTGTCACTGTGACAAAGACTGTACCATCAGGGCTATTTTCTGTGACTCCAGTAATGTATGGATTACGTGTGAACAGTGGAGGGAATCTATCTCTGAGGATATTTAGATTTACTCTAGCTGTAGCTGTTCTAGGTGTAGCCCGCTGGTCACTAGCTATGACATTGAACTGAAAATATACACCAATCATTCATAAAGATAAACAACATCAACATAATTTAATAGGTCAGCATGAACTATGTTAACCCCTAGAACAGCAAACTAATTGCTTAAATCCGCTTCTTATGAACTTTGGTGGATAGTTGTCTCATTGGCAATCATACCACATCTCCTTATTTTTATAATAACAAAAATATTTATGTAAAAAAATCTGTCTACTTAAAACTTTATTATATATATATTTTTGAAAGATGTAAATATTTTGTTATGAAATCTTAGACCACAGTTTTTTTTTATAGTACCTGCTGGCATGTTGTTATAGACAATCAAATAACTTTAAAAAGTCACCAGCTTTTTGATTCTGTATCAATTCCATTCATGGTCTCATTCCACATTAGTATTTAAAAGTCAATAAAACCGGACAATAATCCTGAATTGAATCTCAAATATAAAATAAACTGTTATCACAGAGATATGTCTCGCCTTTTTGTAATTTTGATAATGCAAATGTTGAAATTAAAATAGCAATACTTTAACATGTAAGTTATGCAAATATTCAAAGTCGATGAACCATGACTGAAGGTACAGGTCTAAACAATTTCCATGGAATGAGATGTGCCAATGCTAATACAACTGCATACCAAATACCATAGACTTATTATAAGTCGTTCCCTTTAAACAAACCTAAACACAAACATTAACTTGTAAACTATGTAAAAGTTTCAAAGTTAATGAACCATGATCAGGGGTGGTGCTTTAATCTCCATTGAAACGATACTTGCAAATGCCAATAAATTTGCATACCAAATATCATTAACTTAACATTAGCAGTTCATCTAAAACTGATCTAATCACAAACTAATACATGTAAACTAAGCAAAAGTTTCAAAGTAAATAGACCATAACTGAGCGGGCCGGGACAAATATTCTCCATGGAAATGAGATATGCCAATGCTTATACAACTGCATACCAAATATCATTGACCTACCACTAGTGGTTCCCCATAAATTGACCTAATCACAAACTAATACATGTAAACTATGAAAAGTTTCAAAGTCAATGGACCTTGACTGAGGGGGCGGGGCCAAATAATCTCCATGGTAATGAGATGTGCCAATGCTAATACAACTGCATACCAAATATCATTGACCTTCCACTAGTGGTTCACCATGAACTAGACCTAATCACAAACTAATACATTGTTAACGCCGTCGCCGCTGTCACCGACGCCTGAATCTGCATAATATGTCTCGCTTTTTGACTCCCTCAAGGCGAGACAAATACTTACTATCTGATAGCTGGAACTATCTATATCTATAGTTCAAGTTCTGTGCTCGATCTTATTTTTCAATACTGAGCTGGTACTTACTGTAAAATTGTTGACACTTGTGTTGAGTAAGGGTGCTATAAGAGTTATTGAACCAGTCTGTGAGTTTACAAAAAATAGATCTTTGTGTGGTGATTTATCTTCCATAGTATACATCAATGTATCCTGCAACATGGGATGAGATTAATTAAACATGGAATACACAACACAATCAAAGCTGGTTGATACTTAACATATATTATACCAATCTATAGTATTGTTACTGTTGAACTGAAAGGAGTTTTTCTTTTTTTTTAAGTAGAGGGGATGGGCTTTTTTTGAAAAATAAATGAGTGACTGCTTTTACACACTAATTGCATCAAGTCTTATAATTTCAAATGAACAATTTTCAAATTAATAAATATTCATTGCAGCCTTTTTTTGCCATTTTTTCCGAAGCACAGAATTCTAAATATGATAAGTTTTTTACCAAAGCATTCACAAAACTTGTGCGGATGAATATTACACATTTGTTTGAAATTTTATGCACATCTTAAACAGAATTATGATCTGACTTGATAGATTTGCTTTCTAAAACAGTGACAAGGTCTGATAGCAAGTCACATGTTACCAGAAACCAGAAAAACTTTTATTTACAGACCTGATCTCCATCTGTTGCTGATACTTTGATAACTTCCCCTCCCACTGCTGTGGTTTCCTCAATGTCCTTCGTATAAAAACTGTTTGGTTGGAACACAGGATTTGCTAGATTCCTGTTTACTGCAATGGTGACAGTTGCTGTAGCTTTCTGTACACTAACATCTGTCTTTGTAGCTACAACTTGAAGCTAAAATTGAAATTTAAATAAGTTTAAGATAAATGACAACCTTAAGCATATGACTAACATGCAGGACTAATTATAAACATAGTAAAGGCTATTTGTACAATTTTTTTCAAAAAGGCTATTTGAACAAAAGTTTATAGTAAAGGCTATTTGTACAAAAGTGTATAGTAAAGTCTTTTTGTAAAAAAGTGTATAGTAAAGGCTATTTGTACAAAAGTGTATAGTAAAGGCTATTTGTACAAAAGTGTATAGTAAAGTCTATTTGTACAAAAGTGTATAGTAAAGGTTATTTGTACAAAAGTGTATAGTAAAGTCTATTTGTACAAAAGTGTATAGTAGAGTCTATTTGTACAAAAGTGTATAGTAAAGGCTATTTGTACAAAAGTGTATAGTAAAAGGCTATTTGTACAAAAGTGTATAGTAAAGTCTATTTGTACAAAAGTGTATAGTAAAGGCTATTTGTACAAAAGTTTATAGTAAAGTCTATTTGAGCAAAAGTTTAAAGTAAAGGCATCCTTGAATTGCCAATGATAATCTGTTCATTGCTATTTTCCTTTGCAACATCAACTACATAGGCAAATAGCATCTTAAATTCACTTTCTACACCACTGAAAAAAAAACCATATCACTCCAGCAGCGTGAAATGGAAAATTAGCATAAAGAAAGATAAAAGGAAAATTTGACAAAATAGCTATAAAAATCTCCATGGTAACCATTTCATAAACTTACCAGATAAGATGCGAGTCCAGCTGGATCCTGTCTTAAATCTTTCTTTATAGTGACTGCTCCACTGGTATTGCCAACAGCAAAATACTCTGGTGCCGAACTTAATCCAGTTACCTCATATGTTATTCCAGGCTATAAATTGAATATAATTTTTTTGTTAATTTTTCATGATACAGGTAACACAATTCATTTTCAAGTTGTTTTGCTATCATTTAGTTTTTAACATTTTGTAAATAATTTTATCGCACCTCAGATAAATTATGACGTTATGATTGGTTTAATGTCCTTCAGCCTCACCCCCTATGGATTTTACTAACCCTCTATGGATCCGTAGGGGGTCAGTAGCAAACCATATAACTTATATTATACTTAAAACATTTTCAATGAAATATTTTGCTTAATAATTCCCAAGAGTTTTTATTCAAATTACACTTTTCTTTATGGTGTGACTTCTTTTGACTTATGAGTTTTGAATGTCCCCTTATCTTCTGCTTTTCTTTTTCTCTTGCAATGTCCAATAAGATTAACACGATGATTTATCTCTTGCAATGTCCAAAAGGATTAACACGCTGCTTTATCTCTTACAATGTCCAATAAGATTAACACACTGATTTATCTCTTGCAATGTCCAATAAGATTAACACGCTGCTTTATCTCTTGCAATGTCCAATAAGATTAACACACTGATTTAATCATTGGTGTTAGCCAACCGTGCGAGGGCTGTATAGCCAGTCAAGGTCGTTAAAAAACTCCCATCATCATCATTGGTGTTATAAATTTGAAGTCTTTCCGTAATTATCTAAGACATGTTAAGGCAACACTCTTTTTATTGGCTCCTATGATGGTCCATAATTTGTCGAGGTAAGAATTTCATACCCAAAACCCAACTAAAGATTGCTGTTATACATTTTGTAATTATTTACAAGGTAAAGCTCATATGCATATAATTTAAATCATCTTTGCATATAATGAAAAAATAATGTACTTTCAATAATTCAACAAGGTAAAAGTTAAAAAAAAAAAAAAAAATGTAAAAATGATCCTCTAGACAAAAGACTTACGTCTGGATTAGCTTTGACTGTCCAGACAAGGTTTCCTACTGGATCATTCTCATTGATTGTATCATTGTATGATGGAGCTGTAAACTGCAGGGTACCAGTTGTACGATCCACATTAACAGTGACTGTTACATCAACTACTCTCTGAGGTAATCCCTGATCTCTGGCATCAACATTTATCTACAAAATTCAAAATAAATTCTTATGATTTCTGATTTCCAAATAAAAACAGCTGCATTATAATACAGTCAAACATGCTATAAAGCCTCTATTTAGCGAAAATCTGTCTTGTCAAGTCACCCTCTTCTTGTCTCCCCTTTTAGTAATACCTATTCTACTCTAATTTCAGTTCAAAGGTCACCTCTCTTACAAGGTCAGTTTTCTCTGGTCCTGATGGCAACCTTTATATACAGGTTTTACTGTAGTTTTATTTAAAACCATCAGAGCTACAAATGAAAACATTACATATCCATTCTTCTTAAATAGACATGGCGCTTATTTACAAAAAGCAGAATAAAGAAACTTATTTAATTGATATAATGTAAGAAGGTTGAATGGTGGCATATTGTGATCATGTAGTACTTGTATTGAAGGAGTAATGCACTTGCGAATGGTGTAGGTTATATATAGGAAAAAGAAGATTTCCAAAAAAAAAATGTATATGCTTTTCTTGTCTTTATATTTGTCAACTCTGGAAATCTCTAAGTTTTAATAAAACAACAAAAAATAAAAACATTTTCAAAAGATATGACCCCCTAATTTTTAGAAACTAGGATAAAAATGATTGAAAAAAACTTACAGTAAACAAACTCTGTGTAATAGTTGCTACAGATTTGATCAAGATAATCTCTCCTGATGCTGGATTGATGAAGAAGTACTCATTAGAGTTACCGGAACCTGTCCTGACAAACTGTATCACATTGTTCGGAGGCTGAAAAAAATAAATATATTGAAGCTGTTAATATTTCCATCAAACCAATAGAAAATAAAAATTCTTTCACTAATTATCTCCCTTTAAAAATTTCATTTCAAATTAATGTTGTGCAGTCTAAAGATACTATAATGACAGTATATACTTCACTTTAAAGCAAAAGATGGTTTTGGTCTGCCAATGAAAAATGATCTCCCTTACTTAAGTTCGGAAAGGTATTTTAGCATAATCATAGTTGTCATCAATATCATAAATTATTTTCACATTATGTAAATTTCATTAAAAAATTAAAATTCTTTCATTTAGAAATTTGAAAAAATTCTTGACTAAAGAAACTAGATATCATTGAGATGGGAGCCATCTCTGTGGGCCCCGCTGTGAATAATGTGTGGTAAAAAATTTGTATCTTTATCATTGGACATGGGGTTGTCAACTGAAACCGAAGTTTATGACCTTGACCTTTGACCTAGGAAGTTGTACATAAATTATGACACACCCTCTGGTGTTGGTTTATATACATGTCAAGTATAAACTTTGAAATCATAACGGTTCTCAAGATATAGAGCGGACACGATCTTTACCATAGGACATGGGGTTGTCAACTAAAACCAAAGTTTTTGAACTACGAAGTTTTACATACATTATGACACACCCTCTGGTGTTGGTTTATATACATGTCAAGTATAAACTTTGAAATCATAACGGTTCTCAAGATATAGAGCGGACACGATCTATACCATAGCACATGGGGTTATCAACTAAAACCAAAGTTTTTAACCTTGACCTTTGAACTAGGAAGTTGTACATACATTATGACACACCCTCTGGTGTTGGTTAATATACATGTCAAGTATAAACTTTGAAATCACATAGATATAGAGCGGACACAATTTGTTTCGGACGGACGGACAGACAGACGGATGGACAGACGGACGGACGGACAGACTGATCACTATAGGGCATCCGCCATTCGGCGGGGCCCTTATAATAACAAAAAAAAATATTCATAAGTAATGACTCTGTTTTAACTTTTACTGAATCATGGAAACTTACAGTTTTGTCAGCATCAGTAGCATTGAGCGTAACAATTTTTTCACCAACAGGTGTTGTCTCTGCAATGCGAATGGGCAATACCCTGGAATGTCCAAAAACTGGTGGATTGAGGTTATGTTCTACAGTAACTGTTACCTGGGCAACATCAGACAGGGATGGGGTACCTCTGTCAGCTACAACCACTCTCACCTGCAAATAAATGTTTACAAAAATTAGAACAAATCATAATTGAGCATTTGCACAAACTAATTTGCATAGTTAGATCAATAAATGAATAAGGTATAGTGTTAACTTCTATATCATTTGGTCTCATGTGGAGAGTTGTCTCATAGGCAATCATACCACATCTTCTTCTTTATAAAGATAAAGTAAAATGTCTTTTAAACTTTAAATTCCCTTTGGCAAATGGAGAATTTATTTCATATACTTATTTGGCATACGATATTTCAATAAAATATTTAAGAATAAGCTTAATTAAAAGAAATAAAAACTTTAGAAAAAATATTGACTTAAAAAAAAAGAAATCCTGCTTAAAATAATAATGCATTGTGAAAAAATTATTTATCAATCATGTCAGATGAATGGTAAAAGAGAAAGATACTCTCTGGCCACCCCCTCAAATAATAAAATAAATCATTATTAACTTACAACACTCAGCATTATTCTACTTACATCAAACTGTGTTTGTGCTGTCTGGTTCAGGTTAACTCCTGGCTGAACTCTGACCACACCTGATGAATCAATTTCAAATAATAGACTAGCCTGGTTTGTACTGTCAGGGTACAGGGAATAGTCTAGCTGGTTAAATGGAGCCTAGAAAAGATAAATCAACATTGATTGGTTGTTTCTAATGTAAGATTTACCTAAAGTCTCATTTAAAATCAGTCAAACCTATTATACTATGGAAATTTAGTCAGCTGTTTTCTAATGTATCACACAATTAAATTATTGTACATGGACTTGTGTCTTACTACATTTTAGATTAAATATTCACACTAGGAATCAAAATAGGAAAGCTCGTTCATTCATTACTGTTCTTGAAAAATCATTGATTTTTTACAAAGCTGATATAGTTTCATAAATATCTAAATTATTCCCATGAATGTATGATTTCAAACTGAAATTCATCATATTAAACCTCCAATTAACTTTTGATTCTCTCTATCAAAACACATTAATTTGAATTGAAACTCCCCATAAGAAATACCCTTCCAATTTACTTGAGGGGCTAGAGGGTAGTCCTTTACTTACATCAGTATCGGTGTTAGATACTGTTGTTGCATAAACAATCTGTCCACCAGGAGTAGTTTCAGGAATTGTCCTAGAATATGCAGCCGTGTTTGTAAATCTTGGTTGTGTATTACGTACAACAGTCAGCTGAACAATCTGTGGGTTATCTGCTGTCTGCGGTGATGCTGCTTTATCTCTAGCTGAAACTTGGAACTGAAATTAAAATGAATTTTTGGCTCAAATAAAAATTTTCGAATGAAGAAAACATTTGAGAATTTTATTAATTATTTAGTAACAAGTGTGGACACAGATCAGTGCGGATAGTAATAGTTTAGATTGAGTTATGGTACTTTGTGACTTTCAAACTGAATTTTGCACGATATGCATGATACAAGTATTAATAATATGGAGGTATTACCCCTATATTTCAATTGATGATATAAAGGAAAATTATAAATTTTCATAACATAACAAATGTATAAATGATTAATTTTAAATTTTAGAATTTTTTTTTGTAAGAAATCACAATGAATCCAACATTACAACTTTTATCCTAGAGGTATGTTTTAAATAACAGTAATGAATATTTTTAGAAACATTGAGAATTTATATAAAATGGACCAAGTAAATAGACCCTCATGCAAGCATTTATTTGTGACTACAAATCTTTTGTGCAATTTTTATGTATTGGAATTTTATTTTTCTTATTCATGAGTAAAAAAGATTATTTACATAATTTATTTATAGGATTTTGATCTGTTCTGCGTTCAATTCTATCTTTTCATTATAAATTTAAGGAATAACAGTACTGTGTTTAGAGAATTGCTGCCATCAAATTACCAACTGACTGTAACAATTCTTCAAACAGAGTCCTCATTCCTATTGTAATAAATATCAAAATGTTCAAAATTAAAAATTTGAATTATCCTAGAAATATTGACTGCAATTGTGAAACATTATAGAATTTTTATGACAGTCAACCATGGAATTGACAGCAGACATCATCTGATCTGAAGAGTGACTAAACATATCACATTGCTTTAGAAAAACCAAATCATTTCATGGTACCAAATATGATTTTTATAAATAAATATTCATAATTCACACAATTATTTTACATAATATTAAAAATTATGAAAATAGAACTAAATAGTAACTTACAGAAACAGTGAAAATGGTGGCAGCATTAGTGAAATTCCTAATTGACTGTTTCAAAGACACAGATCCAGTGTCGGCATCCACTTGTACAAACTTGTTGACTTCAGCATTTGTTGATGAAATGAAGTACTCCAATTGATTGTTTGGTGGCTGGAATATAGGATAATTGTTTGTGTATTGAAAAATTATTAAACAGTTGCTACATAAAATATACGTACTACTAAAGTGAAAAAGTCACTTTTTTATGATTTTTTTCTGTTCTTGTAATTCCATATCTTACATTTTTCAAAACATTCCTATTTTGATTGGCTAGATTAGATTAACACAATCAAGATTATCAGAAAAAAAAGATATTCTCCCATAAATTTCATTAAAGCCTTGAAATGATGTTATAACACAAATTTCTTTCCAGACGTCAACTCTGTTGTTAAAGGAAGCTATATGTTAATCCCTAATTAACATAATTTAGCTGTGGTTTTTGTCAAGTTAACAAGACATACTTACAAAGTTATCACCATCTGTTGCAGAGACTTTAACCAGTTCGATGCCAACAGCCTGAGTTTCAAGAATTCTTTTATTGTAGTTTCCAGCAGACATAACAGGTTTCTGCAGGTTCCTGTTCACAATTATTGTTAGAACTTTACTGTCAGATTTTTTAGGATCTCCTCCATCTTGAACTCTTACTCTCAACTATTACAAAGGAAACATAACATATTAACTGAATACTACGTCATTTGCTTTACACCTTATAGCCAAAAGGCACACAAACTAGCATTCCCTAAAGACTCTGCAGTATGTGCCAAAATCACTAGTTCTTACCTGGGACTTGTTCACATTGAATTAGGGCAGTGAATGTTTTCAAAAAAAATATTAAGATAAATAGGAGTATTTTTTTGAAATGAGCTTTTGGCTGGTAGACATAAAAATTTTGGCATAGACAGACAGATATTAAATCTCTCATATCATCTAGGGTTAATAACGGTAAAAATCTATTCTGATGTTTTGACCCAAAATTTCACAATACCACTTTCAATTTTTCACAACTGGCAGTTGTTACTTCAATAAACATTTTGTCTATTGACCATAATAAGTTCTCCAAAACAGTAAATGCATGTGTAGCCTTAAATAAAATCTTTCATCTTGTTCTGCACTGGGAGAACACATAGAATAGAAGAGGTATAAGTTCACTTGCATAATATATTTTATCATGTTCTGCACTGAGAGAACATAAAGAACAGTAGAGGTGAACACATAGAACATGACAAGGCAAACAGTTGCTATCCTTTATGTTATTTGGTATCTGGTGGATAGCTGTCTCAATGGAGATCATACCACATCTCCTCATTTTACATTATATAAAATCTATCATATTGTTCTGCATTGAGAGAAAAACACATTGAACAGCAAAGGCACATGCAGCCTTGCATAAAATCTTTCATCTTGGTATACACTGGTAAAACACATAGAACAATAGAGACAAATGTAGCATTGCATAAAAACTTTCTTTTTTTTTTCTACACATAGAGAACCCATATAAATGAAGAGGCACATGCAGCATTGCATAAAATCTTTCTTTTTTCTACACATAGAGCCTATATCAATGTATAGGCACATGTAACTTTGAATAAAATAATTCATCTTGTTTTACACTGAGAGAACACATAGAATAGTAGAGGCACATGTAGCCTTGCATACAATCTTTAGCTCTGCACTGAGAGAAAACATATGGAACGGTAGAGGTATCGATCTTTGTTGTCCACAGAGAGAACACATAGAAATGTACAGGAGCAAGTAGACTTGCATTTAGTCTCTAACCTAGTACACGTGGAACAGAAGAGGCAAATGTAGACTCAAATTAAATCTCTAACCTAGTACATACAGAATAGTAGAGGCAAATGTTCACTTACATAAAGTCTTTCATCAGGTACTGCACTGACTGAACCAGTAAGGAACACAGCACCGTTTGATGGATTAACATTGAAATAAGTTGTAGCTGATCCTTCTCCAGTTCGGTCAAATGTCAAGGTATTGTATGGCGACTAAAAAAAAAGAAAATAAATATTACAATATTGTATTTTTCTGTAAACAAACATGGTTCCTTTTGGTTTTTTTTCAATTCTTCATTTCCATGTGCTGTCAATTCAAAGATTAACGTGTCCATTTATTATTGAAAATCTTCAAACAAATGATAAAAATGAAAGATTTATCACTTTTATTTAAATTTTTGTTTCAGTTCAGTATAACTTGAGGAATACACATTGTTCGTTTTAAATTTGCAATAATCATCTGGTTGCATTACTAAATTTAACAAAAATACTGTAGTAATTTCTGAAACAGATGGCCTGTTTGAAAGTTATTAACATTAAAAAAAAATAACTTATGTCAGACAGCAATGAACAACAAACCACTAGACTAAAGGCAGTCTTTCTATCCAATATAGTGATTTTTTCTGTTAGGTACATTTAAAAAAATATAATACTCCCATCTTAGAATGTTTTCATTGCTTTCAAAATCAAAATGAATCTTCACTAAAGATTGATCCCCAATATACAAAGGAAGGGCTGACAATGGGTTAACTACAGTTAGATAAAACAAACACCTACCCTTGTATCAGCATCTGTAGCAGTGACTCGGAATATTTCCAGGTTTGTACCCTGTGAGGCACTGATATTTACTTCCCTTGGCAAGTTGGTGATGTTTGGAGGGTTCTGATTTCTAACAACGTTGACTGTAAGTGTTCCAAGGGGACTACTCCTTTGTGATGTCCCCTTATCACGAGCAAACAAAGTCAACTAAAATAATAAACATAAACTCCTTGACATAATATCAGTATACTCAAACTTTTAAGAGTATCTTAAACAGGTTTATGTGAGAGTTTTTTACTCTGTGTTGAAGGCTTCAGTGTGACTGTGAGTTGAAGAACAGCAATAAAAGCGCAGTTCCTTTGCTTTTTGTGTTTTTTGTGCATTTACTGATTTTGTGTCATGGATGGATACCCCATATCCTTACTTTTTTATTATGATTTGTTATGAGCAGTTCCAATGGTATCTTAGACATTTATTGACTTCTGATGGTGGTTTCTGAGGAATTCCAAACCAGTCAAAGTACTCCTAAAGATACTAAGAGTGGCAATAACTATAAGGCGTCCGACTTATTGGTGAGTTACTCTAATTGTTTACATCGTAAATATACATACATGTATATACAAGTCTGTAGAATTGTGTGGCTATACCGATTAGCCGATTTTCTTAACACTCATATAACTCTTAGAAGTTACAGTGACATTAATTCTTATACTTACAACATACTGTACAGGTGTTTTACCAATCATACTGCCTCTTAAATATACAGGACCATTCTGGTCTACAGTAAACAAATCTTGGTGTTGGGAGTTAGGATCAAACTCATAGATGATATCTCTGTTAGGAGACTGAAAAATAAATGTAGTAATACAACATTTTTTACATAATTGAGTAAAAAAAAATTATTGTTCTGAGGTCACAGTTTTGATAAGTGTTTCATACAGGTAGTCAAATTCATTTTGAATTTTACCTAGTGTTATTTCAACATTTGTTAAAGTAAGTTTACCTTAGCTTTACCAAAGCTATTTCAGATAATGTATAGATTACTGGGTTTACTGTACATTGAAATCGTAAAATTTTAGTTTATTGCACCTTGAAATCTTAAAATATGGGTTTATAGAACACTGATATCGTAAAATATCAGCAGCCAGCCACAATATGAATCTTTTTTGATGAGTAAGAATTCAAGATCTGCTCCATAAGAAACATCTGATACTAACTTCCTTAAATACTATAGTAACACACAGTAAACCCTGTTTTCAGGACACCCAATTTAAGGCAACTCATTTTTACTGCTGTGACCATTTTAATATTAGGACATACCCTATCATCAGCATCTGTAGCAGCCAATACTTTGACTGGAACAGTGACGTCATGAGTTTCAAGTATTTCCACCACATAATTATTAGGTGTGTTGGTTCCTGACCATTGAGGAGCATTTAGGTTACGTTCAACTGTCACTAATATCACTCTGGTTGTGCTGCAGGGTGGTGTTCCTCCGTCAGTAGCTTGGATACGTAACTGTAGGTAAAAGAATATTAAAATATCAATTGAAAAATTAACGGTATCACTATGTGCACAAATGCTGTATAAGAGAAAACTTTTAAAAATATTTGTGGTTCTTTGAAAGAAATTAAGAACATGGGGAAGTTAGCCTATTTATTTTTTCCATCATTTGATACGCATTTTATTTTACTCTATAGTTTGACACATGGATGCAGATAAAAAATAATTCTTTTTTTCCATGGTATGTTTTAAACTATGAGTCAATTGAAAGTATTGCTGAACTGAAAAATTTGTTGAACTTGTATACTAACATGGTAAATTAAAGACTGTAACAATTAAGCTTATAACATATTTATAATTTATAATTTCTATTTTATAATATTTTTTTTTAGATCAGGTTAACATATGTTACCCAACACTTGCATAAATTACTCTAACAGAACAATAAGATATTTTTTTAATAACCTATAAATATTTACATATTTCCATTTTAAAACACTTACTCTCATTAAGAATGATTCCAATAAACATTTCAAACTTCATTCACTTTTTATATAAAAAAAATCATATTTGTTTTTGATAACTGTTTCGCACATAAATCAGGCAATTAGTTTTCTCTTTCGAATTGTTTTACAGTTGTCATTTCAGCCTTTTATAGCTTGCTATTTGGTATGGGATTTGCTAATTGTTGAAGGCCATACGGTGACATATAATTGCTTATATCCACTCATTTTGTCTCTGGTGGAAAGTTGTCTCATTGGCAATCATACCACATCTTATTTTTACATCAAAATCTATCTAGCCCTTTTTTCAAATCTGCATATTCTTCTTAATCTTTAGAAAACTCTCCTTTCTCAAAACATTTTTGTGACCATGACAAACATGACAACATTTCATCTACACATACCTGGTAAGTACGTCCATTGTCAGAGTACAGAGCTGGAAGATTGGAAATTCCCCCTGTGTTTGTATTTAACGTAAACATTGACGTAGCACCGTCATCTCCTATTATAGTATATGTAATTCTACTGAATGGTGTATTCTGTAAAATAAAAACATTCTAAGGTAAGTTTTTATCTTGTCCCAAGAGTGACCTTTATATGCATGGTTGACTGCACTAACTACTTGGCCTATAACCTTCCTTCTTAAAAAAAACATCAAGTATTTGTCTTTAATACAATAATCTCTTGAAATGCTATGCTATGTTTTATACATTTTTGTAACAAATATATGCTATTTTCATATTTTCACTATTGGTAAATAATCTAAAAATATGATACAATGAACTATTGTAAATTCAGAAATTATTGTGTGCATTTATTATTGCGATTTTGTCATTTTAGACTAAAATGCGATTTTAGTTTTTTCGATATTGAGAAAAATCCTGTTTAATTTATATATAAAATTTCAAAATGCGAGTTTAAATTATTGCTATTATAACCATATCACATTTTTCCAAATAATAAAAACATCTCAATAATTTCTTAATTTACAGTATTGCAAATTTAGAAATTTTTGCATGTATTTCTTATCAAGATTTATGAATAATAGACAAAATTGTGCAACTAATTATTGCAATTTCAACAAATGCAGCATATGAATATGCTATCAGATTTTAAAAGGCTAATTTTTCCTCTTTGCGAAACTTATCCTGTTGCAATTTACCCAATAATAAAAACTACGAAAACATTTCTGAATTTACAATATATAGATCAGAGAAATAATGACCAGATAACTTACAGGAGCATCTGCATCTGTAGCACTGACTGTGGCAAACACTGATGTTGACTGATTCTGTGTTATGGTGTATGTCGACGGTGAATTGGTATTAAACCGAGGACAGTTAATGTTCCTGTTTACATTGATTCTAACAGTTGCCTGTACAGTAGCTGTTAAGACAGGGTTTCCTTGATCTTTCAGTGCAATTGTCATCTACAAAAAACAAAACATGTCACTTCATTTTCAATTCCTCACTTTAAGATTCCCTTTTCACAGCTGATCAACTTCTTTTTTAAATGATATTGCTGTATACTGTAGATTCATTAATATATGGGATACATATTTTCATGAATTTCATGGGTAGGGAAAAAGCACAAATTTAAATACTGAGGGGATGGACAGGGTAAGGAAACCTGGGTATTAGGGGTGGGAGGCTGGAGTCAGAAAACATGATCCAGGGGCAGAGGGGGTGTAAAAATAGGGATATGCTGGAAAGGTTTTATGATCAATTTTCGTATAGGATGAAGAAGGAGGGAAGAGAATTGGGAGTAGGGGGAAGTGGGAGTTTGGGGGATAGGGAATTGGGAATCAAAGTACCCCTGTCCACCCCTAAATACTCGACAAAATACAAATTTTATACATCTAACTCAAATTGTTGTTTTTTGCTGTTTGTCCTTTTTCCCCTCATGGACGTTTACCCCTACATCTACTATTTTTCATATTATATAATTTTTTTAAGCATACAAAATATTAAAACTCAGAATTGGTTTCATTTTTTGCAGAATTTATGATGACATATTTTCCATAACTTACAAGGTAAGGGTTAGTATTGGCTCCATCCTCTGTTAGAGATCGTATAGCCACAATTGCACCAGACGGGGTCACAGTGAAGTACTGCTGAGCACCTGTGGTAGACTGTATGGTATAGGTCAGCTGGTTATGTGGAGACTGAAAAAGAAATAAAATAAATAAATATTTTAAAAAACAAACATTTCTACATTTCATACTGAAAACTAAAAAATGGTTATTTATAAAGACTTAAACCTACAAGAAATAAAATCTTCTAAAGTTTTCAGGGATCTAGTTGAAACCTGAAGAAGTGATGATTTCAGATAAATGGCACTGTCTTTGTAAATTTAGAAAAAATTACTATGTTCCCAAGTCTGTAAAAAAGGTTTGAAATCCTAAAACAAGTCCATTATAGCAGATGTACATTTTCAATATTGGTGCAACCTTTACCTCAAGTTTCAAAGATCTGGGTTTATGACTGAAGGAAGGAGCTTATTAAAAAGGTATACACATTTCTTTGCGCAGGTATCACTATACTATATGCCATTTTTTATCTTCATGCAATCCAGCCAAAAACAGAAAAAGGTTGAAATTTAAATTTCTCAGATGGAACTAAACATAACTATAAGATAAAGCCATCTACAATAAACTGTTTCAACCGTAGTTTCTTCGATTTTAGTAACTTAGATATTCCAAATAGGTTCTGAAGTTAATCTACAATAGTTGTGTACAATACGCATCCCCTATACCAACTACATTTTTGGGGTAAAAAAGTGTGTATTATACACGACTAAATACGATAATTAGAATCAACACTTGCAATAAAATTCGTTATAGATAGGCATTAGGAGGTATTGGTTGATATAGTACACAAAGTGTATAACAAATCCTTACTTTAGTGTCTTTGTCTGTTACATTTAATTGTATTATAGGTGTATCAATGGCCTGTGTTTCTGGAATTGTAGTCTCATAGTTCTGTACCAAAAATTCTGGCCGATACAAATTCCTGGTAACATCAACTTGTAAAATAGCAACAGATGACAGTTGAGGTGTTCCTTTGTCCTGCACCATTATTCTTAACTAAAATATAAAAAATGTTTTTATTTTATTTGGGTATTTTTATATGAAGTCTCATATTTAATAATTACAAAGTCACAGCTGTACAACTTAATTTTCCGTTTTGACATTTTTTAGACAAGAAAAATCTTGCTGTTACCATTTACTCTTTTAATATAAATTGATTGATTGAATTGTGTTTAACACCCTTTTCAGCACTATTGGCTTTTTTGTGGTGAAAAGTTTTCATAAGAGGAGGAAGTCAGAAATCCCTGAGAGAATATAAAATTCAAATCCAAAATACACAAACAGAATTTTATAAAGTTTAGAAAGCATATGAATTTTGATTTGAAGATAAAAAGAAATAAACAGACACATAAGTGTTATTTTAAAGATCCTTTTCAAAGTGTTTTATTCACACTGTTAACAATTTGTGTGAAAAATGCCTTACTTGTACTTTATTTCAAGCATGTAGTGTCCTTGCACCAAAAAGAGTGAAAAATAAAACCGCAGCAAATATTGTTTTTTTTATTTTGCATATTTTATTGAAATCTGTACATCCAAAGTAAATATTTGGTGCTAGTAATTACAACAACAACATAACTTACTCTGTACTGGTCTAAAGTGTCTGGCAGCACACTTTGTCTTAAACTGACCGATCCAGTGGAGTCATCAATCTGGAAATACTGGGTCGCAGTGTCATCACCAATCATACTGAATGTAAAATCTTTAAATGGACTCTGAAAAAATAAATATCATTTTTTGAAACTGTAAAATATGAAGTCATATTTTCTTTCATTTGTACCAGAAATTTCATTAAGAAATTGTCACTGAAAATTCATAATACATATATTCTGCATTAGTTCAAATTTATATTACAACTTACCATTTAAATTCTCAATATAAAAATATTTATATACTATCTTATGCCTTTTTAGAATCAATCAGTAAGTTTCCTCAAAACTTAATCTATGAAATATAACTAGTAGCTTGATTGTTAATTTTTATTCAAGTATCTCTTCTTATTTTTGTCTCAAAATTTATAAACGCATTTCAATTTACTTAGAAAACAAAGAGAGCTCTAACCTGATTATCGTCATCCCTGGCACTAACAGTAAAAACTGTCAAACTTGGCTGAATATCCTCATTAATTGAGGCTACAGACGGAATGTTTGTAAAAACTGGCGCATTCAAGTTACGATCCACATCGATAGTCACTTGAACAGTTTTATTCCTCCTTGGTGTTCCCTGGTCTCTTGCAGTAACAGTCATCTGGAAAACAAAACACAAATCATATTTATCGGCTAAGTTTTATTTCAATCTATAAAAAGTTAATGGCACTCTAATGTGACCTACCAAACTAAGACTTATCAACAGGTTTGAACTTACATTAGTAACATAAAGGGTGCCACATGTGGAGCAGGATCTGCTTATCCTTCCTGAGCACCTTAGAACCCCTGGTTTTTGGTGGGGTTCATGTTGATCAGTCTTTAGTTTTCTATGTTGTGTTTTGTGTACTGTTGTCTGCTCGATTTTTGTTTTTTGCCAGGACAGTGTCAGTTTATTTCTGATTTATGAGTTTGAATATGTAACCTTTGGTATCTTTCACTGCTCTTTTAGTAAGAAATAAGGTGTTAAGGATTTAGGAACACCATTGCATTGAATAAAGGTTTCATTTTTTAAGTGATTTTTTTTTTTTATACATCTTTTCTTGTTTATTTGTGCACCGTTTTTATAACTTTTGATTTGTGTATTGGATTTTTAACTTGTCAAGTTATATATTACATTTTACATTTAATATACTTCAAGGGTGTATCAGATATTTTCTTTGTTCCATTCATGCATTGGATTTTTGGTATGTCCTAGTCATGTATTGGCAAAAATATGTAAACAAAGAGATCTAATTTTGGAAAAAAGTATTTCATGCTGTACCTCATAACGTGGAGCTCTACAAGGGTTGTACAGCATGCTTCTTTTCAATGTCAGGTCACCATTTACTTCATTGATAATGAAACATTCTTGGTCGTCTGGTCCAGCAGTTATATAGTACCTCACAACATTGCTTGGAGCCTGCAAATTAACATAATAATTCATAAGGTCTGAACATTATCCAACTGTCATAGAAGAAATTCATGTTTACAAGCACTTTTTTTAAAAGTTCTAGTGCTATTCAGCCTAGTATATATCTTTTTCTATTAGGTCCTCTTAAGATCATATTTCCATAAACATTTTCTGATGGTTCTCTTATATTCATTTTTTACAAACACATTTTCTGATTAGTCCAAAGAACATTAATCTTTAAAAGGAAAAATATAAGGCTACTTATACATATAAGCTTACAACTGATTTCAAAATTCTATTAATGATTTAACCACAAGAGTGCACACGCTGAAATGTCTCGCCTTCTTTACTAATCATTGATATTATGTTGATAGTCCTAAATATAAAGCTTTATTACAACTGTCACATAAACTTAACATTAACCAAGTAAACTAAACATTGACCAATGAACCATGAAAATGAGGTCAAGGTCAGATGAACCATGCTAGGCAGGCATGTACAGCTAACAATTCTTCCATACAACAATTATAGTTGACCTTTATAATTGCTTATAGTTTAAGAAAAACAGACCAAAACACAAAAAACTTAACACTGAGCAATGAACCTTGAAAATGAGGTCAAGGTCAAATAAAACCTGTGTGACTGACATATAGATCATAAAATATTTCCATACACCAAATATAGTTGAACTTTTGCATATAGTACTAGAAAAAAAGACCAAAACTCAAAAACTTAACTTTGACCAATGAACCATGAAAATCAGGTCAAGGTCAGATGACACCTGCCAGCTAGACATGTACACCTTACAATCATTCCATACACCAAATATAGTAGACCTATTGCATACAGTATAAGAAAAACAGACCAAAACACAAAAACTTAACTATAACCACTGAACCATGAAAATGAGGTCAAGGTCAGATGACACCTGCCAGTTAGACATGTACACCTTACAATCATTCCATACACCAAATATAGTAGACCTATTGCATACAGTATAAGAAAAACGGACCAAAACACAAAAACTTAGCTATAACCACTGAACCATGAAAATGACGTCAAGGTCAGATGACACCTGTCAGTTGGACATGTACACCTTACAGTCCTTCCATACACCGAATATACTAGACCTATTGCTTATAGTATCCAAAATATGGACTTGACCACCAAAACTTAACCTTGTTCACTGATCCATGAAATGAGGTCGAGGTCAAGTGAAAACTGTATGACAGGCATGAGGACCTTGCAAGGTACGCACATACCAAATATAGTTATCCTATTACTTATAATAAGAGAGAATTTAACATTACAAAAAATCTTAACTTTTTTTTCAAGTAGTCACTGAACCATGAAAATGAGGTCAAGGACATTGGACATGTGACTGACGGAAACTTCGTAACATGAGGCATCCATATACAAAGTATGAAGCATCCAGGTCTTCCACCTTCTAAAATATGAAGCTTTTAAGAAGTTAGCTAACGCCGCCTCCTGATCACTATCCCTATGTCGAGCTTTCTGCGACAAAAGTCGCAGGCTCGACAATAATTATATGTTCCTACCAATTTGTTTATTGTTAAACTTGAAAAATAATTCGTTTACACTGAAGTTACTTACCAAGGCATCAGCATCTGTTGCATATGCTCTAAGAATAACATCTCCCAATGTCCAAGTTTCTGGAATCCTTTTATAATAACTAGTGTCATTGAATAATGGGTCCTGGTAGTTACGTTTAATAGTAACTAAGGCAACAGTTGTGTTGGTTTTAGGTGGTGTTCCCTGATCATATGCTTCAATTCTCAACTGTAAGAAAATAGTCAATGAATTCAAGTAATTTATAAGTATGGACGGATAGACACCCAGCAAAAATAAACAAAAAAGTAATGGCAAAACCTCACCATGGCCTTTTGCAAAAATTATAACATATAGGTATCTGGCAGATTTCTACATTCTAGAAATCATAAATTGGTTATGAAACTAAAACTGCATGTTTTTGCATATAAAATATTCATTCTATAACATTTTTTCACAAAATCAAAGGCTGCATAAAGATTTCTAACTTTACTGAATATTATCTAATTTTCTACGTATTTAACTTACATTGAACTCTGTTGCTGAAGATCCTTGAAGGACATTATTTAATCTAACATTTCCATCATTGTCAATTGTAAAGTAGTTTGGTGCTCCTCCATCGCCGATAAGTCTGTATCGGACTATTCCAAAATCATGTGTCTACAAATAAAACCACTGCATTACACACAAGATGAAACTTTTTACACACATTACACTCTCGTTGAAACTTTTTACACACATTGTAACTTTTGTAAAATGGCTTACTTATATGTATTACACCATAAACTAACAACTTTAAACTCTCTGTAATTTTCAAAATTAAGTATACTGATTTAATTTGAAAACATTTGGAGGAAGTAAAAGTACATTACTTATTTGTCTGCCAATTTCTTTTTTTGCTCTAGTAAAGTAAATTTGATGGATTTTTCAAGGTGACATTTTGTAAGTATTTCTTCATAAATTATGTATGAAATGACATGCTTATGATGTCACTCTGACCTAGTAATTGATATCATTGTATGAAATTGGCCTGAATAAATTATCTATTTTATATTTCTAATTTCATTTTGAAATGACTTTTAAAATTTCAATCTTTTTTAAGATCATCTTCTTTCTTTGCAACATCCATGAAATGTTTTTTTTTTTTATAGTAATAATGAAAAGAAATCTATTATCATAAAATACCAGTATTTTTTTAACTCAAACTCAATCTTTCACCTATGAAGCATGAAAAGGTGATCTTAAAATAACACGCACATGCAAATTTTAACCAGAAATTATGTGCAATAGCCAGCAACTTTCAGTTTAAATATACTTTAACCCCAAAGCAATTTTCAAGGCATAATTTAAACATTAAAGGACGTCATCTCAGAGTCTAAAACCAGGCTTAAGGATGATATTCTCATTAAAAAACCTGAGAAAATCCTGTTTGGGACAAAATATTTGCAATTCATGCATGCATTCATATATTAGCTCCAGTCATGCAAATTCTGAAACAAATCACCAAATTAAGGGGTCACACATAATTCATATATAATTATATACTGTTTTCAAAGCATACAAAGTCAACAGTCAAATAATGGGATTTAGATTCCAAAATACTTGGTTTACAATTTATTTCTTCTTAAGTGAAGATCTTTTAACAGTAAAATAAGAACAAGAATCAGAGTAACTGTTATCAGCAATTCATTTAATTATTTCAAAATAGTTTCTGCATTTGAAAAGGGAGAGATATTTCAAAACTTTACACTGTTACCTCCTCAGAAGAATTTGAATTCAAATGTTTATGTCAGATATCTGTAACAAAACATGGTGACTAATAATCAACTTTTGGTAACAAGGGAGGAAAACAAACAATTCAAAAACATTTGGGGGTCTGAATTCTTTGAAAAGAAGGAGAAGAATAAAACATATGGACTCAAAATTCTTTGAAAAGAAGGAGAAGACTAAAACATATGGACTCAAAATGCTTTGAAAAGTGGTAGGAGAATTATGACTGGCCCCTATAAGAAAAAGTTAAAGATAGCTACATACAGCAATAGACCCATTAGAGGTTGTTATATTCACCTTTAAACAGATTATACTTCATAAATACACTGATATTTAACTATATTTCACTTTATAAATGCAATACATATGAATACTAATAAAAAATCTACTTGAACATTTAATTAATGTTTTCATGCTCTAAATCTAACTTTCATATGGAAGTAATATATACTTTTTTTTTTAATCAATTTCAATTATCATATAAAAGTTCATGAATTTTCATTATTTTCACAAAAACTAACGAGAAAGAGCTCTTTTTTTCATGAAGCTTGCCCTCAACAAATCTACTACAGATGTATTAATACTTTCTGGTATCTAGCTGAATTTGCTCAGAATAACCATAGATCTGTCTCCAAATAACCTTCTGGTGTCATGTAACAATCACTTTTTAATTATTACACCAAATGTATTGAATTGTGATGCAAAATTTTGTGGGAATGTGTTTTACTTTATAAAATGAGGGACAAATCTGCATACAGGTGTATTTAAGTCTATTGCCCAAAACCTTGAACTTACAGAAGGATCACCATCAGTAGCTGAAGCTTTAAAAACCACAAAACCACTCTGTTGTATGTTTTCGTCGAGATCTCCAATGTATGGTAATCCTTGGAATTGTGGTGCAAAGTCATTCCTGATCACGTTGATTGTAATTGTTGCATTCACAGGAGATGTCTTTGGTGTAGAACCTCCATCAGTTAGCATGGCATTAAACTAAAAAAAGGGAGATAATATGTTAACATGCCATTAAACTAAATAAAATGCTCTGCAGGGCGCAGCTTGATATGACCGCAGAGGTCGAACCCTGAACAGTTGGGGCAAGTATGGACACAACATTCAAGCTTGATACAGCTTTGCATTTGGATTGTGATTAAATATTTGACACAGCATAGGTTTCTGACACAGAATGAATGTGGTCTAAGAACTTAAAAATTTTAAATTGGACATCCACCTATTATGGTCCAATATCCAAAATCTAAATACATGGTTAGATTCAGCATATCAAAGAACCCCAAGAATTCAATTTTTGATGAAATCAGACAAATTTTAATTTTGGACCCTTTTGACCTCAATGTGGACAAAGTTGATAACAGGGCCCAAAAATCAAAAATCTAAATACATGGTTAGATTCAGCATATCAAAGAACCCCATATATTCAATTTTTGTTGAAATCAAACAAAGTTTAATTTTGGACCCCGATTTGCACAAACTTGAAAACTGGGCCCATAATCAAAAATCTAAATACATGTTTAGATTCAGCATATCAAAGAACCCTAAGAATTCAATTTTTGTTAAAATCAAACTAAGTTTAATTTTGGACCCTTTGGACCTTAATGTAGACCAATTTGAAAATGGAACCAAAAATCAAAAATCTAAATACATGGTTAGATTCAGCATATCAAAGAACCCCATATATTCAATTTTTGTTGAAATCAAACAAAGTTTAATTTTGGACCCCGATTTGGACCAACTTGAAAACTGGGCCCATAATCAAAAATCTAAATACATGTTTAGATTCAGCATATCAAAGAACCCTAAGAATTCAATTTTTGTTAAAATCAAACTAAGTTTAATTTTGGACCCTTTGGACCTTAATGTAGACCAATTTGTAAACGGAACCAAAAATTAAGAATCTAAATACACGGTTAGATTCGGCATATCAAAGAACCCCATATATTCAATTTTTGTTGAAATCAAACAAAGTTTAATTTTGGACCCCGATTTGGACAAACTTGAAAACTGGGCCCATAATCAAAAATCTAAATACATGTTTAGATTCAGCATATCAAAGAACCCTAAGAATTCAATTTTTGTTAAAATCAAACTAAGTTTAATTTTGGACCCTTTGGACCTTAATGTAGACCAATTTGAAAATGGAACCAAAAATCAAAAATCTAAATACATGGTTAGATTCAGCATATCAAAGAACCCCATATATTCAATTTTTGTTGAAATCAAACAAAGTTTAATTTTGGACCCCGATTTGGACCAACTTGAAAACTGGGCCCATAATCAAAAATCTAAATACATGTTTAGATTCAGCATATCAAAGAACCCTAAGAATTCAATTTTTGTTAAAATCAAACTAAGTTTAATTTTGGACCCTTTGGACCTTAATGTAGACCAATTTGAAAACGGAACCAAAAATTAAGAATCTAAATACACGGTTAGATTCGGCATATCAAAGAACCCCAATAATTCAATTTTTGATGAAATCAAACAAAGTTTAATTTTGGACCCTTTGGACCTCAATGTGGACCAATTTAAAAACGAGGCCCAAAATGCAAAAACTAAATACACTGTTAGATTCAGCATATTAAAGAACCCCAAGAATTCAAGAATAAAACCCCATTGAAATTGGTCAAGAAATAAGCAATTTATATGAAGTATCTTCTTTTGCACAATACTGTGCAATTAAATATTTCTTGCTATTGCGCAATACTGTACAATTGACAATTTCTTGCTATTGCGCAATATTGTGCTATTGGATATTTCTTGCTATTGCGCAATACTGTGCAATTGAAGATTTCTTGCTATTGCGCAATACTGTGCAATTGAAGATTTCTTGCTATTGTGCAATACTGTGCAATTGAAAATTTCTTGCTATTGCACAATACTTATTATATAATAATTAACACATCCTGTTTGGTGTGTATCTCCTACCATATCATTATTACTTGCTTTTAAATATAAATCAGAAATAACCAACTTAAAATGGAAAATTTTAAAAGAAAAAAAAAAGGAAAAAAAGAAAAAAAAGGAAAAAAAAAAAAATCCCCCCCCCCAAATTTTTTGAACCCCCTTATGATTCATCACCCCCAAACTCAATCCCAGCCTTCCCTTTGTGGTCTGGTACCTTGCAGTACAATTTCAGAGAGATCCATACACTTGAACACAAGTTATTGTCTGGAAACTAGAAAAATGTGTTTTTTGGCCCCTTTTTGGCCCCAAATTCCTAAACGTTTAGGGCAATTACCCCCAAACTCAAACCCAGCTTTCCATTTGTGATATGGAACCTTGTAGTACAATTTCAGAAAGGTCCATACACTTACACACAAGTTATTGTCCTGAAACTAGAAAAATGCTTGTTTTTTGCCCCTTTTTTGGCCCCTAATTCCTAAAATTTTGAGGCAATTACCCCCAAAATCAATCCCAGCATTCCTTTTGTGATATGGAACCTTGTGGTACAATGTCAGAGAGATCCATACACTAGCACACAAGTTATGTCTGGAAGTTACAAAAATGCTTATTTTTGGCCCCTTTTTGGCCCCTAATTCCTTTACTGTTGGTACCATAACCCCCAAAATCAATCCCAACCTTTCTTTTGTGGTATTAAACCTTGTGGTAAAATTTCATAGAGATCCATTCACTTAAACTAAAGTTAGAGTGCGAAAACCAATGTGTCTTCGGACGACGCCAACGTCATACCAATATACGACCACAAAAATTTTTTTGCGGTCGTATAAAAAGAGAGATAACTACATTTCAATAATAGTTCATGTCTTTTTTCCATAATTGAATGAAAAGTTTCTGACGCATTTTTCATAAAGGATTAAAAAGTTGAAGCTGGAGTAACAAAAAAATCAAACATATTTGAATATTAATCTGAAAAGAAAAAGAGTTTGTTAAATGAACTTTAAAAAAATGGTTGCCTCTCAGCAGAAGGACAGAATTTTTTTTTCTTGCATAACTTTTGCATATCCTACACTCGTCAAAAAACACTACCATATTGAAATTGTCATGTTTATCAGTTTTATAAGCATACTTACAGAAAATGATGTCTGTGGTTTTTCCAGTAGTGACTGTTTCAGATAAACAAGCCCAGATTGTCTGTATACTCCAAAGAAATTCATTGCTTCAGCGTTACCATATACATCATAGTTGATTGTGTTGAAAGGAGACTGCAAAGAAATAAAATACTTAAGTTTCCTTTACTGAAAAATTTAATTTTACCATTAAAAGATTAAGTTTTCTTGTATGTAAGAAATCTGCAAGGAATTTGAAAATAACATGAATGCACATGTTACAACTCATCATCGTCAAGCTACTGACAAAATATTAAGTCATTTTGTTCGGTAGTGCTTAATTTTCTGTACTGAAAATTTTGATATGTCCAATCAAATATTAATTTTTCCTGTATGAAAGAAATCTGTAAAGAATCTGCAACTTTTATGAATGCACACATAACAACTCATAACCGTCAAGCTGCTGACTAAATATGAAGCAATTCTGTAAAGTAGTACTTGAGAAAAGTGCATCGAAAAATTAAAAATAAAAGGTAGTTCAGTGTCTGAAAGATCTGCAAAGTGGTCACACAATACAACTCATCACTAACAAGCTTCAGACCAAATATAATTTCATTCTATCAAGTAGTACCTGAGAAAAGTGTGATGGAAATATTTTTTGATGAAGAGATGCACATGCTACTAGTAAAAACAAAAAACAAAGTCTGAATTAGAAGCTTTTAAAAAAGTATACCTTATCTATTAATCAATATTATCATTTTTAAATTGAATTAACTACTGTGGATTCAGTTTATATGGAAAAATTGTTTTTCGCAGAAATTTGATTCAGTGGTTTTACAAAAATCTGCATAGGAACCTATAGAAAAATTTGTACTTTCATTGAATATTTGAATTCGTGGATCACAGACATGTATCCACGAAATCAACAAAACTTGGTATCTTAAGAATAACAAGTAAAACTGTGAGCTACTGCTCACTGATGATACCCCTGCCGTAATATTTCGGTAAACAGGAAGTTGTTTCTGAAAACGCATCACACAGTAAAGCTGACTTATATAAACCCTGAAACCAAATTTCAGAAATCCTTGTCAAGTAGTTCCTGAGAAAAATGTGACGAAAATTTTCAACTTGGCTATCATGTGTAAAATAATACAAGTGTTCGGTAAACAGGAAGTTGTTGAGTGATGAATCTGAAAATGCATCACACGGTGTAACTTACTTATATAAACCCTGAAACCAAATTTCAGAAATCCTTGTCAAGTAGTTCCTGAGAAAAATGCGACGAAAATATTCATTGGACAGACGGATGGATTGACGGACTGACAGAAGGACAGACAGAGGTAAAACAGTATACCCCCCTTTTTTAAAGCAAGCGTATAATAATGAATCCACTGTACTCGGTGTTTGAATTGATGTATGTCATGCCATACCTTATTCTTATCGAATTTTGGAAGTCCACAAGATAAGTAATATTTTACTTACTGCCGCATCTAAGTCTACAGCATTCAGCTGTAAGAAACCAACACCAGGTGTCTGCGTCTCATAGACTGCAGTGGTATACGAAACATCAGTAAACTCTGGCTTATTTAAATTCCGTTCAACAGTTACGGTCACAGTAGAAGTGTCTGTTAGAGCTGGGGTGCCACCATCTGTGGCTACAATTGGTATCTAATAAAAGAAAGAAGAAAAAGTGCTATCAAATTTAAGCTTTTTAAAGTGAACCTGATTCTTTCTTAACAGTCCAGTCATAAACACAAACTTTGATTTGAAGTATCCAAGTTCTTTCATGCACACAATAATTTCAGAATTTACAGTAATTTGAATACTAAATTATATTCATTGACAATTATTTTTCTAAGGAAAGAAAATATAAAATCTTTAATTATTACCTGGTATGTGCAAATATCAGTTTCTGTCAGAAATACATATATTTTTTATGTAATATTTATTACAGAAAAACCATTGAGAATTGATTTTCAACAGTTAAAGAATAATTCAAAGTTTCGAATTTTGCTACAACATTAAAGGATAATTTATGTTATAAGAAGTCAACAATATTCATAGTACCACAGAGGAGCATAAAAATTGATTTTGTCAAGAGGAATGATACGAGCCATTATTTTATCCTATGAAATTGGAAAAATAGTTAATTTCTTAATTTTTTTCAAAATTTCAAGTGATAAATAAATATTGTGATATAAACTGGACAATTCAGTCCCAAAAATCAGTCTTGATTTCTAAGGCAAGCTTATGTATTGCTTTGTATGAAGTTCTATTCTAACATGACGTTCTTCAAACGCTTTGAGTACACACCCGTGGTAAAATGTGAATATAGTGTTTGGGCTGTTATGATCATACACCCGCGTCATATGCTTTTTTATGAATGAGCTACCCAACGTCATAGAATGAAGACGTAAGAATATAAGCATTATACGGGAAAATACATGCTTGTGAAACAGAAAATCATCACAACATGGAAACGTAAACAAACTATGCTAAAATGTGTTATATAAGCCATTTTTTGTTTACATATAAGACATATAAATACAATTATCATTTAGATATATCCAAACCTATCTAAGTATGTCATTGTAAATAGTTTAAGCATGCCATTTATTCAGTTTGCTCCGTTCTTTTGCGTCAATTTAATAGTGCGTTTATTTATGGGAACGGCAAATAATGCCTTCACCTAGAGCGCATCGATCCAAAAGAATTGCCGTATTTGTCCTATTAGAATCGAAATAATTCATGGGGGCTTGAATATATCGTGATTTTACCACGAGTTGTCCCTTTATGCATTTACATGTCTCAATTGAATCAAAATTTTTACAAATTAGATAAACATGTTTGTCTGACTAACACCATATTTACACAGTGTAGGCCTGATTGTGTATGATAACCAGTGACAGTAACTGGTGACTGACCGGTACCTTTCAAAGTGAAAAATCTATCCATTATACTTTAAATTCTTACTCTGAATTCTTCTAATGTTGTTTGAGTCAACGAAGTTTTGGTTGTTATCCGGCCAGTGACAGCATTGATTTGGAAGAAAGCGTCTGCTTCAGGATTTCCAGAATTGATGGAGTATCGTATTGAAACTGTATTATAGCGACTCTGAAAAAAGAATAAAACATGAGTTTTCCTAGGGAAAGAAAGTTATACCTTAACCTTTTAATGTTGCTGAATTCTGTAACAAAATCATTTTTTGAGAGTTGATATCACAGTCCAATCCTAATTCTGTAGATTCATTTAGTTTCTAGATACCAATTTTATATATTCTGTTAAAATTATTCTAAAATTGACAATAACAGCTATTTTAAAATTGACAGCTAAAAAAAAATAAAACTGCTAATGAAACTCTAGTAAAATGTACCTATAACTTCAAAATTTAGTTTTTCATTCATATTATATTTGGATTTTAAAAGTTACAAAATTTCCAAATTAAAAAGTAATAAACAATAAAAATCTCTGACAACAAGAAACAAAACCTACATCAGTATCTGGATCAATAGCACTGACAGCGTTTGTAACCTCATTTCCAATAGCTATGTTGAAGTTGATTTTGGCAGTATAGGGTTCGTTCTGGAAAGTGGGCGGGAACAAATTCCTAATGACAGATATATTCACAGCAGCTCTGTTGGCAGACACCTTTGAATCTCCATCTGTAGCAGTGACCTCAAACTGAAAAAAACATACAGAATATACTTAATCAAAGACAAAAAAGGGTCATTTAACATCTAATAAATGTAGCAAAAAAGGCTTTCATGATCTTTAAACAAAGTTTAAATTTCATAATGTCTACAGCACCCTTTTAGGGGTCATTTTCCAAATTTTTTTTCACCTAATTATATGGTAAGGTTAAGTTTCAGAAAAATCGGTGATCATGGGTGCCAACCCCCTATATCAAATGGCTAGTGGTTACCGAGAACTGCTCTTCATTCTAACATGAATGAAATTCTTTTTAATTCATTTCCATGTTAAGACTAGAAAACTCATTGATGGCTTTGATTTAAGGAGGTTCGCTACTCAGTTTCAAAATAACAAGCTTTTTATAAAACTAGTATATATTGATAGGGGATTAATAAAGGAACCAAAAAAGCAAAAAAAAATATATCGGTCAATGTGCTTGTTTTCGAGATATTAGCCATTGAAATTTTGGCGGGAAAATGTTCTCTCTTGATTTTTCATAGCTTTATCATTGACAGGTTTAAGTTCCTAAAAACCATTAAAAATAACAAAGATTTTATAAAACTTTTACAGATGGCTCATAATTATACATGTAAAAGATTTATGAAAAGAAAAATGGGGGTCAATGGGAAAAAAATTATCAAGGCATTCAAATGAATAAAACCAGAGGATTCCGAAAATCTGACAAAAATCCCAAAACATGACAAGCGAACATCCTTAAAAGCATACCTGTTGACCTAAAGATAGCTGTATAGAGGAGGTTTTCCCTTTCCAAATATTTAATTGGGGGATCTATAGCAGATGAAAACTTTTACCCCAAAAAGCTATAGGTAAATGAATAATAATTTAATGATAATAATTTAACAAAATTTTATTAAATTCATTCTATGGCTTGAGTTTTCCTTAAGATGTGGGAGGATTAACTGGGTATTATAAAAACAACTTGAATCACATGAATGCTACATGAAAAAAAATGGAAGCTTTTCTTTATAAACAAACTAAGACTCTTAGTATCTTTTACTTTAAACTTGATGAAGTCAAATATAACAATAATCAAATAATACTAAAAATATCTAAATAACTCACTGTATAAAATCTTGTATCTGTAGTGTCTTGGTACAAGTTCTGACGTACTGTTATCTGTCCTGAGATTGTATCCATGGCAAAATATAACTGACCACGACCATTTGCTGTTGTATCTATCCATGAGTAGGTGATAGTGTTGTAAGGGGCCTAAAAAACATGAAAAAAATGACATAAGTTTAATGCTTGTGGCTATCTAGATAAGTTGTTTATAGTATAAAATATAAATCTATATACCTTTGAAAAGTATGATGATATGTATGAGCATCTAAAGCCATATGATTTAGGAACTTTGAATTCTTCATGACTTTTACACCAATAAATATGTCAGACCTTTCTATATATATATGGCATAAAAGACCACCCATTATCAAAAGACTAGTAAATTACATAAAAAAAGTAAATCTGCTATTGGGTGCTTTGTCCATCTCGTCATGGATGTTTACCCTATTACTTATATATCATTTTGTTTTTTATATACTTTGATCTTGAACAAAAACATCAAAGGTTTTGATACTGTTTTTTTTTTTATTATTGTTTAAGGAAAGGCTGGTCCACTGCTGACACTGCGAGGACCTTCAGCATATGCTAATGAAGATTCAAATTGACATAATGGACAGCTTTTACTCAAAGAAAATTCACAGCCTCCTTAATGTTAACTACACTGACTGTTACCAGAAAATCCAGAGACAAGTGTAGTACAGGCAGCCAAATTCATAAATTATTGCGATTTTAGAAAAGTGGACAAAAATGTGAGATTGATTATTGCAATTTCAAGATAATCCCCATACAGATATATGATATATGTATCGGATATCAGAATACGAGTTCTTATTATTAAGATACTCACCCAATCGCATTGTTCCCATTTATAAAAATCTCGCAATAATTTCTGAATTCACAGTACACTATTGTAATAGTTTGTTAGAAAAAGGGAGATAATCACTTACAATTCTATCCCCGTCTTGTGCATTGACATCAACTACCACACTGTTGAAGGGCTCTGTTTCATAGATCTGGTTGACATACAATAGTTGATCAAACTTAGGGATATTTAAGTTACGATCTATAATTATCTTGAGAACAGCAGTGGCTGACCTAGCAGGATTTCCACCATCAGTGGCGATGACACGTCCCTAGTAATAAATAGAGAAGGTTCATTTTCAGAAAAATTTATGAAAACAATATAATCAACCATACAACAACTAAAAAGTATAAACAGATTTATATAAATATTCTGTATCTTCTATCATCTTTAAAACGAGAAAGAAACATTAGTTATTGTGCTACCTTATTCTTAAATATACATATTAACGTATGTACAATATAAAATAAGATAATTCTAATTATAACTGATAAATTTTATTCACAATTTCAACCGAAAGTAATTGCCTTAAAAAAGATATAGCATTAAAACTTCTTAAATCTGTAAACCAAAAGTACATACAGAAATTCATTTTAAAGTTTAAAGAAACCTAACAAAATCTATAAATATTATATTTCTTGGGGATAAATTTTCTGTTAAATCAATTTCAATCACTCAGCCATTCGACACATCTGTAGCATTGTCGTACAATCTTGGAAAATTGATAATAGAATTGTTTCTCTCTAATATCTACATTTATAATAAAACAAATCAAATTACTTTTCAGTCTGACTGTTATTGACTAACCTATGAAAGTAAATTGAACAAAGAAAAATAAATCATTATTGTTAAAAAAAAATTACATGTGTTCTGAGACAACAAAGAATCATACCTGATAATATGGAACATTTTCTCCTGTTAGTGGTTGTCTAGATCTAACTTCTCCATTATCTACATTCAGACTGAAATACTGTTCAATATTACTGTCAGAGTCGCCAACTAACTGGAAGGTCACTTGTCCATAAGGTGTTGCCTGTAATAATTTTACAAAGACTATTGTGATATTTACAATTCTAGAATGTTCTATTATCTTTTTTAAAGGGGGATTAACTGTCAAATTCATGTTCACCAATTTGACTGAAATTCTCATATTATAACATAAAAAATTATATCCAAATTATAAAAAGTCTAAAACAAGATAACATGTTTAACCCCACCACATTCTGTATGTGGCTGTCCCATGTCAGGAGCCTGTAATTCAGTGGCTGTCATTTGTTTCTGTGTAACATATTGTTTCGTGCTCATTATTTTGTACATAAATCAGTTAGTTTTCTCATTTCAATTGTTTTACATTTGTCAATTCAGGGTCTTTTATAGCTGACTATGCGGTATGGGTTTTGCTCATTGTTGAAGGCCATACAGTGACCTATAGTTGTTAATTTCTGTGTCATTAGGTCTCATGTGGAGAGTTGTCTCATTGGCAATCATACCACATCTACTTATTCCTAAATTTATGATGCATAGACTCGATAATATGTATCATCATTTGATGTGTATATTAGTCTATACGCCATCTAATTAACCATCGCAGTGACCTTCGAAGACTACAGACTGTCATATAACCCAATATAAACATAAATATAGGTATAATTAGATAGCAAACACCTGCAATTGGACTATTATAGGTCTGTTTGATTTCATATTAGACGTAAAAAAATTACCTGCTTTTCCTTTTAATAGCTGAACACGCCTAGTTTATGCATAACTCATCTCTAGCTATGGGGTTAAATTTAAGGTCACATGAATACGGATTCAATGAGGTCAAATTATTCACTTGCAAGTGAATAATTCATCAGCGATGTTTCTTAGCTTATTTTGACAAAAGTGCCAGTTTGGCAGCCTAAAGCGAATCATTTTTTCACTATTTCACTATTTCACTTTCATTAATGATTGAATAAAAAAAAATCATATTTAATTTTTTTTATATCTTGTAGCTAATGCCCTTGATAGAAACAAAACCTTACATGGATGTAATAAGCTATAATAACCTTAAATGTAGTTTTTTTCAAGATTTTCTAAAAAAAATTATTTGACCTTCAATTGCCTCATTAAAATGCAAAACAGTGAGTTTAAGTATTTGTCAATAGCAAATATTTTCAAAAATGGTAGTAAAATACTGAGAGAAAAAAATTATTTGTGAGTTTTAAATTTTGCAAATTCAATACCAAAACCTGTTTGCCATGTTTAATTTTCATATTTGTCTATCATGTTTTTTTTTTTCTCTCAGGTCAAATTTTCATGGTTATATCTCAATTGTGAAATAAGCCAAAATTTCCAACTTTACGGTACACTTGTTTCATTGTTAAGCATGAAGATTAAATAAAGTTTTGACAATAATTATTCAATAGTTTAGCAATCAGTATATTAAGCAATACTTTTCTTCATATATGCCTGCAAAAAAGTTAAATATTTACAGGGACATCACTCCCAAAAAAGTTTGATATTTACCGTGCCATCACTGTCAGTTGCAGTCACTCTTTCTACAGAACCACCAACTGTGAAATTTTCTGAGATAGTTTTCTCATAAGACTTGATGGCAAATGATGGTGGATTTTTATTTCTGGTGATCGTTATGGTAACAAAGGCATTATTTCCTGTCTGTGATGGAGTTCCACGGTCTTTTACTGACACAGTCAACTAAAACAAAAGAAAAAATTAGACTGATATTAAAATAAAAATGTAAATGAAACTTCCCTTAAAATATATCTTTTTAAGAAGACTTTCATATTTGTGAATTAATATAATTCATAAAATTTAGAAAGTCAGTTAACCAGAATTTGTTTATTTAAATAACAACAAAATACATGTAGTTGTTTATAAATGTAAATTTTTTCATAGTCTTAAAACTGCAATTAATTCCAATCAATTGATTCAACTATTCATCATTCTTAAACATATATACCTAAGAATTTCCCTTCCTTTTACCATAAGGAAAGGCTGATTATTCTTCACAATTTCAAAACTAAACTCCAACAATGCAACATCAAAAACAAATTTTTAAAAACTGGTGACATTATATCAATATTTTATGTTAAATAAAGGCAAGAACAAATGATCATAGTCAATACTATTACCTGGTACTGATCCACATTAGGTACTTCAGTCAGTGGTTTTGACACATATATAAGTCCAGAATACTGATTAACACCAAAGTAATTAATTCCACCTGCTGGGTTACTGCCAGTGATTGTGTACTCTAATTCATGCTAAAATGAAAAAAAAACAACAACAAATTAAATTGAACAATGGCATGGCCTTAGAGAGAAAGAATAGTTATATTTAGATTTTACCACTACATTTAGTGTAATACAATATTTCTCTACTCAAGAGTTAAGAGAGTCATGGGATCTGTTTCTTATGATTTTTAACCAATATGAAAGCATACTTTGTCTTTCTATATCAATGATCTGCAAAAAGATGTGTTCTGTATATGTGAAGTCATCAGGCATGGTCACCTTTTTTTTGTAATGTCACAATATTAATCTCCGAGGACAGCAAAATAATTTGACATCATAATGAATAAACAGCTGCGCCGTGAGCGCATGATACACCCGTCACTTTTTCAATAGATATAAACCAGTCTCCAAAATTTCATGAAAACTGCTCAAAGCATTTTTGAATAATTGACTGAAAACTGGAAAATCCCCCTTTTATAATGAATAAAACCCCATAACTCAGAAACGTAAAATCTAAAATTTATAAAAATCGAAAGGGAGCTCAAATCAATAGATATAAACAATTCACCAAGTTTCATGAAAACTGTTCACAGCATTTTTGAGTTATTGTCTGAAAACAGGAAAATCCCCATTTTTTAATGAATAAAACCCCATAACTCGGAAATGTAAAATCTAAAATTTATAAAAATCCAAAGGGATCTCACATCAATAGATATAAACAATTCAACAAAGTTTCATGAAATCTGTTCAAAGCATTTCTGAGTTATTGTCTGAAAACTGGAAAATCCCCCTTTTTTAATGAATAAAACCCCATAACTCGGAAATGTAAAATCCAAAATTTATAAAAATCAAAAGGGAGCTCATGTCAATAGATAGAAACAATTCACCAAAGTTTCATGCAAATTGGTTAAAGCATTTTTGAGTTATTGTCCGACATGTTGACGACCGACAATGGTATACCATAATACGTCACGTAAAAGGGCGTATAAAAACTGAGATTAAACGAACCACTCCATAACTATAAATAAAATAACAATCAACCTGTATGGGAATGTATAAATCAGTGAATAATTGCCTTGTTGCTTATATCAGAAGATGATGTGTGTGTACTACTAAACTTTAGGTAACCAGTGTTCTCTAATATGCAATTAAAGGTATGTATAATTTTTCAGCACAAGTCAGGATAAGGTTTAGTTTTGACATGGAATGACTATCACTTTATTTGAACTGAAGACAAAATACTGTAGACACATTCATTTTCGTGGGGTTAAAATTTCGTGGTTTTGTCTCTTTATAAGATTTCATGGGGATTTAATTTCGTGGTTTCCAGTAAATGGAAGTGATATTATATGTAGGTTAAATTTTCGTGGGGGTTTTAATTTCGTGGATATATTCTTTCCACATAATAAACGAAATTAAATCCTCCACGAAAATTTCTGCTTTTACAGTAGATGAATGCTTGAAGTTGTAGAATTTAACATAGTCTAAGAAATCAATGAGGTGTGTGTCCATGGGATACAGATGATGCCCCCGCTTGCATATAACGTTATAAAGGGACATAACTCGAGAACTGTAAAAGTGACACTACCCAAATTTGTACCTGATCTGAGTTTTGTGGTAATAAGCATTGTTTACAAGTTTCATAACATTTAGTTGAGGCAAACTTAAGTTAGAAAACGGAAACGAAAAAATTCAGCAATTTTTCCATTTGTAAAGGGGCATAACTCTAGAACGGTTAAAGTGACGCCACCAAAATTCAAACTTGATCTGTGTTTTGTGGTAATAAGCATTGTGTATAAGTTTCATAACATTTGGTTGAGGCAAACTAAATTTAGAGAATGGAAATCAACTTTTGAACGTAAGGACGGACAGACAAGGGTTAAACTTAAAGCCCCCTCCGCTATGGCGGGGGCATAAAAATAATAAGAGATTTCAGTGCAATCATACATACATGATCACAGATAACACACAAGAAATATTAACAGAATATATTCATCAAACTTACATTATCTGCATCAGTTGCTGTAAGCTGCACAAGACTCACTCCTACTGGGTAGCTTTCATTTATTACACGGGTATACGATGTTGGAGCAAATACTGGTGGTGCTGGATTACGATTCACGGTTATAGTCAAGTTCGTCTTATCTTGGTCTTCTGGGTACTCCATGTCATAAACAATCAATCCAAGCTGAAATATAAACATTTCCAGCTTCACTATTGAGTTTGATTATAAAGTATGTTGGAAGACAAAAAGACTTTTACTAATTCTTATATTTGTATAAACCAAAAATTATCTTTAAATCAACTGGGATAAAAAACTGCTCATCGCTGACTCTTCATTGAGCTTCATTGCTGTGCAGCAGTACTACTTCCTGACAAGGGAAATAACATACTTCGATATATAATTTTGGACTTGAAGTTCACGATTTTGTAAAAAAAAATTTATGAAAAGGCTATAGCAATAATATGACATTACTTCATTTTTAACAAAATGAACTTAATTCAAATTCTTTTTTATTTTGAATAACATATTCTTTCCCAGTATATTTCTACCAGTTGTTTATGTTTAATACTTACAGTGTATGTTTGTTCTATGGCTGTCTTTAAGCCATCATTGTAAACAGATATATCTCCACTAGTAGGATTGACAGCAAAAAATCCAGGTGCAGCGGAGAAGTAGTCAACTTCAAACTTTAAGGAACTCTGTCAGAAAAAAAACCCACAATATTATTTTAATTTTTTCTTAACTTCTGGGGAACATTTGCTGAATTTATATCAAGTGATTAGGCTCTACGTGAACTTGTTTTTTGTGAAAATTTGCCTCTTTATATACTGCTATACGCAAATGTGCGACCTCAATCTGTAAAAATTCTTATTTATTAGTTTCGAAAAGTAATTTATATAAGTAATGTTCCTTTGTTGACTTTGAGAACTTTTGCTTAAACTTTTTAAGTAATGTACTGTTATGATTTAAGCACCATATGATGTTATTTATATTGGATTAAATAAATGAAAATAATTCAAAACATTTTTAACTAAAATCCTTTGGCTATTTTGTTCATAAACACAAAAAATATGCATTCATGTAAAAAGTAAAATCACAAAAATACTGAACTCCCGAGAAAAATTCAAAACAGAAAGTCCCTAATCAAATGATAAAGCACATCAAATTTTCAAATGTAGAAAATGGTGGACTGAACCTGGTTTTATAGCGCTAAACCTCTCACTTGTATGACAGTCGCATCAAATTCCATTATATTTACAACGATGCGTGAACAAAACAGACATAATAGGTAACATTGTCAAAATATGGGTACAGCAGTCATCACTGCGTCACAATCTCAAAACAAACAAACATTAAACAAAGAAGCACAAAAAGTATCTATCAAATTTAAAATATTGCATCCTATTCCAAATTATCTATTTCCTAACAGTATAAGGTATTACTGTACAGTATATTGTTTTCCTCTGTTGTCACAGAATAGTAGCAACTCAGAACTTAAGTTTACTACACTGAGACTAGGGCAATTCAAAATACGCTGACATTTCTTTTCTGCGAGAGTAATGTTACTATACGTCAGAATTACAGGCTTATCTATGTGACCCATTGTTGACTTAAGAAGGTAATAATAACTGAAGTTTCTAGGGGCTAACTTTCTGACTGCTGTAACATTTCACAGTTACAACTCTTGAACTGTTACCCACAGTGGCAGAACTAGGATAGGGAGTAGAGGGCGTATTACCCCTCCCTTTGAGTGGCAAAAAAAAATGCCATGCTTTCGTATGCCCCCAACCTTTCATTGCCAAAAAAAAAGATGTCATGCTTCTCACATTTTATAAGATTTTTTAGCATAAAATCATAAAATTTGTTACTTTTTAAAAAATAACGCCCCCTTTCAAAATTCTTTGCTCTGCCCCTGACCGAAAACTCCAAACCTGTATCTTATACTGTTTCTACTACTTACTGTGATTGCCATATCACCGTCCAAAGCTGTTGCTGTAAATATTGGAACATTAATTGGCTGGTTATAATTAATAGGCTGTCTGTAGGGTGTATTGGTAAACACTGGAGATTGTAGGTTCCTGGTCACGGTGACAACAACAGATGATAAGTCAAACTTCTCTGGATTAGAATTGTCAGTAACATTTACATTAAACTGAAAAGAAAATATCAAATGGTCAAGATAATACTTCAGAATTCCTTATTTCCCTTTTTTTTAATTCATATCTTTTTAATATATTCATATTATCCCTGCCAAACCCTATTAAAACTTAACAGATCAAACATAAGCATTTTATCTGCTTATAAACTAAACATGCTGTATTTTTTGAAGATTCATACAAAGTTAACTCAGAGTAATCTACTCAGCCTGAAAATTGTTAATCTGGCCTGCTGATGGAATCTACTCAGTTTAAAAGTTGTTAATCTGGCCTGCTGACAGAATCCACTCAGCCTGAAATTTGTTAGCCTGGCCTGCTGACAGAATCCACTCAGTCTGAAAGTTGTTAATCTAGCCTGCTGACGGAATCCACTCAGCCTAAAATTTGTTAATCTGGCCTGCTGACGGAATCCACTCAGTTTGAAACTTGCTAATCTGGTCTGCTGACAGAATCCACTCAGTTCGAAAGTTGTTTATCTGGCCTGTTGACGGAATCCACTCAGTTTTAAAGTTGTTAATCTGGCCTGTTGACGAATCTATTCACCCAGTAATTTGTTGCCATTCTTGCATCGGTTGTTAACATTTCACTCAGATCAATTTGCCCTGTTGATGGATCTACTCACTCAATCATTTTTTTACTTATGTTAACAGTTTACCCAGAGTAATCTTTCTTGTCAATGTATCTACTCACCCTGTAAGCCTTTCCGACATCTGTTGTTAACAGTGTACCTCATAAAATCTACCCAGATGATTGGTCTACTCACCCTGTAAGTTGTTGCCTTTCCAGCATCTGTAGTTAACAGTTTACCAAGAGTAATTTGACCTGTAGATGGAACCATGTAGAAGTAATCTGTGACTCCTGGACTAGGGACAATGCTGTAAGTCAATACATCCTACAATAAAAATACAAAATAAATATAATCTTTACTCTTCCTATTTTTTACTTTAAAATATAGACAGACAAAAGATAAAAAAAAAAGTACTGTTACAAGAAGATAAATAAAACCCAAAATTGTTGGATATTAAAACCTGTGCCTTTTTCAAAATCTTTAAGTTTTGTGAACACTTGACTACTTCAAAAATTACCTACCCCTATATCAGCATCAGTAGCTGACACTTTAATGACTGGTTCCCCAAGACCAAGTTTTTCAGAGATTGCATTTGGAGTTACATACTGGATTGCAGTGAACTGTGGAGCATTAACATTCCTTGTTATTGTAACCACTAGAATGTTCTTAATAGTCTGTCTTCCTTGTGTGAAATTTCTAGTGGCTTGAACTTCAACCTAAAATGACAAAATTTTCTATTAGTATTACAATTGAGTGATCAGAGATATTTACTTACACCATAAAATTGAGAATGGAAATGGGGAATGTGTCAAAGAGACAACAACCCGACCAAAGAGCAGAAAACAGCCCAGGGCCACCAATGGGTCTTTTAAAACAGCGAGAAAATTCCGCACCCAGAGGCGGGCTTCAGCTGGCCCCTTAACAAAAATGTGTACTAGTTCAGTGAAAATGGACGTCACTCTTAACTCCAAAAAATATTAATTAACTAAAATTGAAAAAACAAAAATACAAGACTACCAAAGACCAGAAGTTCCTGACTTGGGACAGGTGCAAAAATGTGGTGGGGTTAAACATGTTTTGTGAGATCTCAACCCTCCCCCTTAACCTCTAGCAAATGTAGAATAAACAAACACACAGCAAAACGCACAGTAAAACAGTTTGTTTGAAGTCGTAATGTATCTGTAACTCAAACAGAATGTTCATGTAACAATTCAATACTTTGATTGATTGATTCTGGGTTGTTTAGGACAATCCAAAACTTGTATTAAACTGATATTGTTTTTTTCCCCATTTCAATCAGTTGATGGAAGTTATGGATACACTACTAAAACATCCAGAATATGTGTTAATGTGACAAAAGAATGGTATTATTCAGTTTTACTTGTATCTGTGTTTTTGTTGCTTTTTTTTACTGATATCACAGAGTTATGTTTTTTATAGTTCACTTTCATTTTATGCTCTTCTTTGTACCTTTGTCATTCACTGATCAAAATCAAAATTAGGTTTTTGTACTTAAAAACATAGTTTAAACCTGCAATCCTGTAAATCAGAAATTATTGCATGCATTTATTATAGCAATTTTTGAAGAATTAACAAAAATGTGAGTTTAATTATTGCAATTTTAGGAAAAGCTACGTACAGATATATGTATTTGATATCAGAATGTGAGTTATTATTACTGCGATACTCCAGTAGTTGCATTATTCGCATTAATAAAAATCTCGCAATAATTTCTGAATTTACAGTATATGCATGTGTCTGTACTAAGTCAAGGGTTCTTAATATATTATTGTTATGTTGGTGTAAATGGCAGATTCCAGATAAATCTATAAACAACTTTTTTTTTGGCATACTTGGTTTGAGGATAAATAAAGCACAATCAAAAAACAAAATATATATGTGGAGGATGAATTATCCCTAATCTCACACGTTCACTAAACATAAAGTTGTTTCTTTGGTATGCTCATACTATTCCTTTCCCATATCTATGTTAATATAGATCAAAAGCAAGAAAAAATCAGGAAAGGCTCCATGTTTACCTCTCCTTGTTGCCATGGTAACTCATGGAATGTAGAAGTTTTCTGAATTAAAAATATGATTACCACTTAAGGTCCTCAATGCAATGACTACTTTAAAATGCAGATAGCCATGCAGGCAATAATGCCGTGTATGAGAAGGTGCTGCATAATGTTAATTCAGGTTTATTTTGTGCATTTATCATTGTGATTGTGGAATAATTGTCGGTAAGGTGAAATTACTTATTGTGATTTCAGGGTATGCAAGATAAATGCGATTTCAAGAAATGCTGCATAAAAATCTATCAAAATTTAAGTTTTTATTTTTATGAAACCTATCACATCACAATTTTTGCAATAATAAAAAAACATTGCAATAATTTCTGAATTTACAGTATATCAATTCTGGCATACCATTATGTATTTACGTTGTAATTTACAGATATTCTATTGCCCTCTAATGAGAAATGAATTGCTAAACAGATGTCTAAAAAGGTCGAACTGTTATTCTTACCTCAAAACTTGGTCTCCTGGATGGATCAGTTGTTAATAACTTTTTCAATGTTAAAGCACCAGTGTCTTTATTTATTTGAAAATAATCACCAGCATCGGATAACCCAGTAATGGAATACTCAATTCCAGGCTGAAAAAAATCAAGGTCATTTGTACTATAACATATTTAGTCAATAAAATCTTTAAATTGCACAATCAAAGCTATACTATATGTACTATCCATTGCTTCTTATCTTTAATATCTTACATGTATATACTAGAGGCTCTAAAGAGCCTGTGTCGCTCACCTTGGTCTATGTGCATATTAAAAAAAGGACACAGATGGATTCATGACAAAATTGTGTTTTGGTGATGGTGATGTGTTTGTAGATCTTACTTTACTGAACATTCTTGCTCCTTACTATTATCTCTATCTATAATGAACTTGGCCCAGTAGTTACAGTGGAAAATATTTTGTAAAAATTTACAAAAATTTACAAAATTTATGAAAATTGTAAAAAATTGATTATAAAGGGCAATAACTCCTTAAGGGGTCAATGACAATTTTGGTCATGTTGACTTATTTGTTGATCTTACTTTGCTGTACATTATTGCTGTTTACAGTTTATCTCTATCTATAATAATATTCAAGATAATAACCAAAAGCTGCAAAATTTTCTTAAAATTACCAATTCAGGGGCAGCAACCCAACAATGTGTTGCCTGATTGGTCTGAAAATTTCAGGGCAGATAGATTTTGACCTAATGAACAATTTTTTTTCTCGTCAGATTTGCTCTAAATGCTTTGGTTTCAGAGATATGAGCCAAAAACTGCATTTTACCCTATGTACTATTTTTTAGCCATCTTGGTTCGCGGGCAGGGTCATCGGACACATTTTTTAAACTAGATACCCTAATAATGATTGTGGACAAGTTTGGTTAAATTTGTCTTAGTAGTTTCAGAGGAGAAGATTTTTGTAAAAGATTACAAAAATTTACGAAAAATGGTTAAAAATTGACTATAAAGGGCAATAACTCCTTAAACGGTTAACTGACCATTTTGGTCAAGTTGACTTATATGTAGATCTTACTTTGCTGAACATTATAGCTGTTTACAGTTTATCTCTATCTATAATAATATTCAAGATAATAACCAAAAACGGCAAAATTTCCTTAAAATTACCGATTCAGGGGCAGCAACCCAACAACGGGTTGTCCGATTCATCTGAAAATTTCAGGGCAGATAGATCTTGACCTGATAAACAATTTAACCCCCGTGTCAGATTTGCTCTAAATGCTTTGGTTTCAGAGATATAAGCCAAAATCTACATTTTACCCCTATGTTCTATTTTTAGCCATGGCGGCCATCTTGGTTGGTTTTCCGGGTCACCGGACACATTTTTTAAACTAGATACCCCAATAATGACTGTGGCCAAGTTTTGTTTAATTTGGCCAAGTAGTTTCATAGAAGATTTTTGTAAAAGTTAACGACGACTGACGATGACGACGGACGACGGACGCCAAGTGATGAGAAAAGCTCACTTGGCCCTTTGGGCCAGGTGAGCTAAAAAAGTCATATCTGAAAAAGTATGTTTATTTATAAGCCATTCTCCTTCATAAATATTGTTACTGCTGAGAAGTGAAGTATAAAAAGTTCATGGTCAAAGTAAAAATACTGACCGGTGGTGTTGCCTGGATTGTCCTTATTAAAGCTCCTGTAGCTTCATTCTCTGTGATAGTCTCTGTCCAATCAGTTGTTACCCATAAGAGTGTGGGGTCAACAGAGACAGAAACAGTCAGGGTACCAGTAGTAGACAGGGCAGGTTTTCCTCCATCTTCTGCTCGAATCAAGACCTGCAAAAAGGGAACCAATAGTGTGTAAGTTAAGTAAATTTCAATCAAATTATACAAACACACTTACACACACCTATATATATATTTAAGATATAAGGTAAATTTAGTCTTTTGTGAGGTTATATGTTTTTCAACTTGTAAATCCCAGAAAAAATTATAGATAATGTTAAAAGTGGTATCCTATTTGTCTTTCCTAATAGATTAAATGTTAAAGAATCTTGACAAGGAAGCAGCCAAATAAGCAAGTAAGATTTTATCGAAGTACAAATTTGAATTTATTACTGATTTTTTTACCCATAATATCATACATTGAAACCAATGACTTTCATGTATCATATAACATATGGTTGCCATTGGTTTCTGACTACCATATTTGTTTTCCCTTTATTATATTGTTAAAATGGTTATAAATCAGGCTATTGGTTTTTTCTTTTGAATTTTTTCACAATTTGTCATGTCTTGGCCTTTTATAGCTGACAAATAAGGTATGGGTTTAGCTCATAGTTGAAGGCTGTACGGAGGCCTTATGTAGCTTAATCCTCATCATTTGGACTTTGGTGGATAGTTATTTCATTGGCAATCTTACCACATCTCCTTATTTTATATCAACCACGGACAGTTAAACATTATGCTATAACATTCAAATCTCTTTGTCCAGCAAGGAAGTAAATTGCAAAACTAACAAATGTCTTGAGGAAAAGTTATTCAAAAGCTTTTCAATGTAACATTCTACTTTTTAATAACAACAATTTGTTTGCTTTAAAAATAAAACTTACCTTTAGAGTGAATGTTTTTTCCCAGATTGGTTTTTGATAAATAAATTAACAGTGAACTTGACATTTAGAAATCGATGATATCATCATTTCAATTCTTGTACATTTCATGTCTCCATATTAATATTGTGTATGATGTTATTCTCATTGCATTTGATTTTGTTCGGTTATTTATTATTTATATATGATGCAGAAGACTTTCTAAGTTAAAAAACTTGTGTCTGACCATCTTGTCATTGTTTTGGACAATAAAAGATATGTTTAAACTAAACTTACAGTAAATGGATTAATATTACTGCCAGCAATAGAAGACTTCAATGACACCACACCTGTGTCTGGCTGGATGAAGAAGAATGGAGAAGCCTGTGTATTGTCAACCAGAGAGTAAGATATCTCATTGTAAGGAGCCTACAATGGAATATAATTCTTATATGATTTGCATATTAGGTAATACATTGATATGATTGGTCGAGAGGACTTCCAGTAGTTGATCTTGACGTTGTTTATTTTTCAATAGACGACGTTGACCGAACTTCTTTTCGTAACCAATGTAAACAAGATGGCGGCGATAATAACACCGACATTAACAAAATAATTTTCACTGCAAGTTAATCGTTAAATTAAATAACAAAACACAAAATTATTCGTTGGAATGATAATAAGAGTTTTTGTAGTTTATTTTTTATCAGATAGCAAATTTCATGGAGTACATATTTTTGCGTTAACCAACAAATATATTCATACGCCAGACCTATTCAAGGACACAAATATACAATTTACGTGTGATAAAGGTTACGAGTGTGGAAAAACATATTCCTTATCTCCAATTCTAAAGAATTATAAGGATTAAATGCCTTTTTAAAGGAATTTATTGGTGTATAAACTCGACCAATTCACTCACAAACAAATAAAAGTCTGAAGGACTTTTATGATATGTTTGTGAGTGACTTGGTCCAGTTTATACATAAACAATAGAATTTAGGAGCCTACATTGGAATATAAATTACACATGGACACATATATTACAATAGAATTTACGAGCTTACAATGGAATATAAATTACACATATATTACAATAGAATATAAGTATCTAAGTATCACATTATCAAGGTCACGAATATAATCATCTTTTTCTTTAATATTCCATTGTGCAAAAATAAAAATTCTTCGCACAAGTATGAAATACAATTACTTGGAGTTCTCCTCAAATATACTTTGTAAAAATTATCAGTCTTTGGACACAATTCCTGCTTGGCCTATAATATACTGGATTTGGAAACATTTCCTGTTTTGCCTTAGAAATAGTCTTATATACTGTATACAAAATTCCTGCTTGGAGTATAGTATGCAGACTATGGAAACAATTCCTGTTTGGCCTTATATAGTGGCCTTAGAAATTGCTTATTTATGGTCTCTGGACACAATTCCTTCTCAGCTTTATATACAAGCACAGGAAACATTTCCTGTTGTTCTTTATTTAGTAGCCTTAGAAACAGTCTTATATACTGTCTCTGCATACTATTTCTGCTTTATAGAATAGTTTAAATGATTTAGAAGCAATTCTTTTTTGACCTTACAAAGTGACCTTAGAAATAGTTTCATATACCGTATCTGAAAAAAATATTACTTGTTTAGACTTGCAACTGGTACTGGATCTTTTTTCTAGTTTAGTCTTATACTATGAATGATAAAAGATTTTTTTACCTTTGGATCATTATCTTGTGCTGTTACCGTGGTTATAGCCTCTCCAACAGGTGTATTCTCCAGTATCGTTGTATTAAAATTACGAGTGAAAAATGGTGGAAGCATATTCCTATTGACGTTGATTTGGATCGAATCAATGGAATTTCTAGGAGGGGAACCACCATCTTGTATAAATAGCCTTATCTATAATAAAAAAAATATAATGAAATTGATATGTTATTAATTGTTTAAATACTGTTTATAATATATTAATACTTTTTATAAATGAAAAACTGACTTTTAAATAGTTGAATTTACTTCAATTACCAATGTACAAAAAAAGTTAATAAATTTGACTATGATTTTTATAGTTCAAAAACTGTTTCAAATATATTTATATTTCTTATTTCTTAAATAGTTGCATTTTCTTCACAATTACCATCTTTTCCAAGATTGGTATAGTATTGTTTAGCATGAATGTACACCTGATCCTGCAGGTACCATTCAACAATTAAAAGAAATCTAATGACAATATCAAAAGTCGATTTGAACACTTCATAAATGTCAAGCTTACCGTATAACTTTCAGCAGAATCTGCAGCTAAAGTAACAGCATCGGCCACTCTGATGGTATTTCCTTGAAGTTTAAATATGTTGACAGCTGTGGCTCCATCTCCAATTACTTGAATGGTGTATGTATTGAAAGGATTCTGAAATCAGAAGTTAACTTATTATATAAATGTATTTTTTTTTCAAGGAATAAACTGCTCTGAAATTTTTTTACTCTCAAGTCTTTTATTTTTTCACATTCTTAGATATAATTTTTTTTATATTTAATGATTTGGAAAATTTTCAGGATGCAGATTAATATAAAATTTGTTGCTTGTTTCTGAATCCTATTTGCCACAATGTGAATTTATATTGTACAAGATGTATATTTATTTTCATAATTAAATATTGTTTACACTAAAATATATTTTTAAAGCAACTTTATATTTTCCTGAAAGACTGTATTTTTAACTTTATATTTTCCTGAAAAACTGTAAGTATTTTGAACAAACATTCAAAAGCTCCCAATTTTATAATTATATCAGCCGAGGAAAGTATCTGTACTGATCTACAATAACTTCAACAAATTAAACAGAAAACATCTTTCCTTAATTATATATGGCATATTCTATTTTATTTTAATAAAAATTTCACACACAAAGATAAAATGACTCACTGAGCTTGTAAAATATCAAACATCAATTGTTAATTCACAACAAAGCAATCTGACAAAATAGACAATTTATGCCAAAAGTGTATTTATCTCCTACATAAAAATAAGGAGACTTTATTTCATATACTATTATTATATGAGTGAATCATTATCCTTTCAAAATAATGGTGAGGACAGTTAAATGAAATTTCAAACTCTAATTTTGACTCTATGACATCTGCTGTAAATTCCACATTTGAAGGTCAGAGGACGTTTCCATGTTATTTGTTATAATTAATCCTAAATATTTTACGGGTATTTCATTTAAATAGGAAAAACAGTACAGTTTTAAAGAGTTGCCAATGTACAGCAATTTCTTTAAGCAACATAAAATTATCAAGCTTACACTCATGCAAATGAAACATTTTCTCCCGTTAGAATTCAAAACATTCCAAAAAATCTGAACAGTCAAACAATTGCAATAAAGCATCATTATCACAACTTTACTCTAGAACTTAATTTCTCCTCTGACATGCAATCATAAGATCCTTCACCAAGCATTTCAAAACATATCGATTGTTATTTTTCAACTTATGCTTTCTTATTTTTTTATAAAGATTTCAGCCATTTCTAATACGTACTGTAAAATTTCCATCTATTTCTGTAATGTTCTGTTTAAAAATGTATAAATCTTAGTCTTAAATAATATATATTTAACTGTAATAATCAGCATTTGTTTCCTATCATTAAATTGTCCTGAAGACGCCACCGTAAGTGGTGAAACATGTAGACCAGAATAAAGCATTGACTTGCAGTAATCCAGGATGTTGTTTTCTTTTTATAGTTTTATTTTCCTGAGTTTTTAAGACAACAGCAGCATACTACTGTATCCATCCTGATTACTCTATCAGCTTGCACCGTTATAAGGTGTTGGTTCACTCTTTTTTATTTATAATAATTAGATATTAAAAGTACAAAAATATGTGTCAAATCATTTACATTCTCATTCATAATTTTTTTCCAGAAATATTTAAATAATTTTCTTTGTATGATCATGTTGATTTATAAATAAGTGTGAATATATTGTTGCATCTGAGATTGTATATAGGCAACAAAGTAATTTTCTAAAATATGGAATTTCTAAATTTCATAGCTAAATATATTTGACTACAATGGACTTCACCTTTAATCAGGATTAAATTTACGATTCAGTATACAAATATACATATTTACACTTGTATGCAAATTTGTCTGTCATTACTTAAAATCCCGCAAAATTTTGAATCACAATTTACAAAAATTTCACAACATAATTAAAAAATGATGGTTTTTGACGCGAGAAAAACTTCAGCTAAATACCAAAAAAGTAAATATGTCTATTGTATTCCTGAGATTGTCTTATTTGCATGGAATTTAGCGAATTCCCTATGACCTAATTGATGTCTATTACCTACATAACAAGATGCATATTCTTTATTTTATGAATGAGTTACATAGGTTGACCCAAGGCCAATCTGTGTAAATGCTTCATTGAACAATCGGTTCTTACTTTGACGTAATAATATAAATATTGTGACATAGGTAATATATGGGAAAGTGCACAAATTTTAAAATTGTCCATACATACCCTGTCGTCTGCATCAGTGGGATTGAATGTAGTCACAACTGAATCGTTATTAATTGTCCTATCAATGTTGGCAGTAGCAGGAAGGTTTAGTTGTGGATCATTCAAGTTACGATGGACTGTTACCGTGACCGTAGCTGTATTAGTACCAGCCTGAGACGGTGTTCCTTTGTCTTTAACTGTGACAGTGAACTGCGAAAAAAATTCAAATGTTTACATGTTTCAAATATTTTATCAGTATACAATACTTTTTCATAACTTAATAAGTAATTTTTCTTTTCATAAAATAAAATCTCAAGAACTAATCCTCACGCTGAAATTCTTGTTTATGTTTACTGTAAATAACTATTTTTGTGTGCATTTATTATTCTGTGTTGATCAGCAAAAAACTTAATTTACAATAAACAATAGGCATTAATTTTCTATTTGAGGGAAAAGAAAAATCATGTCTGTTTTACAGTTTAAGAAATTGCAATTTTTGTGAACAATATCAAAAAGTATAAAAGTCCAAAAATGCTTTGTAATAAATAGAACTTGAACACATTTCCATTGACTCACCTACAATTGAAAATGTTAATTTAATACTAAGAAATAAAAGATACAAATATATTTTTTAGCTCACTATTAAAGAGTTGATTATCTTCAGTGCAAAGAAAAAGATATATAGAATATTTTCTACTCACTGTATAAAGAAGTGTATCATCAGTGTCAGCCATCAAATACTGTTTGACAGAAACTTTTCCATTACTAGGATCAACTTGGAAGTAGGCAGAATCCTTGATATCTCCGACTAATGTGTATTCCAATTCATTGTGTGGTGCCTGTGGTGTGCAGAGGTAATATAATCAGCATATTTGTAAATGTGGTTAATGTATGCAATGTATTTTTTAAATCTTTAGGTAATAGAAATTAAAATAAAACATGACAGCTAATTTGTAACAGCTCCATAGCAACATTTTCAACAAATATCCTTTTGCAGAAATTGAGAACAATACAGATGAAAACAAAAACATCTATATAAAAGATAAAACATCTTATACATCCTTGACTTTCAATTATTCGGCTTTGAACATTCCTGATGAAGATAAATCCAGAAAAGCACTTGAGATCCATGAAATTAATAAAGTGTGGTTTTCATTTCCTATATAAATGTGCAACTAAACTAGTAAAGAAGCAGAATACGTTGAATTTTAAAACAATCACCTCTCGTCATGAAAAGTTTACAAAATATTTATTTCTGTACATCTCTTCTTGACAAAATATTGCTTCCATCAAATAAATTAAGTATAAGCAAACAAAACAAAATTTATTTCCACTTACTAGCGAATCACCATCATTATCTACTTACTAGAGAATCACCATCATTATCTACTTACTAGAGAATCACCATCATTAGCATTAACATCAGCTATTTCTACTTACTAGAGAATCACCATCATTATCTACTTACTAGAGAATCACAATCATTAGCATTAACATCAGCTATTTCTACTTACTAGAGAATCACCATCATTAGCATTGACATCAGCTATTCCTACTTACTAGAGAATCACCATCATTAGCATTGACATCAGCTATTTCTACTTACTAGAGAATCACCATCATTAGCATTAACATCAGCTATTTCTACTTACTAGAGAATCACCATGATTAGCATTAACATCAGCTATTTCTACTTACTAGAGAATCACCATCATTAGCATTAACATCAGCTATTTCTACTTACTAGAGAATCACCATCATTATCTACTTACTAGAGAATCACCATCATTAGCATCAACATCAGCTATTTCTACTTACTAGAGAATCACCATCATTATCTACTTACTAGAGAATCACCATCATTAGCATTAACATTAGCTATTTCTACTTACTAGAGAATCACCATCATTAGCATCAACATCAGCTATTTCTACTTACTAGAGGATCACCATCATTATCTACTTACTAGAGAATCACCATCATTAGCATTAACATCAGCTATTTCTACTTACTAGAGAATCACCATCATTAGCATTAACATCAGCTATTTCTACTTACTAGAGAATCACCATCATTAGCATTAACATCAGCTATTTCTACTTACTAGAGAATCACCATCATTAGCATTAACATCAGCTATTTCTACTTACTAGAGAATCACCATCATTATCTACTTACTAGAGAATCACCATCATTAGCATCAACATCAGCTATTTCTACTTACTAGAGAATCACCATCATTAGCATTGACATCAGCTATTTCTACTTACTAGAGAATCACCATCATTAGCATTAACATCAGCTATTTCTACTTACTAGAGAATCACCATCATTATCTACTTACTAGAGAATCACCATCATTAGCATTAACATCAGCTATTTCTACTTACTAGAGAATCACCATCATTAGCATTAACATCAGCTATTTCTACTTACTAGCGAATCACCATCATTAGCATTAACATCAGCTATTTCTACTTACTAGAGAATCACCATCATTATCTACTTACTAGAGAATCACCATCATTAGCATTAACATCAGCTATTTCTACTTACTAGAGAATCACCATCATTAGCATTAACATCAGCTATTTCTACTTACTAGAGAATCACCATCATTAGCATTAACATCAGCTATTTCTACTTACTAGAGAATCACCATCATTAGCATTGACATCAGCTATTTCTACTTACTAGAGAATCACCATCATTAGCATTAACATCAGCTATTTCTACTTACTAGAGAATCACCATCATTAGCATCAACATCAGCTATTTCTACTTACTACAGAATCACCATCATTATCTACTTACTAGAGAATCACCATCATTATCTACTTACTAGAGAATCACCATCATTAGCATTAACATCAGCTATTTCTACTTACTAGAGAATCACCATCATTATCTACTTACTAGAGAATCACCATCATTAGCATTAACATTAGCTATTTCTACTTACTAGAGAATCACCATCATTAGCATCAACATCAGCTATTTCTACTTACTAGAGAATCACCATCATTAGCATCAACATCAGCTATTTCTACTTACTAGAGAATCACCATCATTATCTACTTACTAGAGAATCACCATCATTAGCATCAACATCAGCTATTTCTACTTACTAGAGAATCACCATCATTATCTACTTACTAAAGAATCACCATCATTATCTACTTACTAGAGAATCACTATCATTAGCATTGACATCAGCTATTTCTACTTACTAGAGAATCACCATCATTAGCATTGACATCAGCTATTTCTACACCAGGTGTTTGAGTTTCCAGGATATCTGCACTATAACTGGTTTGTGTGAAGGATGGTGCATTAAGGTTACGAGTCACATTCACCAACAGGATACCAGTTGCAGATTTAGGTGGGCTTCCTCCATCTTGAGCTACCACTCGTACCTATAAGGTTTATATAGAATTGTATTTATTTTTCACAATTTTTTGCATTGTTTAAAGTTAACTTGTTCCTTATTTTAAGATTTAGATTGAATGTAGCCTGAATTCACTTTAATAAAAAACTTTAAAAAATGAAATTTTAGTCCTGATCCAATCATAAAAGGATTTATAACATAGAACAAACATACTTAAAATTAAAAAAAAACTCTTTTTGTTCCAATGTTATGAAATTTACAAATATTACTATTTCAATTACCCTGAGCCAATACAGAACATTGTTATAGAAATTGTAATACCTAATTACACATCAATATATATTCAAAACATGTTCACATATGATCAAATGAATCAAAAATTCTAATATACATTACCTGATAGTATTCTCCTTGATCAGCTTGCAGATTGCCGATGACGGCTATACCTCCGCCATTTTGGTTGATAGTAAACAGTGTGGTAGATGACTCATCACCTATGATGCTATAACTCACATCACCAAATGGACTCTGTCAATAGCAAATTACATGTAATAATACCAATATTAATTTGGATGTCATTATAATTATCATAGAACTTGCCTTGTAAGATTATCATAATGCGACTTCTTATTATTGCGATACGCATCCAGTCGCATTAATAGTATTAATGAAAACCTCGTAATAATTTCTGAATTTACAGTAGTTCTATTTTTTTAAATGAATTTTCTGTTTTACCTAGTGAATAGAAATACCTATTAATCCTTTAAAGTTCTGATAATACTATAATAAATATCAAAAGCTTTCATGTGAAATAACAAAATAATTTTGGAATTTTACATCTATAACATATGTATAAAGATCATTTAATTTAACAAAAATTGCTAGTATCAGAGTTAAAAAAAATATACTATTAGCAGGACTCAAACAAAGCTCATTATAGACACCAAATCATGTGAGTCCAGCATAATTAAAATACTGCAATTGTATAGTATATGGAATAGGATCCCAGTTACGGCAACCAGTCCAGTACCCACGAATGTAGTTCTTATAAAAAATTTATAATTTTTTTTTAAAATGGTGTAGTTTTATTATTACACAAGTTCTGTAACTGAATGTAGATTTATTTGAAGGGGTAGGCTTACTAGTTTGAATTTCTGTAAAAATTTTGATTGATTTAACTGTAATCTGGCGTCAGTACATAGAGTAAATTGCCTAAATTCTAGCCTTTATTCTTCCCCGGAAGTAGACGGACTGACCCTGTTGTCAATCAAAACAAAATTTTGCAACGGAATGCAGGACATGAGGCACTGAGATTGTACTTAGAAACTCCAAAACAAATGCCTAACATGAACCAGAAGTCCCAAGGTGGCTATCAAAATTATTAATTGAATAGCACCCCATTTATTTACTATGATTTTCAATGCGTTTCAATGGGGCAAATAATTGGGTCCCCGTTCCATATGGGCTATACATCACATGGCCTAATTAATACATACCACTGTATCTCCATCAGTTGCACTTGCAGTGAAGAAAGTACCCAGCTGTGTTGGCTGAATCCTGAGACTGTTTGGTAGGTTATTAAACACTGGCGTCTGCAAATTACGCTGAACTGTAATGGTCACAGGTATGTTCTGACTTCTGCCTGCTGGTGTGCCACCATCTTCTGCATAAATATTAAACTGAAAAAAAAAATCATAAGATTAGTGATTGTTCATTTGTAACTGGGGGCCTAATTTCAGAAAAGATGTTAGCCAGTTAAATATGACATGCATTTATTATTGCAAAGCCTTCACCACTGTTAAAAAAGGTGAAACCTAATTAATGTGATCGCAAACATTTTATAAGGAAAACCTACTGAAATTATTATTGCGAATCTAAAACTGTTTCATTTTTCACATTAAAAAAACATCACAATGATTCTGAATTTACAGTAATTGTGGTTTGGAAAATTCGTTCTAAACTTTCTGTTTTCTAGCAAAATATTCTGATGTCTCTGTTATTGTACTTTTTTTATTGTGATTTAAAAGGGATGTATCCAACCCCTAAACTTTATTTTACTATAACCAATGGGAATTTAATCGATTACGAAATGCCTAAAATCTTTACTAAATCTATAAAGATTAATTTAACAAGTTGGTGTTACATATACACAATTTTCATCCTACATAAAACCTATAACATACTCTAGGAGTTGGAGTTCAATCACCTACAATCCCCCCACCTCCCCCTCCCCAAAAGAAATAAAAAGGCAACAAAACAGAACTTTTATAAACATACTGTAAATGTAGACTGTGTTTCTCCTGTCAGTGTTCTTCTAACAGTTATCCATCCAGTTGAAGGATCAATTAAAAATCTGGCATCACCTCCATCAATTTTGTAGTTTACAAAGTTGTATGGTGACTGAAATACAACATAATTTCACATCAAATATGCTAGTCATCTAAAAAACAATATAGAATACAAAATCAAACACATCACTCTTGGTTATAACTAAAAACTTAAGTTGCAATAGTTTTGTGGAAAAATTTCAAATTTCGTCTGAAGATGAATGGTTTAAAAATAACATTGCGCAATAGTTCAAACAATTCAGGAAAATAAAAAGTTAATAAGCTAAATATTTATCATGATTTATTAGATTTTACATTCAAATTTAGATTTTTCATCTATCAGCACAGAAGATATCGCAAATGAAGATGTCTTTATTTGCGCTGTTGGCTTGATATCACACATCTTGAAATCCAACCTCTGCATATCCCACATTGCTTGATATCCCACATCTCTTGATATCCCACATCTATTGAAATCCAACCTCTTGATATCCCACATCTCTTTTATCAAAATGTTACTAAAAATGGAATTTTATTCTAAAAATTCACCATCCAGTCCTTCTTATCTTTACTCTTACTCCTAATTCTTGTGATCTGACTGAGAAGAGGCAAATACTGATGTAACAGTTTTTAATTATCCTTCAGGATTTGAACCTACCATCTCCAATGATGACACTACTGATGAACAAAGAATTTGGGCATATTTGAACGTTTCCTCCAAATTAAACAAAAACATGAAGAAACTTAGAAAGAACTGAACATCGGTCAATATTTCTCTTTAGACCATTAAAGACTGACATTCTTGAGCTTAATGAAGGAACATAATAACATAAACGGTTCCAATTTTACTGCACCAGATGTGCATTTCTACAATTAATATCTCTTCAGTGATGCTCGAGGCCAAAATATTTGAAAATCCAACCCAAATGAATTATGTTACTTTAGACTGACTTACATCAGAGTCTACATCTCCTGCAAGAACTTGAATGATAGAAAATCCAATGTCACGATCTTCTCTAACAGTAGCGGTATAAGAATTAAGATTAAATACAGGAACATTGAAGTTTCTCTTCACATTTACTGTTAACACTCCAACATCCTCCAAACGAGGGACACCACCATCTCTAGCTCTTACTCTGATCTAGAAATATATTAATATCTCAAATGCAAAATAAAAGTTTTTTGTTTAACTTCTTTATTGCAAGCATTTAAAATTTGTCTACAATTTCGGGAAATAAATTGTTTCCACAAATTCATTTTTTCATCACTAGAAATTATATTTGACATCACATGCTAAAAGTACTTGTTCTGACAACATTATATCATCTCTGAAAAAATTAAACTGGGCAAAACTCTGTTATGAATAATTCATATGCATATGTAATATTCCTGGACATTTCATTTGTAGAAATATAGGAAATTTCCTGCAGTCACTTTGGAGTGTGCTGGTTTGTTATAATTTTTTTTTCTTCAATTTCTGAATTCTGGTCAAAGGGGGAAAGAACAGTTAAATTTAACTTTTCCCAGTTATGTTAAATTAAATTTTAATTGATGAAATAAAGGTTTTAGTAAATATACATTTATCAACTCTGATAGAAAAATCTTACCTTATAACTTGTCGTTGTCAGTGGGAAAATTGATGTAGCAAGGGAGATAACACCTGTAGATGAGTCTATGTTGAAAGTTAATTCGGCACCGTCATCTCCAGTGATATCATATTCAATTGTGTTGAAAGGAGCCTGAAAAACAAATTGTCAGAAACTTAGAAATCAAACATTTATTTCAATTAGACAGATGGAACTGTATTAAGACTTACACATTAAAAATCCTTGTTGTAAAGTTCACCTTGTCATTTTCAATATAAAAATAAGCTTGTCATTTTCAATATAAAAATAAGAAGATGTGGCAGGATTGCCAACAAGACAACTCTTTCAAAAGACCACAGACTAAGTAACCTGCTGAAAAATTACATACTCTGGAGTTAAAAGTCGATAATTTGAAAATATTGTTAAAATGAGGTATCAGGTAAAGCTAAGTAAACATTACCAGAGTAAGTAAAGGTCTCTATTACACAATTTACTGATTGAGTATCCTAGTGATAATTAGAATTCTGCAAAAATACACTGGAATAAATGTAGGCTTACACAGAATACCAGTCTTAATAAAATCAGAAAAAGGAAAGGAATTCAGTACATAATTTTTCACTGTTGAATAATTGTGCTCTTTCCAACAAAATATTGAATTGAATTGAATTGAATTGAATTGAATAATTCTATCTACTTACAACAGTGTCTGCATCTGACGCTGCCACATCATATACATCTCCAGTACTATTGTGGAATATCTCAATGGTATTATCCAAGTTTGATATGATTGGACGATTACGATTTCTGTTTACTGTAATTGATACCTGAGCCGTGTTACTTCCTTCTAGTGGAGTCGCTCCTAAATCGGTTGCTTCTGCATCAAACTGAAAAAAGCAGATAAATAAATTGCAATTTATTGTTGCAGTTGACTGAAAGTAACAGTCTCGCCTTTTTCACTTTTATTATCTTACATAGGAATGAGTTGTCACAATACTGCAGATTCATTATTACTTTTGGGGGACCCAACTTTTCATGGATTTTTGTGAATATGGGTAATCTATGAATTTAAATATTCAACAAAGTACAACTCTACTACAAGCCTGTATGCAGACTTTGAAAAAAAGATCAAATCAATTATCCGCAAACATTGATAAAAAATCATCTTTCTACAATTCTAAAAATGGACGAAAAAATTTAATCCATAGTAGAAGGTCTCTGATTTCCAACAAATAGGGGTTTCAATTTGTAAATTATTCCAAGCTTTGGCAAGAAATTTCAAAACTTTCACTACCTACTGTTATGAAAATGACATTGTGCTGGGCGTATGCTTCACGATCAGCTTTTTATGTTGCAAACACTTAAAGTCTTTGAGGCTCCCAAGTAAGATATGTGTCATATATCGTCTTCAAATAATTCCAGCAAAAATGTCACAGTCATGTTTTGGTATGGAAACTCCAAAAAAAATCAAAACTCAACAAGAATGTGACCATAGTACACGGATGCCGCACTTGCACTATCATTTTCTATGTTCAGTGGACCGTGAAATTGGGGTCAAAACTCTAACTTGGCATTAAAATTAGAAAGATCATATCATAGGGAACATGTGTACTAAATTTCAAGTTGTTGGACTTCAACTTCATCAAAAACTACCTTGACCAAAAACTTGAACCTGAAAGGGGACAGACGGACTGATGGACGAACGAACAGACGCACAGACCAGAAAACATATCGTAGGTGGGGCATAAAAATTAAAATACAGTAGACTCCGGCAAATCAGATACCCAAAATGTCAGCTAAAAATATCCGATTACCCGATATATTCAATTAGACAATGAATGTATATTCATTGAATATTCTGCAATAATGAGTAGATATAATCCTGAGATGTTACTAACCCTGACAATTGCTAAATATGTGAAAGGGCTGGAGGATTGATAGAGTGATTTTTATCAGTTACATCACCACGATATTTGTGTAAAAAATTATCAGCTGATTATGTAATGATTAAATTTGTTTGCAGTTTTTAAATCCTTTATTTATTAGAATAAATCAAATGTCCTGAAATATTTATGTGAATTATTATCTACCATGCATAGTTTGTCTTTATTTGGTTTGTAAGCAAATTAATATCCATTATTTACATTATCACACAGGTAAACTAATTTGGCTATGAATAGATCTAAGCATGTCTGTGTAGAATCTCCAAACTAAAATCGTATTTGTTATAATTTTATTTCTTAAAATAATCAAATTTAAATTTATGAAAATAATCATGATTGATAAAATATTATTGCATAAAGTTTACGTTTTCTGAAGACTACGTTTTCTGAAGACTTTATATTTAGGTCATAGTTCTAGAGGCTTCTTTGCCAATTTGTAAACATCCAAAATGGCGTCCATGACATGTGGTTAATTTTGTACATGTGAAAAAAATATATCTGACAAAAGTCAGATTTCTCTTGTCAAAAGGGATTTATATTTATATTGCAATAAATTATTCAGAAGGAGGTACATTCAGTTTAGATTATATTTCTGATTCTGTGAACATTTAGAGTTTAATCAAAATTCTCCAAACAGCAACGTCAACTTGTCAACTGAGTCTTGCATATTTTATAAATAAATTCAAACCATTTGAAGTAAAAGGGCATCTTATTCACATGACAAAGGAAGACAATGATTAAAGACAACAATTTATTAAGAAATAGTTCCTTTTATTTAGTAAAAACAAAATCTTCTTGTCTGCAAGATTGTAAATTCGTAACTTCCGGGTCCATTTCCTGTCAGAAATACATTGAAAATATCCGATTGTGTATGGTTTTGAACAAAATGACCTGAATATTCTTATCCGATTTGCCGATATATTCTTATATCCGAAATTCGATTACATGATAAAATTAACATTAAACATACAGGGAAGGGTTTGGTGTTTTGAAATAATATTACAATAGCCGATATATTCGTTTAGCCGATATCCGATTAGGTGGAGTCTACTGTAGCAGGTGCTCAACCTTACGGTTTTGTAGGAGAATTTGAGATGGCAGAGTGTTGCTACAACTTTGTCGTCTGGTGACACAAAAATTACAAAAGCTTCTTGCTCCCTATGTGTTGCAACAGCTAGATGTCCAGCGACACATAACTAAATCTCTTGTCTTAATCATTCAACTTTTTTTTTTAAATCATTCTTATCTGAAATTTAACAGTTTGGTTGATTCAACATTAATTTCTACTGATTTTCTTTCTTCGATAAAGGAAATGTTTATACTCACAGCATAAGATGCCGTCTTACTAGGGTCATTCATGAGTGACTGACGTAATCTTACTTCACCAGTGGTATAATCTACCAAGAAGTAATTACTGGCCTCCTGGCTAGGAGCACCACTACTCATTAGATATCTTACAATGTTGTTAGGTGACTGAAATAAACAAATATATACTTTGAACATTCTCAGTTTTTGCTCCTTTTATTTATTCAATTGCATAATAATTGCTTTCTATACATTTTTTTAATTCAAAGTTACATTTCCTTCATGACTTACTTTCATAAAAATAGCATAAAACTGCTGAAAATGCAGCAAACATTCCTGGCTTCAAATTTTCATCAGTACAACAATATTTAATTCTGTTCCTACCCATACAAAAGCACTGTTTTTATTTTTTATCTTGTTAACATTTCTAAAATATCAAACTTACTCTCAAATCTCCATCAGTGGCATTTAATGTGACGATAACTTCACCAAGGTCGGTTAATTCGCTTATTGTTTTGGAGTAAAATGTTGGAGCAAAGACAGGTCGTTTCAAATTTCTATTTATTTTGATGACAACAACAGCTGTACCAGACATTGCTGGCGTACCTCCATCTTTGGCTTGTATTCTCATCTGCAATAACAAATAATAACATTACACGTATGTTTCATTAGAATCCATCATTTTGATTGGCTGACAACAATCGTGAAGCACTCCAATATCATATTTTGTTTCCATATAAAATACAACAGCTATGATTTGATTTGATTTTTGGTGTTTTAACACCACTTTTAAACACCGCTTTTGGGCTATTTCATGGTGGCCAGTTTTTATTTGATGGAGGAAGCCAGAGTGCCTGGAGAAAACCACCGACCTTTGATAAGAAAACTGACAATCCTAGTCAATTAAGATTGGAGTCGAGTGCACCCGCACGAGCAGGGTTCGAACTCACAACTTCAGTGTTGACTGGCTAGTGATAACAGTAGTAACTACTTAGACCACTTGGCAACCGAGGCCCCTCACAATAGCTATGACTGCACATGATATTCATGACAATGTGTAAAATACAATGCATAGAAAAATAAATAAAAGACTTGAAAAAACTAGATTTCATGGTTGTAACATTTTTAGTGTGAAGCGTGTCTGCCTCGATTAAAGAATCAAAGATGTTATTGTTAGTGATAGTTGTACTTCACAATGAACCAGTAAAATGATAAATAAAACGCTATTTTTTTTTCAAAAAGAAAAACGTGTAGTTTAAATATTGTTAAAAACTGTGAAAATCTTATACTTACGGTGTATGTGTCTAAAGGAGCTGTTGTTAAATTAGTCTTTACTCTGATTTGACCGGCATCGTTTCCGCTAGAATCCAGAATCTGACGAAAGTCAAAGTATGTCTCTACATTACCATCTCCAATGACTGACAAAGTCAATGTTCCATATGGTTGCTATCAAAAGGAAAACAAAGTTTCAAATTCACAGTATTATGCAATTTACATTTAAATTATATTTTATGAATTCAGGGTAAGTTCACAAAAATTTGTATTTCTATTTAAAAACTCTAATTATTTTTTCAATGCTAAATGAAAAGTTTGACTACAGAAGAAATAGTTACTTGCTATGGAAGTCCAAGAAATCTCATCTTAATGAATTTGGGAGGATAGGAAAAGAAGTTTTATTGTACATAGGTTGTCAATCACATATGTTGTATGTACATTTGAAGTTTAAGAAGTCCCACCAACTCCTATTTAAATTTTAATGTTGAGAAGTACCAATCCCCCTACATCTTAATGGAATAACCCTCTAATTAATCTGGTTTTTTTTCATGCTCACATCTGTGTCTGCATCATTAAATGTAACTATCTGAACACTTTCTAAAATAGCCTTAGTCTCTGGAACAAGAACCTCAAACTCTCCTTGTGTAGGTGTTGGTGCAAATTTATTACGTAATACAATAATATTAATAGTTGCATTCTGGGACGAAACTTTACTCGGTGTTCCCTCATCATATGCCTGTACAAACATCTGAAAATCAAAAATATACAAAGTTAATTGTTGTGTTTTATTTTCTAATTCGTTGTTTCTATGATTTCTTAATCTCTGAGAATAACTTTTACAAGAGAATACAAAAATTCTAAGGTAACTAGTTTAAGTCATCAAAACTTCTGAAGGTTTGCAATGTTAAAGCTCATTGAACTGATATTTCCTTTTATGATTTCTTTATCTCTGAGAACAGCTATTTTTAAGACAACACAAAAATCTAAAAGTAATTCTTATGTAAACAAAATTTTAAAAAGTTTTGAATAATTTAAGCTCATTGAAATAGAATGAAAATTTTCAAAGCGGGCTGCATGTTTTACAAAATAAGTTTCTTATAGTCATGACAGGCTAGAGTTATTGCTATTGGTAAATATGGAACAGTAACATAAACCATAAAGTCCTTAAGGATGTTTGCTATGATTTTGACTTTTTGTCAGATATTCTAAATTCTGTGGTTTCATCAATGTTGTGCCATTTAAAATTTTACACGCTAACCCCTACTTTTTTTTTCATAATTCATATAGTTTAAAAAGCTATTTTTGAAAATCTTATAAAATCCTTGTTATTTTTTCATAGTTTTTGAACAATGCTAAATGTATGAAAAATTCGTAAGGGTTCCACGGAACCCAGTGTCTCGCCTACTTTTGCTGTTAATCGCAGGCTCAACAAAAATGAGGAAAAAAATTAATAAAAATATTCCTCTCTATACTATCTTTTGATTGTAAGTAGCTTCTGTCCAAGTTTGGTAAAAATCCAGGATGGTTTTTGAATCTAATAAATGTTTTTAAAACTTTAACTGCAGACTGTATGTAAAGTTAACTGGAAGAAAAATTAAGTCCATTTATAAGTAAAATACGGAAAAAATGGAACAAAATTTTATCAAAATTTCCTTCTAGATACTAGCTTTTGATCATAAACAAGCTTCTGTCCAAGTGTGGTACAAATCCAGGATAGTTTAAGAAAGTTGTTAAAATTTTAAAAACTTGAACCACAGAGTGAATGTAATGTTAACTGGCAGAAAAACTAAGTCCATTTATAAGTAAAATACGGAAAAAATGGATTTTTTTTTTACAAAGTTCACCTCTGGATACTATCTTATGATCATAAACAAGCTTCTTTCCAAGTTTGGTAGAAATCCAGGATAGTTTAAGAAAGTTATTTAAATTTCAAAAACTTTAACCACAGAGTGAATGTAATGTTTCCTGGCAGAAAAACTAAGTCCATTTATAAGTAAAATACGGAAAAAATGGAATTTTTTTTTTACAAAATTTACCTCTGGATACTATCTTATGATCATAAACAAGCTTCTTTCCAAGTTTGGTAGAAATCCAGGATAGTTTAAGAAAGTTATTAAAATTTCAAAAACTTTAACCACAGAGTGAATGTAATGTTTCCTGGCAGAAAAACTAAGTCCATTTATAAGTAAAATACGGAAAAAATAGAATTTTTTTTTTACAAAATTTACTTTTGAATATAATCTTATGATCATAAACAAGCTTCTGTCCAAGTTTGGTAGTAATCCAGGATAGATTAAGAAAGTTATTAAAATTTCAAAAACTTTAACCACAGAGTGAATATTTGTGGACGCCGCCGACGACGACGACGACGACGACGACGCCGACGGAATGTAGGATCGCTATGTCTCGCTTTTTCGACAAAAGTCGAAGGCTCGACAAAAATCCAGAGACAATACTTTCACGCCAAATTTTCAATAGCATATACCTCAAAAACAAGAACACAAAACTTTTCTTTCTTTTTTGAATTTTTAGTTCTGTTATTTATATACTTTCACTTTATAACAGTCTTTTAAAAAGCTTGTTATTTTGAAACAAAGTAGCCAACATCCGTAATTACAAGGTTCTAGTAAACAGCATTACCTGGAAATTCTCTTGGGTGTCTAACTGTAGTGACCTCTTTACATAAATATCTCCAGTTTCTGCATTAATTCCAAAGTACTGATTTGTCTTTGTATTAGCAAATGCTCTGTATCTTATCGTCTTGTGAGGAGCCTGTAAAAATTTAAACAGAAATTTGGCTTTAAAAATTATCAAAGTGAAAACTGTTTACATTGTTACAGTTTAACTAGTCTTCATTCATTTTTATAATGCTAATTTTCAATTAGCAGTCCAGGTTAATTCAATAAAATAATCTTATATCTTTCTTTTTTTTTTGATAATTGAAGATCAAAATCAATTAACTGTACAGGAACTCAGTAAAATTAGTGAATGCGAAGAAGAAGGTACATTTCGGGGCGTATCTGGCCCTAAAAATTCATTGAAAATATAAATCATGTTTTGTTTTGGATCTTTGGCCATTAACAGCCTATAAGCAAGCAGATACTAAACAAATACAACAGGCTGTTAAATTGTGAAAGCAATAAGGGCCATAACTCCTAAATGGCAAAAGAAAAAATCATTTAAACCAATTTTGACCTTTATTTTGTCATGAGAACAACATGTGGAAATTGGAAAAGAATTTGATCAAGTATACTCAAAATTGTTGCATGGAATGGAAGTCCCAATTTCCAATCAATCAAGGACCACACCTCCAGAATGGCTAAAGTAAAAATCATCAATATAAAACTTGACTTCCTAAAATCCTCAAATTACCCACCTGAGAATCAGCATCAGTTGCATTAACTCTGGTGATGGCTAAACCAAGTTCTTGTGTTTCTGGAATTCTGACATTTATAACAGTAGGATCTCCGAGGACAGGAGCTTGAAGATTTCTCTCTACTGTTACAGAAACAACAGTTGTATTACCCATTGGCGGAGATCCATTGTCATATGCTCTGACTCTCACCTATAAAAAAATAGTTTGTTTAAATTTATGTCGTTCAAAATTTTACAAATAAATGTATTTATAATATAATAATATGATTCTAAAAAAAGGTATCAATTCATACAGCAATTTATAACTTTTTACTTCTTTTAGTGGGTCTTAATTGACCAAGTACCAGCATGTTCTACCACCTCTGTGCAAACCCACGTTATATGTTCGTATCAGGTTCAGCACAACAAGTCATAAATATAATTTACAGGTCAAGTCCGGTCAATTCGACTGTTTTGGAAGCCCTGCCACAGAGAAGGAACCTGTCAAAAAATTATATACTCTGGAATCAAGTCAATAATATGATGAAAATAGTCTATTTTCAAGGAGTTACAGATTAATATCAAGTTTGAAGTAAAACAAGGAGTATAGAAGTGATCACTTTGTGTCTCTAGCAATAGCTAGACACTGTCAAGCTACCAAACAATAGAAATTCCTTTTATGGAAAATTAACTGTGTTATGCATGAATCCATAATTGTTTCCATTGGTACTAAAATAATAAAAAAAAACTTACGTAAAAGATTTCATCATTAATACCAGCAAGAGAAGCTCTAACTTGGATCAATCCTGTGTTTTCATTTATCTTAAAGTATGCAGGAGCCTTGTCATCTCCAATAATCTCGTACTTCACCACATTGAAAACTTGGTCAGGATCAACGGCACGGACGGGAATAACATTGGCATTGATACCCGATGTTTCTGGAATGTTCTGTTTATAAGTTGCACTTTCCCATTGTGGAGCATTATTGTTCCTAATAACATTGATTGTAACAGTTCCAGTATTAGAATCTTTTCTTGGAGGAGAGCCACCATCTTCAACAATCAGGGTTGTCTACAAGTACAATTATAATTTCCTTTTCTAAAAATTCAAAAGTATCTGATAGTAACACTTACTTCAGTACATATATACTATTTGCAAGTACAATTGTTATTTCCTTTTTTAAAAATTCAAAAGTATCTGATATTATACAACACTTACTTCAGTACATATATACTAAGGATTGTGGGATTCCAATTTTTGTGTATTTTGTGGGTATAGGTTCACCACAAATTTAAATGTAATAAAGTACACATTTTCTGTCAACATGTATGCAGTATTCTGCAAAACCACAAATTCAAATATTCACAATTGTTTCACCCTTCAATCCGCTAAAATTGGAATCCACAAAAATAAATGAAATTCACGGTAGTACTCACAATTGTTATCTAAAGTTATTGACTAGGAGAACTTTCCTTGAGATAATTAACAAAATTTGAAATAATACTCTTTTAAAACAAATATAGAAAAAAAAACGCTTTGAAAACTTGAATTTAAACATTTTACTTTATAAAATATTTTTCATATAAGTCTTGAAGGAATTTCTTTACAAAATGTCAAATAATGCTGTTTAATAGCAATTATAAGAAATAGCTTTGAAAACTTAAATTTAAACTTTTTTACTTAAAATATGTTTCATCAAAGTTTTAAATGAATTTCTTACAGTATATTGCAGATCATTCTCTTGTAGTAAGGACTTTTTCAATGTAATGATGCCAGTGTCTTGGTTAATAGTAAAAAAATCTGTTGCTGATCCTACTCCAGTCAGAGAGAACACCAGCTTATTGTATGGATCCTGAAAGCAAAAAATGATGACATAGTACACATATATTATAATCAGTTTCCATTGCAGTCTTTATTTTTTTCTTAAACCATTGTGGTGACGTCAGCCTATTCATTTACCGTGGATTCTTTTTCTAGAATCAACGCTTCCTAAATCTGCCGCTAAAATGGACTCACCAAATTATATTCAATTGCTTCCTTTGTGTGTCTAATTTCATTAAGTTTGAATTGGCTAATTTGCTGATTTCTGTTCACTAATGGAATTAATTTAAAAACTTACCTTTAATTTTTGTAATTTGTATATGCCTTCACTGGGAATCGAACCCTTCCTTGAAATCTGTTATGAATGACTGACATCAACACATCGACGAAACCTCTAGGCTACCAATGGGTTACAACTTAGATGTCTATTTTATATATATAAATGAACATCGGACACACAGGGGTTGTACCTTTATATATACACAATGGGCAGTCGTATAGTATAAGTTGGTAGCCGCGAGGTTAGCGTGCTTAAAATCAACGAGTTAAAAGATAGGGATTTGTCGGTTTAGGTTCGAATCCCTGTATTATCTCTGTTGTCCCAATTCTGTTTTTTTTCTAATTTTGCATGTTATAGTGGATATTTTTGTAATAATAGCATGTTTATTTTTTGGATTATTATTGGCTAATTCACATGTTTGAAACAAAAATGATTACATTCTATTTGTCAATTTTTGTTGTATAAATATAGTATGATTTCATCTGTTTTACTACATAATTTTACAAATTTTGTTCGCAAATTCCTATGCTAGAAAATCGTGATGTGCCTAGAGTGCTAGAAATTTCGGTAACATACTTATTATATATACTTTATATATGCTCTTTGATCGGGTTGTTGTCTCTTTGACACGTTCCCTATTTCCATTCTCAATTTTATTAGAAAAAAGTTCGAATATGTCGTATTTTGTAAAAACAGATAATTTTCAGATGCCTGATAATATAAAGATCTTTAAAGGTAGAAGTGTTATATTTGTATTTTGTTAACCAATTAATTGTGATCTGAGAATTATCAATGCATCGTTGGACACGATAACATGGTTATTTAAACTCACTTACAATACCTTCTAATTAAGAAAAGGCTTTAATTTTGAAAAGAAATTAACACAATAGTTTAAGTTATAGATACAATGGAAACGCTTGGATTCATGAAAAACAAACCAATCGCCCTCCGGGCTCATGGTATCTTTTTCAAGAATCCACGCTTATCCATTGTATCTATATAACAAAATGGACTGGTATGATCATGATGAAAAACAGGGAAATCAGTCAAAAATAGACTGAGTTATCAAAGAACTTATTTATACTTTCTTCCCGTGTTCATTAAATGGAAAAAGAAAAATATACACAAGAGCACTTGGTTTTAATTCTGCATCAAATAAATATGATGTTCTATTTTGAATTTTCAAGTCTATTTTTAAAAAGTAATTTTTATTTTATAAGCAACAAATAATATTATTAAGACGAAAGACTTTTCCTTGGATTAATACCCTCAAATAGAGCATATGCTTTCGAAGAATTTTTCTTATACTGTATTTAAATTCATTGAAATTTTACTTTTTTCGTAAAATTCATTTCAAAATATTATGACATGTATTTACAATCAAAAAGTATCATTTACAATTCCCTTACTTGGTTTACTTTCAAATCCAGTCGACTTTAGCATAAAAGGAAAGCACAAACTTACAAAATAAATGACAAACAAAGTTCTATAACCCATGATACTTACAGTTTGATCTGCATCATTAGCCTCTGCATCAAACACTACATAGTTAAAATCAATATCTTCATTAATTTCCACAGTTGTCCTGTAATTAGTTCCAGCTCCTGGTGATGTCAAAGAAGGGTTGTTGAGGTTACTGTCGACATTCAATGTCAGAATGGCATAAATAGATTTCCTAGGGACACCAGAAGTACCAACAGCATCTGTGGCCATGATTGTCAACTAGAAAAGAAAGTCAGTAATAAAATTGCTTTAGATTGATTCATTGAAAGGTCAACAAACTGTGTGCAACAATGGACAAGTTTTTTTAAAATCTTTTGAGCTCAAAATCTGACCATCACAAGACAACAAGTCAATAGATTTAACAGAGTCTTTAAAAAATTATAAAAGACCTTTAACACCAATTCCCCTGTGGCTGTCATTTAGACATGTTCAAAATTTATGTATTTGAAGATATTTGATAATTCAACTCACAATTACAACTAATAAATAATATATACGTACATCATACTTAGCTTTTGTCATACTTCCGAGCAGTCTTATTTCTCCATTGCTAGGGTTTATCTGGAATTCATTCGCTGTATCACCTCCAACAATTGCATACTCAATTTGATTGAATGGAGACTACAAATAACATAAAATCATATTACAGTCAATGCTTTAACTATCGAGAAATTACTATCACATATGAAAAAAAAGTTTATTAAACCATACAAAAAGACGTTCCTACAGTCATGGTGACAGCTTTTATAATATATGTTGTAATTACTATAAAATTTATAAAAAATCAACGAATAGTTCCCTACTTTTGTTTTTATTATTAATGAAATTTCTGCCTTTAATATTTAGGTGTGTGTATCCTTTCCACAAAACTCAAGTATCCTAAATAGGTCTACAATATAGAAAAAAAAGTAGCACCATTGTTTGAAATGGTTTATGAATAGACTTAAAATTTAGAGGATCTACATGGGGTTTACAGAATAGAGAATAATGGGCAAAACATGCAGAAAAAATAAAGAATAGAGAAAATTAGGAACACGAAAAAAAATCAAAGTGCTTGTAAGCACTGAAGGGTAAAGATTGCTTTAATTTATCAATGGGAAGTAAAATTAAACATTGCATTGTATAAAGCATTGGTTGTAGTTATGGACAAAGGAAGATAACTCCAATTTTAAAGATTACTTTAAAACTGACATCATTGATATTTTTAGAACAGATCATTAGATTCCTGCACCTTGCACAAGTTATGTAATTTTCGTGCCAAGTATAACATCATTTTGTAACATGAATATCTGATCATATATTCCATTGATAAATTTCTGGAAATGTTCATGGATAGGATGTATAGAAGGTTCTGATCAATGCACTATATTTTGTGTATATCAAAAGTCGTGGTAAACCTTGGAAAATATAGATATCAAGTCAGTACCATAGGGTTTTGATTACATTTCATGTAATCTTTACCCAACAAAAAAATGGAGAAAAATGGGCTGCTAAAATATAAAGAATACAGAATAATGGCGTAAAAAAATAAAGAATAGAGATAAATGGCCTAAAACCTAACCAATTAAGAAATGAAGGAACCCCATCCAGACCCTCACATATGACTTTTGACACTTACTGTGCTGTCAGCATCTATAGCATTCACATCTCTGACCAAATAATTACTTCCAGAGTTACGAGGCACAGAAATAGTGGCAGGCAAATTCTGGAAAACTGGAGGATTGTTGTTTCTGTTTACTTTGATGGTAACCGTAGCAACCTGTGCTGATTGTAACTGATTTGGTGGTGACCCTCCGTCTGTAGCTCTAACTGTTAACTAAGAGAAAAAATTTTAAAAAAAATTATTCAGCTACATTCCAACAATTATAATGTACCATATGTGCACCATTGTGGATTCTTAATATTTTTCTTGGGATACACATTTTCATGAATTTAGTGGATACAGAAATAACAAAATTTCAATGATCAATGACGTACAAATTTTGCAGACTTTGGCAAAATCATGAAATCAAATATCTACAGTAATACTTTTCCTAAATTCACTATAATTGATATTCACGAAAAATAAATGATTCCACAGTATGTAATCTTCAAAAGTGTTTTTCTTTTTAAATAGTGTTCTTGGCATTTGAAACCTTGAAGTTCGGTCTTATAATCGACAAGTTTTATTACCTACACAGGAAAATTAAAATTGTCATAAATCTTCATGACAAATGTCTTTATTTTTTGTCGTCATTTTTTTCTATGTTTTCTACAATCTGTTGAATTTTTTTTCAAATTTTCTCGAGAACGGTGAAAGTGTTGGTGGTTATAAACATTGTGTATAAGTTTGAGAACATTTGGTTAAGGCAATGTAAAGTTAGAGTGTGATTCACCAATTTTTCCCCTTATAAAGGGACATAACTCTGACCAGTGTGAGTGACACCACCCAATTAAACTTGATCTGTGTTTTGGTAATAATAAGCATTGTGTATAAGTTTCATAACATTTGGTAAAGAGAAACTAAAGTTAGAAAACCAATTTTGGGACATACGAACGGATGAACAATGGTAAAACTGCGGGGGGCAAATAATCCTTAAAATCCATATATGTAATTTTAAACCCTCTAACTTATCATTTAAATAACTATCTTCTTAAAGGGGCACTAGCTACGAGATGCATAAAAAATCTAAAATCTGATTTTTTTGGTTCAATCATTAATGAAAGTGAAATAGTGAAATAATAATTTGCTTTTAGTGGCCAGTATGGTTCTATTTTGTCAAAATAAGCTAAGAAATATTGATGATGAATTATTCACTTGCAAGTGAATAATTCGACCTCATTGAGTCCATATTCACGTGAACTTCAATTTAACATCTTAGCTAGAGATGGATAACGCATGAATCGTGCATGTTGACATAAATACACACAAAACGAAGCTACATATTATCGAGCCCATGCCCTGTAAATTGTTTATTTTAGACTTTTAATAGTTTGGATAAATGTTTTACATTGTTATGAATCAAATATGAGAATTTGAGTCAAATCAGTGAACATGAATTTGACAGCTAGTGCCCCTTTAAATATACTTACAGTGTAATCAGCACTATTAGTGTCTTCATGCAATGGCTTACTGACTGATACCACCCCTGTCTGGCTATTCACTGTGAAGTATGACATAGCTCGACTATCTCCTGTGGCAGCATATGTGACAGTATTATATGGAGGCTGAAGAAAAAATAATCAATCTCTCTTTATATGAATGTTTTATGCTTGATTTTTAAATAATTCCCACTCTATCACACTTTTCTTCTGACATACATATATTATGTAGCATTTGAAAAAAAATCAGAGACTTAATACAAAATTTATCAGTTAAAAGCAGTTATTTAGATACAAGACAAGATAGTTTCCCATATGTATAAAGTTTTACATTCATATCGTAACACATTTTCCAGTTATTTTGAATGCTCCAGCCCTAATTACATTTTTGTAACATTACTTTTTATTTCACGAAGAGTTATCTAAGAAAATTAAATCTGATGAAATGCTATGAGTATGGATTCTTACAAAGACATAATGATTTAGTAAATATGGATTATATTTAATAAGTAATAAGAAAATTAATCTTTTAGAACATTTTTTGTATTTATTTTAAACTATTAGTAATAACAAGGTTATAGCTGACAGTTTGCTCATTGTTGAAGGCCGTACGGCGACCTATAGTTGTTAATTTCTGTTTCATTTGGTCTCTTGTGGAGAGTTGTCTCATTGGCAATCATACCACATCTTCTTTTTTATAATTATTTACATACAATTTATTGATGTTTAAATCTGGCATTAAGGTGGTACCTAACACTACAGGGAGATAACTCTGTAAAATCAGCTAAACGTTTTATTAACTTGGAATTGTTAAGGAAATATTAAGCTTCTCAATGATTAGAATTAGTGTTTGTCAAACTGCTATATATCCAATGAAATTTTTCCGAGAAAGTGATTGGTTCAAGTTTAATTTTTGAAATTTTTATATTTTTTTCAAGAGTCAAAGTAAATATTTTGTCAAAATTTTATGAAAATTAAATGAGACAAATTAATTCTAGTCAAGATGTTGGGTACCACCTTAACTCATGAACTTAACTATCCTTTGGACCTTTTTGAGAGTGTGAGTGAGCTAGCCAAGTTTAGAAATCAATACATTACTTTAAAATAATATAACCTATATCAACTTTGCTGTTTCTTGTAAAGTTATCCCCTTTCATTCCTAAAACAACCTTTCTAAAACAGGTTCATAAAAATATTTTCTATGTCTGATTCTGACATCAGAGTACATATGATTTAATTGATTGAATGCTTCATGTCCAATGGCAAAATATTTCATCTTTATTGTAGGACTAAAACAAGTTACAAGACTAAGAGCCAGGAGCTCTTTTCACAAAAAATCTTACGACAAAAACTGATCATAAATTATACTGAAATATTCATGACTTATGAGACTTACGAGTAATTTCGCTTGTAAGACTTTTTGGTGAAATCCAAAGAAGATCATCGGATAAAAGGTCCCATATGGAACCCGATGGGTTTAATAATAATAATAATAATAATAATAATAAATTCTTTATTCAAAGAGGGTAAACACAGTTAGTTACTATTACTAATCTTCCCTAAGGCCCTCATATACAATACAAGTAAAAAAATAATAATAAGAGAAAAAAAAATAAATAAAAAAATAAAAAGCAAACATACAACACATTAACACAATTGTATAGTCATGATAGTTCAATGTACATGTACCATTAGAACATATAAAAATATAATGATTTAAATCTTACAGAATTATCAGCATCTGTTGCAATCATAGTTACTCCTATTCCTGTTCCCACTTGATGGTCTTCCCGTATTTCTGCTGTATATGTCAATGGAGCAAACTGTGGTGGATTGAGGTTCTTTTGGACCGTCAAAGTAAACACTTCAGTGTCAGATAAAGCAGGGAAACCATTATCAGTGGCTCGTACAAATATCTGCAATAAAGTGAAATTAGTTAATTCTAAGATGTCAGCAAGATACGAAAGAAAATCAATTTTCAAAGATTAAATGCAAGAAAAGGATTTCATTAAAAAATATTTTGTAAATAGGTCTCGTTCTTTTAAAATAACACTTTTTCAATTATCTTAATACACTTTTCTGGAAGTAAATTTCTAAATTTACAGTTAAGATATGAAAGACAATGATTATACTCCTAGATTGGTTACAATTAAATGCATGTAGAGTCAAGCCTGCTAAAAAGATCACCTCTGCTCTAAAAAGATATAAGAAGAATGTGTCTGAGAACACAAATGCCCCTGATCAAGCTATGCAATTTTCCAAGTTAAAAAGGGTATAACTCTAGAACAGTAAATGAATTACTGCCCAAATTCGAACTCTATCTGGGTGTTGTGGTTTTCAGCATTGTGTATGAGTTTCATTAAATTTGCATGAGGCAAACTTAAGTTAGAGTGTGGAAACGAAAATTGGACGGAAGGACTGAAAGATAGAAGGACGGTCATGGGTAACACTTAATGCCCCCATCGCCTATGGGGGGGGGGGGGCATCAAAACTTGACTGGGTAGGTCACCTTCTTGGTTTTCCACTCTAGTAATATCTATGCATTTTGGATCTCAATTCAAAAGTTACCTCTCTTGTAAGGTTATTTTTCTCTGGTCCTGAGAGTGACCTTTATAGTTAAGTTTGACTGTATGTTTTTATTGTATAGTAATGTTATATTTATAGTAAAACTTTCAAAATGGACCTATTGTGTAATGTTCCCCTGTATTGCATTAGTGTAATATTGCTTGAAAATGACATTACTATAAGTATAACTAAATTTTGAGATGTAATTTAAAAAGTTTTGTCTTACAATAAATTTTGGCACAAAGAATGGTAAATGTCATAATAATAATGGCACACACCAGTTTGTGCAATATATTCTAATATGACGTGCTTCTTTCGCTTTGTAAACAACACCGTGATAAAATTCTCGATATATCTATACTTAGCGCAGACTCAGAGATGTGCATATTGGTGGCTGTTACTATTTACCTCCCACGTAAATCCACATGTATCGTCACCTATGTACAAACACCATGTCGATTTCGTTGTGTCGAAATTGAAATTGAAAAAGAAACTACACAACCGTTATTCCTATTATATTGCATAACAAAAATAATTAATGCACAGGAGCTTAAAAAATGTATAAAATCAAAATAAAATAAAATTCCGCCAAATTTCATGAATGATCTTGGTGCATTAACGTCATGTCATAACATGACGTCATACGAATGAAAACTCTAAAGCTGAATGTTTTCCATTACGTATACTCCCTAAGTTCGGGTAATATTGCATTAAAATGGAGTTTTGAGGTAGGTGTTGTTTCATTTTCTATTCCATTGCATTATTCGCACATTTGTGGATTTCAGCAAGTCAACATGGCGGCTCATTCCTTAGTTACGACATGTCAACTCTGGATTTGACAGTAAATAGTAGCCAACGAAAAATAAATGTTTGGGTTAAGAATTATGAGAATTGAAAACATTTTTTCTACTGCTTATTTGAGAAATAATTCATGTAAGACTTAGATTTATATGAAATTTGTAGCTTTTATCTTACAGGGGGTAAAATAGAACAGCCATACACACGGCAATCTTACGTTCGCTTCAGTTTTTAAATTACCGTATTTGTCCTATTAGAATCGAAATAATTCATGGAAGCCATAGATTTGTTGGACATTTACACATGGCCTGGGCCGTGATATTCGTTAATTTTATCCCTCGCTAACGCTCAGGATAAAATTCGAATATCACGGCCCAGGCCATGTGTAAATGTCCAACAAATCTATGGCTTCCATGAATTATTTCTTAAGTATTCTACACAGTGCAATATTTACTGATATTAGCGCAATAAATATATAAAAAATACTTTGAAATCATATAAATAAAGGCAATAGTAGTATACCGCTGTTCATTAGTCATCAATCGATTTAACTGAAACAAATCCAGGTCACAAACCAAAACTGAGGGAAACACATCAACTATAAGAGGAAACAAAACGGAACAACAGAAACACTGAACTGCTACAAAAACAAACGCCAACAAACATATTAAAGGACTATGTATTATTGGTAAACAAATTATATTGGTATCATGTTGACTCTTGGAAACCAACATACCTGGAAAGTAGTCTGTGTTGTCCCAGTCAAAACCTGTCTCAATGTGACAGCACCAGATGCTGAATCAATATTAAAGTAAGTAAAGGCCTCTGTTGGTCCGTAGATACTGTACGTTATCATATTAAATTCAGTCTGTAAAAAATAAATAAGAATACATTGATTTTTCCAGAGTTTTGTGAAAATATTTCTGTTCTATCTTACTAATTTATCTGTACCAAATTTGGATGACATTTAAAATGCTTACATTTGGTTATAGACAACTAGAGGAGACTTTTAAATTAACAATGTTTGAATAAATCCTGGACAATTATAGACTTTTTTCTTTCTACAATCAGCCAGCTATTGTATCTTTAATAGGTATACAAATAAATTTGAGCTTTATTTGTATACTAAGACTTCTGGTATCCTGTTTGATGTTGAGCTATGGTAAGGTAAACCTATTGATTATGTCAGTTTATATTGTGGTTGTCTTTGCAATCCATTTTCATTTATAAAAACCCTTTTAATCTGTAAAATATGATAAATCATCTGAATGTCTTGCCTTTACGGATGGAGGACATATTTTGGTTTTATTGGTTTCTCAAAGAGAAATTTAAAATTCCAATTGAATGAACTCCACAGAGTACAATAGCTACTGTATTTATTTAATTGGAAAGTTTATTTTGCCATAAATTAAATGGCCAGGTAAACACCAACTGATTCTGAGGAAAGGTTGTATTTCCATCGCAATAATAGACTATTTTCATATTACCGACTTTTGACTCCAGATTATATAATTTGTCGACTGGTTACATGTACCTTGGACATCATGGTACTCGGTACAATTTTTGGGGAAAATTACCTGGTTAATATTTTTTTTTCACTACAAAATCATCGGAAAACAGTAAACTTTCCCCTCAAATTACACCGATTATATGTTTGATTTTACTTATTTTGGTTGCTCTTACTTGACCGAGTACCATGATGTCCAAGGTAACCAGTCGACAAATTATATAATCCGGAGTCAAAAGTCGGTCATATGAAGATAGTCTATTAGATCAGTGTTAAGCTTGTGAATTGAATGAGGCAAGTTTCAGTGTATTTGAAGTAAACCTTACTCTTGTACTTAATGAGTTTTGTTTAGTATTCTACAATACTGTGGATTCATTATTTTTCATTGGGTACCAATTTTCCTGGATTTCACGGGGATAGACGAACAACAAATTTAAATGTTCAACAAAGTATAAATTTCTCATAGGGATTATATGCACACTTTGGCAAAACCAAGAAATCAAGCATCAATTAAATATAAAGTGTCTTCAATCCAAGAAAATTGCTTCCCACAAAAAAAAAAGGAATCTACAGTAAGTTGGGTTGTCCTAAACATGATATGTCAAAGACTTACCCTGGTATCTGGGTCATTGGCTTGTACTGTGAAGAGTGGATTGGTAGACACTGGGGTTGTTTCACTTATTGGACTCAGATTCTGTGATTGTATAACAGGAGGTTGGTTCCTGATGACACTCACGGTAACAGTAGCAGTATTAGAACTGTCTCGGGTGGGGTCACCAAGGTCATAAGCTTGAACTGTCAGCTGTGAAGACAAGTATAAAGTTTGAAATAGAACAATAAAACTCCTTGTGTGTGAAATAACAATTTTTAATATGCACTGAAATATGAAAGTTTTATGAAATATATTCTTAAACTAAAACACTAACCTTGACAAACTTTACACAGGCAATTAACATATCAAACAATTTCTTAACTGAAATTAAGGACATAATATATGGTTTTTGTACAGGTATATGTTTTTGAGGGTTATTTGCTACCAGTTGTGTATCACTGGTTGCAAGTAAAATGCACATAAACATGGTACCTTGTAGATCTAGGGTTATCGACCATGTATCAATTCCATACTAACCAGGTACCTTAAAGATCTAAAGTGGTAGAACACCAGTCAATTCAATACTAACCTGGCACCTTAAAGATCGAAAGTTACAGACCACCAGTCAATTTAATACTAACAAGGTACCTTAAAGATCGAAAGTTACAGACCATCAGTCAATTCAATACTAACTTGGTACCTAAAAGATCGAAAGTTACAGACCACCAGTCAATTCAATACTTACTTGGTACTTTAAAGATCGAAAGTTACAGACCACCAGTCAATTTAATACTAACCTGGTACCTTATAGATCAAAAGTTACCGACCACCAGTCAATTCAATACTAACTTGGTATCTTATAGATCGAAAGTTACTGACCACCAGTCAATTCAATACTAACTTGGTACCTTAAAGATCGAAAGTTACAGACCACCAGTCAATTTAATACTAACCTTGTACCTTATAGATCAAAAGTTACCGACCACCAGTCAATTCAATACTAACTTGGTATCTTATAGATCGAAAGTTACTGACCACCAGTCAATTCAATACTAACTTGGTATCTTATAGATCGAAAGTTACCGACCACCAGTCAATTCAATACTAACTTGGTATCTTAAAGATCGAAAGTTACTGACCACCAGTCAATTCAATACAACCTGGTACCTTAAAGATCGAAAGTTACAGACCACCAGTCAATTCAATACTAACTTGGTATCTTAAAGATTGAAACTTACAGACCACCAGTCAATGCAATACTAACTTGGTACCTTAAAGATCGAAAGTTACAGACCACCAGTCAATTCAATACTAACTTGGTATCTTAAAGATTGAAACTTACAGACCACCAGTCAATGCAATACTAACTTGGTACCTTAAAGATCGAAAGTTACAGACCACCAGTCAATTCAATACTAACTTGGTATCTTAAAGATTGAAAGTTACAGACCACCAGTCAATTTAGTACTAACCTGGTACCTTATAGATCAAAAGTTACAGACCACCGGTCAATTCAATACTAACTTGGTATCTTATAGATCGAAAGTTACTGACCACCAGTCAATTCAATACAACCTGGTACCTTAAAGATCTATGGTCATTGATCACAAGTCAATTCCTTACTAACCTGGTAATTTATAAATCAAAAGTTATCGACCACTAATAAATTCCAAACTTACCTGGTACCTTAAAGATCAAAAGTTATCGACCACCAGTCAATTCCAAACTTACCTGGTAACTATCAGATCTAGGATTACTGGTTACTAGAGAATTTTTGACACTGATAACTCCTTGAGGTGTAATCTGGAAATGATCCAAATTGTTCAGCAGACGGAAATTGATTTGATTATTTGGAGGACCTCTATCATTATCAGTTACAACAAAGTTTGCAGGATTTAGAATTATCGCTACACCACTTGGCTGGGTTTCCAGAATTCCGGCTGTATGAGAGAATATCGTGAAGACAGGTGGTTGGAGATTTCGTAGAATTTTTATTGTTACATAAGCGTTGGCTGTTCTTGATCCATCTGATGCTTGTACAATAAACTGAAAAAAAGTATGAACAAATTAAAATAATTATAGAATAACTTATCCAAGAATTCAAATATAAAAAAATATTCAACGAGTTACCAAACAAAACATTAATTCATGAATGTGTGAATATTGAACTTATAATCCATTTTAGTCATTAAATTTTTTTATTTAACCTCAAAGATTAAGCAAGTGTTCTACACTTGAGAAACTTCAACTGAAACATATTTATCTTCCCTTAATTAAAATCAATATCCAAATACTTAACCAATTCTGTATACAAGTTCTATGCTGTTATAAAGTATCATTTCAAATCCATATTTCTATCAATAAATAAAGTCTATAGGACACGTACATTGTAAAAGATCGAATTACTGCCAGCAAGGCCTGCTTTGACGTTTATTCTACCAGTGTTTGGTACAATACTGAAATAAGTGTCAACACCATGGTCACTGCTAGCTGCTATAGAGTAGGTTATTGTTCTGAAAGATGCCTGAAAATAAAGTAACAAATGTACACTGTACTATAACAACTTCTTAACTTAATTGTACTATCTTGAAATGTTTATGATTTTGTACTAAACAACTTTTAAAACATATACAGCTTTTATAAGCTTTAGAAAATTGTAAACATGTACAGCCTTAGAAAAATTTCTCTGTCAATAAAATTTAACATTAAGAGATTTTATGTGAAAAATTTAGCACAGATACCCCACCATTTATATATATATTTTGTAACCTTATAATATGACAAAGTTTTCCAGAAAAATATACAGAACATTCATATAAATACTTCCATTAACAGTCATTTGACTCTTTATCTTCCATTAACAGTTATAGACTCTTTATTTTCCATTAACAGTTATTTGACTCTTTATCTTCCATTAACAGTCATTTGACTCTATATCTTCCATTAACAGTTATTTGACTCTTTATCTTCCATTAACAGTTATTTGACTCTTTATCTTCCATTAACAGTCATTTGACTCTATATCTTCCATTAACAGTTATTTGACTCTATATCTTCCATTAACAGTCATTTGACTCTATATTTTCCATTAACAGTTATTTGACTCTTTATCTTCCATTAACAGTTATTTAACTCTTTATCTTCCATTTAAGGTTATTAGACTCTTTATTTTACAGAGTTGGATTTTCCTATTAAACCAAATACATTGGTTGATAAAACATATTTCAAATGATCTAAAATGAAATCGAGAGTACAATGTTTTTACATATTCAGATGAATATTTAAGGTTGGACTTTTTGTAATCCTAACCTTAAGGCACCAATACTAAAAACAAACCCATTCTTCTATAAATCTGGCTCTTCTGCAAACCCTTACATTTCCCCATTGTCTATAAAAAAAATGTCCTCATTTATAACACAAATTTCAATAAATACCTCAGTATCTGCATCATTTGCCTGTACAGTCAACACTTCTTGGCCAATATTCAGAGTCTCGCTAATCTCTTTGTAATAAGTCTGGTTGAAGAAAAGTGGTGCTGCTTGATTTCTCTTAACATTGACAGTGACAACAAAATTCTGTGGAGGTGAGCCATTGCCACCATCTACTAATGCAACTGTTATCTGTAAAACAAATAATATTTTTAAATTCATCAGCCATAATATTATAAAACAGACAAACCAACACCCCAAAACAATATTTACTAAACCACAAAATGAAATATACTGTAAATTCAGAAATTATTGTGTGCATTTATTATTGCGATTTTGTCATTTTAGACTAAAATGTAATTTTAATTTTTGCGATATTGAGAAAAATCCTGTTTAATTCATATAAAAAATTTCGAAATGCGAGTTCAAATTATTGCGATTATAACCCTGCCGCATTTTTCGCAATAATAAAAACATCGCAATAATTTCTGAATTTACAGTATACAATGTATTCATACAAAAATCATAAAACACATTTCTCAAGGACTGTCAGCTAAACTTGCCCCTTTCAAAAGAGTATCAACAAAAATACCAAACTCCAAGGTAAATTCAAAAAGGGGAGGTCCATAAAATCTGACAAAATCAAACACTCAACTATATCTACCAACAGAAGGAATGGAGAAAACAACCCTCATATTCCTGACTTGTCACAGGCATTTTCAAAAGAAACCGAATTACTTCTTAACATTTTCCAAGTGTATAAACTTACCGAGAAAGTATTGATGTTCTGATTATCAGCAGGAGACCTAATCAGCTGTAAGTCAAACTCCTGGTTTGCACCTTGCTTCACTCCTCTGAAATAGCTCTGGGCTGTACTGTCACCAACTATTGTGTAAGTTAAAGTATTGTAAGGAGCCTGAGTATCTGCATCAGTTGCACGAATTTTAACCACAGATTCAAGCAGAGGTTTAGTTTCTAAAATTTCTACAGTAACAGCTGCTTGGTTGTTCTGCAATACCCACACTGGATCATGTAAATTACGTCTAACACTAACTGTCACGGTACCAGTAGCACTTAGACCAGGTGGATCTTTCGCTATGACAGTCAACTAGAAAAAATAATTATATCCTATGTAAGGGAATTGGATTAAATAACAAACAAAATTCTGTGAACATATCACACATAATCTTAATTATTTGCTTTAAAATAGGCTGAAATACTTTTTTCTTGTAACAAATCTTACAGATTTTCTAACTATTTTATCTTTTTTTTTCCAAATTTATAATTTTTTTTTTTTTTTTATCTTAGTAAAACTAATGTGTATTATTTGAACCCCTTTTCATGATCACCCTTATAACCATACATCGAATGCTAAACACACAGTTCTTCTTGAAACAGTTTTATATTAAGTGTTACCATATTTTTATACATCTATCACTATGTATATATCTAAATCTCTTTTACAACATTTCCAAATACCATTAACAATTTGTGTCATTAACAAACTGATATTTACCAAAACAGAAAGTTTTTCTTGAAACAATTTTAAATTAAATAAAGTATTATTATAGTTTTATAAATTTACAATTTTTCTGTATTCAAACCTTTTTTTATGATATTTCCAAATACCATTAACAAATATTTCCATGAACAAAATGATACTTACAATGTATGATGTCGAGTTATCAATTAATAAGCTATTCTGAAGCCTAAGCACACCTCCACTCTGTATTTGGAAATGATTTGGTACACGATTATCTGGTATTAACGAGTAAGTCAAGGTGTTAAACTCAGTCTGAAAAATTAATACTAATCAACTGACAAATACACAATTCATATAGAAATAAGTATGTTTGAAAAAAAAAATGAATTCATCAATTAAAAGCCTACAATAATCCAATGGCCATATGAATGAATATTCCTAAAAAAAAATCTCAAATTAAGACAGATGACATTTGCAAATAATATTTAATAAAGGTAGAACTTTAAGCCTTAAAAAGATATAATATCCAATTCTAGTTTGAAAAATTGAGACAATAGAATTTTACCTTCAGATGCTAATAAAAATAAACAACCCTTCTTCCTCCCAAAAAGAGTAAAAAAAAAAACTACTAGCAAGACAAGATAAAAGATGTAAATGGGCCTCAATTTTTAAATTGTTTTGCAGTAAAAAAAAAGTTCCTAGTAAATTTCATTGACAAAACTACTCAATCAAAGACTGAAATCGTAAATATTGATAGCAAGAAGTGGTCTTAAAAATGTTTAACAAAGAGCTCAAATAAAATTTCTCACCCTTGCATCATTATCAGTAGCCACAAATGTACCAATTGTCCCGATAGTTTGATTACTATCTATGTTAATCGTTGTAAATGTTGGAGAGAAGAACGGTGCTGTATTTCTGATGACAATTACAGTAATTGTTATTGAAGCACTTTTTGGAGAAGCTCCACCATCTTCAGCAGATACTGTTACCTGGTAGAAAAAAAATTATTATTAATCATTTGAAAATGGAAGTACTTCATACTTAAAACAATAAACACTTTTATAACCATTAAAAAATTACAAAATTAAATTTTTAAGTTACAACCATGAGAATACAAGTTATAGCAAATTTTGTGTTTGTTCTCCTATGCATTGTTGTGACATTGTCATGAGTAGCGCGTGCCATAATTAATGTTGAAATTTATTGAGAAATACAATTTGATATTGGAATGCCTTACCATTGCTTTCAGCCATTCAAGCATATAGATTCTTATAAAACATACATGTAATGTAATTAGAGCTATTTTCCTAATACTTGTAGTTTAAAAGGTTTGGTTGGCTTGCTTGCTTGGTTTGTATAAATGTTTGCTCAAGCACTGTAATTAAGATTGACATCTGCAATCAATAGATAGGCGGGGCTTTTCAGTTTGTATACATTATACTCAAATGTTATTGGATGTTAGGTATAATGCAGAGTATAATGTATACAAGCTGAAGACCCGCCTATCTATTGATTGCAGATGTCAATCTTAATTACAATGCTTGAGCAAACATTTATACAAACAAAGCAAGCAAGCCAACCAAACCTTTAAACTACAAGCATTAGGAAAATAGCTCTAAAAGACAAAATTAACTGCATTACTTGTTTTATTTAAGAATTGAATGTTTCTCTTTATAATTTCATTGGGGTGTAAAAGCGTTGACCAAAGCACATTTTGTATGAAGCATGGAATCAATTCATACTAAAAATGTGTGCAAGATCAACATTCTAACAGCCCTATAGTTTAAAAAGGGAAGCATTCAATTCTTATAATTACATTTTTATGCTACAACCATGAAATTAAACAGTTATATCAAGCTTTTTGTTTGTTTTTCTATGCACTGTTTTAACAATGTCACGGAAAGCATGTGAAGTCATAGCTGTTGTATTTTATAGGGAAATACAATATGATATTGGAGTGCCTCATGATTGTTGTTAGCCAATCAAAGAAACGGATTATAATGAAATATACATGTAATGTGATTGTTAAAAGTCAAAGTGATATAATAAAATACTCACTGTGTATTGAGTCGCTGAATCACCAGTCAATGCTCGACTGATCACAAGTCTAGCTGGACTCTTTGGATCAATATAAAACAAGTTATTGCCACTATTTGGAATAACACTGACAATGCTTATGGTAACATCACTGTTGGCAGAACCCTTAAATAGATAATACTTTATTCAAGTATGGTAAATTTATGATCTTATTACAGCACAGCATAATCTTTAAAATTAATTTTATGAGGACTAAAGAAACCAAGAAAATTCAAGAACTGGTACCTAAAATTTCTATTTTTAGAATCAGCACAACCAAAAGAATATAACCAGCAACAGTTTTAGACATTCAAACATTTATATACCACTGACAGGAAGATTACCATCTGTAGCAGAAATTGTAGTCATTGAATTAACTACAGACCCATGGAATCAAAGGAGAGAAATTTTACAACCCCTTTCCCTTGAATAAATAAGAATGTGTCCATAGTACACGGATGCCCCACTAGCACTATCATTTTCTATGTTCAGTGGACCATGAAATTGGGGTCAAAACTCTAATTTGGCATTAAAATTAGAAAGATCATATCATAGGGAACATGTGTACTAAGTTTCAAGTTGATTGGACTTCAACTTCATCAAAAACTACCTTGACCAAAAACTTTAACCTGAAGCTGGACAGACAGACGGACGGACGGATGGACTGACGAACGGACGGACGAATGAACGCAGACAGAAAAACATAATGCCCCTAGATGGGCCATAAAAAAAAAGACAACTGGGATGAGGAGCAAAATCTGAGATATAAATGTTAATTATCATTTCACTAATCACCTCTTTTTTAAGTGAAAGAACTCATAAAGATAAATATTTAGGGATGACCATTTGTGGTATACTTTAAATTCAGAAAATATTGTGAGGTTTTTATTATTAAATGTGAATAATGCGACTTGGTGAGTATCGCAATAATAAGAACTTGCATTTTGATATCTGATACATATATCTGTATGCAGCTTTTTCAGAGAAAGTGCAATAATTAATCCTGCAATTTTCTCCAATCTTTAAAAATTGCAATAATACATGTAGTCATTGCTTCAACAACTCTCCCTTTGTAAAAAGAAAGAACCCAGATACAAAATGATAACTTACCTTAGAGTCCCCATTTGGACCTATAATGGTATTGATTACACTACAGGGTCATTAACCCAAGGGAGACAACCTTTAACCTTTAACCCTCCCCTTTTTTAATAAGATCACTATCTGTGGTTGTTATAATAATAAATACACTACATACTCACTCTGTCAAGGTATAGAACCCTGACAAAGAACAAAAGATAACAACTTACTGGAGGATCACCATCTGTGGCAGTAATGGTGGCCAAAATACTACCAACTCCGTCTGTTTCAAGTACTGTCACACTGCCAGCTGGTGTTACAGCTATTACTGGTGTAAAATCATTCTGGTCCTGTTAAAGACATATTTTTTTATTATAATTTTAGCACACCAACATATAAATACAAAATTGTAACCCTACTTTTTAAGTAATTTTAATAACGGGAATTAATTACCGAAGAATATATAATAATGCATCTAGCATTTGGCATTATTGGAATTTCAAACATCAAGATTAATATGGTATGGATACTTGCACTATACAAAAAATTATTTTTATTTTAACAATAAATGGAAAATATTATTATCTTTAGCAAACGATTTCCTACAGCCAATGAAAAATATGGATACCTTCAACTTGCATTTCCTTTACAAAAAATTCTTTTTAGTTTTACAGTCAATGGGATAGTGTATTTTTTATTAATATTACAGCCCAAAACCATGTACCCATAGGACATCATGCCCTGCTCGCACTATCACATTTCCAAGTTAAGTGACCAATGAAATCTTGGCCAAAATCTTAATTTGGGGTATACATTTATTAGTTTACTTAATAAGGAACGTTAACATGTGTACTAACTTTCAATTTGATGTGACCAAAACTTACCTTAAACTAAAACTTTAACCTTTCATATTTCCATTTTAGTGAACCGTGAAATTTAGGTCAAACCCTAATTTGGCATAAGTTCACTTCATAATGAAAATATGTAATAAGTTTTAAGTGATGTGACCAAAAACCATCATAAATACAATAAACAGCTGCGCCATGAGCGCATGATACGCCCGTCGTCTTGTGTGTGAATTTTTATGCAATAAGCATAAATAGTTTCTGACATATGGCGTGACATGCGAAAACCCCCTTTTTTTATTTACAAAAAACTCAATATCTCTAAAATAAAATTTTGAATCAAAACCAAAAAGTATACAGATCTTTAGATTAATATAACTAAGAAGTGTGTAAAATTTTAAGCAATAATCATAAATCGTTTTTGAGATACGGCGCGACATGTGAAAAACCCCTCCCCCTTTTTTTACAAAATACTCAATAACTCAAAAATAAAATTTTGAATCATCACCAAAAAGTATACAGATCTTAAGGTTAATATAACTAAGAAGTGTGTAAAGTTTTAAGCAATAGTCATAAACTGTTTTTAAGATACGGCGCGACATGTGAAAAACCCCTCCCCCTTTTTTAACAAAATACTCAATATCTCTAAAATAAAATTTTGAATCATCACCAAAAAGTATACAGATCTTAAGATTAATATAACTAAGAAGTGTGTAAAGTTTTAAGCAATAATCATAAATTGTTTTTGAGTTACGGCGCGACATGTGAAAAAAAACACACACCCGTTTTAGTTACTAAGTCCCGTAACTCAAAAAGTTTTAATCTTATTATCACCAAAAAGTATACAGACCGTTTGACCATCATAAGAAACAACTATGTTAAGTTTCATGAAATTTGGATAAGTCATTCTCAAGTTACGGTGCGACATGTTTACGCCGGACAGACAGCCGGACAGACAGACGGACAGACAGACGGACGGACGGCCGGACGCCGGACATTTGTATACCATAATACGTCCCGTCAAAAATTTGACAGGCGTACAAAAATAAGGAGATGTGGAATGATTGCCAATGAGAAACCTTATTTCAATGTACCTTAAACCTGAAACAGGACAGACAGACGGATGGACACACTGACCAAAAAAGATGATACCTCTTTACTAGTACCTATGTAGGTTAGGCATAAAGACATTTTGAAATGGTCTTTTCCAATGACATAAAGTGTCAGAGCTCTAAATAAATATCTAACTTACAACAACATCAACTGTGACTGTAGCAGTTGACGATAGTCCACCTCCTTCACCTTGCTGTGTAGTAACAGTGAAAATGTACTGAGGGGTAGTCTCAAAGTCCAATGCTGCATTGGTAGATATTCTCCCATCATTTGCAATACTGAATGGGACGAAATTTCCACCTAGAAATTTGTAGGTGATATTTTTTGTTGTGTCAGGATCCACTGCCTGTAAAAATGAACAGAATAAATCAAGTACTGCCTATCTCTTGCATTACATTTCTACTAATTCAATATCAAATAGTGTCTTTTTATGTTCTCTAAGTAACTCTTCTGTAATACATTTCACTTTTATAATTTTCATACAGAGTTAGGTATCAAGTGTTTAATGTTTCCTGTAAATAATCCTTTTTGCAGCTGTGATACATGAAAGGAGGTCCTTTCTCATTCTATTGTTACTTTAACTATTGCATGGCTATTATGAACTGAGATATTCCTCTCTTACATAACTTGAGTATACAGTGTGTATTCTTACATAACTTGTGTATACAGTGTGTACCCTTACATAACTTGAGTATAGTGTGTATTCTTACATAACTTGTGTATACAATGTGTATCCTTACATAACTTGATTATACAGTGTGTATTTGTAAATAACAAGTGTATACAATGTGTAACCCTACGTAACTTTTGTATGCAGTGTAACCTTTCATAACTTGGACAGGTTGTGAATCTTATTTTGTACTTGTTATATTAACTCCTTGTTACTGGACCAATGTGTAAATTTGCATGACTTTGCCATCTTATATATTAGAACCTGTGGGTTTTAACTTACTTATTTTACAAATTATAAATTTCAAGTTGTGGTTTTTAACTTACTGTAACTTGGACACATATTATATAATAACTTGTGGGTTTTAACCCTTCTGTAATTTGAGTAAATAATAGTTTTGTAGGTTCTAACTAGCTGTAATTTTGGCAAGTATTAAATAATAACTTGTGGGTTCTAACTTACTGCAACTTGGACAACTGGTGAATTGACAGGAGCTGTTTCTAGGATAGTTGCTTGATAATTCTCATTAGTAAACCTTGGAATCTCATCTTGCAGGTCATTTACATTAATTCTTACAGTGGTTGTACCAATACGGGGATTAGTGCCCTGATCAGCTGCCTGGACAACAATTTCATGGAAACTTTTGGCTTCATAATCCAACACAGCTACTGTTGTTATTTGCCCACTGACTGCATTGATGGTAAATCTGAGAAAATTTTAAAAAATCATGGCATAATAGAATGATCACAAAAATTTTCTCTTCCATGTTGAATTGATATTTTATCAGTTTTTAACAGAAAAATTCCACTCAAATTATTATCTGAAAATGTCATATTAAATGAATGCTTAGAACGTATTTTTAAGAAAAGCAGCTAGCATGAAAAAAACCTGACACATAGGAAGCTTTCGCTTTAATCTTTTTTTGAAATTAATAACAACAGGGAAAACCTATAACAAAAACTTTGATAATTTCATTTATGATATTATCAGGTTGAGATTTAAAGCAACAATGTCCAAAAGAGAATACTGAAAGGGTAATACTTTCTTCTGACATATTCTTGCAAAATGATAAGGAACTACAACTTCATAATCAATTTATATGAGGCAATATTATTCACAAACCACTTTCATAAGTAATAACTTCAGCGTTTTTTGAACAAGGTGCTGTGATCAATTTCACATAAAATCTTATGAGAAAAAATCCTCTTAACTCATGTAGGACAATGGACAAAAATGAGAGATTGATTATTATGATTTCAGGAAATGCTGCAAAAATATAATGCTCAAAAATTTAAAATGCAAATTTTCTGTTCAAGAAAAATCTATCCTGTCGAAATTTAATCAAAATATTTCTGAACCTGCAATTCCCCATGTAGCAAAATCAACACTAAAACCAAATTTTTTATCACCCATGATTTTTTGTAGGGTTCATGTTGCTTAATCTTTAATTTTTTGTGTAGTGTTTTTGTGGATTGTTGTTATTCGGTTATCTTTTTTTCTTTCCACCATAGTGTTGTCTCCCTTTCATTGTCCTACAGTTTTTGATAGCCCGTTGCTGTAAAAAAGTTTTCAAAAGCATACACAAGATTTCAGTGTAATTCAGTGGTTGTCATTGGTTGCTGTCCGTCCTGTTTGTTTTGCTTGTATTGTTTCGTCATAAATCAAGTTGTTGGTTTTCTCATTTGAAATGTTTCACATTTGTCATGATTGGGCCTTTTAGAGCCGTCTATACAATATGAGATTTGCTTTTTGTTGAAGGCTGTACAGTGACCTTTAGTTGCCTACATCCACATCATTTTGGTTGATTGTTATCTCATCGGCAATCAAACCACATCGCCTTATTTTTATACAGGAGTAATCAGACTGTAGCCCTTTTTTCTTGCAGATGTAGTTTGACTTTAGTAAGAGCAAATTAAAAATGACAAGCTGTTAAAATCAAAATTAGTAATGTAACTAACATCATATTGCAATGTAACTAACATCAAATTTACCTATTAGATTACAAGAGTATTAGAATTAAAGTTAGTCAATGTTATTTGTAACAGATTTAAGAAACTGCATAAAATAACTAATGCAATTTTCCTATAAAAGTTTTCAATTCTCATATCAAAATACAATGTAGATGTTTTTGATCTTGGTAAAAGGTAAAAACAAACTGTCTAAATAATCTAAACTGAAAGCAAATGCAACTTAAATGCAAATAACTCTGTTCTATAAGAATTAATGGCTTGACATTTTATGTTTAAAAAGCTAAACAGTTAATTTGCATTTTTTACAAAATACACTAGTACACACAAAACAAGTTTAAACACATGAACTAAAATAAATATTATTATACTGTTAAAACAAATAGCTATGTTAATTTTAACACAAATACTTACATACTTAATAAAAACAGAAGAATAAAATATCAATATTTCTTTTGATCTAATACAGTTAAAAACTAATTAATTAGACAATACTATCTGTATATGTAATAATCATTGCAGAAATATTTTCTATTGGCTCTTAATCTTAAAACCATGATTTTAAACCCAACAAACCAAAAATGTTTTCACAAACCACAAAAATTGATATCCACGAAGAAACAAAAACGTATATCCGTGATGAAAAGTAATTCCACATTATGCAAAATATGTAAATAAAAATCTAATTTTCCTCCTTTTGAAATCTTTGTTGTATGTAGAAGCTGCTGCCTATTGAATATACTTACAAGTTGGCTGAATTGGTATTAGAATTTGGTGCTATGGAATACAGAATCTGCCCATTTGGACCAGCATCACCATCAGTAGCCTGAAATGGACAGGGAAATATAACAGGCTGTTAGTTTTCTTGTTTGAATTCTTTTACATTTGTCATTTCTTGGCCTTTTGTAGCTTACTATGCAGTCTGGGTTTTGCTCATTGTTGAAGGTTGTACGATGACCTATAGTTGTCAACTTCTACATCATTTGGTCTCATTGGCAATCATACCACATCTTCTTATTCATAGGGAAATACAACCATTTATAAAGGTATCTTAAGTGAGGACTTCTTTAAAAATCTCCACACTTATGCAATACTGACAAACTGTTAAATAAATGCTAACCAGATAACATTAACTGTACCAATTTAACTGCACCAGATGGTCATTTTGACAATTATTGTCTCTTCATAGATGCTCAAGGCCAAAATATTTGAAAATTCAAAACCTTATACAAACGTTGAAGAGCTGACAAAACCCAAAAGGCCTTAAAGTGTAGCTATATCAAAGCTAAATGCATTCATTTTGTAGAATAAAGAATGGACTTACGGAGACCTATAATTATTAACTTCTAAGTCAATTGGTCTCTGGTGGAGGGATTCTCATTGGAAATCGTACCACATCTTCTTATTTTTATATTGTAACATAGTTCATGATGTAGAGTGGCTTGGAGGTGGCATATCTATTAAATTTATGTATGTTATAGTAAATTAGGAATGGAAACGGGAAATGTGTCATAGAAACAACAACCCGACCACCAATGCAGTGAGATTGTTATTTTCATGATTTCATTGCCTAAACTTTTTGCATGGAGGTTAAATTTGAACAACAAACAAGAAGTTCTTTCTTCACATCAGCTGCACATACCTGATGAAGCTAGTTTCTCTATCAAGATATAGTGTGAATCTATAAATATAACATCTATTTTTATAACACTCATTACCTATTACATTGTTAGGCATTTATATAATCTAATCTGATAACTGCATTAGCTCATTTTCAAACTGATCCATGCCAAGATAGATTGATTTTTAGACCCTACTACTTTGAATCTGTAATATGCTTTATCACAACATTGCATATTGTTATTTGTATCCATCTTTATTTCCAGATCTAGATAGAAAACTTTTATCTGCAAATGTGACTGGTGGAAGATTTAGCCACTTCCTGTTAATTAAATCATACTCACACCAACTACTCCAACATTAGCAGGTGGCTGTTGTCCCTCGTTAACACTAAAGGTATATAGATTACTACCAAAGGCTGGTGTAATGTCATTGACGTCAGTAATAGTTATCTGTAGGTTTGCAGTATCAGTCTAAAAATCAATGAAAATAATTTACTTTATTGAAACTAAATAAACGTGAGCATTCAATTTGTTTCCCTGTTTTTCACTGCTTATTTGCAAGTTTTTTATTTTTGCAATTTCAAATTAGTCCAGGCATATTATTTTCATTTTTCATGGGTCCATTTTTTTTTTCTTTCTTTTTTTTTTTTTTTGCATGAAGCGTGAGAGGTAAAAATACTATTAACACAAAGATAATGTAACCTAATCACACAATAACAATTGTTGATGCTGACGCCTATAACTTCATGCCAAAGTCACACTAAATGTAGTTTCTATCATGGTGGTGTTGTTTTTTTATTATAATTTTATCATTTATGTCTCCGTAAATGTTCTGGATTTCTGCATATGTACATACCAATGCTGTGTTATCTGTCACTCTTAGGCCTAGATTGTAAGAAGGAGTTGCTTCACGGTTCAAAGCCTTTGCCGTCGAAATTTCACCACTAAAAAAAAAATAATAATCATACTATACTATCATGCACATGTCAAAAGTCGTTGCAAACCAAATGATCTCATACAGCAACTTCCATGAAGAAAAAACGAAAGAAAAAATAACGATTAATCCAGATACACTTTGATTTTTGTCCCACCCACCATTCTGAATTCCTGAGTGAATTTAAAATGACTAGGTGTAATGTGGTTTGCAGTCCTGCAGGTAAGGCAATATATTTTTGTATAGACCCCTTATACAAATGGTTGCAAGACCAGACCCTGAAGACCTCATGTTGGTTACCAAGCAGAACATAATCTGTTACTTTATGGTGTTTTTCAAATGACCATAACCAGTATACACAGGCTAGACAAGATAAACAATCAAATGGTTGAAATGAAACAGAATACTGGTTTTGGCAAATAAACCACAGTTTCATTAATTTCTTTCATCATATAATCAACAATAAACAATAAAAGAATCATAAAAAGTTATTTTATTCACAAATATCAATTCCCTGATAAGTCTGTGGTACTCCACAGCGGGAAGCTGAAAACAAAACAACTGTGGTTTCAAAATTGAACATTGAAACCAAACAACTACAGGTACACATGAAATGAAATATAAAGAATACAAAAACAATCAAATTACAAAAATCTAAAATAAAAAATTTATGGAAAAATCTGAAAAGGGTGCCTTTAGAGTGTAACGTTTAAAAATTTATCAAAAAATCTGAAAAGGGTGCCTTTAGAGTGTAACGTTTAAAAATTTATCAAAAATCTGAAAAGAGTGCCTTTAGTGTGTAACGTTTAAAAATTTATCGAAAAATCTGAAAAGGGTGCCTTTAGAGTGTAACGTTTAAAAATTTATCAAAAATCTGAAAAGGGTGCCTTTAGTGTGTAACGTTTAAAAATTTATTGAAAAATCTGAAAAGGGTGCCTTTAGAGTGTAACGTTTAAAAATTTATTGAAAAATCTGAAAAGGGTACCTTTAGAGTGTAACGTTTTCATGTCCCAATTTTCACATTATCAGAGCGTTTAGACATTTGACATTATTGGTTGATTTCTGTATAAATATGTTTACTCAGTTGGCAAAATGTGTTTTAAATGCATACAACAGTTACTGCTGATAATGCTTTTAAGCAATGCTTAGTTCATAGTATGGTTGTTATAAAGCATAATAGTACCTTGACTTTTTTCAAATCATCCTGAAATTGAATGCATGTAATTATACATTTATAACAATGGAGTAGTTCACATGAAGTTTATTGTTTTTAAGGAAATTAAAACCTCCTTAATCAGGTGCAGATCCAGCCATTTTAAAAGGGGGTTCCAACCCCTAGAACGCCATGAAACGTTCACATAATTCAAAAAAAAAAAAAAAAAAAAATCGAAAAAGAGGGGTTCCTGAATCAACACATCAAAATGCCTCTAGTTCCTATTATTTACTGGGAAATATGGAATACAATGATTTGATTTTTTTTATTTTTCTTGTGTCATTACTATCAATTTAAAAAATACAATCATCTAGACAGCGTTTTGCCTGTTAACCTTGTAAATTCATGAATTCACATGACTTATCCCGGTCTAAAGCAAGCAATTAACTCTGCTGTAGTTCCTCACAATATAAATAAGCAAAAAAACACTCTTCAAATTATTATCAATTTGGTCTTACTAATCCTAATTTTTACATATTTTTTCTATCACAAAAACAACTACCTGATGCCAACTGTACAGAAATACCTTTGTGTTAAAAATCAACAAAACTTGTGTAAAAATCACTTGAATGAACACTCACTTGTTCTGATTAATAGCAAAGTCTCCATTATTATTTCCTGATGTTATTGTATATATCAGGGCCGATCCTTCCGGGTCAGTGGCCTACAATTTAAAGTATATAAAGTTATACAAGTATTTAATCTGAATAATTTAGTCGTTATATTTCACTGCTCTATACAATGGCTACATTATCGCCTGAATGCATTATTAACAATAAAAAATAGTCAATCAGTCATTTGGAATTAGCTCAAGATTTTCCATATCTCGATAAAATGGAGCTGACTGCTGATTGGTTACCTCTCTCACAGGGCACCAATCAAAATCCAGTATTCGTGAAGAGTTTTTTGTGTGTTAGGACTTCAGGCACTCGCAAGTAGGAGAGATCGATTACGGGGAGGGACTGAATTATTCCGGTTAATAAGTTTTTCCATCAATTAGGGATATGAACAAAAAGATATTTAACAATGTTTACTGAAATTAATTTGTCTTCAAGGGATTCAAATAAAGCAGAATAGTGAATTTTTATGTTTTTGTCTATCAAGAAGAAAGGTATAAAGTGAAATCAGATTAAAAGGAATTAGAAACCAAATCATATCAATGTGGCATAAATGTGCATCTTTAAAAACATCACTTTCCATTGGATTAGTTTTAAAACTTACATCCACTTTAAATATTGATGTTCCAACTGGAGTACCCTCACTAATTGACAATGAGTAAACAGAGGCAGGAATTACAGGTGGTCTGGTACCAGTTCCAGTAATTTCTACATTAACAGGAACAGTTGATATTCTGTAAAATAGTTAAGGTTAGTTAGCAATATTAACACAATATACAAGATAATAACAAATCAATGTGAAACCATTGAGATCTTTTATTTTTTAGTAAATTGTGTGTTTTTGTACTGTCCTTTTACAACGAAGAATGCGCTTCAAGTATTAAATCATGTAAAAGTATACAAATTTTTTAATGTTCTATATAGTGGTTGACTTGACTATCAAATGAAAGATTATTGTAGAGAGCAGTGAGGTATATATAAAAAAACAAAAATTTCCATTATGAATAAATAAAAATAAAATTCTTGAAATTTAAAACTCATTTTTATTTACCTTCTGTTACTGGGTTGTAGTGCGGAATCTTCAGCTTTTACTATAATAACGTAGTTCTCTCCTTCAACAACACTTCCATTTATAGTAATGAAAGCCGTCTGTGGTGAGGTAGTTCCTGGATTTTTTTCAATGTAAAATTTATTCATTCCACCATTGGTAACACTCTCAATAGAAAAGTTGATATCACCATTAACAGTGCTGTCAGCATCACTGGCAGAAACCTGAAACAGATCAATTAAAAATAAATGGAGAATGTGCCCATGGGACATAGATGATGCCCCCCCCCCCCTCTTTTGCATATAATGTTATAAAGGGACATAACTAAAGAACAGTATAAGTGACAACACCCAAATCCGAACTTGATCTGAGTTTTGTGGTAATAAGCAATGTTTACAAGTTTAATAACATTTCGTTGCGGCAAACATAAGTTAGAGAACAGAAACAAATTTTGGGACATACGGACGGACAAGGGTAATCCTTAATGCCCCCTCCATCGCATAAAAATAAAGCATACCTCACCTTACTTTCATTGTTGGGCCTCAGTGGCTGAGTGGTCTAAGTAGTTCAACTACTGTATCCTTAGCTATAGCCTTTCATTACTGGAGTTGTGAGTTCCTACCCCAAACATGGCAGGTAGGTTTGACTCAAAACTTAATTGACTAGGATTGTCAGTTTTCCTGCAGGAGGTCGTGGTTCTCTCGGGGCACTCCGGCTTCCTCCGCAAATAATAGTTGACCACCACAAAATAGCCAATAGTGCTGAAGGTGGTGTTAAACACCAATCAATCAATCAATCAATACTTCTATTATTCTGTTACAACCAATTTGACCAAAATTCTTGCAACTGGTCAGTTCCATTTAAATTCTAACTAGAGCTTTTGCAACAATTGTTTAGTGAATTAATATTGCTCAGATAAAAACTTGCTTACAGCAACTTAACTTGGATTACAACTCACTAAACAATGATTTTTCTACAAATCGTGAAAATTGAAAACTTTTAACCATTTGTCATAACAACAGATTGACCTGTTTCACTTACAATGAAATGTTAAAAATTTTCAACAAATGAACTATTCAATTGATCCTTTTCAAAAGTAGTTTAAACAATAGATTTAAAAAGAATTCCATTGCCATGATTGCCATATCATGTATGATTGTTGAGTTCTCAATAGCAACAGGAAAGTCCCACACTTGAATACTTATTCCGATAGAATAATTTACCGTAACAAGCAACTTTGGGCTGTTGGCATAGTTCTGTTCAGCTGTAGACATAGAATAACTTGGTGATGTAAATGTTGGAGTATTGTCATTCAAATCTCTCACTATCACGTTAACATTAGTTGCACCATTCCTTGGACTTGCTGTTCCTATTTCTGTTGCTCTGACCTAAAACGAAATAAGGCAGAAATGTGTAATATCATCCATTCATCAATTTTATCAGTTTGCACTTGCAGTATGGTGTGAATTTTTGCTTCCCATTGAAGATGCCACAGAGACTTTGAGATGAAAAACAATAATAAATACTCTTCTCCTTTGCTTTAAATTTTTTCAAATGCATACTGGGATTAAGTTTCAAAATTTCACACCACACTTCTTATCAATGGGTACTATTTTTCACACTTTGTAGCTTCTGAATATACAGTGAAATTAAGTTTATAATATCAATCATTTCTTTCACAGAAAATGCTTACATTATCATTTAGAAAGTATCAACAATATTTTACTGATAACTTAAACATTTAACCTGTTTAAATTGAAATTACAAAACAAATTTTAGTCTAGAACATGTTTAGAAAAATCTTAAGAGGCACAAGTTAAAATGCCAGTTTTTAATCATAACTATAATTATGATGTCATATTCTTGTTATATTTCATGCATATCATTTTGATATCATCATCATATTAATAAAAACATTCTATTATTTTTTATTTTACATTTTTACTTACGGTAAATCCATAGCTGGGTAAAGTCTCATAATTTAGATTACCAATATTCAGTTTAATATATCCATCAGGGGTCACTATAAAATCTGTCGTTCCCTCGATCGTTAGTGAATATTGTCCCTGTTCTCCAGGTGCCTATAAAAAACATTTAAAAATAGAGAATTTTAGAGTTAGGTACATTGGAAATCTTTAGGAATTCATTCCATAATTTTCCTAAAAGCATTTGGTGTTGTAAACAGATCATTGGTAGTCTCTGTGTAGTACAGCTTGAATTTTATTTATTTTATTAATATATATTTGTTCATGCATCAACTTAGTGACTGACTTTTACAGAGTACACAGTATGACAGTACTTTGGAATTTAGTAATTTATTCTCAACTTTAAGACGTCTTGATCTATGGTACATGATCTGCTAGTGTCAGTATGCCAGTATGTACACAAAAACATTCTGTAAATAGCACAAAACATATTTCGTTTAGGTACAAAATTTATTATTTTTTTATCCTATATTAAAATACATAACTTTGTTGGAATCAAAACTTGAAACGTTCTTCAAATCGTTTTTCAAGTACACATTGAAGAATGATTTACATTATAATTCCATTCAATTCAATGTACATTCACAAAAGGGGAGGAAATGGCAAAAACCAAAATGATAAGCTTCATACTATCAGCAGTGTTTCGTTTTTTTCGTTTTTTTCCCCATGTGGATTTAAAAGTTCATGAACTAGTCCCTTTTTTGACAGATTTTTCTATATTCTACCTACCAAATCTCCATCAGTCACAGTGACACGTAATAAAGTTGAACCATCGCTGCTGGTAGGTGCTGTACCGATTGGGGAGTTTTCATTTATATATCCAGTAGAGGACACTGTCACTACTGGAGGGTTATTATTAGCTTGTACAACGGTAGCTTTAATTATTGCTCGGCTGAATCTGGCATTTGCTGTATTTTCTGTTGCCTAAATAACAAAAGGAAAAAGATTTGAAATTAACAATTATATAGTAAATTAAAGGAAGAATGTGTCCATGGGTCACAGATGTTCCTGCTTGTAAATATGCAAGGGTCAATATACTAATTCAATCCTATTAACGCTTAATTCAGCAATTTTTCCATTTATAAAGGGTGACAACTCAAGAAAGGTGAAGTTCTAATTTGATCTACGTTTGGTGGTTATAAGCATTGTTTGATTGTTGGTTGCTTAACGTCCAGTGGCTATAAGCATTGTCTATAAGTTTCATTAAATTTGGTTGAGGCATAAACTTAATTTAGAGAATGGAAACCAATTTCAGGACGTACAGACGTACATAGTTAAACCTTAATGCCTTAAATGTACAGGCATAGAAATATTTGTTTATCAAATACCTTTTTTCCATCTTTATACAGTTTCTTTTTTTCTGTAATTATCTTAAAAGTTTTTGATTGATTGTTGCATGCTTAACAGTTTTTTAAGTCAAAATTAAACATTTCTATGTTAAACTGTCTGTCTGCAAAGAATGAACATATTTCATTGGTCAGTTTCCTTTTAAACAATTTAATGCAATTTTTCAAAGTTTAACAGAAAAATTAAATTTATAAAGTGTAATGATGATGATTGGTAGATTTTTTGTTAGACAATTGAAACGTATAAATAATATAAACACATATCAGTCAGGGGCGTTACTTAAACAAGTAATTTTTTTAAGTTACTTATATAGGTAATTTTTGTTTTTAAAAATTATAAAATTACTCAATAGAGTTATTTTAAATTTCGATAGAAGCATGGACTAAATGTAGTTTTCATGAATTTTTACATCATTTTATATCATAAAATTAAGAATTTGTTAGATTTGAGAGGAGTATAGAGATAAAGGGTTACTTTAAAAATAATGACAAAAATATTACTTGAATAAGTTATTTTATACATCTTTGAAAGAATTAGTAATAACACTTATTTAAGGATCATATGTAATTGTTTGGGGTTACAAATTATAAATAACTTCAAGTCTTAATTAATTCACAGGTTTCTATCTATTTATATCTGTCTACCTTCAAGATTTTCAAGGAAAATGATATTTTAATAGTCCAAAGAGGCCAACCTTTGACCCAGAAGCATCAATATGAAAGTAAAGTGTGTCAGAAAGGCAATTAGTGTTTCAGAAGGATTAGATTTTATATTTCATTGGAAAAATAACCAGATGACTGTGAAAATTTGTTAAAACTAGTAAAATCTGTAAAATTGGACACCTATAAAAATAATATTTAGAAAAGTTACTTATATAAGTAATATTTAAAATAGCCTCGTTTTCAACATTACTTGTATAGGTAATTTTAAAAGTTACTTGTTTAAGTAATGCCCCTGACTGCATATCAAAACGAAAATGTGATGTATATTAAAAATTATCTGTCCCTTTACTCAAATAGTTCACATCACCAAGTTTAAATGGAGTCTTTTACCATGTTTACCTAAAACATTTCATAATAAAAGTTACACCATAAGTTTTTGAACCAAATTTAACGCATAATTTTCTAAATCTAGATCAGATCTAGAGTTTTCTCTCTTCAATACTAATAAAGATATCAAAATTCTAAAGTTTTTAAATACTTTACACCAGATATAAACTTTTGAAGAATGCCATACTGTAAATTCAGAAATTATTGTGAGTTTTTTATTAATGTGAATAATGCCACTGGGAGAGTAGCGTAAAAGTAAGTACTCGCATTCTTATATCTGATACATATATCTGTATGTAAATTTTCCTGAAATCGCAGTATTTAATCTCACATTTTTGGCCATTTTTTTTAAATTGCAATAATAAATGCATGCAAACATTTCTGAATTCATAGCATATAAAATGTGTACATACTTTGATAATGATTTCCAGGTCCTGTACAGTATTTCTATCTATGACCTGAACTTGAGACAGGGATGCAGTATAAAGTTTACCACTATTTGCAGATCCACTTATGCCAAATCTATCTGCATATCCAGATGGAATAGCTAAAGAAAAAGAAAATTAGTGAATGGAAATACATTTAGCTTAAACAAATCGTTCTGTAAATCATGATTTTCCAGTTAATAAATTACAAAAAAGTTAATTAAATAACTTTAGCTGTTTTCTAAAATTCCTAAAATAGCAGTAATATTTTTTTCGTCGAATAAAGTTTAGAAAAAGGTTAACAAATTTAGGCATAAAAGTTTAACATTGATGACTTCAGAATGTTTAAAGCCTTGTTATAAAACATTTCTGTATCACTGGTAATAAAATTTAACAGAAGACCAATACAGGGTCTGGACCTGCATCGCTACATTTGACTGATCAGGGTAACATGTATACCACAGTATAACTGATCATTCCCTTACATAGAAGACCAGAAAACTTTGACAAAAATTTCCTTGAACTATGAGTGTTGTAAAATATCAAACTATCAGCAAACAGGAAGTGGCTACACGGGGGATGAAAAATTGGCTTAATTACAACAACTCAACATTATCAAGCTGCAAACCAAACATTAAATCATTTCCATTCATAGAAGCAGAAAAAACTTTGATGAGAGTGTTCTTTGGACGGACAGACGGAAAGACAGACAGAGTTGAGACACAGGTAAAAAGCTACAACAGATTGCCAAGAATTCAAATTAATTATATAATTTAGATGTAAAGTATGAACAGCTGTTGCATGCACTTCCCACATCATCTGGATGTTTTACCAAACTCTGCATAAGAGTGCTGGATCTTGCATCTTTTTGATTTTCAAAATTGTCATACAATCATTAAAACATGTACTTACTTTCCTCAACAGTGAAGCCAATGGCTGCATTTAAAGTGTCCTGATCCTGTGCAGCAATAGAGGTGGTCACGGCAGGATTATTGCCAGGTTTCAATGTTAAAATCCCTCCCTGTCAAAGAACAAGTTATAAAATCAATGGTTATCTGAATAATGGCGGATAAAAGCTAATTATAAGGGTTGGGAGCAAAAACGATGATGGTTTGACAAGAAAAAACACAGTCACAAAAAAATATCATCCATTGACATATGGTGTGAGTTTTTTTGGTATAGAAATAAACGAATTGTTTCCCTTGATACAAGATTATTTCTAGATCATTTGTACATGTTTATCCTAGTTTTTCAGTCGGATGTACTATTTTTAATATGTCTTCTTTATCTTTTTTTAAACTTTAAAGTTATTCAAAAGTAGGATAACTGCTTTTAGTTAAAAAAAAACTGGACAGGCAAAATGATTATTTCGAAAACATTACAGTCAAGAACATTGCACACATATACTTCTTAAAAATAATACATAATTCAAATAACAGAAAACAATCCATCTGAAACTATTTTTTAGTACACGTATCATGTAATTCTATAACTGTTAAATTCATTTAAGATGAATATAACATTAGAAAACAATTTGAATTGTGCGCTATTTCTCAGTAATAATACCTCTGCTATCAGAAAACAGGAAGTTTATGAGCAATAGATTTGAAACACATCAAACAGTATAGAATGCTAACTGGAATGTTGATTCAAAATTTCAGGGTGCTATATATATTATTCATTGTTCCCGAAGTAAATGTCAGGAAATTTCATACATGGTAATAATGTGTTATAATATACAAGTATTTGGTTAATAGGAAGTTGATTAGCATGAATGTGAAATGCTTTACACAGTATAGGATGTGTACTTGATGCTCGATAACAATTTTCAGTAAGGTATAAAGCATAGTTCCTAAGAAAAATGCCATGAAAGTTTCACACATGGCCTTTAAAAAGTGGTACATAACACTACAGGGAGATAACTCTGTAAAAATCAGCTGAACATTTTAATCACGCTTTATTGTTAAGGAAATATTAAGCTTCTCAATGAATCAAAATAAAGGTTTGTCAAACTGCTATATATCCAATGAATTTTTTCCGATAAAGTGTGTGGTTCAAGTTTTTTGAAATTTTTATATTTTTGTCAAAGGGTCAAAGGGTCAAAGTAAATATTTTGTCGAAATTTTATGAAAATTAAACGAGCCAAATTAATTTTAGTCAAGGTGTTTGGTACCACCTTATAAATGTGTACATCTGAAATTTCTAGTTTGAATATATGAACACAATCTGATTAAAACTCAGATCCTGTGTCCACCCTCCATTCTATTTTTTGTTCTGATAATTATAGCATCAACTAATGAATAATGGCCTCCATATTTTTAAGGTGTGTATCAATGCAATAGAAAAGATCATTAAAAGGTCTTCAAAATAGCAAGTAAAACAGAGCAGTGTCAGATCTTACATTTGCAAAGCATGGACATAGGATCAGTATTTTAATCAGATTGATATGAACTATCATAAATATCAAACACAAAAAGGAATTTTGAATTTTAGAATAGTATAAGAGAAAAGGTTAAAATATACAGTTACAGGTTAATGTAGACCAGAGGTTTAAAGACACTGATATTACAGAATTGTACTAGATATGAAAAAGCAGTGTTAATTTTCAAAGCATGAATATGCTATTATCACAATAATCAATGATAATGGGGGTTTAAAATGGGAAAATATGGAAATGAAGGAAAAGGAGAGGAAACTGAAAGCATAGTTTGAAGAATAACTGAAAATATGTACATACCGGCACCTATGTTAAAAAAGAAGAAATCTGAAATCTCTGTCGTCAGCATATTGATAACTTAAATTATTTTACAATCTTTATATATTGTCGACATTAAAATCCTTTTTTTACATTTAAAGACTTTGCATTATAATACCATTATCAAAATCATCATTTGCCATAAAATCAAGCAACCTTCTTACAATTTCAAGGTCATTCAATTTATTGAATATATTATTTGATTAGAACTGATGTAAATGTTATGTGGAAAAGACCTTCAAAAACTAATCAAAATGATAATATTATAATTTTTGAATGTAGAAAAAGAAATCCAGCTGTATAACACATTGTAAAATGACTAAATAAAAAGAAATTTGGGCTATATGTTAATGAGACAGAAACTCAACATAGCAAAAATCACAACAATCAGATAAGTGTACATGCTCTAAATCCTCTGCCACCAAAATCTTGGAAAGTCAATCTGTACCAACAAAGGCATTATTGATATTTTGGCAATTTGTTAAATGAACTGTCAGAATACATTCATTTAAATGATATCTTAAATTTGATAAGTCAATCTATACTTACAATGACACCATTGGTTATTTCTGTAGTGTAAGTAGGATGGAAACACACATTACCAACTGTCAGGCAGCTATCTAATACAAACACTGGTCCCAAATCATCACCATCAAGAATATTCAGTCTTAATGTTTCGTACGCTGTTTTTCTCAAAGTAGGATTTGTAGCTTGATCCTATAAATAGAATTATTTCAATTCATGATTAAGCTACAATAGATTTTCTTTTTTGAGTTTCCATTTGTCCACAGTAGAGGATCAAAAGTTCTAGCTGGTAGCCAACCTATCATACATACTGTAAACCAACTTTTACACGATATTTGAGAGTAGAAAAATTATGTGAATATTAATCGTTGCAAATATGTAAAAACTTTATTATTCCCTTATATAAATGAATGATCCATGGCTGGGTCAAACCAAAGATTTGCAAATTGGTATTTGCTGCTTTTCTGCTAAGCTTGCAGCATTTAGAAGTAAATGCAAAGACAGGTTGTCTCAGATTTTTGTATAATATCCATAGATAAGTGATCGATGAATACATGTCTTCAACTGAGTACTGATCAAATATGATCGATAAGTGTGTGATTACCAATCTAATCAATTAGTTTGGTAATGTGCCCAGGGTGTTGACAAGTCTTCCTGCATTTTGTTATTTTGTGATCTACATTAAACATTCTGGTCTAGTACAAAGCAGAGGTTATGTTTCTATCACATTATCATGTTCTACTCTAGTCATAATATGCATGTAATATTTGTCACTGGATGTTTAGCATCAATATGTCATCATCATCATCATCATCCCACCCCTCATATACATGTGCAATTTGGAATTAATTATTGATTCAGAAAAAATAGTGTTTGCTATAAAAGAGGGAAGAAAGATACCAGAGGGACATTCAAACTCATAGATCGAAAACAAACTGACAATGCCATGGCCAAAAATAAAAAGACAAACAGACAAATAATAGTACAGATGACACAACATATAAAACTAAAGTTAAAGCAACACGAACCCCACCAAAAACTGGGGTGATCTCAGGTGCTCCGGAAGGGTAAGCAGATCCTGCTCCACATGTGGCACCCGTCGTGTTGATTGTTCATAACAATGTTCCTTAATCTGACTTATTCATGTCAGCTGCTTTAAAGCATTCTTTAAATTTCTTTAAAAGAAGTGTGTTCAATCCTAAACCGTTCAATGGGGAATTGAAATGTTTGAATCATGTCATGCAATAATTTTCTTGATACATTTTGAACAAGATAGCATCAGAAAGCAGTGTTTGTAGAAAGATATGTCATTCTATCTGGTCTCTTGACAAACCAGTATTTGTTCTTACTCCTGAAAGACCTGAATGCAAAGGAAAGTTAGCAAAAATCAATTTTACAATGATTGACCTTGACCTTGCCAAGAATTAAAACTTAAACCTCCATCACTAGAAGTGAGACCACAAAGGTTATAAGGTTATTTGCTTTGGTTACAAATCAGCATTTTATTGTTCCAAAATATTTACATATAATATCACTTACAGTAGCTGAAATATTGAGAATATAAAAAGTTTGTCCCACTGTATTCAACGCTTCAAAATCTAGGGTTGTTTTAATGGACACATAACCCAATCTAGGTGTAGCAATCACAAACTTCTGTGAACCATCAAGCTGAAATGTAAAAACACAAAATGCTTAAAATTAATGGTAACTGTTCATGAAAATTGCTTAATATATATAATTGCTGGTGTATTATCATGATAATCAAAGGCAGCTTTGTGTGTGGTGGCATGCCCCTATATATAAACATAACATATTGACAGTTTTTTTGTCCACTACAATGGCAAAAGATGTTAAATAAGAAGTCATATTTTAGTCAGAAAAAGATTATCTAAAAACTTAGTTGTAACTTCTAGTGGCAAATCCTAAATCCAGTCTGTTGGATCTACATCATCATGATCAATGTCAACCAATAGTTTAAGAAAGAGTAAAAAAATCAATGTTTTATCACTATAAATCACCCTAATTCACTATGACAAACTTTTCACTAGGAAGGGTGATTTTACTTCCTTGCATGTACATATTTACTAAATATAAGTGAACTTACTATTCCACCATCTCCAGGCATTATGCCAAAATTAATATCCTTGTTTGTATTAGCATCAAGATCAAAAGCAGCTATTCCTCTAAATACTGTTGTTCCTATTGGTGACAACTAAAAACAAAATATATCAAATTGACATTAGATATTATTATCACATACTTGTAGTAATTCATAATTTGTAACTTTTAAATGATGATAAACAATAAAAGCATTTGATTTATGTAAATTTGATTTAATCAACATAAGTTGAATTACGGAAAACATTTAAATGAATAAGATTAACATACTGTAAATTCATAAATTTTTGCAAGGTTTTTATAAATGCGAGTAATGCAACTTGATGATTATCGCAATATAAAGAACTCACAGTCTGATATCTCATGCATATATCTCAATGCAAATTTTCCTGAAATCGCAATAATTAATCTCACATTTTTGTCCAGTAATATCACAATAATAAACGCAGGCAATAATTTCTGAATTTACAGTAGTGTATATATTTTTCAGCATAAATGACTCTCAGGGTGATATCATAACCTTGAGATGATAGTTGATGTGATACAAATAATCTTATCTATACTTCTTTTGTACTTATTGGGGAGGGGGAGTTCATATTTTACTTCAAAATATTTATTAATCTATTGGATACTTTTTTGCATTTTCATTCAAATACTTCTGTATTTAAGTCCTAACAAATACTGTACGGATTTGGTTGACCAGCAAAAAAAAAAGCTGTTATATTACCTTTTTTATCTAGCTTGTAATGGAAATCCCAGATACCACTGAACAAAAAGGCCTAACCTTATTAACACTGGCTTGGTATGAAGTACCAGAAAAACAGAACTGTTAACACATTTAACAGTTGACATGTTTGGCAGGTTTGGATATGTTGTACATGTAACAGAGGCAAATAGGGCTTACCATTAACACTGTGCAGATATGGTTATAATTAAACTAAAGAAAATATGAATTATCTCAGGAACACTGATCAGGTATGGGGTACCATAGAACATAGGTCTTAACCCATTAACACTGAGCATGTATGGTTATAAATAAACCAGAGAAAATATGACTTATATCATGAACACTGACCAGGTTTGGGGTATCATAGAAAATAGGTCTTAACCTATTTACACTGACCAGTTATGGGGTACCATAGAAAAAAGGCCTTACCCATTAACACTGACCAGGTACGATATGAGGAACCTTAGAAAATATGTCTTAACCCATAAACACTGGAAAATAGGTCTTATCCCATAAACACTGGAAAATAGGTTTTAACCCATTAACACTGACCAGGCAAGGGGTACCAAAAAAATAGGATTAAGCTGGATATATGGAATCAGAGACTAATACCTCATGAAAAGTTGCTAGGTAAGTAAGTTGTACCAAAGAAAGTGAAAAATAACACAGGCTGGGTACAGATTAGCTATGAAAATAAGTTTTTATCTTGTAACCTTGGATAGGAGTAGGATCTAACAGCTTCATATGAGGTACCAGGGAAAACAGGGCTTACCTCATTCACACTTGTTTCATATGAGGTATCAGAGAAAACAGGGCATACCTCATTCACACTGGCTTCATATGGGGTTCTAGAGAAAACAGGACTTACCTCATTCACACTGGTTTCATATGGGGTACCAGAGAAAACAGGACTTATCTCATTCACACTGACTTCATATCAGTACTCGAGAAATCAGAACTTACATCATTCACACTGGCTTCATATCTGAACCTGAGAAAAGAGGACTTACCTCATTCACACTGGCTTCATATGGGATACCTGAGAAAACAGGGCTATTATCATTGATGTCTTGTACATCTACTGTCATTAAGAAAAATGTAGAAGATGATGAACCCTGAAATAATTAATATCTTATTGCTTATTGTTTTCCACATTTGTATTTCATTCAAGTTTTTTTTAACCGTCTTCAAATATATTTGTTTTTGTCAAATTTTATCATTTTTAGTGATTCAAAGTATAATAAACTGTTAACACAGAGATATGTCTCACCTATTTGTTATTTTGATAATGCAAATGTTGAAATTAAAATAGCAATACTTTAACATGTAAGTTATGCAAATAATCAAGGTCAATGAACCATGACTGAAGGTACAGGGCTAAACAATCTCCATGGAAATGAGATGTGCCCATGCTAATACAACTGCAAACCAAATACCATTGACTTTTCATAAGTCGTTCCCTTTAAACAAACCTAAACACAAACACTAACTTGTAAACTATGTAAAAGTTTCAAAGTCAATGAACCATAATTAAGGGGTGGGGTTATATAATCTCCATGGAAATGAAACTTGCAAATGCCAATACATTTGCATACCGAATATCATTGACTTAACATTAGTGGTTCATCTTAAACTGAACTAATCACAAACTAATACATGTAAACTAAGTAAAAGTTTCAAAGTCAATAGACCATGACTGAGGGGGCGGGGCCAAATAATCTCTATGGAAATGAGATATGCCAATGCTTATACAACTGCATACCAAATATCATTGACCTACCACTAGTGGTTCCCCATAAACTGACCTAATCACAAACTAATACATGAAAACTAAGCAAAGTTTCAAAGTCAATAGACCTTGACTGAGGGGGCGGGGCCAAATAATCTCCATGGTAATGAGATGTGCTAATGCTTATACAACTGCATACCAATTATCATTGACCTACCACTAACAGTTCCCCTTAAACTGACCTAATCATAAACTAATACATGAAAACTAAGCAAAAGTTTCAAAGTCAATAGACCATGAATGAGGAGGCGGGGCCAAATAATCTCTATGGAAATGAGATATACCAATGCTTATACAACTGCATACCAAATATCATTGACCTTCCACTAGTGGTTCCCCATAAACTGACCTTATCACAAACTAATACATGAAAACTAAGCAAAGTTTCAAAGTCAATAGACCTTGACTGAGGGGGCGGGGCCAAATCATCTCCATGGTAATGAGATGTGCCAATGCTAATATAACTGCAGACCAAATATCACTGACGTACCACTAGTGGTTAACCATGAACTAGACCTAATCACAAACTAATACATTGTTGCCGCCGCTGCTGCCGCCGCCGCCGGAAACAGCATACCTAATTTTTGTCTCGCTTTTTGACTCTGTCAAAAACAAATTCAAAAGCTAGTATTTTGTTGAATTTGAAAAATATTGTCTGGTTTTTTTTCCACATAATTTCAGCAATTTCTGTAAAGAGATGTCTTCGTGAAACAAGACAATTACCATGTCTGGACCAGCTTGGCTGCTTGCAGCTAATATAGGTAACCTTGGCTATATCATGGCAGCCTGTTTGCTTTGTACCCTGACATTATTGACAAGGATTGCGAGTTTTCCTGTCCAAGGCGACTGGTTCTAGTTCTAGCAATAATTGTCAATTAAGATCAGTCTAACCTTGCCACTAGCCAGGTTCGAATTAATAACCTCATGGCTAGTGATCACTGCAGAGGAACTACTTAAGGATGTACTTAGGTGAAATTCAAAAAATCTAGAATTTAAAATTGATACTATAAGTCAGAAGAGCATTAGTTAAGGAACAAAATAAGCTAAAAATATTGATAGGTTATGGAGCTCCTTTTCGAGATATTTAATTTTTAAAAAATGGTGGGAAAAGGCTGAATCAGACTTTTACCTTATATTTGCATTGGTATTATTTGGGCCTCAAATCGAAAGAAAAGAAATCTAGAATCTGCTTAAATTTTGGTAAATTACCTTTTATGAGCTATTGAAGTCTTATATGAAAAGAAATATGGGTGTTATGGGGCAAATATTTTACCCTTTATCGTAGGAAAAAAACCAAGGAGTCCGAACATCTCACAAAATTTCCTAAACCTGACCTAAGTACATCCTTAACCACTTTGCCACCAAGGCCATTAAAGTATAAGTCCCTGTCATATAATATCTATTGAATATTAAGAGAAATTTCACAATGAATCAAATACTATCCCCAGCATCACTGTCATGTCAGATGATTTTTACTGAATAACCTTAATGTTTGTACTGTTTTTGTGTCGAATAAGCTTAAAAACAATAGTTACTCACCACTCGTGTACATTTCACTTGAAATTCAATGACATCTGTATCATCAAATGTAGTTGAAGTCAAACCCTATGAAAAAGCACAAAAATAAATAGTGTAAAGATCATATAACACAAATTTTAAATAACATTTCTAATTTTCGTGGATGAAGCAAAAATTATATTTTCGTGGATGAAGCAAAAATTATATTTCCTTGGATATTTGATTTTGTGGTGTTACCAAAGTTTGCATGTTAGTCTTTTGAAAATGTATTCTTTATTGAACATTTAAATTCAAGGTTCACCCACGAAATCCAAGAAAATTGGCATCAAACAAATAATAATGCATTTGCAATCATAAATTTTAAAAAACAAAAATTGTTTATACCTTTTAAACAATAGATTTGGTAATAAATTTTCAAATGATATGTTTTTCTATAAATTATAAACAAATATTTCATAGATTTTTTTACCTAAACTTCAAAGGCATATTTAAATTCTGACCTCACACTCATTAATATTAAACCTGTTCATATGTACCAGTACCCCTAAATTCTTCATATGGATTATGCTTTCTACTAATGATTAATACAAGTATCAACCTCTTAGACATGCAAGTCTCTGTTTCTCTAAACTGGTCTTTTTTTCGGCTATTCTGTATTACTGTATCGGTTATTTACCCCCAAATTCTTCATATGGATTATGCTTTTTACTAATGATACAAGTATCAACCTCTTTGATATAATTGATTATACTGTCACATGACTGTGGATTCATTATTATTCGTGGGATACCAATTTTCGTTGATTTCGTGGGTGGAAGTAAACCAAGAATTCAAATGTTCAACGAAGTACAAATTTTCTATATGGTTGTATGCAAAATTTGGCAAAACCATGAAATCAAATATCCACGAAAATACAATTTTTCCCTAGTCCACGAAAATAAATGAATCCACAGTATAGGATAATTAGCTGGAGGGCAAACAAATTACCAAAATTTTTGTCTTAAAAATATGTTACATAATTATGGCTTACAAAGCAAAATTATATGCTCTGAACTTACATCTCTGTCCAATTCTTGAACAAGACGGAGAAAAGCTCTCTTTCTAAAGCCATTCTCTTCTGTAATATCACGTGACTCTAGTAAGAACAGGTTTGTCACATTTATATTAAAGGGAGTACCAGATGACCTTGATATTTCCAGTGTGATACCATCAATGGAATCGCTTCCACCAAGTATACCATTGATCTTTGTGTCAGCAATATAATTGTCTGGATTTGCTCCTATATCTATAAAATCAACCATAAAAGGATAAATTGTCTAAGGATCATAACTTTTTTTACAAACAATCATGTTATAATTCAATTCTGTTTAATAACAGAGATGTGACAACACCAAATGCCATGATATTGACAATCAAATCAGTTTTTCAGTTATATACCGGTATATAAAACAAGAACAAGTGCAATGAAAACATGCCAAACTATATATATTTTCATGTTTAGTGAAATGTGAAATCTGGGTCATAAAACTCTAATTTTGAAAAATATTTTAATGAGCTCACATCAAAATGAACTTAGTTTCAAGTTGAGGTGAGAACTACTTCAAATTAAACTATCTTAAGGCAAATCTTAGCCTAATATGGGACAAAAGCAAAAATTGATGGACAGACAAATAAACAGACTGGAAACCATGATGCCCCCAAATATCATGACTATTGTAGGCTAGCTGCATGCAATTGATTTATGTAACATGCATACTGTAGCATAACAGCATATTCACTTTCATTGAAGCCAAGAAAACTTTGATGAAAATTTTTCTTGTACAATGAGTGTTGTAAAATTTCAAACTATTGGCAAACAGGAAATGGCTGCATGGCCAGTGTAATAAAATGCTTCGCTGTGCGCAGCTTGATACGACCGCAGAGGTCGAACCCTGAACAGTTGGGGCAAGTATGGCCACAACATTCAAGCTTGATAGAGCTCTGAATTTGGATTGTGATTAAATATTTGACACAGCATAGGTTTCTGACACAGTTAGATTTGGCATACCAAAGAACCCCAATAATTCAATTTCTGATGAAATCAAACAAAGTTTAATTTTGGACTCTTTTGACCTCAATATTAACCAATTTGATAGGGGGCCCACAAATAAAAAATCTAAATACATGGTTAGATTCAGCATATCAAAGAACCCCATATATTCAATTTTTGTTGAAATCAAACAAAGTTTAATTTTGGACCCCAATTTGGACCAACTTGAAAACTGGGCCAAAAATCGAAAATCTAAATACATGTTTAGATTCAGCATATCAAAGAACCCCACATATTCAATTTTTGTTGAAATCAAACAAAGTTTAATTTTGGACCCCAACTTGGACAAACTTGAAAACTGGGCCCATAATCAAAAATCTAAACACATGTTTAGATTCAGCATATCAAAGAACCCCAAGAATTCAATTTTTGTTAAAATCAAACTAAGTTTAATTTTGGACCCTTTGGACCTTAATGTAGACCAATTTAAAAAACAGGACCCAAAATTAAAAATCTAAATACACGGTTAGATTTGGCATATCAAAGAACCCCAATAATTCAATTTTTGATGAAATCAAACATTTTTAATTTTGGACCCTTTTGACCTCAATATGAACCAATTTGATAGTGGGCCCACAAATATTGAACCCCATATATTCAATTTTTATTGAAATCAAACAAAGTTTAATTTTGGACCCCAACTTGGACAAACTTGAAAACTGGGCCCATAATCAAAAATCTAAACACATGTTTAGATTCAGCATATCAAAGAACCCCATAAATTCAATTTTTGTTAGAATCAAACAAAGTTTAATTTTGGACCCTTTGGACCTTAATGTAGACCAATTTGAAAACTGGACCCAAAATTAAAAATCTAAATACACTGTTAGATTCGGCATAACAAATAAATAAATGTGGTCAAAGATTTTACAAATCTAATGCGCCATACTGTGCAATTAAAGATTACTTCTTGAAATTTTTCAATATTTGAAATTTGAAAAAAAAATAATATTTGAAGAATAATTCTTTTTAATTTCTGAAATCTGAAATGAGAAAAAATTGACCCCCCACAATTTCTTTTTACCCCCCCCCCCCCTTTTTCCCACAAAAAATTCTTTCCCTCAAGATATGGTCATAATCTCAATTCAAATTGCCAATGGAGTTTGCAACCATAATTATCCATTTAAATTTACCATAGTGCTAACTTAATCTATTTTATAATAGAATTTAAAATATAGTGTCAAATCTTTCATATGGATTTTTTTGTAAAAAAAAAAGATTCAACATTTGCAGATATTTTTACTGGTCTTCCTTTATAAATATGCATTTCTTTAAACATAATTTAAAAGCAGTGTAAGGGAAGTAACCAAAACGTTGTATTTGGATTACCTCCCTTACACTGTTTTAAATTATCTTAATTGTTCATTAACCATTACTTTATACATAATTTAAAAGCAGTGTAAGGGAGATAATTTCAATGATGTATTTGATTTATCTCCCTTACATTGCTTTTAATTATGTTTTGTACTAAAGTATTTGTCCATTAACCAGGACAACCTTGTTTTTCCCCCTTTTTTGCCCCTAATTCCTAAACGGTTTGAGCCATAACCCCACAAAGCAAATCCTAACCATTCCTTTGTGGTATGGAAACTTGTAGTATAATTTCAGAGAGATCCATACACCGTTCCACAGTTATTGTCTGGAAACTAGAAAATGCTTATTTTTGGCCCCTAATTCCTTAACTGTTGGTACCATAACCCCCAAAATCAATCCCCACGTTCCTTTTGTGGTATTGAACCTTATGGTAAAATTTCAAAGAGATCCATTCACTTAAACTAAAGTTAGAGTGCGAAAACCAATGTGTCTTCGGACGACGACGACGACGCCAACTTCATACCAATATACGACCGCAAAATTTTTTTGCGGTCGTATAAAAATTGCTTACACACTACAACAAACATTATCAAGCTACAGACCAAATAGAAAAACATTCCCTTTCATAAAAGCCAAGAAAACTTTGACACCCAGTCTTTCTGATGGACAGATATGGAATTACGGACTGGAGCGGTTACTAGATCTGCTTTCAATGTTGGGATGCAGGTAAAAACAGCATCTTTAGAAACTAAAAGTTAGATTAAGCTTTCAGGCAGATCATGTAAGTAAATGAAATGAAATAAAACCTATAGTTAAGAGTAAATTGTAACCTAGTAAATTATATATATTAAATGTAAGAATACTTTAGTTATGAGATAAGTCTATTTTACTGTGTCCCATGTCATTTTACACACACACACATCACATGATAACGTCAAAAATCTAAGCAGGGTTGAGATCAGTACAACATTGTCTGTATGAACACATCAACAAATGGACGATGTCAACTTACGATATACTTTCATCAGGGTGAGGGGTCAAACAAGAACATCATTGCCGACTTTTTATGTGGAAACCTAGGCATGTGCATAGAAAAATGTCATGTGATACGACTTTTTCAATCTCCACATTGAAACAACAGCTACTGTACATTTTGAAATTAATGCATGCGCTTATTATTGATTATTGAAGAATGGACAAAAATGTGAGATTAATTATTGCAATTCAAGGAAAATCTGCATACAGAAATATGTATCAAATTTCAGAATACGGGTTTTTATTATTGTGATACTCAACCAGTCGCATAATTCGCATTAAAAAAAACTCACAATTTCTGAATTTACAGTATCCTGGAACTCTCCTATAACATATATCAACCTAAAAAAAATTAATTGCTAAAGTACTTTCTCACCACCATGATAAAATGAAATGATTATGGTGGTATATACCTGCAAAACTTGCTTCAGTCAGTGTAACAATGATGGTAGGCGTTCCTCCAGTATTACCACTCACAGCTGTCGATTCACATGCTACAAGGAGAATAAAAAATTAAAAGGCTTTATAAAACAAAATTTATTTTGTAAATAACTAAACCTCACTATTACATGGACATACATGTACATAGTTTGTTAAAATATAATACAACCAACAACAAAAAATAAACAATTAGATTTTTTTTTAAAACAAAATTACCCTTATAATCTAATATTATTAGAAGTGTTCCTATCCATAGGAAGCTTATACAAAGAAGAAGAGGTATACACAACTTTCTATCATTTTACAGATACATGCAATAGAAGTTATAGATATGTTGTTCTTGTTTAAACTTGGGGAATTGGAATGAGTATGCACTAGACAATTCCTTAGAAAAAGTATCGGTGAAGATGAAAACTTCATATATATTTCTATATAACAGGTGTATACATGGTATATATACATGTGTATGCATGTACATCAGAAATCTGATTTTTATTATTTTCATAATTTTTTTCATCTCTGACATGTCTGATACAAATAATCCTCCATTTTAAAAATATTTTAGTGCACATTTGATCATTTAATACCTTTTGGCGACCTTTATATGTCTATAAATACCAAGGTCTCCCATGGAGACAACATTTCCTCACAAAAATGCTGTGTAATGTAGGTATAGTATCAACAGTAGACCTTTTAACAACAATGCCTTGGTAAATAATAATTAAATTTCAATAACAGGTCCCCTAAGCCAACCTTAAGGAGTGGACATTCTATTTCTCTCCTTTTATCATATGACTGAAAGTAGAAAGTTGTGATTGTCTTTTGATCTAAAGTTCTTTTAGATCTCGTGTACATTAGACTATGATATATCAAAAATCTGAACTCTGTATAATGACACACATATTTATTTACACACAATACATAAAAAAAATTAACATGACATTCCAAAAATTTGGACATTACAACTGACTACACCAACCACCAACAATTCTCTCATCCATGAAAATAGTTATTAAATTCTCCCTCGTCATGCTCGTCGGAATTTAAAGTATTTCTTTACTAAATTCCTAAGTATAAATAAGACAAAACTCTAATATGGGGCGCATTACATTTGCACGCATTTGGGGATTAAAAATTTTTATGTTTGCTCACAGCTTTTAATTACATTTGCACGCATTCATTTTACAGGTAACACATGGAAATAAAGATAAATCATAATAAATATGACTATAGTTATAATGAAAATTGAACATATTTGTAAATTTTAATTATATATTTCTAATATTGAATTCTAAAAAAATATAATAATCATGAGAAATCCCGTAAAAGCTTAAGACATACATGCAACTTAACTGCAAATATTTCAGAGTAAATAGTATTCTGAATCATAATTTTACCTAATAGTGATCGCTTTAATAAATAACTTAAGTCAGTTTGTAAAAATGCGTAAAGGCACACATATGGAGTTTCGTTTGTAAGAAACAAATCGGTGATAAAAATCATTAGTGTAAGATGGATTTGGTTTCAGTATCAACAGAACACTTAAGTCAGGGGATGTTTCATGGCGATGCACCGTAAATAATTGCAAAGGTATCTTGCAAATGTGTGCAAATGTATAAATGAAAAGCTGCACGCAAACGTAATGATTTTTGTACGCAAATGTAATGCACCATCAAATATAGACTTGGTTCCTCGCAGTAACTTATTTTTTCTTGCAAACCATGTTTATCTAATACATAATTTAATTACAATATTATAAAAAAATTGACATTTTCATATAAGATATTGTCGAACACATCATTATATGTAAAAGAACATAAACTATATATACACATGTATATCCATATGATCCATATTCATAAATATGGCAATAAACGGCAAACTGTACGTTGTAGTTACTGTGAGCACCTGTGATGAACTGACAGCTCAACAATTCTTTACGTAGTATTACGGAACCCCAACCTTTAAACCACCAAAGGATTTCACGTGCATCTAATACCACATACCTGAATCCAAAATAACAAGAACCCATTTTACAACTAATATTTGTTGCTAAATGTTTTTTACTCAGTATAAAACAAAATTTAAAGAATCTTGATACTTACGGGCAGTCTGAGCAGCTGTGTTTCCAAACAGAAGTACCATAACGAGGCAAGCATGCCACATTTCCATGGCTGCTGATTAAGTATTTGGAGAGTTAACTCCTTGCTTCTACCTAAAATAAAAAAGTTTGCATGTTGTATAAGGACACTAAGGACAGTGTTAATTAAGGCATACATGTATCTGTTTTGATATATGAAGGTAACTAAAAATAAAACTTTGGGCTTTAACCTGTTTTAAGAGCCTGTATTGCTCACCTCAGTTTATCCCATAAAAGTAATTTGCTTTCAGTTTGGAAAGCATCCAAATAATCATTCCTCTAGTTTTTTTTAAATTTAAACTTCAAAAGAAAAGAAATTTAAAATTTCAGTAACCAGAATCAATAATTGCTCAGATGACTGATGTCACTGACAGGCACCAAATTATTGCAGCTCTAATAAGAAAAACATTATATAAATTCTTATATAATGAAACACATAATTGACACAATCTAAAATAAGTAAAACAAATCACACCTTAATTCTAAATGATGAATCCAGGACTCATTATGGCCAGTTGAAAGCATCTTAATTATTATATCTATTACATCGCGGGATGTTCATGATGTTTGCCCTTTTTCATAGGACATTTGTGCTTTTTAAAAAATGTCATTTGCGCTTTTTAAATAGGACATTTGCGCTTTTACAATATTTGCTTTTTATGACGTTACAATGGTTATATGTACATGATGTACCTGGGCAAACCTGTATAGTAATTTTAAGAGCTTAAATGCAAATTAGTTTGAAGTTGCACCTTAAATCTGACACAACTGAAAAGCTTTAAAACTCTAAAATAAAGACAACTGAAATTTAAGTGTTATAATCAAAATAGTCAGTGAACAATTACAAAGTTGTTGACACCAGGAGTGGACACTGTTACCTCTTATTTCAGTTATTCACAATTGAAATTTCCCCACTTTTATGTCTTTTGGCAAAATTTGTTTATGTAATCAATAAACAAGAGAGAAAAGATACATGTACCAATGGGAGGGGAGTGATTTTATAATACACATTATGTACATGTACTGTGAAATGATTATTGGCATTAAAATTGTGTATCATGTATATATAAATATGTGGAGTTAATTTATAAATATTTTCAATTAAAAATATATTCAAAAGTTTCTTTTCTTATATACAGCTGTCAGTTTCCCGATTTCCATTGATTTGATTAACAAAATTATGGTGTTTTATTTGTGTAAAATAGTGCATTTTTGATGAAAATGTTCATGTTTTACATACATATGCACATTTCAAAACAAATACAGACATGCACTTTTGGGACATGTGAATCGGAATGCTAAGATAGCTTAAATTTGATTGTTTCAACTTACCATAAGAGTGAAAATAAATCGAAAATATATTCAAAGCACAACCAAAATAAAAATATCCCTTTTTCAGATGTCAGATCCCTTTTCTCTTATTATGGGACCTTCACCACACCTGCAAATTCGTCTGTTGCAGGTAGCAGTTAAGTTTGCTACTATTGTATTAAAGGAAAACTCCCGTAAGGTATCAAGTGTTTTGGAATCTTTAAATAGAATCATAGAACCGGTTCTGCAAGATTCATTCATGTTTAAAAAGAATTGCCATGTGAGTTACTAAAAATAGTAACCAATGGAAAGAATGGATTGATCGGAACGCATCGGTTATTTCCGTAAAGTAAAAACATAATACCTACGAAACATGATTACATGTTGTTTACAATGAAAAACAACGTACTGAAATTGCTCCGTTAGAAAATTCTTATAATATAATTATTCACCAATATTTTACATCTTATACAAACCCAAATAATCAGCACAAGTCATACATATAAAACACGTATTTAGTGAATATCATGAATAATATTAGAAGTCCAAAGGACAAAATTCTCAATACTGTCTGATAATAAATTACTAGACATAGTTAATTAATCATAACTTTGACTTTAAAAGTGTATTATTTTGCAAAGGATTGTATATCATATACTAAGCAATTCCTAGCTTGGTAACTGTAGTCTCAGATCATTGTTTGTGTGGGGGGTCATGATGAATTAACAGAATAGAGAATAATGGGCCTTGAATATATTGTATTACTATAGGGAAAATTAGTCACGAAAAAAATAACTTAAGAAAGAAAATCATGAGAATGGGGTGCTAAATTTAAAAAAAAAGAAAGAGAATAAACGAAAAAATATAAGGAATAGAGAAAAATGACAAAAAATTATAGAACATAGAAATGAAGCACCTCCTGACCCTGTCAGTGTATATCTCAACAACCATAGTAGAAAAAACACACCCGGTTCACTCTGAAATAAAATAAATTGCTTGACACAACCCAACAGACTATAATGTGGCTCCAACATGACCAAATCCTATCTGCGACCTTGTGAGAGGGCAGCCGACCTTGCTACCTGGTGTCGCATTCAAAAAGGATCTTTGACCTTTAAAAATGTTCAAAACCGAGAATTAGATCAGTTTAGAACCATATTGTTTGCTTAAAATTAAGTGTCCTGGTGACCGAAGACATTTTTTTAAAACGTGGCCTAAGGAGTACTCTACAAGAGCCACATTAATGTAACCCTCACAGAATAAACGGTGTTATACAATCTTGGTTGTTCAAAAGAGGCGAAAGATACCAAGAGGAAACTCAAAACTCACAAGTCGATAGAAACTGACAACGCGATGGCAAAAAAAGGGAAAAAAAGGAAGACGACGAAAGGCTAGAAAGTTCTCAAAACACTTCATGGAAAACAATAAACTGAGCAAGACGAACATAATTAGTCTTGATCAATGATCAAATTAAGCCACGTACAGTTCCCAATGCGTTCTTACATGAATACACGTTACCGATGCATTTCGTTATTGAGTCCTTCTGGTTATACTGTCGAATAGTTAGTCAGGATTCAAGGTTAGTCGCCGTTTTTACTCTTGCTAAAAATGATTGATGAATTACGAATCATACCTCATACAACAGGGGATTGGTATACAATGTCTCTTGTTTAACCCACTGCAAAATTTGAGAACCATCGGTACATGTAAATGTAACTAAGTGAAAATAAGGATAAAGGCAGTGTTTTTCGGGACATATATATATATACATTTTTCTTCAGAAGCTGCTTTATGAAGTCTGCGTCATAAGCATAAAGGATAGGTAGACAAGGAGTTGAGCACAATTGGTTTCCATAGGAATGCAGATTGCCTTTTGAAAAAAAAACACGTCCTCCAAACCTTACAAAGATAAAGCACCTTGATGACGCCAGTTTCAAGGACCCTTGTGGTTGAATCAAAGTGTTTTCTTACAAAGTATATTTTTTCTCTACTCTAATATTAAAATATTTGTATCTGTGTTGGTCATTATATTATTATGAAATATAGTTTGAATTTTTCTTTTAATCTGCCTTTTAAGTTTGAAGTTCAACTAAAAGTTAGAAAAAGTTGCTGGAAGACGTAGCTGACACGCTTTTTATATATACTAGCAATCATAGATAGGCTTCATGAGGATGTGGATGGGATTTATAGAATAGAGAATAATGGGCAAATGTGCAGAATAAAGGGCAAAACAAAAATAATGAATATTGAAAATATAGGTAAAAAATAAAGAAAAGAGAATAATGGGGCGCTAAAATATGAAGAATAGAGAATTGTGGACGAAAAATACAAAGAATAGAAAATAATGGCCGAAAAATATAAAGAACAGAGAAAAATTACCTAGAAAATTAAAGAATACTGAAATGAAGGGCCTCCATCCAGACCCTCCTTCATATTAAAACAGGAAGATACATGCATTCTTCTATAACTCAAATGATGAGTGTATTCAATATGTATTACACGAAACATAATTAGTATCGAATATGTAGCCCACTTCCTTATAAGATTTAACTAATATTGTCATAAAGTCTTTAGATCGGAGTTGTTTACAAAAGTTATTTACATAAAAGTATAAGAGATGCATTAGGTCCGCTTGTGATAAAAAATCCCCCATGGAGATCCTAAGAAGTTGGCAGGTATTATGATAATGCCATGATTATCAGCAGTTACAACCAGTTTAGTCTTATCACCGGGTTTGTACTTACATGAGCAACACGACGGGTGCCACATGTGGAGCAGGATCTGCTTACCCTTCCAGAGCACCTGAGATCACCCGGTGTCGTGGGGTTCGTGTTGCTAAGTCTTTAGTTTTCTATGTTGTGTTTTGTGTAGTTGTTTGTCTTTTGGTCTTTTCATTTTTTTGCCATGATGTTGTCAGTTAATTTTCGACTTATGAGTTTGAATGTCCCTTCGGTATCTTTTGTCTCTCTTTTATATAGTTATTGATGAACAATACAAGATTTGCCTCTCTTTCCGCGATTTACCCTGGTATTTCCGTATTTGAGTAAGGGTAACTTAGTGAGGCTTATGTGGTTATGTGGTAAATAGATTAAAATCAGATCTTCCAGTTTGCTCTTTTAAAAACTCCATTGGTACTAGTTTTGCATCAAAATAAATTGGTACTTCAGAGACTTAATTACGAAATTTTTTATAGAATGCACGGAGACTGCCAAAATGAAAAAAAAGAAGGAATGGATTTTTACATAAAGCCTTCTTTACTCAAATTTTTTTTTTTTATATTATAATTTTTATATGCGATATTTGAGTAAAGACTGTTTTGGATGTCAAACATCTATATCACGAACCAGTATCTGCACATGCCAAATAGATTTAAAATTGTAGTAACTGCAGTTTAGTAAAGTTAATGTCAATTATTAAAATTTATAAATCATAAAGAGATGTTAGCTACAATGTATATACAAGGGTATTGTCACATATATTACAAAAATGAAATGATTATACTGTCTATACAGTATGATTTTAAAAGTTGAATATAGACTTGCTTAACTAGATTACAAATCACAAATTCATACATGTATGTCTCAGTATCTCAAGTCAGAAAGCTCGTAAGTATTTTTTTTTTGTCAGCCTTAATACTTTTGTCTGATCTGTAGGAGTCTCTGATGAATTTATTCACTTTTTTTCCAACTCGGGGCAAATTTTAATTGATAGCGGCTCACATGTTGTATAACAAGTTTGACAAGCACTGAAAATGCTGATGGTTCTTCATGGTCTGAAAATTGCAGTGCTGAATTTATTTCCCGACGCGGAGGTATTCGGACAAATTGTAAGATTTAAAAATGAAAACTAATCCGAGTTTGCGAACTCGCAAAGAGATTTTCGAAGATAAATTAAATAAGTGAGATACAATTGTTACCATGTACAAATTATATTTAGTTCATGATTGTATTCTTTATTATACTTGGTCGACTGACAAGGAGGAAGAAGACATATACGAAAGCATCTGTCACTTCCTTGTTCTTTAGAGAATGAGGTGTAACACACGTGTGCATAATAAATGGCAAAAAAATAAAGAATAAAGACAAAAGGCAAAAATAATAAAGAATAGGGAATAATAGTGTGCAAACGTATAAAGAATAGAGAATAATAGGCAAAATAAACAAAAAATAGAGAACAATAGTCTACTTAAAAACTTAAAGAATAAAGAAATAAAGGATCCCCCATCCAGACTCTCCTATAAGCGAGGTTGTACATTTGGCATACAATGAAGGGTAACATAAATGTATGTCGAAAAAGATTTTAGGGAACAGACACATATTTTTTCGGAGTAGATTTAGTTTGGACTGTGCCAATCGAAAATGCCAAAAAGGAAGATAACGTTCAATTTCATCTTTAACCGACGTTCCCGTTGATACTGTGGCTATTGATGTATAATGTCCTTTGCCGTTTAAAAGCAAATAAAAAGACGATTTAGGGGGAGGGGGAGGGGACCTGGCCCCCCTCTTATGGAGCTACATATATTCTATGGTTAATGAATAGATTTTTTATATGTCCAACTCCTAACGTGGCGTAGTTTGGACCCCCTTTCGAAATCCTGGATCCGCAATTAAGAGAAATTTATACGTGTTTGCTTTCTTCACGAACTATTTAACAAAGCGCATGATGGGAATGACAATGTTGTCATGCATTATACAAATTACATAAAACTCCATGCATACATAGCGGTCTGATCGTGGGGGATTTATGAATTCTGAGTAGGATAGAATGTTGAAATGTAAATGCTAAAACAAATTGATTTTTTACAGACCTTATGTTCGATTCCTTGCAAGAACTTCGGAGGTGACCTTTTGCAAGGTAATATTTCTGTACCTACTCAACTACTCAACACATCCGCATTTAAAATCTTCCCAGCCTTGATCCCTGTCGATCTAGTTTGCAGTGCCAGTTTATTTTATCAATTATTAATTTTGTTCTGGCCATAAGTATGCATCAAGTACTTGCCACTGAACGTGAAGTAACACACGATACATCAATCATTCTATCATCCAGCCTCCTGTCTAATACATAAGTTGAATAAACATTTGAATACAATGTTTATGCATGATCAACCAAAAGACTGAATCATATACTTTTTATATAATGTACTAATTGAAAATAGAAAAGTATAAGAGTTACTCAGAGGCCCTTTTCCCGTTTCGTCTGTATGTTTAAAGGACAATTTTGAGGCTGAATATGTAGTCAGATTTCAAGATAATCACTACATATAAACTCACAATAGATACCAGGATTAAAACTGTGTACGCCAGACGCGCGTTTCGACTACAAAAGACCCATCAGTGACTTTCTTATAACAAAAGTTAAAAGGCCAAATAAAGTACGAATTTGAAGAGCATCGAGGACCCAACATTCCGAGATATTTTACAAAATAAGACTAAGGGTATCTATTCCTGGGGAAGAAAATCCTTAGTATCTCGAAATAATTTATAGTTATGACCATATTAATGATAATTCATGTCAATACTAAAGTACTGACTACTGCACAAGTGTAAAATTGTAATGTTTGTATAGAATTTTTGTAAAAGTTATTTTGTGAACATAATTTGTTAAAACAAGAACACTGCCTGCTTTAGATTATCACTTCCAAATGTTCATGACTACATACTACATGTTTATACATAGCACTGCTACAGAGTTTATATCAGAACACTAAAATATATTCTGCGGTCATAGTATCTGGTGTAAGTGAGGAAAATAGATTATCAACAAATTAGATTTTCTCAACCTGCGTTTTATGACAAAGAGATCAGTGCCTACCGTTAGGTTGAAGTATATATGTTTTTGAGTAAAACATCAAGCTTGTAAAATATCGAAGAAACAATTGTATAACCTGCGGAAAGAAGGTGCGTTCTAAAATACTGATGACGTGTACAAAACCGTGTACCAATTATAATTATTACAAAATTAAAACTTGTTCACGAACATATTTATATGACTTAGCAATAACCAGGGCTTTAGAAAAGGAAGTTGGCACTGAAAAATATTACTAAAATGTGAAGGAAGCATTACACAACCAGACACATGCAATAAAAACACTTAGTTTTCTGCTCCCTTGGAACCGCCCCTCATTCACCATCTTGTATTCGATTAACCCTAGATGACTCTATGTTTTGTGATACTCCGAACTTGGTGTCATACGTGTATATATGTTTAACACTGACACAGTCTTTATGTGTCTGTCCCAAGTCAGGAGTCTGTAATTCAGAGGTTGTCGTTGGTTGCTGTTTATCTTATTTGTTTTTGCTAGTTGTTTATCGTAAAACCATGCTGTTGTTTTCTCGTTTGAAATTTTAACATTTTTTCATGACAAAGCCTTTTATAGGTTTTTATACACAGTATGGGATTTGCTCATTGTTGAAACCAATACGGTGTCCTATTATAGTTGTGTACATCCACGTCAATTTGCCTCTGGTTGATAATTGTCTCATTGGCAATCATATCGCATCTCCTTATATTCATAAAACAAATATGTATTGGACAGTACAATAGATAACACCAATCATGAGGGTGTGGATGGGGGGTTACAGAATACAGAATAATGGGCAAAAAATATAAAGAATAGAGAAAAATGGACCAAAAAAATAAAGAATACAGAATAATGAGGTGCTAAAATATACAGAATAGAGAATAATCGGCAAAAATTATAAAGAATAGAGAAAAATGGCATAAAAATTAAAGAATACAGAAATGAAGGATCCCCCGTCCAGACTCTTAACTATCGGCCCTCGATTCCTCCGAAAAAAATAGACAATCAACGACGAACAACACATAGTCCATGTATAGTCTGACTTGTAACATACACAGAATTCGTTGGGGTTAATCGTTTAATGCATATTGGATTAAAGGTATATTAGATTTAGATTCTATATATATATAGCCACTGATCAAACAAAAAGACAGATGGCTGGAAGAAATTCAAATCGATGCTATCATAAATATTTTACAAAAGACATACATTAATTTACGTCAGATGTATCAAACTATCTTTATTGTTTTTTGTCCTTCTCTAGTTCTTGAACTCCCTTTTACGATGGTCTGGATTTGGGGGAAGGGGGGAGGGGGGGGGTGTCTTTCAATTCTGTATTCTCTAATTTTTTAAGGCATTTTTCTCTATTCTTCATAAACTTTGGCCATTATTTTCTGTTTTTTTTTTATATATTTTAGCATTCCATTATTCTCTATTCTTTTCTCTCTTTTTTTGTTTATTTTTTTTGTCATTTTACTGCATTATTGGACCATTATTCTCTTTTCTGTAAACACCATCCAGACCCTCTTTTTTGTTAGTATTTGTACGGCGTTTTTTTTAATTTTGTATAATTTCAGCTAACTTCCTTTTATTGAACGTATTCTTATACATACCGATACATCCTTAATGTATGATTTAATGATTGATCGATTAATTTTGTTGTTTACTTCATGTCCAGTGGCAAATATTAAATTCACACTTTGGATGAGAACTAAGCAATGTATCTTTAAGATTCTGGCAGTCTGCACAGTATGTCGACCGAGTTTAAGGACACAAACTGGAAAATGGTATATTTGATAATTGTATTTGATAAAAAAAATTATGCCTTGCAGCAGACCACCAACTGACACCTCCACGATCTGTTACGGGATTGTATTTTTTTTAACAGAGAGCATATTAACACGATTTTTTTGCAATATGCATTGACTTCAATGTCCCCATCACATTGAGCACTACGAATTTATACATACCGCACAGCAAGTAGGAACCCTTTTCCGATAATTTGTGCCCCTCAAACGTAGAATTGAAACTAATTTGTATTTATCGGGATACCCTCGGGGTTTTAGATTCAACGAAAAACATAAGTTGGATTCGTTTTCAGCTGCGTATCTGTATTTCGTTTCTCGAAGAGAAATACATACTTATAACATGTCATGTGTAATCAGAACAACATTTGTCAAAACCCAGTTTATGTGAACGGCGGCTAAAACATGGCAAAATACACATGAACAAAAAGGGTCAAAGCTAAGTTAAAGCTTTTTTGTATTTTATCACACTTTCGAGTTATAAATTAAAATAATTCTGCTCTATATCATACCTTGCTGTCATAATATTGACGAATATTGCAGCATTTGAAACTAATTATAACGGTAAACAAACAGGTAAGCTCTTATCAGTTTGTTTGCCTTGTTTGACTTCGTTTCCCAATCGTTACAGGTATTCCACAAAGATATGCCGGGTTGAAAGGTCATCAAGTATAATAATCCACGTTTCAAAAAAAAGATAAAAATGTAGTTGAAGGAATAGGATATAAAAATGCGAGAAAGGACATTTTCCGGTATACATTTTATACACAAATAAGTAAGAAAAAACGGAAACAATGAAGCTCAAGTGTACACGTTTGTTACCGGTGTTCCTCTTCATCAATATTTATATATTGTCTTTCAGTGGTAAGTTATAGCTTTTTTATCATTACAAATGTTAGTATTGTTGTATGGGATATCCTTTTCATTTCTCGAAACTTACTATAGCATGCAGACCATATACAGTCAATACTATAATGTGCGTTTACGTGAAAGAATGAATAGGTCGTATTTTACACCCAGAAGACGAAGGCATTCGTATTATGTTAAGCCAAATAGGATACGATTTATATATATATTAGGGATGTCAACTCGGTGAAGATTTACTAATCGAGTACTCGTTGGATTTACCGAGCGATACTCGAGTACTCGCTCGGTAAAACATTTACAAAATGGAAACACAAAATTATTTCAATAGTCGGTTAAAGGGTTCACCAGAGCTCATTTTTTGTCTGTTATTATGTATATATATGCCGACTTTAAATAAAATTTACTTACTTACCATTTTATATATTGTGGGTCGTTGTCTTATGAACGTAAAACCCTCAACATTATTACCTAGACTAGATAATAGTCCAAGGCATTTTATACCATAATTAATAGCTCATTTACTACATGTACTAATTATGTAAACTGGCAATAACCTAATCAAGTAATTAATTAATATCTATAGAAAATTGATTACTCAAACAACAGTATTTGGGAACCGTAAAAACACATTTAATGATCAACAAAAGGGTGATGATTATAACTTACTGATGCCTTTAATCATTTTTTGAGGATGCAACGAATATGTTCTTATTTAAAAATATATTCTTGTCAACTTTTTTCTGGGACGAGGCAATTTCTCAACTTTTTTAGATAACTAACAGTCCTGCTGATGAAAATATATGCTCTGACGATACAGGATGGGAGAATGACTAAGATTAATTAGCTAAAAGTGTAAGCCTAGGAAAAGTGCACTTTTTCATAGCCTACCTCTCGTTTGGAGGAATTTTAAATGACAGTTAAACGCAAACATTCGAATCGTATTTTGATTTTTAATTAATCTTAATTAAGTAAACATTTAATTTTCCGGGAGGCCGGCGCTCTCAATAAACATATTTTTTTGTTGAAGCTTAAAAAAGCAACAACATTCTAACAGGAAACCGATTAGTCGAGTATCATTTTGGTATTTGATACTCGGTACTACCGAGCGATACTCGAGTACTCGAGTACTCGTTGACATCCCTAATATATATATATATATATATATATATATAAATAACATTTTTCCGTCTCATGATATGTTGATAATAGCTTTTTTTAAGTCCTCGCAACGCAAAGTCGAGATATGTTGTTTTATCGCTGTCCGTCCGTCTGCATAAGGGACACATGGCTTTTTAAAATTTTTCAAACTGATTTATTACAAACAATAATGGTGTACTATATTGATTTTGCTTTTGGGAAAGTATTAAAAAAATGATCGCTATATCAAAATTAGAAGATGGTATGGTAGCTTCAACAAATCCATCAACATCGCTACTCGGCTAATGTACCCATGGTGCTTCTGTATTTTCATGGTTAATTAGATGGTGTAATATCCTAAAATTTCAAAGGAGCGACTCCGGGCGAAGGTCGGTGGTTTTCTCATGACACTCCTGATTCCCCAACAAATAAAAAACTGACCCCCATGAGACCGCCAAGAGTGCTTAAAGTGGCGTTACACATAAAAAAAATCATCCAATCGATGAAAATATTGATACTTTATAAAGATTCAATGTGTTGTTTATTATTGCCTATATATGGTCATATATGGATTTTTTGTAATTCTTATATACGTTTGAGTACTATGTAATATATCAAATTTGAGAGTTTGAGTCGATTCGGTGCACATGAACTTGGCAGCTAATACCCCTTTAAAATCAAATACTAGCATTCATTATTGAGGCCCGTCCTGGGGGTATCCAAGTAATCATATAATCACAACTTTTTTGCCAATATAATCACATAATCATTAATTATGTTTTTACACAAGATAATCAAATAATCAAAAATACAGTCCTAGATTATCAAATAATCAAAAAATCATGAAATATTTTGTCTGGTAATCAAATAATCACCATAAAAATGGCCAAGTAATCACATAATCAAAAACCCCATGAAGATGCTCATTATTGCAATAAGCTGTCTGCAGTTTGTCCATTTTCAAAAATTCATCGACTTTCTGGAAGTTCATATGACCTCCCTATCATTCCAATGTAGGATTGTCACAATCTCAAAGAACACTTCTGTGAATGACCTTTACACTACATTTTTATCGCTAATGTATAGAAAGAAGGAATATAATTGATAAAATCACAAATATTATCTCCAGGAAAGTTTTAGATAAAAATTGTAAAAAAAAAACATAGTGCATCTGTATTTTCAAAAACACCCAGAAATATCAAATAACAGATGACATAAAAAGCCTATTCTATATAGATATAAGAAGATGTGGTATGAGTGCCAATGAGACAACTCTCCATCCAAGTCACAATTTGTTAAAGTAAACCATTATAAGTCAAAGTACGGTCTTCAACACGGAGCCTTGGCTCACGCCGAACAGCAAGCTATAAAGGGCCCCAAAAATGACTAGTGTAAAACCATTCAAACGGAAAAGCCAATGATATAATCTATATAAAAAACTAGAAACGAGAATCACTTATAAACCACATCAACAAACGACAACTACTGAACATCAGATTCCTGACTTAGGACAGGTGCAAACAAATGCAGCGGGTTTAAACGTTTTAATAGGTACCAACCTTCACCCATTATCTGAAACAATAGTGTAACATCACAACATAGAAAGACACACTATAAAATATCAATTGAAATGGCTTAACTCAATCAAAAGACATATTAACACAAGTGAACATACACTGAACGAATAAATTTGAACTATGATACAATGTAAATACAAAATCAATGAAATAAGGGGTGAATAGATAAAGGCAACAGTAGTATACCGCTGTGAGATATTAAACAATTTAAAAAAAAACAACAACAACCTTGAACAAAAAGCCGCCAAATACAATAATATACACAGGTAAATGAAAATAATTTTGTTGTAAGGTATACAGTTTAAATGGAGAACGGAGATATTTTTTACAAAACAAACAATTTTGTTGTTCATAGTACGAAGAAGTGAAAATTTATAGTCATACCAAACACTTATCAAAGCTGGTATATAGACGAGATATATAACCCTGAATAAGTAAACATCAAATAACAAAAAAGCATTACAAATAGAATCATGTGCAAAACAGTGTAGCCGAGACCATTGATTGGCGCGCTAAAATATCCCATTGACTGGGTCAGATTAGGTGAACGTTCGTCTGTAACGCCCACAACTCACGACGTATTTATTATAAACATTTAAACTGTGGGGTTGCCAAAGGGTCTCAGTATATATACGAACTACAGTGCAAAGTATATTATATACATATTTTATTTGCGATCATAAAATGTACGAAGTCGTCCATTACTATGTAAATTGGGTCGATTAAAAAAAAAGCTGAATATGTTTGTGTTGCCAAGGGTTTTTCACAAGTATAGTAGTTAGCAGAAAAGATCACCAAACTATACATTTTACCTATTCAAAAACGTAAATGCAAATTTCACAAGGCTTGATCCAAATAGCCTTCTTACTGTCTAATAACTTGCAAGTACGAAAAAGACAGGAAAGAAGTATATTTTGTCTATATGTTTTGTGTTTGCACACTTTTTAAAGTTGATCATGCATTCGTTCTAAAATAAAATTTTGACCAGATAAAAGTTAAAAGATGACATAATTGGACAACCGCAATTGTTAAATCGCTTTGACGTCCGAAAAAAGGATAATAATCAACACATCCATTGTAACTTTTAAAGCCAGTTAAATCCTTTTTTGCTGAAAGAACGTCCGATATCATAAAAATTCATTATCAAAACATAACAAAAACACAAGTAAAGAACGTTTAAGTATTCAATATAAATCAAAACACAAAGGTTATTCCTGATTAGTTTTTCGAATTATTTTATTCAGGCTTTGAGACCCTTTGGTGACCCCACAGTTTAAATGTCTATAATGAATACGTCGTGAGTTGTGGGCGTTACAGACGAACGTTCACTTAATCTGACCCAGTCAATGGGATATTTTAGCGCGCCAATCAATGGTCTCGGCTACACTGTTTTGCACATGATTCTAGTATCAACAGGTAAAATTAACAAGAAAGTACGATTATGTACTTTTGACAAAGCAAATTTGAGAATAACTTGAGCGTTAATTTTCTCGAGCTCATTAATTGACTCGCGGCAAAATTTTCAGCGGATTATTTATTCAATTTGCTTAATCTTTATTTTTTCATTTGGACTGTTGTTTGGCGTTGCATGGTCACTTTTTCCCCATTTTTTTTGTTGTCAGTTTTTCGAATTATGTTTCTTCTAAATCCTTGTACATTTCTAATATGTGGTATGTGAAATGTTGTTTTTGAGAATAAATGCCCAAAAAGGCGATATATATATGTTATACTAGTAGTCCATAACTTATAGTGTTCCAAAGGTCAATTCGCCGTTTCAGAATCTAATGCATTCTTGGTAATGTTTTCAAAAGCGTACGCAAAAACGCTGTGATTGGTTTAAAACGTCCCCAAACAATTGAAATTCAACGAACGACGTGACGTTGTTTTCATTTTGCGGTATGAACAATGTATTTACCATGCAATGGTCCTTTAGATTCTGAGTTGTGCGTTACAAGATACATCGGTAACATCAGAAAGTCTAAAATAATAAGGGTAGTTATAATGACGAGTTTCTCGACTTGTAGACTACAGAATCTTTTAAAGTTGTTCTAGAAGTCTTGCATTGTTCTTTAAATACTGTTATTGTCAATTTTCCGTAATATTCAAAAGAAGTAACATATGTCGAAAAATAGTTTGACCAATGTCTGTTTTGTCCCGTATTTGCAGATTATAATGAGACAATGAGACGGTGCGACCAAATTAACACAATAGTATTAATCAAATGACTGTATAAGAACTCTATACAAGAAAGTGTACTATAAGTATTTTATTTTTTCAGGATCTGGAGCAAACAACACAACAGCAATTTCTACTAGTCCAACTTCGTCGCAACCTTCTACGATCACAGTTTCCTCATCACAACCTACTACAAATGCAACTCCAACTGTAAAATCAAACGCTGTAACATTAAGCAATGCCACTAATACCAGTAAAATTATCGTTATTTCATCCGAACAGAGTCCGATGAACGATTCAAGTACCGATAACAATAACAATACAAACAGGGTAACAACTTCATCGTTATCGGACATATCATCCAAAGTAACTGGTGTTTCGACACCAAAATCAAGTTTTAAAATGACAGGTACAACAACGGAATTACTAACAACTGCGAAAACAAACTTGACTTCTACAAATAGAACGACAGTCAAAACAACAATGCAACCAAAAAGTCATTCATCACCAAAACCAAGTAATTCTCCAGGTACAACAATAAGTTCTACATTGTCGACTCCCTTTACGGCAAAATCAAGTAATTCTCCAGGTACAACAATAAGTTCTACATTGTCGACTCCCTCTACGGCAAAATCAAGTAATTCTCCAGGTACAACAATAAGTTCTACATTGTCGACTCCCTCTACAGCAAAATCAAGTATTTCGCTAGGTTCAACAAGAAGTTCTACATTGTCGACTCCCTCTGCGACAAAACCAAGTATTTCTTTAAGTAAAACAACAAGTTCTAAACTGGCGACTCCTACTACGACAGAACCAACAACAGCAACAACAACAAATCAAGCAACAACAACAACAAATCAAACAACAACAACAAATACAACAGTGGTAAAAAGTAGCACACCTGTTCCAAATCCACCCAGTGCTTCAATGACAGAACACACAATGACAAGAGCAAACGACACTAAAATAAGTGATAAATCAACAAAGCAACCAGCATCAACAACATCAACAAACCTTACTACACTAAACACTAAAGTAATAACATCTCCTAGTGTTGAAAAACTGACGTCAGGGAGTATCTCAACAACTGCTAGAGTTTCGTCGTCGGCAAGCACTTTGCCAGCATCTTCAAAAAGAACGACTACATCAAATACAGCAAATTCACTGATAGCTACAAGTTCGACTGAATCAAGCACTTTTGCAGCAACAAAACCCCAACATAGTAGTCAGGGGAAGTCGAGTGGAATGAGTAAAGGTGGTAAAGCGGCTCTTGCAATCTTCATTATACTTGTTGTGGTGGCTATTGCAGTTGTAAGCGTACTGTTTTACAGACGGTAAGTCTTATATTATAATTATATAATGCATAATAAAAAAAGAAATGAAGCTTTACTATAAATCACAGAAACAATTTTTTTTGTAAACTGCATAATAGTATGTAAATAAACAGGGCGTAGAAGATATCTAAACCGCTTAATCATTATAGCATGCAGTTGTACAGATTACACTGTCCCGGCAATACAAAATGTGAAACAATGCAAAAGACAACAATCAACGTCCTCATTCATGCTAAATACAACAAACGAAAAACAATAGGACATACAACAAGACAGATTCTAACCACGATTTAGACATTCTGATCTTGTTCAATTCAATATTATCAGTGTTCACGTTTATAGACTGTGCACGTAAACGGACTTACAAACCCTCCTCTTTTATTCTATATTATGATCCGAGTGATTTCTTAAGTTTTCTATAGCAAGATATGGACTCATAAATATACAAAAGATGATTTTGTGCTATGTCCCTTCAGACCACACGTCTGTCATCAACTTCGTGTTCCTTGAAAAATAAGAAGTCACAATCGAAGCAATCAAAATCTTACTGATACAGCACCAAAAACCAAAGATAAAAGACAATTACATGTACCCTGATCGAGATTATCAATAAAGTTTTCCTAAAATTGCCAGAACTTCGTATAAACTTTTTGAAAATGTAAAATAAAATTTAAAACTGATGAAAATGTTCGATGATGGCGATGATTACAATCCAGAGATAAAATTGATGGCATGAGTTCTTTGTTCGAATCCTTATAACGTATATTACTCAATCAAAACTTGTGTTTCAGGAAGTACGGTAGTCTTCGAGATCGATGGGATACCCTAAGACCTAATTCTTCTGTGGCATATAAACGATACACCGACGACGACGGAATAAAAATGGGTGTTTACGGAAATTGAATATTTTATCCAGAACTTTAAGAGCTTGAATTCTGCATAGGAACTATTATTTCCGGCTTATTATGTACAATTCACCGATATAACAGTTGTTCATGAAAGAAAACTGTGCCGTCTGCACAAAAACTACAGTTTGGTATTTGAAATATATATGTTATACTTTCGCACTGGAATGAGGATTTTTGTTTCATTTTTGCTCTTACGTTTCTCCCAAGAGTAATGCTCGGCTTGCTTGCTGATCAGTATCAGGAATTTCTTTCGTCACAAAACATTTTTGCAGAAATATCAAGATGTGTTTATGTAAGAGTGTGTGTGTTTGTTCGAGAAAAATATTTTAACTTTTAACAGCTATTCCACCTTAAATTACTGATATTGGATTTTGACCATTATAGACCATCCAAGTCTCGTCGTATTTGTTATCATGAAAATGTTGGTATGTTATATGTTGTTAATTTACTCGTAGTTCATAATCAAGAGTACATGTCTATGGAGATCATTATTCTAGTGACGCGTTTTGCTTTGTTGTTTTTAATATGTATACTGTATTTTTATATCGAGTTTATTATGTTTTAAAATCATTTTAGAAGCTTTAGATGTATAAATATAATATTGCGTATGCAAGTTTTCAAGAGAAGACTTTAAAATCGATTTCCTACGACATCAGCTCCCAGTTAGGTTTAAGGAGGCTTTTTTATCAACTGTTTGATTTGTATAAATATGATATAGTGATTTCTGATACTGATTGTATTTTTGTAGGATTCACATCAGGGTTTTAATTAGCTATTTCTTTACTCTGTAGAATCGTGTTAATTACTGAAATAACTAGTGAATTTTATATTTCATCACCATAATTTGTAATTGTATGACAAGTAAATTTGCAAATTTAAAGAAACTCCTTATTGTTCGTGTGTTTTGTTTCTGTTTTTTTTCAGTTCCTTTTTCTCTAACTGTTATTATTTTTGTAGTTTTTATTTCTCAAATTGCTGTCACACAACCCTATACATTACCTGTTATCGGTACTGCGGATACAATACGCTGTTAAAATAACTGTTTCGGCCAGTGGTCGTATACAGTAGATTTTTGTCTACGTTTCCAATTGAACTGCAATACAATGATTTTGAAGTAATGCGCAGCAGATTGTGTTCTGTGTTGTTGTAACGATAGCCGGTTTACAGGGTGCATGTGTGTCAATAAAATGTAAAACATATAAAGAGAAATAATGTAACATCTTAATTTGTGCCACACGTGGAGCAGGATCTGTTTTTTGTGGAGTTCGTGTTTCTCAGTCTTTAGTTTTCTATGTTGTATTTTATATACCGTTGTTTGTCTTTAGTGTGGTCTTTTTCTTTTTAGCTATGGCGTTGTCACTTTATTGTCGCCTTATGGGTTTGAATGTCCTTTTGATATCTTTCGCCTCTCTTTAACATAGACGTGAGAAATTCCGTTTCATAGAATGCACAGACTCCGACATTTAAAATGCATACAACAGAAATGTACAACCGCATACTTAAAGACATGTAGTTCAGTGATGGCCGATTGTATCCAGATTTGATTTGGTAGGAAGAAATGACCTGTCTAATTTTATCTGTTGATCTGAGATAACATTTTGTGTTCAAATATGTGCAGCTAGTAATGCTATAGAACAGTTTAAAGAAGTTTTTCACTTTTTGTTGTCGTAATGTGAAGAAAATAATCATGATTTTTTAATATAAAGTACTAAAATAGAGTATAAATTATGCAAAGATACGTCTGACTGAATTTGTTTGTATTAAATGAAGTTAATGACAGATATTATTGCTTAAATTTCATCGCCACCGTGATGCGAAGCAACCGCCCGTGCAAGGGCTATATAGCCAGTCAAGGTCGTTAAAAACTTCCATATATAGATGCGAAGTAATGATTTATTTACGTTATAGTTATTATCTTCCAATGTTCTGATGACTGAAAAATCTGAATATTTGGGACGGAACTAAAATTTATGAACCGAATTTAAACTAATCAAATCAAGCATTTTGTGGGGTAAATTAAACATCAGTAATGATACAAATTAATAAACAAAAGATTAAAATCTGTAACAACATGCCAAGTTCTAATCGTTCAAGTCCAATATTACGTGATATCAAATTCTCTAAATAACAATAATAAACAACATATAGCATTGAACAACCACTAACGAGGTTAGGCTGACTTGGGGCCGTCACTTGAATATTTAAAGGAGTTAAACAAGTCTCTTGTCATCAAAAACTCAATCCCCTTTTTTGTCTCAATTAGTAGATGATCAAAGGGCATATAAAAACACAAAATAAAATCAGTACACTTTATAATAACAGTATCAAAGATAACAAAATACACAAGTATCACCGGCAAGATTAAAATATATTGGAAAGAAAAATCGTCGGCATAAGAATTCCTACAGAATTCGAATGTTTGGAATTTCTTTAAATACTGATCTTCAAATCAGTAAATTATTGTGACGCAGAATATTTTCCAAAAAACTTATCATCGCCGTTACAAAAATTCCCTAAGAAATCATTTAAACATTTTAAATCAACTCTTTTTTTAGTATTTACTTAAGGAAACATAGGTGTAATATTCTATTCTACATTCTACAAGAATCGTTGAACTCACTTTCACAAGTATTCCGTTAATATAGAAAGTATACTACATCGAATTAAAATCATAAGAATAATATATTTTATTCTAACGTATACACTTCTGAAAAGACGGATGTATCCATGGTTGAACATAGGGACTTGACTACAGGTCAGATATATAGCCCGTTAATCGTCTACGTGCATTAAAAAACGTATACCCCTACTATCCAAAGCGGCCGTGTCACAATTTTTCCAACATGTCAACTTTTCTCCCTTTTGGGTTTTGAATAGTAGGGGTATACATTTTTTTTCAAATGCACGCAGACGATCAACGGGCTATATATCTGACTTGTAGTCAAGTTCCGAGCACTTGTTGCATGTTTCTGAATCCTATTTGTGAATGTGAATATATATTGTAATTTGTATAATTCATAATAAAATATTGCTTACACTAAAACTGTCTAGTAATTTAAGAAACCGACATTTCATATATATTATATATTTGTTTATCCACGTCAATCAACTTTCGCCGATACAAAATGGTGAAATCTTATAACTAACATCGTAACAGAAATATTATTGTGGAATAATTGGTACATTTTTCCTATACTATTTAAAGGTTGCAACTCCCTCTGACCTTGATCCAGAAATTTGGAACATGGGAAAGGGGGCGTAATTACCGAAAACGTAATATAAGGTTATATACCGTCGAACAGAGCGAGGCAACACATATTTTGGACAATTTTATACCAAAAAATTATATTTTTTCCGATCTAGCTGGGATAGGGATGCGTGTGCACGCCGTCTACGCCATCACTGAATCCGCCACTGTAGACGGTTTTGGTTGTTCCATGAAGAAACTTTTTTTACACTCTAAATGTTAAAATTTTAACTTTCCCAATTTTTTTTATCCTTCTAATGAAGGTTATTTCAGAAACAGGTCATTGGTATCACTGTTTTACTGGTAAAGGAAAGATAACTCTGGTAGAAAAAAATGTATGGCCTTTGTTAGTCTTGTATCATATTTAATTTTAGTTTCTTGTGTATAATTTGGAGTTTAGTATGACGTCCATTATCACTGAACTAGTATACATATTTGTTTAGGGGCCAGCTGAAAGACGCCTCCGGGTGCGGGAGTTTCTCGCTGCATTGAAGACCCATTGGTGGCCTTCGGCTGTTGCCTGCTCTATGGTCTGGTTGTTGTCTCTTTGACACATTCCCCATTTCCATTCTCAATTTTATGGCCTGGATTAGGGGTCGTTCATTTCTGTATTATTTAAATTTTTAGGTAATTTTTCGCTATTCTTTATATTTATTTAGCATTATTCTTTATATTTTAGCACCCCATTATTCTCTATTCTTTATTATTTCAAACGTAAAAAGCACGTATAAAATGTTATGTTGGAACAAGTTCTATAGATAGGCAATAAAGTAAATATGTATGATATATATCTTTGTAAGAAAATTCGCCACTTTGCAGTAAAGAGTACGGTCAATTTCACATGAATGGATGTTTTTTTTATAATTAAAATCTGTTCAAATGTATAAGAGAGCAGTAGACCGAGCAATGCATGGTTATCATTTCAGATCTTTCTTTGTCATTTTATCATTTCAGATCTTTCTTTGTCATTTTAAAGCCTGAAGATTCGAAAATAAGCTAGGAAACTTTGTTTAGAGTAAGCAGTCAAATTATTTATACTAAGAAATCAATCTGCCAAAATTTTGCGCAAACACTACAAAGAGCTACCAGCAAATAATTTTTGTTTGACCATAATATCAATTTGAGCAAAATTTTCGAAAATGGTATACATGAGCAAGTATGAACATATGATATGCTTTCACTATCGAAACTTTAGTCTTCTCACAATCACTAAGTAGCCACTTTGGTTTTTTCCTGAATACACTGAAATAATAATCAAAATGAAAATAATATAAAGCGCTGATTACATGTACTTAGATGAGTTTGTATTTCATTAGCATCATTTGCAGCTATGTTCCATGGCGACGGCTTGTCCATTACAAAGTTGAAAACTGATCTGCATATCAGCATATGTTTTGAAAGATTAAGCCGAGTGTTTCCCAATGATGATATGCTTTGCTATGGAGGCAATCTACACCAAAACAAATAATTCATAATCCAGGAATAATGATATAAATCCACTCTATGAATAACTTTTCAAGACCATGCATGCGGTTTCCATGCATATCAAAAGTAATGCAATAAGCACTAAACTGTAAGTTTAACGATGGCGATTATCCGCTTTCACTACACTGCAGATCGGTTCTAAATTAAAAACGAACACTTGCGTAAGTAATTAAACACCTCAATCGGTTTTGTGGTTTTTGAAAAAGACGTTTCATCCAATCGGTCTCCATCACTGGCCATATCAACACTTTTTATCATTTTTTGAATCATAACAGTACTAAGTTCAAAAGACTTTGTTGATGTCTATCAAAAGAACATTCCTTCCATATTTCCTTCTCTTTTGTCGGCAGTGTTTTTCTAAAGAAACAGCTAGCAAAGATCGAATGATGCAGACTACTAGTATATACGAAGCTAATATGAGGGTACCCAAACGCACATATTTTGACGGTTTTTTAACCTACGTTTATCTAAGAAACAGAAAATAGTTTACATTCTGTGTTTATTATGTAGATGTATTCTTATTTACTATATTTGTCAGTCTACAAATTTAATTTTGAATCCATACTGAATCATAGAAAAATGGGTTTGAACTGACCCCGAAACGACCTAAGATTTTGTAATGAGGAATGCCTAAATATTACCTTCATACTTAACTTAACATCCGTAACATCGAATAAATGATGCAACATTTGTGCAAATTGGGTACTCGGTGCAATTTGGGTACTGTAACGTTTTGTTTTAGATGAGACTAATATTAATCAAAGAAATCTGTAGCACTCATTGTTAGTGGACCTCTATATTTTATAAATCTGATATTGACAATTAAAGTCAATAAGATTAACTAAAAGCGGACGGGATACACTGTTTTAGAAATTATCGCGGAATAATTTCACAAAGCACTACTTTTTAATTAATGGTTGATGTTTACATCATACTTATGTTGGTTCTTTCCTCGTCGTCGTCGGTAAATCTTTTATATTCAGCACGTCCAGCAGGAGTAAGTCCAAATCGTCCGCATTTGTTTCTTCTGAAAAGACATAAATATAACTCAATACATTGAACGACTTTTCTGGTTCACCAGTATCAAAATAAAACATTGAATGTAGTTTCATATAGTTTTGTTCTTTCAAGGTATAATTGTCTGAGGACTTCCATTTTTAGAGACCCTCTGAAAAAGGACTTTTTGCAATATAACGGGAAATGGATTGCCATCTATGCTTGCAACGATATGAAAATATAATATACAATAAAATCATCATCTCAAAACAAGACAAGAACGCATACACATAAAAAGATGGCCAGTACTGATTATTATACTGACTTGCTGATGAATATCATTTTTTTCTAGATTGTAAAATGAACTCAACTTTTAAGAGATCAGTTATTTTAAAAAATCGATAATAGAAAACCTGGCTTTACAAATTCTCGACCACTGTTCAAGATAAAACAACTTTTAATTCTGAATCTGAACTTTTGACAGCAGTAGGTGACTTTATAAAGCAATCTTAAGAGTTGCGAAAATGAAGTCCATCTCCATCAAAAGTTAAATTCCTATGTTTTTGTTTATGTCTAAACTTGACTGTTTTGTTAATATTGTGTTATATGGTGTTAAATTTTGTGTTTTTGCGCGACCCATATGGGTGTAATTTGCAAATAAATTATTATTATTTTGCCTAAAATGTACACGGTATTGTAGTACGTCTATGAGCTGAACGGTACAGCAATAGCAAAATCAAAAGAAAACAAAGAGATTAAAATCTCGAAAGTTATATTTTATATATTTTCGAATAAATACAATAAACAATTTATCAACAACATTTTGCATTTCCCCAAAAATCTTTGTCTTTTATTTCTCTAAACGCCTTTGTACATGTTTGTGACGATTTATTTTTATCAGGGGTTACCAAGAACTTGCTGTCCTATAGGGATGTTAATAATCGATTTATGCGCTAATTTCACGTTAGTTTTGTCAATTTGTCTTACTATGTTGTTTTGTGAGACCTATTCGTGATGCCGGTCCAGTCTTTTTCAATCTACAACTTAAATTCATTGATTTCTGTCAATGAAATTGTGCCGTATTTTATATTTCACATGGGCTTCATTGTTAGCTCCCTAGTGTTGTATTTAACCTAAACGTGTTCTTGAGTAAATGAAAAATCCGGATTGATGACTACGAAATAAATAAGACTAACATTTCCACACACTGTCACAGCCAAGTAGACTATAGCAGACTACATATGCAGGGTTAAAAACAAACTAATCAAAACTCAAAACCAAAGAATTGTTCATATATTTGGCAGCGGATCTTTTCGATGGGTAAATTAATGTTTTCTTGAGACACCTTATGTAAATATGAATCCGGCTTCTTAAAGAAATAAACAGCAATTGATATTGTTTACTTACCTTTTAACGCAGACAAATCCAACTGCAGTAAATATCAGTGCTAATACTACCAACACTACAATAACGATTGGTCCTGGACTTTTTGATTTTGTTTTTTGATTTTGATGTTGGCAGTTGACTGTACAATTTACTACCACGCTTGGGGTGAGCGCACTAACTGTTGAAAACGACACAAACTCCGGTGTCGTCAATATGGCTACAGAAGAACTTGTGGCTACTATTTCAGATGTCATCACAGAATTCGATTTCGCTGACACAGTCATTGAATTCGATATCGCTGACACAGTAGTTGAATACGATATCACTGATATCGTCGATACCGTTCTAGATTTTGATATTGACAATGTATTTGCTGAACTAGATTTAATTGATAAAGAACTTTCAATGTGTGTGCTTAATGATGATAAGCTACTATTATTCGCCACAGAGGTAGAGGAAACTGTATATGAAGTTGAAAGAGACACAGCTGTTCGTGTAAATGAAGAATTGGCTATGTCAAAAGTAGATGTGGTTATTATATTCGTCATTTCGGCAATTGACGGTTGAATTTGTGTTGATGTGACACCAGTGTTTGAGGGGTGGATTTCATGTGAAATTATTGGTTTCGACGGTGTTGGGTTCGGTGTTGGTGGTTTTGATGGTGTTGGATTCGGTGTTGGTGGATTCTGTGGTGCTGGTGCTGGTGTTGTCCCATCATGATCACAATATGTTTCTAAAATTAAAAAAAAGTATAGTTATCCAAATCAGAAGGCTTCAAATATCGCTTCAGCGTTAATTACTAGTAGCTTTTTCATTTTCAAGATCTAACCTTTAAATGAATTTGAAAATGTGTCAAATAAGAATTATATGATCCAAAGAAACTACAAACCTCTATGGCAACCTGACTAATTTACTTTTCCGTTCAAAGATTTGGAAGTCCTTCAATTATTCACTGTTCTCGGTCAATCTTATCTTTTAAACTGGATATACAACAGTGTCCTTTTTTTAAATTTTATATTACATGGTTGATTGTGTTTTATTGACGAATAACCCACATCCCTTTTTCTGTTTTCTGTTAGTTTTTTTTTTTTTTTTTTTTTTTTATATTAATATTGGTTATATAATTTTGTTGTTTTGAATAAATTAGAAAAAAATAACACCAAATGCTCAATTGTATTTGTAGGTAAAATTATAAATAGGTGAAAATTCCTATGAAAATATTTATCTTCATTATATAGCACTGAATTATTGCAGGAGATTTTAACACCATTAGTAGAGGGTCTGGATGGGGTCCTTCATGTCTGTAATCTTAAATTTTGGGGTAATTTTTCTCTATTCTCAATTTTTTTGGCCCATTTTTTGGGGTATCATTGGCCCATTATTCTCTATCCTCTGCAAACCCCATCCAGACCCCACTAACAGATTAATGTTAATGTATATTTTTTTTAAGTCAGTGGTTGTATATATATATATATATATCTGTTGGTTCAATAATCTGGTGTTCATGGTAGTTTTATAATATTGTTAGAAACCGCATATTGAACTCTAAATGTCTACTTAGATTTATAATAATGTTTGGTTGCTGTCTCGTTGAAATATTCCACACAATTTCAATGTGCTTTAGTTCCTCTATGAAGAGATCACAGTTCAAATCAAATGCTGTGTCGTCTGTTCTGAAATTTATTTCTGTTTGGAATCTCAAACATAATTGAAGTTATTTCCAGATTTATAAATATGTATAAATATTCCACACAATTTCAATGTGATTTAGTTCATTTATGAAGAGACCATAGTTCAATTAAAATTCTGTATCGTCTGTCATGAAATTTGTTTCTGTTCGAAATCTCAAAACATGAATAAAGTTGTTTCTAGATTTTTAAACATGGATGACAAAATTAATGTGCACCAAGGAAACATTTTTAATGACAACTACATTTGTGTAGCCATTTCCTTAACACAATTAAATTTCAATATATTTTTTAAAAATGAGAATGGAAACGGGAAATGTGTGAAAGAGACAACAACCCGACCAAAGAGATGAAAACAGCCCAAGGCCACCAATGGGTCTTCAACACAGCGAGAAAATCCCGAGTTTTATTTTATGAGGCCGTGATGCTGGGTCCTTCATTTCTGCATGTATTCTTTAATTTTTCGTTCATTTTCTAAATTCTTTATTTGTTTTGCCTATTATTCTCTATTCTTTATATTTAAGCACCCACTTTTTCTCTATTCTTTATTATTTTTGCCAATTTTCTTTATTCTTTTTTTTTTTGGCCCATTTGTCTGTACTCTTGGTCCATTATACTCTGTTCTGTTAACCCTATTCAAACCCTCTGTTATCCCTCACAACTTTAATATACACGGAAAATTGATTGTGAAACAGTAATACTACATTGCGAAAACAACAATATACATGTAAATTCGTGTCCCCCTGAAGATCAGATTTCAACTTTGAAATAAATGTTCAAAATTCAAAATATTTGTTAACTAAAGTTGAACGACTAAGGTTGACTTTGATTAAAATTTGCATCAATGTTGTGTGTCCGCTGTACAATAAATACCAAGTGCATCTGAAGAAAAGGGAAAATGTTGATTGTGGAAAAGGGTGGTGGTGGGGATGGGGCTGTAAGTAAGCAAGCATTGGATTGAAACTAAAATTTTGCTTAAAATAAATGACATCAATTAGCGGATCCAAAAAAAAAGGGGGGGTCCGGGTGTTGGAACCCACCCTTTTCTTTTTTGATTTTATTCTATTTTTAATTATGTGAACGTTTCATGGTGTTCAGGGGGTTGGAACCACCTCCCACAACCCTTTTTCAAAATAGTTTGACCCACGCCCGATATAGATTATTGAAGGGTTTTCGTGGCCGTCTGAGAGCAGTTAACGAGTAATATTTCATGGGTAGCTTACGAATTGAAACACACTGACTTAATCATCTGCATGACTTTGAATAATACTTGCAACTGATAAAATTTGGCATTGAGATAGTATGTGACATTATATTTTTATATGTATACATTTAAATATATATGGCAAGGTTGATGATAACCTACTTAATAAAAAAAAATCAATAAATAGTTTTGTAGTTTTTATGAACACAAAGGTGTACAGCCTTGTCGTCTTAAATAAACGATATAAGGAAATTGATTTTGTTTCTAATGTTAAACAATACATACCAGTAAACAGATTAAATAAATGCAGAGATAAAATAAAAAACTTCATTTCATTGCTGGTAATAAATATTGAATATATCCTTCCTGGTGAAATTTTTAAAACTGATATCAAAATTCTTCCTGTGATTCGGTCATAAGCCAGAGCCTCATATATTGTCTACACTAAATGATCGATTTACGCAGGTAAATACTGGCCTATAAATTGAAATGTTTTTTTTACATCCTTGTGCCGGTCCTGTTCAGTAATTACCATACTTACGCAAGATTGCGCAACAAGCATGACAAGATTGAAACCAAAACAATTACAAAAATGCTATGATCCGGTTTCATGTAGATGTGATCCGGTTTATACCCCAAGCAAAAAAATGTTTCATTATTTATATAGACGGGTATATATGATTTATGTAAATATTTTTCTCTTTTAAAAGTAATGTCAATAAAACCCCTAAAGGTTCTGTTCCTCTGTTGAACATAAAATATTTGAAGGTGAAATGAATAAAAAAGAGGACAAAAATAAAATGAATGACAAAAAATAATAATGAAACCACGTGGACATATTTTTAAAGGAAAACCCGTATCAATCAGTTCTTTACATTATTTACAGTATTGTTCAAATGTAGCTTGAGGGTATTTTTGTCACATTGAAGTTTAAATCATATAAGGAGTGTATAGTATAGTGTGTTTTAAATGTTTAGATTTAAAATTCAGAGTAAAGCTTTTTTACGAAAAACGAGACTTGTTGAAATTAGATATTTAAACTAATTTGGCAAGTTGAATACATAAGTAAACTAATTTGGAAGGATTTTTAATACGAAACGTTTTGTTACGCACGACAACATATACACCGGTAGCGGATATATAAGATAACACGATACCAAATGGCATCTCCCGATTTCTAAAATTTTTGGCACACTTTTATATTGATTCGAGTTACATTGGAATATCAAATAAAAAAGGGGGTCACCATTTTTTGTTTTTGTAATTTTTATAAGAAAATGTCAATTTTGGCAACAAATTTACATAGATATATAGGAAAAATGCCTTTTTTTTTAACTTATTTTTTTTTATATTTTTCAATGGCTGGCTTTGTTCTTATATTTGGAGAAAGACTAAAAACTAACATAATATCCAGGATTGTATACTGAATCCATGCATTTATAGAAACATATATCATCCTCCTTGTTTTTTTTTAGATAAATTGCTCGAAGTTCATCGTTACGCTTAGAATTTGACAGAAAACGTGTAACGTTGCTGAATACAAAATAACGTTTTTTTTACTCAGAGGTATTGAAAAAACATGTAACGGGATCTAAATGATGTTTTATTTTATTTCAGTATTTTCATTTCCCTTGTCGGCTTTCATAAATTTCCTTTTAATTCAATAAAACATTCTACTGGTTTAATTTTATTTTGTCCTAACCGGGTCCACATTCAGCTTTTCAAAACTGAATCTTCAACTCAACCCTATACCCAAGAAGACAAAGGTGATGCCATCGCTGCATCTATGCATGAATAAAGCGCTTCAAAATATTTGATTAAGTAAACAGTGGTGTTGAAGTAAAAGTGTGAATTGATTGATTGTTGGTTGCTTAACATCCAGTGGCAAATATTTCATACATGGACGATAAATTATACAATTTGAATTAATTTAGTTGTGTCTAAACAACACATTGGATGCATCCGTCGAAAAAGGTTAAACAAATTTGTAAGTTGTGAAAATAATTTAAAAAAAAACAATATCCTGATAAAAAACACATTCTAAATATAGTTTGGCCTATATAAACGTATGAGTTGTGTGCGTAGTTAGTCGGACAAACCTTGCAAACTGTATGCAAAATTTCACTTAATGTACCAAAAAAAACCCTGAGAATATATATGCATCCTTTATGTAAGTAAAACACTCGATGCAATATATAATTTCAAGCTTGAAATTGTACATGTAGGAGGAGTAAGCTGCGTGCCTTTATATATTATCAAAATGCCAAATTTCATCAACCGGTAATTTAAAAACAAACAAACAAAAATCCTAATAATATGCACACCTATAATATATGTACATGTAACACCAGCCTATGTGCATAATTTAAAAGTTGAAGCTTAAAAACTGTAGTCCTAAGAAATTAGCCGTATAAACCCTCTATACCAAGTGCGGGACAGATGGTCGAACAGACACGGGTAAAACAATATGCTCCCGGCATTTTGTCGAGGGCGCAAAATATATATTATCGTATATGATGATTTCCTATTCTATAAGGCATTTGGTGACAACATTTCTTTTGGAATAAGCAGTTCATAGAGGAATGGTAATTTGTAGATCTCAAATATAGCAATGTAAGCAAGCTAACATCTAGGATGGGAATTTGTCTCATTGACAATTATACCATATCTCCATATTTCATAATGATTTGAGTTTTCTCCAGAAATACAAGACGTTTAAAGACTATAACAAATATGTACTAGGAGACTGAAATAGATTACTGTTATAATTACAATCAATCTGACTATTGTTGTGAACATATGATGTAAGTAATTTGATGTATTTTAATATTTGCTATACAAATATAAAAATAAAGGAGATGTGGTATGATTGCCAATGAGACAACTATCCACCAAAGTTCAAATGAAGTGGATGTAAATATACTTATTAACTTTTTCAATTCAAGGGACCAACGAATCTTTACTAAAACTACAAATTAGCGGTAAAAAATACTCTTCCATCCTGCATTAGTCACCTGTTATCTAGATTTCTTTGGTTTTGTGAGTCGTTAATTGGCCAGTTGCTGTCTTATTGTATATATCTCATTCCCATTCATTCAAACAAAGAATTACCAACACTTTTTTTACATATAAAAATAAGGAGATGAGGTATGATTGCCAATGAGACAACTATCCACCAAAGTTCAAATATTTGTAAAGTACACTGTACATACATATTTGTATATGTTAGCGGCAATAGGTGAAATTAGGTATTAAGCTTAAATTCTATGCAACAGGCTAACGCCTAGGCAGTAAGTCAATTGCCTAAATGATGTTAGGCATTACTCTTAAATCATCCTAGGATTTAAGCTTAAATCCTGAAAAATGTGTCCAGGCATTAATCTTAATGCCTAAAATGTAAACGAGAGTAAATAAAAAGTTATTTATTCAAAGTTAAAATACGTTTGGTACATAATACCATGATAAGAACTGAAGTTTAAAATGTCAAATTCCTGAAATAAAGTCACTAGTCATGGCGACTTTAGTTTTTACTCGGATATAACCAAAGTTATAAATTCACGACGATTGTCACTTTGAAGTTTATTGAGCGCACCAATTGTGAAAACATCAATTTACTCAAAAGTCACCTTTGAAGCATATTTTGACGTGAGAACTCTAGTGTTACAAGCTTTTTATTAGGTGATTTTATAGAAATTTATAGTTTCCATCTGGGTTTGATTGGAAATATATTCAGTCACTATGACCTCTAATGCTGAACTCTTTGGATAAAATGGGTTCGAGAATATTGTTTTTCTTTAATTGTTTAACATTTCATACCGATATAACATGTTACTTTTATTATTCTTCCCTTAGTTTATTTATTTTGTATTTACATTGTATCATAGGTCAAATTTATTTGTTCAGTGTATGTTCAATGGTGTTAATATGTCCTTTGATTGAGTTAAGCTATTTCAGTTGATATTTTATAGTGTGTCTTTCTATGTTGTGATGTTACACTATTATTTCAGAAAAAGGGTGAAGGTTTGGTACCATTAAAACGTTTAAACCCGCTGCATTTGTTTGCACCTGTCCTAAGTCAGGAATCTGATGTTCAGTAGTTGTCGTTTGTTGATGTGGTTCATAAGTGTTTCTCGTTTCTCGTTTTTTATATAGATTAGACCGTTGGTTTTCCCGTTTGAATGGTTTTACACTAGTAATTTTTGAGGCCCTTTATAGCTTACTGTTCGGTGTGAGTCAAGGCTCCGTGTTGAAGACCGTACTGTGACCTATAATGGTTTACTTTTATAAATTTTGACTTGGATGGAGAGTTGTCTCATTGGCACTCATACCACATCTTCTTATATCTATTCACTAATTCTCCGTTCCCTAAATACTTTTTCTTCATGTTATAATTTTCACAAAGTAAAATAAATAGTTCAATGGAAAGATGATGTGTGTAAAAATTCATATCTATAGTTGTCTACTTTTGACCAGAACAAAACCAGCTCGACCATTAAAGAGCGAATTTTCTTCAAATAATTTTCAGATAGAATCATCAACCCACCTCCATTCATTAGATACAATCACTTGTTTGAAACATATCAATTTTTGTAATACCACAAATAAATACAAGTTAATTCTGTTATGAATATGAAAAAATATTAAAATTTGAAGATTTGTTAAATTTATGTATATTAATATTTGGAATATAATATAGACGATTCTTTACATGAAGAATATTTCACACAATGTACATTTACATGAAAGATAAAGCAAAAATCCTAAAGTTCACTTATTGCCTGAAATGATGTTTGGCAATAGGTTGAATAATCATCATAAGATTTCAGGAAATAAGCTTAATGCCTGAAAATTTCAGGCAATAACTTAATGCCTGGGATTTAAGCTTAATGCCTAATTTTACTTATTGCCGCTAACATATACAAAGTTATAAAAACTCTTTATAAGACTGCGAATACCCTCGGGCTTTTTCCGACACCTATGTGAGTAATATGCCCCTTCCCTCAAAAAGGAACCTTTGCTAATCGTCTGTGAGTCGTTTTGTCTCCCCACTTTGTGAAATGGTGCGCTTTTCATCATCTGTACTTGTACATCATGACCAACTGAAAACACCAAAAACACACCCATCCCCGAAAACCTAAGCGTAAATAAACATGAATCTAAAATCGAAATAATTTTAAGATCTCGTTGGTTTTTTTTTGTTTAATTTGTTTCTGCCGTTTGAATAATATAGGTTCATGAAAATACTCTTGATAATTTTTGATGCGCTTTTCTGGATACCGATCATTCATTTATTGCGAGACTACGTTTTTTTAATGAATGATTTATTTCAGAATGGAATTAAAAAAAAAATATGTAACGGATGAATGATTTAATTTTATTTCGTCCTAACCGAGTGCACATTTAGTGTTGACATCCCATATTTTTAAGCCTTTGTTAACTTTCTCCTCATTCCGATGTGGCTGTCCTGTGTAGACTGCGCTAATACGATTACAATGCTATCACTTTATTTTCAACCAGCTTCTGAAACCATATCGAATATTTTTCTGTACAGTCCAATAAATTTCCGAAACTGTTTACATTTGGAACATAGGGAAAGTTGTTCGGCCAAATACATGTAACCAAGTTTTCTGG